AGGAGGACACTCACCTTCATGAGAGCATGTCAATGTTGGCTTCAGTCCGCGACGGGTGCGGAGTTGGATAGCTTACCATGGTGATAGTGCTGGTCAGGATGGAGCACAACCTGCTCCTAACGGTTTCGAAGGCTTGATCTGATTGCAGCGACTTCCAATGATCATCAAGATTTGGGCGTCCAAGTCCCAAAAAACAAAGTACCCTCTTTACGAAGGACGTGCGATGAAGGGCATTGGGGAGGGGTTGTTCTTTGAGAGATGCTCTATCGTCATATAACTGTAAAGGTTGAGTCATATGCCAAGGATTCCTAAATTTTGAAAGCGTACCTGAGTAGAATAGAATGAGGCCATGGCGTGAAACAGAGGAGTGAAGAGAGACTGATGCTCATACTGAGAACATGAAGATGCTGTTATATGCAGCGCACCACTAATGAGGCTATGTGGCAGTTTTGCGGTCATGTGACGCCGAAGGAATTAATAAAATTCAGATCATCCAATCATCGAGCCTTAATATGCTTCATGGGAGATGCCGCGCACTCTAACATTGTATAACAGTGAATTAAATAAGGCAATAAAACCAACATGTTTTACGGTCGCGTGACATTTGTCAACACGCCCAATTAATGGATCTCCTTGCAATTGGCGAAGCGCGGATAACATTCCATGCGATCCCTTTGGTGTATGGGACAACTTATCTAACACATGTCATAGATGATACACCTCTAAATCCACAGGCCCACAGCGAGGCATTCCTGTAGTAGCTTGTGTGTCACGTGACCGTAAAACTGCTGCCATTGCCTTTGTTGTACATGCCCAAATGTCCATAGCCTTATGCTGACATCAGACGAAAATTGTTTCACACAAGTAAGCATGTGGTAAAAGCAAGGTTTGAACGACCGTTTATTAAGATTAGGAAAAAATGCTCAACGGTGGTTGATTTACCGTGTTTATGGGACCAAAATTTCTGAGGTTGGATTGAGGTCAGGCTGAGCACTATGGCCACCCTGGACAGGTGGTGGTAGTGCAGTGTGCAATACACCAAGAGTTCCTCTCAACCTCTACTTTTTTTCCCTCTCGAAAAGCACTTTTTTTTGATCCAAAAACCTTGAAACGTCCAAACATGAACAGAGCGCTTGTCTGTTTGTCTTTGTATATTAGCCTAACAGTTAGTTATTTGTACCCAGTGAAAAACCTTGAAACATCCGAACATGAATGGAGCGCTTGTCTGTTTGTCTTCGCGTATTGGCCTAACAGTTGGTTATTCGTGCTTAGTGAAAAACCTTGCAACATCTGAACGTGAACGGAGCACTCGTCTGTTTGTCAAAAACTGGTCCTAGATTCCTAGCAATATATCTACGATAAATGACAGATTTATTTATACAACGGTAGTGGTTATATTGTAGAATTTGAGAAGATGAGGCAGTGAGTAGGGAGACACGAAACGACTTCAAACTGACATAGCGATGGATGTGAACGTGGTGCGAAACAAATTAGTGGACAAGGTAAAGCATAGGGAGACACAAGGCGACTGCAAGCTGACGGTACGATGAATCCTAGAACATGTGAACGTGATAGGAAAAAAATTAGCGGACAAGGAAGCCAAGGACGCCAGAAGTACATACCTATTGAATATCACTCTATATCACATGTCGATATCCATGTCATCCTGTGATGAAAGGACGTCAGAAACGAATAGTTGTGCTGAGAGATGCACGAACTGTTACAGTCACTACGTGAACCCCCAGCTACTCGACCAGCCCTCTGCCACCTCACACGGCAACGACACGATAACCGGGCCTTTAGGCCTTGATGATAGATGATGAATAGAAGAGAAGTCCGGAAGATGCCGGATTAGGTAAGCGATCTGGATCGCTTACATGATATGACGACATAGGTCTAGAAGACCTATTTATGTTATCAAAATAGAAGGCAAGCCTCGTGTTGCCTCATGTACTGATAGAAGCTTGCCTCATGCATGGTATCTCTGACTCGATAGATAAGCAGATTAGAACCCAGCTTCAAGCTGAGCTTAGATACGATAGAGTAGCCTTATATAAGGTCGAAGATTAAAGTAGATGTTCCTTACTTTAATCCTACTGGGTTCTGCCTCGAAACCTTTGTCTTGCTAAAGCTACCTGCTTGACATCAGATCCGTACCTTCAGAAGGACTTGAGACCCCTTCTGCCTGTAAAACCGCTATCATCGTTCACCTCCGTGAACGTATGCAACTCCTGCTTGTCTGTAGGAGCCGACCTCAGACTCTCAGCACGAGATATCACTGTTGTGATCGTCGCTGTTAGATCATCCCAGTTCGCACGCGACTCAGTTCGTAACAAAGGATTAAAGTCCCCTTATCGTACGCCTCCATCACAGGCTACAAAGATAACTGATCGCACTTGCTGTCAACGTTACCGACACTTGTAGAACCCCGAACCCAGATCCCGAAAGGATTTTCATATCCCTGATCTAGAACCCTGATTGTACCGGCCTGACCAGTCGCAAGAATATAAGAACCGCTGTCACTGTGGAAAGCTCCAAGAAAAGGATACCACGAAGATCGTAGAAACTATCTCCAATATGGCAACTACCAGAAACACCTTCGTCGCCGCACACCTCACCGGGAAGGAGACTCGCCTCTGTTTGCGAGAGAAGAAATGTTTTGTGTGCCACATCATCGGACACAAAGCCGCGAGCTGTCCTCAAAGGACCCGAACCTCACGGAGAAAGATGATCGAAGAAGAACCCTGCCTGCGCTCTATTAAAGTAGCCGGGGCCAAGGATGATCTACGGGTGAACACCACCCTGATTTCTAGAACAAGAAGTAACCCCATCACGACATCCATGATCGTGGATTCTGGGGCGTGTCAGTCCTTCGTCAACCAGGACATAATCACGCAGCACCACATCTTGACGCACCAGCTGGAGAACCCCCTGACACTCTCAAACGCTGACGGATCCTGCTTCGGAAAGAAGCCAATAGAAAGGTTTTGCAACCTTACTTTCCAGATCGATGAACGGGTAATTTCCGAACGGTTTTACCTAGCCGAACTTGGTCCGAAAGACAAGTTCCTGCTTGGGCGACCTTGGCTTACCAGCCAGAACCCCCTAATCAATTGGAAAACCGGCACGGTAACCCTCAAAAGTACTGCAGATTCCCGAAAGAAGCAGAAAGAAATAGATTCTGATCGAAAGAAGAACGGCAAGGCGCCCCTCTTCCTGACGGAAAAGAAGGTAGCATTGAAGAGAAAACGATCGGTATCCCCGACCACTCCCCGCACCTTCTCTTCAGGCTCTGTACCATCAGCCCGAACGACACAGAATGCACCGGTCCATGAAAAGCCGCAGAACGGAACCTCCGTTGAACCTTCAGAAACCGCACCACAGCCCGTGAAAACTGTGACGAAGAAAGACTCGCTGCCCAGAATTGACCTTGCAGCAAAAAAATATGAACAGAAGAGACCGGCCACTGACCCGGAGACAACTCAGAAGAAGACTTCCAGACCAGCGCTGATATCTGACCACATTTATCCTGAACTGCCACGAACGAAGAAAATTGTACCGGCTGTTCAGCCGATGGAAATTGAAGAAGATCCCGCACCTGCCCGATATAAATTCTCGGCGGAGCCTGCACAAGTCCTTGGGAAGGGACGTGCAATAATGAACGAAGAACCGCCTGTATCCAAGGCGCCCAGACTGGCCCCTGAACCAGAGAAAACTCAGAGATTCGAATTTTCCAGAGAACCGATATCCGTTCTCGGAAAAGGACGAGCAGTCCGAATTGAAGAACCCCCCACTGCCAAGAAACTCAGATTCTACGAAAGCCCTGAGTCCGCAATGGAAGAAGACCCCGAACTGGCGTATTTAACTGCCGATGAACCACCAAATTCCCTCAACCTCTCCATAACACCCGCGCATAATTCCGAGGAAGCAATGACGCCATCCTCTAACTCCGAACTCCCTCCTGTGTTACAAGAAGCCCAGGATATTTTCATTGAACGAATCGCTTCGATCCACGAAGCATACCGTCAAAATGAAATAAAAAAGGAAGCACTAGATGCCGGGCCCAGCTTTGTCCGATTTATCGACATGGACAACTCCGAGGATGACGAGGATGAAGATGATGATGCACCCTCTTCGCATGATCTGCGAATGGTAGATTCAGAAGGAAACGACTTCGAAGACAACGGCCCGCTCCCTGGCCTAGACTTCTGATTGGATATGATTAGTCGGTGACTAATGGCTTAGTAAGGGGGTGAAATCCTCCATTTTTACTTATTTTTCCACGCCTACTCCACCCCGAACACTGATCACCAATCCCAAACTCAATCTAAGGTCCGGAACGACCTAAAACTAGATAGGTCCATAATGACCCTAAACTAGATATAGTCCGGAAAGACTCTAAACTACGATTGTCCGTGACGACATAAAACTAGACGATGAAAGGACGAACCCCGGAAAACTCCTGCAAGCTTCGGGACCCCTCACATCACTGCACTTCGACCACCCGAGTAGACCATATATAAACAAAGGGTAATAGAAGACGATCTCCCCGCTGGACGACCCCAAGAAACTCCTACAAAGCCCTGGTACCCACGCTCGGACCCCCACCTTCGACATCTAATAAAGAACCCAGAAATGGATCTATAAAAGATAAGAAGACGAGACCTCCGGAATGAGGCTAAACTATCACAAGACGAACTCCACGGAAACTCCTGCAAGCCCTTGGAACCCTCTAGAACCCATCATGGCAATGACGACCACCCTCTGATGACGATCTGATCTTTCAAACAAAGATAAAGGATGATAGTACCTATCACGGCACTCTCCCTCTGATAGCGAAGAAAGAATCTCGAACACGAGTTAGCCTCATGGCTAGATAAAAGACGATAAGAGATAACGATAAGGATAAGTTCAGATTGAATCGGAGCTTGGACTGATCTGGAAGAAGGTTATAAACCCTCTCGATCCCTGAACATCTCTCCCAACAAACCTCCACCATCATGACGAACTCCATTGACAACGACTCTATCAAAATAGCACTGAAGGACTCAGACTACGGATCAGTCCTCAGAATGACAGAAAACAGCGCGTTCAACGAAGCTGCTATTCTAACCCCCGCGTACTCCCAAGCGATCGACGAAATCCTTGGTGAACAAGACGCCAGAACTGCAGCGTGTACATCCCTCACCGTCTGCATTATACGAACCACGAAGCTGCTGGAAGATGTAGCCAATCGTGTTGACCTTGATGAAGCAACTCGGAAACTTGCTATACTTCATCTGCAACGGTGGATCAGAAACTTCGCACTTCACTTACTCCCCCTCGACTTCTCCGATATCACTGATCAAGCGATAAAGAAAGTTGAAGTGAAGCCACTTGTAGAAGAACCCCGCCCGGTACGCCCACTGAGAAGAAAGAAGGCGGCTACCATAGATCGAACCCGCACCACGCTCTGCAAGCACTGCGGAGGATATGGACATAAGTTCAGAAAATGTCCAGATTATGTTTGTTGCATCTGCGATGAACTCGGACCTGACCACCTGTCTGTCCACTGCCCACGACTCGAAGGACGCATTGTGCTCCAAGAGTTTAGTGATGAAGAGAAGTTTTTCGAAGCTCTTTTAGATTGGGAGCATAACCACAAGGCACTCGCGAACCTAGAACTTCGGCATCCCACTGAACTTTCCCCAGTCCCTGAAACTCCCTCTGTACCTTCCGTCTCCACGTCAGCAATTCCCGCACTACCTACTGCTACGATGGAAGAAGATGCTTAAGAAAACAAAGTCGGTGACTTTGTGCGTAGTAAAGGGGTAATGTTACAGTCACTACGTGAACCCCCAGCTACTCGACCAGCCCTCTGCCACTTCACACGGCAATGACACGATAACCGGGCCTTTAGGCCTTGATGATAGATGATGAATAGAAGAGAAGTCCGGAAGATGCCAGATTAGGTAAGCGATCTGGATCGCTTACATGATATGACGACATAGGTCTAGAAGACCTATTTATGTTATCAAAATAGAAGGCAAGCCTCGTGTTGCCTCATGTACTGATAGAAGCTTGCCTCATGCATGGTATCTCTGACTCGATAGATAAGCAGATTAGAACCCAGCTTCAAGCTGAGCTTAGATACGATAGAGTAGCCTTATATAAGGTCGAAGATTAAAGTAGATGTTCCTTACTTTAATCCTACTGGGTTCTGCCTCGAAACCTTTGTCTTGCTAAAGCTACCTGCTTGACATCAGATCCGTACCTTCAGAAGGACTTGAGACCCCTTCTGCCTGTAAAACCGCTATCATCGTTCACCTCCGTGAACGTACACAACTCCTGCTTGTCTGTAGGAGCCGACCTCGGACTCTCAGCACGAGATATCACTGTCGTGATCGTCGCTGTTAGATCATCCCAGTTCGCACGCGACTCAGTTCGTAACACGAACTGAGTGAGCGCGCATCTCTACGTCAACATTGTCAACGTCCATATATTCCTGGGACGGAGTTGCTGAGAGATTGAGCGCACAAAATGAAGGATACATACCGGTTGAGCACTGTTCTCCGTTACACTGTCGCACACCTCCATCACATCCTCCCCACCGGCCTCATCATCATCGATGATCATGTAGTTTTCCTGCAATGAAAGAATGTAAGAAATGGATAGATAGATAGATATCTTTACATACCGGTTGAGTGTTGTTTGCGACATCCTCCCCTTCGTGTTCATCGTGGTCAATGTCCATCGGTTCCTACAATGAACAAATGTTAAAAAAATGGACTAAAGTATGCATTACACTTACTAGGTGAGTCCCCTCCCCTTCGTGTTTGTCGTGGTCAACGTCCATGGAGTCCAACGAAGCAACAATCTATGCACCTTCAGTCTTATATCAGAGTAGATACGAAAGCACTTACTGAATACATCATCGTACTAGTGGTTACTATCAGATTGTGTAATGGTAAGACGTTGGCGAAGGTGTTGGTCAGTTATTCATTGTGACGCGTTGTGATTGTGATTGTGACGATCACCTCTGAGTTTCGTCCGTCACCGCTGCAATACAGCAACTGCTATGATGAGCTTTGGCCTTTTGTCAAAATGATGTTAGCGAATAAAACTAAAATTATTATCTCGAGCAGCGTGATACGAATTTCGCCAGAAGGGGAGGGGCTTCGGTTGATGTTCATCTTTAGCTGAGAGCCAAAATACAGGTGCTGAAGGCTCCAGAAAACAAAAAAGATCTACATGCTGAATGGAAGCTATGAAGCTTGAGTAGCGCACTGCGAGTCACATGACATGACAATGCTCAATGTGACTAATCGCAAGAGCAAAGAGATGTTTCGATAAGCTAACAAGGAGACAGCTAGATGTCAAAATGAGCACAGTCAAAGTCTTTGAGTGTGAGGTATTTGAGGAGCTTGAAAGGACGTACATGCAGCAATGTACCCATGTCAATGACACCGGTGGAAGAGAGCGACGGTGAAGATATTCACGATGAAGGCGTCTAGGAATGGCATCAAGTAGATGCACAAGAACAATAGCGCAGGTGTGCGCGACACGAACATGGCCTTGATAAAAGTCAAATATTTCTTTGGATGTTGTGTCCATACGAAGACCAGAAGCTTACCTATGTACTGGAAGTAATGTGTCTTTTCCAGTAATAGATTGGATGTAACATACACATGCATGGGTATGAACCTATTCAAGGCGGTGATTGTGCCAAAATACAATAGTTGACATTGGTCGCAGTATTACTTGTGCAAAGTATTATTAAGAGTCACTTGAGAGTCACTGTCAAATGCTCACTGCTCACGTGTCATTGACCAAGTATTCAATTGCCCTCTGGCCCTCCGCAACTTCACCAATCGATTCAATTATGGTCTCTCAAATTTCTGTAAACTCATTCTATGTCGAGAGGTATTCTTCTGATTTTTATAAAGTTCCCAATACAATTTCCCTGGGGGCCCTGCGCATGAACATCCAGCAACGTATCAAGCAGAAATTTCAGCATGAATGGTATGAAGACCAAGTCCACTCTGATCCTACGTCAATTATCTTATCTTCAAGTAAGCTCTGTTATTCTATTGACGTTGTTCATTTACATTATTTCCAGACACACATGGCTCCACCTTACTAGAAAACAATGCTACAATCCTTGGCGATCTATGTGGACCGATGGACTGCATACATGCAATCGTTCCTTCACAACAGCTTGACAGTTCCAAAGCTCCCTTGCAGCATGTGGCATTGACGCCCAATAGCATGAGCAGTCCTGACTACGACAGGACTCAGGAGCTCCTATTGCTAATATGTACACTCGACCAGAATTTGACAGAAGTGAGGCGAGCACGAGAGGAGGATAGGCGAGCACAATCAGTGCAAGACGATGAACTCACCACATTGAAGGCATCAATGGATGCTATCGTTCAAAACCAGCAACAAGTATCTGAAGAAATGAGGGTATGGAACCGCGACTGTGCAGATGACATCCGTCAGCAGAAGATGATACAGCAAAACTTGAAGGACAACCAGGAGCATTTAAGCCACCTTCAGGAAGCTCATGCCCACAATGAGCGAGTTCGGATCTACAGCGACCAACAGATCAAAACATTGGAGGATGGATGATGGGAGGATGGTATTCATATCAGAACACTGGAGAATTCCCTCGCTGTGGAAGGGACACGGATAAAACAGTTGGAGAGTTCGATCGAAAGCTCAAAGAAACAGTGTGAGGTGCAGATGAAGGTGATACACGAGGAGGCAGAGGTGAAGTTGAAGGACGTAGAAGCAAAGTGCAAGGATGTGGAGGCGATGCACGAGGCGGGGAAGAGGCAGTGGGAGGTAGAGAAGAAGGCATGGGAGGTGGAGAGGTCGTCAATGGCTGATCGTATCGAAGAGGTTGAGGATATGACCATTGCAACTGTTGGTTGGGTTTGTGGCACGGTACGTCTTCAATCACTCGATCATAACAACAACAACGAATTAACATTCAATCAGGACACTAAACTAATTGATTGCATCCTACTCCGGCATCTCCTCGACCTTACTCAAGCCAAACTTGCCAAACTTGCACGATTGACTGCGCCCCCAGGCACCAACCATGCTACACAATCTATTTTGTGGTGAGATGCACTTGGAACTACCCATGTATTTGCAGAACGCTTGCAAACAGCGCAGCGACTTTTGAACAGAACGGACACCCAGCTCGACAGTGCTACTGTTCAATTCATGGCTGATGCGAAAGGGATGGATCTCGCCATCCAAAAGTCATCTGCAATTCGAGAAACGGGTGACCTCGTGGCCCACCCGAAGCCAGGAGCCATTTGTCAAGAAGCATTCATACAAAGCATTTCATGCCACAATGTTACTGAGGAGCGTGCAGGTCTTTTAGCGATGGTTAAATTTGTTATGATTGGCACAGTTCGCTCATAGGTATGACTACGAGCTATGATGTACAACATATGGTATTCTAGTTGATAGCTATGCAAATCTCGAATGTTGTATGTAGAATTTTGTCACTTCGTTCAAAAAGGAGGTCAAAAATGAATAGATAAGAAATGGTTTGTCCCTCACTGGCTGCAATTATGCAATTTCACAATTTGTTCATGAACCCAAGGACTTCTCAATTCACTGATCAACTACTACTGGCAGCTGCAGGCACTTTCATCAATTTTTTGGAGATTTCATGTTACAATGTTTTTATGTGTCATAGCTCTCCACACCAACGTTCATCCTCGTCTTCCCATGACACAATCTCTCCCTTGTATTGTTGGTCTGGGAAGCTCCCGTGGAATTCACCCATAGCCGGACTTTCTGCAAATCTGTGTGTGGTCGAGCAGTTATGTCATTCAACTTGTGAGCTGTTTCTCCCTCAGTGAAACCATTTATGCTGGTGTTATGAGCTGGTCCCGGGCCATTTTGCCCCCACACACTGGCAGGAGACTATTATATATCAGTCGACCGTGGCGATTAATTTAATCTGCTGATAGTAATTGTGATTATGAATTCCGCCCTGAAAATACGAAATCAGCCAACAGGAATGCAGCATAGAAGACTGCAGCATGGTTAATGCGTGGAGTTGTCATTATGAGTGCAGGGCTGACACATTGGTTCGGCACCCACACATGCCTGGCACTGGTTGACTTTTTCTTTACTCTCCTACTCAGAGCTGAAGCAATGCCTAGGTCTTCAGGTTCATCAATATCTCGACTAGATCCTGAAGGTAACAGATTACCACTGCCTTCCTTCGATATTTAATTGTTTTATCTTGCAGTTTATGTGCAAATCAAAGGCAGAAATGAAGTTGCCTGCAAAGTGTGTACAAAGCGGAACGAGAGCCTTCTCACTATGAGAATATGCCATGTTAGTGGTCATGACCAAAGCAAAAAACATCAGCGGGCAGTTACCCGTGCTTTGGAGTGTGTGGAAGCAGGAAGTCCTCATGCGTCTGAGCCCTCTGCCCTGGAAACTGACGTGGACATGCTTGACCCGCCAACACTATTTTCCCTGCTAGACTCAGATAGCACTGCTCCCCCTGAAAACTCAGCTTTTTCACTAGAGAACATCACAGGAGCCACTGAAGATGATCATCTTGAAGTCCCTATCGGCGATCTGTGGGACAGCACAGTTACCGAACACACAATCGGCAGTGACTACTATGAAGAAATACTGGCAGCACTCCGACGAGGAGAATCGTTATTCTCATGTCCCTTGGAACCTCTCATGGAGGAGATTGGAGTAGAACTTGACAATGATCTCGCTATCGAGGTAGATGACACAATGTTCGATATTCTTGGTAAGTTATGTTGCATATATTTCTCTTTCTTGCATTGATACCAGTCCAAGTAGACGACGACTGCTCCCGCACAAATGAAATTAATCCAGGCTCCTCAACTTATCCATGGATGTCAATACCAGTATGATTTTGGAGTCATGCGCTCGCATTCAGGTACTCACCTGTCAAGTAGGAATGTATCACACAACTCCTATTCAGCTCGCCTCACACTCGGTTTTTGGAGGCTCAAAAGAGGGCCGTTCTGGACTGGGCTACTGCACTTGGTGCTAAAGATGTTCCAACACTGTACAGTATCAAGAAAACTCAAGACCGTATCCGTGACTTAGTGGGAAATCCAACTGAAAAGGTTTGCACAAAGTCGGGCACTGTGTTTTACCTCAATTCTGTTGCAAAAGCAATCACAAAGGTCTGACTTTTACAAATACTCATATGGTTCATCACTGACATTATCTCCAGGATTATGGCAATCCTCTTACACAGTCCGCCATGCGGGATTACCCAGAAGAAGGAGATGGAAGGATGTCGCAAGTTCATCACAGCTACAAGATGATGCACGACCTCCCTGATGACCTTTCCCCACCTACAGTCCGTGTGGGAATCAACATTTTCTTTGTTGACGAGCTCCTTCAACTGTCGTCCATGGAATATTTCATTCCAAAGAAGTTTTTTGAGGCGAAGATAACTCCTGACAACAACGCTCAGACATTGGCCTTAGGTCACATTGTTGTGCAGACTGACGTGAGTTACTGTTATGACTACGACAAATTTTATCTGACTCATTGGTATTAAGGCAGGATTTTCTGTGGATCCCGAGCGCGTGCTCACTCCAGTCTTGTCATTTGTACGGACATTTGAGGATATTAAAGGCCATGCAACTGAGTTCGAGTGCGGTTTCACAAGTTTCGTTCACTCATCGATATCTCTGTCTTCAAGGGCTGATTTCTGTGATAGAATCATCCCCAACTCATGCCTGCCTTATGCCAAATCCCCTTCGTGCAAAATCGGGTGGCCAGATGGTGCTAACAGTGCCACTCATCGTCTTCATGGATGATGTCTCAGGGAACATCTCAAAACAGTGGAACAAGCATCATGTTGTATACATGTCGAATGCTGCTTTACCTCATGAGATGCTGGAGAAGGAGTTTTGTGTGCGCTTTGTCTCATCCTCACCTCATGCCACTCCAATGGAACTCATGTGTGGCTTCAAGGAATCTATTGTGTTCATTTTCACTCAGCTCTAGAGCAACAGGATGCTAACCATAAGAACACAAAAACAGTGCTGCAGCGAGCGATGGAATAATCACTTGGGATTGTAAGTACAATGATGAGGTGATGCTTGTTCCCTATGGCCTTTTTGATGCAGGCGGAGGTATGCAGCCATGGTGGCCTTAAATGTAACTACTTCTGCAGAACATGTAAAGTTGGCGGTACGACTGTGGAGAAAAAGTCTGACAATGGTTACCTCAAAATTTTCAAGGTGCGCTTTCCTTCGGACAGGTCTTACAGGATTTAGTTGTGGCTACTGACAACTTTTACCTTACAGTGTGGTGAACTTCAAACACCTGAAGGCACAAAGATGGATATTTTGAAGCAAATCGAGCTTTCAAAACTCTCTGGTGGTACAGAGAAGGTCAAGAATGCTGTCAGCTTGACAGGTACTCATGATGCTGCGACAATGCACATAGTCAGTCATTTGCTCGAACTTGGCAAGCGACTGCGAAAACGCCAGGCTGGAAAACCCATCATGTCAGAAGAAGATGTCCGAAGGCAGCTTGAACAGGAGTTCGAAGACATGCTTCATGGATCGCCCCTTGAAGATCACCTCAATCCACTACTTGGTATGCCTGGTGTCAACATCCACCAAGACACACCCACGGAGATTCTTCACACCATTCTTCTCGGCATCGTCAAATATTTCTGGGGTCAGACTGCTTGGATACTTGACAAGGGTCATCTTCTTGACACTTTCGAAGCGTGATTAGAATCGATCAACAAGGATGGCTTGAATTCCCCAATGCTTGGTGCAAATTACATTTGCCATTTCAAGGGCAGTCTTATTGGCAAGCACTTCAAAAGTCTTGCCCAAGTAATGCCATATCTTATTTATGATCTTGTTCCACGAACAGTTCTGAACAGTTGGACGGTGATTGGCAAACTGGTAGTACTTCTTTGGCACACATCGATCGAAAACACAGAGCTTTATCTTGTAAGACTATTTTCACTATGTACTCTACTTGATTGACATCAGCTCAGGCAAATCTTTCGTGAATGATCAACAATTTTCTTAGTATCAGTGTACAGTGTGCTCCCAGCATCCTCATCACAAAGGCAAAATTTCACTTCCTGGTCCACATCCCGGCGTACATACGACATTTTGGTCCTGCTCTCCTCTTTTCTACAGAACGTTTCGAATCCTTCAATCATGTATTCAGATTAGCAGCAATCTACAGTAACCGCCAGGCTCCAAGTCGTGACACGTGCAATGCATTTGCCATGCAGGACATTGTCAAGCACATCGTTACAGGAGGTTTTTGGGTAGATCCGAAAACAAAAAGATGGGTGAGTGCTGGGAAGGATATTATAGATTACATGGATAATCATCCACATCAATGACACTTGTTGGGGTTTCATACAACACGACTAAAGCCCGCAGGTAGGTTAAAAATATTGATACTGCCTAGGTTATTTATTTTTATATCATCTGCTCTGTATCTAGGATCTTCTCATTTGCCGACACAGCAGAACGCTCGAGGAAAGTCTGAGGCAATCCCACCGGTGGACTGGCATTCAACACACTCAGCAGCAGCCCTGTCCCATGACAACAATCTTCTTCGAGTCACACCAAGCAAGTTCTACAAAGCTGATTCGTTCACAGCGGTCAATCAAGATAAAGTATCTCTAGAGGCCCATGTCATCTTTAGAAGTAGGAAGGAAAATTCAGATCAGGTCAGTCCGCCAGCGCTTACTTGTGTCAATCATTCCCTCACTTTTACTTCGAGGATCAACTCTTTGTTGGAAAGGTCATAGAAATTCTTGTTCAGCAAGGAAAGACCTGTCTCATTGCGGATCACATAGTCATCACCTGCTTGGCATTCTCGCCAGATCTCCACCCTCAGCTCAGTGTCCCATGTCTGAAACTTGTTCCTGAAGATGAAGTTGTTGTAGCACCCAAGGTAACAGTCCTCGTCTACATAAAACTCCTCCATTTATGCTAAAATGCCCTTGTAGAACATCCTGTGTGCGGTCAATGTACAACATGATTGCATCACATCGGATTCCAGCTGCAATATTCAGTACACCCGCGAGAAACAGGAACGTGCTGAAACAATGAAGACCAAACGTGTCACTCAGCATACAGCAAATAATGCCTATGTTCTCAACACGCATTCTCTCCACAATTATTCACTCATTTCAGCTGTCATTCCACCTGAAATTCATGTTCAAATGGCATCCCCACAAATCCCAAACCACGAAGAGATATGACTGAATGGAGCCAAACACGTTCACCAGACAAAGAAGGCAGAAGATAACGAGAATGCCACTGCAGCACCCATTTCTATAGATATTGCTTGTGAAGGCGGTATTGGCTCAGTCACTGTCCCAGCCTTTGATCACACAGCAAAATCTACTGGGAGGAAAGGAAAGGGTAAGACGGTAGCAAAGGGGAAGAAGAAGGGCCCTGCTACAATTCAAAGCACTGCAGCACCTAGCAGTGCTATGCCAACAATGCCACAGCCACACCTGTACCCACCGATTATCCCGCAGGACACCCAACCTTCATTTAACAATAGCCTGCCACCACCGCACACTCTTCCGCCTCCATCATACGGCCTGCGGCCCATGTACTATGCAAATGTGCAAGGCAGTCACCCCTTGCACATGTACCCGACAACTTTTCCACCTTATCACCCCATCCCGCATGCAACAACTTTTCCGCCCTATCACCCCACCCTCCACATGCGTACAGACATGCACCCTTTTGCCCATGCAGGACCGTCTCACCAACAACTCTCCCTCATACCAGCTCCAAGCTTCACACTGTCCACTGCATGGAGAGTTGATGGTAATGGTCCTGTCATGGATGGATTACCCCACTGATATGGCCCTCCGTCTTCAACACATCACGTGTCTTCATGGCAGTGGTGTTCTTGCTGACCCGCAAGGAGCGCATCCGCCTTGCAAAACTATGGCTACCCGTGTCTCACTTCAATAAGCAAGAATGGGTACCTCGTCAAGATCGAGGAACAAGATGGCAAGCTACCATGTCCATTGGCTTGACAGATGGCTTGGCCCGGTTACCCGAGATGGTGCAAGGAGGTCAAAAATTCTACTATGCACGCTATCGACATTGTGTAGCGAGCCAAGATTGATCTTATTCTGTGAGTCATGTATCCAAATTTTCGGTGGTCCATCGGCGATCTGATGCACAGGATCCATTTCACTCAGGATCTCTCACAAGAATGATTGGTTTGTTGTATTATGCATTTTATACCGCTTCACTGCATCAACCTGCCTCGTTTCTAGACACATGGGATGTGACTCTTGTCCCATTGCATCCGATTGAGCAGCTGGTACCTACTGGCATTCAAATCTGACTATCTATTCTACATGACCGCATCAATATCACTGTTTTTTTTATCTCGAGCAGCTAATCCATCCGTAATATTTTAAGGTGATTTTCCACATATTTTTGTCACGTGATCAGAGTTCCAACATTGTTGCCAGCTGCACTCTCATCTTGCGCAGCCACCATCAAGCCACATGAGTCTGTTGGCTCAGTTCAAGCTGCACCAAGCCTTATCTACTCCAACACCAAATGTGCAAACACCCACATGTCATACAGCAAGCTTGAGTCCTCGGGCACCATCTCCCTTTCAGATGTCTCTGCAAAGGGCACACTCTGAATCTATAGTGGAGGAACAACGCAAAAAATGTCTTAAGCACTATGCTGTCATTGTCTGCAAGAGTTTGAACTTACCGGATGACACTTTAGAAGCCTTTGCATCAGTGCGTTCCTACAATTTGCCGCATATTAACAGTCTACTGAAATCCTCTGAAAGCTCGATGCCAAAGAGAAGTTGAATGAAATCAGGGGCATGCTCATGTCCTTGTGTCGTACAACCAAGTGTAATGCAGCACAGGAGTTTATTGATTCCAAGGACTTCGAGGTAATCTGGTGTATAATATATTGTGCTTCATATCTACTGACACTGTTAAGACCATGCACAAAGGGTAGGACTGATTCTGAGGGGCTTGGCTTCAGCTCATGCGCTGCGCCCCTTGCCCGAGTATGTGCCCTTAATTTCAGATTGGTGTCCGAGGAAAGTCCGAAGACGTCCGAAGGACATCCGAAGGTGCAGGAAACTTCGGAAGGACTTTCCGGACAGGTGCAAGTAACTTCCGGATGAGTGCGGGAAAGTTCCGGAGGAACTTCCGGAAATTACGATGAGGTTTCGTCCTGATACGGATATGTATAATGGCTACTCGGGACTTGTCCTGAGTAGAAGTAAACAGAGGAAAGGCTGCAAGGACAAAGTCCGAAGCAGAATAGGTCCGGAGGACCGCGGGAAAGATCCGGATGAACTTCCGGAGACTACGGAGGATTGGATGAGCGGATGAGCGGAGTATCGGATAAGCAGAGCTCCGGCCTAGGGAGAAACTCCCTAGGCCTGAGATGGATAACAACTAAGTTGGAAGACTAGAACTGATATGAGGACTTAGAGTGAAGACTAGTGCGAGGACTAATATGATATTCAGACTGAGGTACTACAAGACATATACACGAGTTTATATACTAAGAGAAATAACAGAAGGATCAATAAGCAGAGTCCGAGGCTATGTATGAAGCATATGCAAAGGTTGACAAACGCGAGTCGGAAATGAACATAGGTTAACGGATCAGTAAGCATACCGGTAATAGATATAACCGAGGTACCGGTAACAAGGAATACCGGATAGGCTGTGTTAACGTTATATGCACAGGAAATGAATTATGAAGCTTATCGTATATCGGATAGGAAACGGATCTATACGTCGGATCGGACCAGATCGGATATGGTCCGGATGAGATGTGTGGATATATAGGATGTGGCATTAGGGCGATGGGACAAGGATGAATGATGCAGGCTAGCTGCGAAGGATAAGGGATCTGGACGTGGACATGCGGATGTGGATGTGCAGAGGTGCAGGGATCCGGATGGGTACTGGAGACATGGATAGCACATCCGAAGGTCCGGATGAGGCGTGGGAATATTATCGGATGTAGGTCCGAAATACGGGATATGACAGACACTATACAAATTTAAAGCACATTTTGAAAGACAGGTTACGTGTTTGTTTGTTGTCGCCCAACTTGCCATCATATGTGTCATGCTTGGCAGAACAGGTCATTGTGAGTAACAACGGCGGAGTCATTACTATCCCTACTGCAGCACCTAACTACATATATTTCAAATAGAGATATGCAAAAAAGGACCCAGCCACGTTCAAGATTCCTGATGCTGTGTTTCAGGACCCTGAAATGACAGACCAAACAAATGTGCAGACTAGGGAAATTCTGACTTCGCAACGAGGACTCATCAAAGTAAAGGTAATGATGCTCGATATTCCTTGAGTTCCTCGCCATGACTGACAACTTTTCACAAGCTCATGACAAGCATCACGAATAAAATGAAAATTTCTGTTCTTGCAAAGTCGTTATCGTCGAGCGGTCATGAAATAACTGTAGCACACTGGGCTCGGTTTTCTTTTTTGGTGAGGGCTGCTTAGGATTGATGTACTAAAATTGATGCCTATCTCAGTGCTTGTTGTTGGTCAACTTCATACAGATTTTTGACGAATCTGCAAGGATCTCTGTGGCACAAAAGAGCAGAGAGGCATCTACAGCTGTCGTGGACCCAGCACTGTTGAACATAGATGACGAGGAATGTGAGAGGTTTGGAACTGCAGATAACACCCCTCGTATCTGGGTGATTTCTGAATATTGGGAATACATTGACTTACTCTTAGCTGATCTCCGAACAGTGTCTCGGAAAGCTGCCAAGGCAAGCCCTGTGACATCGCCAATCACAAGCGAGGGCTACTTGAAAGAGTGAGTTTTTAACTTGTCGAGTATCAACCATTGTTCATCTATATTTTTTAGTTTTTTCAAGAACTGTCTTGAGGCAGACCTCAAACAATACTCAGCTGGCTGCGAGGGACTCAAACCAGCATTCAAGAAAGTAACAGTTAACTGGCAGCGAGCCATTCACAATGAACTGGTTTGGTGGTCGTGCTTCATCCCCACATTCTCGACACTTTACTCTCCTTCTAAACTTACTATAGCTATTTTACTGCACCCAAGTGTATGCTTAATAGATATGCAGCTAATAATGAGTTATCTTTTTCTTACCTGTCTGGGAGGAGTGGTGGGTCTGACTTCTAGCGATGCAAGTTTGAGTTTGTTACAGCCACCGACATTGCTCAGGTATTCATTTTCATGTCATGGCATCGACATTTGGTCTTGTGATGCTTTTCCACAAACTCAACATCAGCATACTGCAAATTTCATCATTGTGGCCACACAGCTTTTGACCTCAGCCTGACCCTTCAGTACAGGCTACTGTCGGGTCTGAGTCAGCATGTACTATATGCTTAATTAATGGTGTTACCAACATCGGCACTCATATCACTTTGCCATTGGTAAGTGTTCGTCAGCTCACTGCAAATTTTAACATCGCAGCTGGTCAGCTTGTGACCTTGGCCTGACCCACTACAAGGGCTTAACTACCATCAGCACTTATGCCACTTTGTCGTCAACCAGACCTCAGTACACTACAACTTTTAACATCACAACTGCACAGCTTTTGGCCTCAACTTGATCATTTGATTGTGGCCATTGTTCGATCTGAATAAACATCTATCATATGCACGATATCAAAGGTGCCACCTATATAACTTATTATATTGTATCAATAACATTTGTGATGTTTGTATGGTCTCTTATATTTAGGCATTATCAACATCACTCTCGAAGGTTGAAACTACATTGACGAAAAACCTCCGGAGAGACCCGTTTTGGAGGTCAACCGGAGACAACCAGTTTTGGGGGTCAGATTGACGCCGACAAGCTCTGGGCGTGTAGGCTTGGGACTAGTCTGGCTCGTAGAAAAATTCGGAAACCACCAATGTGTTAATTAAGTACTTATGAGCCATATGCATGGGTCTCTCTCTTCACTCAGTCCTGTTTCACGCCATGGCTTCATTCTATTCCACTCAGGTATGCTTTCAAAACTTGGGAATTTTTCCGTATGACTCAATTACGCCGCCCTTTCCAGTCATATACAATTACTGACCTAAGAGCATTTGAACCCCTCCCCGAAGCCCTTCGTTCCACGTCCCTTGTAATTAGGGTGCTCTGTTTTTTGGCACTTGGACGCCCAAATCTTGATGATCATTGGAGGTCGCTGCAATCAGAACAAGCCTTCGAAACCGTTAGGAGCAGGTTGTGCTCCATCCTGACCAGCACTATCACCATGGTAAGCTATCCAACTCCGCACCCATAGTGGACTGAAGCCGACGTTGACATGCTCTCATGAAGGTGAGTGTCCTCCTCACTATAAGCAGTGTTTTCCTCAGCACGGGTTCTCCTGTGTCCTACTTCGACTACACGTCACCCGTTCCCTATTGTCTGCTCTTTATATCGCTCATGTTCACCATGATCACGATGTTGACATCTGGCTCGAGCATGATACATTGGCTGCACGCCAATCACCACTGGACTCAAGAAGTGAGTTTTAATCTCAATCTTGTCATGCTGATTCAGACACCGGCTGACCTAAATATAACCAGCAACTCAAGCAAGGTGATTACTTCGTCTTGTCCTACCTGTTGTCGATAGTCACACCTATAGTCTTTGTTGTCTGCTCCCTCAATTGTTTCATATTTGGTGAGTTGTTCCATCAATTGAGGCTTTCTCTGGTCCCTCATGCATTCCGTCCAGCGATAATGATAGCAGGCTTTTCTTCTCAAAGCACGACCTGCCGCGCTGTCACTGCACTCTGGTTGGTTGCATATGCTGTGAATGTTGGGACAATATTGATGGAAGTTATGTGGAAGTATGTGTCAATCACGCTGGAGATCGGCAGTAGTTTCTAGTTTGCTCCTTCATCAGCGGGTTGGATTGTCCTACAGAATGCTACAGAGTGCTCTGTAGTGAATACCATTTTCCTGATGCTTGTTTCACCCGTGGTTTGTCTATGTTGTATGTAACCTTCCTGACGCGGCACACAAATTGAATGTATTCGAAATGTAGACTAGTGGATGTATGCAGTCCGTGGCTTTCAATTATGCAAATCAAATTTTCATTGAAGAGCGTTTCACAACACATCAAATTTGCATCGAATCATACCAATATGAAAGCTTATAGAAAACCTCAGTACACACGCTTTGTGCAAAAGCACCCGGCAATAAGATCTAGAACTTGAAAGCATCGGTACCATTCACACATTTGCACTCATTCTTACCTTCCAAGTCAATATCTTCCAGGCCAGGAAACTTGAGAATATGATATCACTGATGTCCTGTGTCATGAGATTACACGACTACAAGCCATTTGCTGGTCCAGAATGAAGATCAATTATACCCAGGCCTGTAGCCTAGTAGGTCTGACGGTTAATGACTTCGAATCTTTTGCCTGATCAACCTAATCGGTTGAAGAGCCTAGCTTCGCAGCCGCAGGTCGGTGAGCGAGTCTCAGAGGTATTCAGTCTCAATAAAGTTGTCCATTAATAATCACACTCATACTCGTTCTTTTCATCACAAGGTTGCCATCTATCAAAGCGACTAGAAAAAAAATGACTATGGATATACTGTATCGCTTCAATCCCAATCAACTATGGGAATAACTAACGCCCCGCCTTGCCCCCGCCTCGCCGATCAGTAAACTGGTGAGTTCTTGCTGGGGATTATGCTGATTATGGTGCTTTTACATGGTCATATCACCTGAGGCAGGACAGAATCTGTCTGAAGCACAGATTGGTATCATATCCGCAGAAATATTTTGCATTGGTGATAGGATCTGTACTGCAGTAGTATTGGATATCAAATTTTACATATGTTCATGATATGACATATAGCCAAATTGGGGGGACAATATCCTAAATCTGATGACATCACATATCTAAACTTTGAAATAAAATCTGTTTTGCTCTAAGATATGTGTCATATATAGAATTTAAGTATGAATATGGTGGCTGATCAATTTTAATTACAAATTTTAAATATGAACCCTATACATATTTGGTATAACAATTTCTTATTGGTCAGTCATCGAACAAATTCAGAATAATACAAACCAGATCTGCACATACAAAATATTATTGTCATAATTTCAATATGAGCATGGATCTGATGCACAAACAATATGAGGGACCCCACTGGACAAAAATAAACTTTCAAAAATGTTACCAAACTTTGCGCGCGTGACAAAAACATTTGCCATGCGCCGAAACACTTTTCTGGTATGACAACTTATAACATCATAGCAGCGCCAGTCACAGTGTGACCTGCAAATATCTTTCAATGAACACCTGTTCCACTTTCAATCCACATCTCTACCTCGATGTCCTTCGGTATCCAGTATTGGTGTTTTATCGAATGGGCTACTGTAAGTGCACAACATACAGCAGTCTTCCTCTGACTTTGTCAATCTTTCCACAGGTGTACTCTTCATGTTGCCAAATAACTCTCCTCCCTGCGATTGCACACTTAACAATCCAAAACAATATCACCCCGACCCTTCGTCAGGAATTTGACCTTCCAGTCGTGAGTGTCCGTGATCTCGCTTTGCATAAATTTTTCACCCAACATCTCACAGCAATGACCTCATCCAGGAGGTCACGATCATGCTCACCTGGAGTCACAATGGGAGGGTCATCAGCGCTGCAACCTCCGTCAATATCAATACGAGTGGCTCTCATCTACTCCGAAGTCACTAGCACCAACACAAGCTATGATGCAGAACAGCGAGAAAACAATCTTGACAGAAGCCAACAATGTCTATCATTTCTCTGTAAGTCTGGCTTCCGTTGATTTTCATCTCGACCACTGACAAATATTTCGTGTAGGCTCCTCAGGCAGGAACCTCTGGCATCATGCAGGCCCAGAGCCACACTGGGACTATCTAAGAAATAGCAGTCGGTTTGTGATCATCATTGTCTCCTCTTCGATCACTTACCCTGATGCAGAGCCTCGGGGCGGGGATACCTATGAGCTGTTCCTTTTAGATGACTGGTCCATGAAGGCAAGTATTTATCTACCATCGTATTACATTGTCCATTTAACTTGGAATAATTGCCTCCAATAGTGTGTCACGCCGAACCTGCTGATCACTTCACTGCCGCTGTCAACTTCAGTGCTCTCTCATCGAAATTCATTCAAGAAACATACAAGGACTTGACTGTGGTACGTCAAGATGAGTGTTTTTCATAACCTCTTTCATTGGGATCTCTAGCCTTTATTTCTCACTACATGCTTGCAGGTGAAATGGACGACATCAATAAATACCTTCGTCAAGGTGGCTCATGAATAACTTTACATGTCAAAGTTTACGTAGTTAGTAGTTGAATATATAATGCTAATAATGTGATCTTCCATATATGCCGCCTCGCAAGATTTGTTTGAGAGTATGGAATGATCATAGGGTAACGAAGATGTACACTTAGATTTAAATGTGCTAAACAGCATGCAGTAAGGCTACTGGGGATTTCTTGCAGCATTGAGCACGTACAGAGTGTTCAAATCAAGCACATTGAACATTTGTTTGCACAAGTTAGATTTCCGTTGATCTAGGTCTACCAACCACAAACCTCAATCTCCACGCAAGAGCGTCTGACCAATTTTACTGGGGATCACATTCATGGCTGACATTAGTGCAGAATTACCCCTTCCTTTCCAAACTATCGCTACAGCTTTTTCACATCTCAAAGAAGCTGTCCGAGTGGCATTGCAAACTCAACTTGGAGATGTAGCACGATTGGATGAGCAGGTACAGAGCTGTCTGAGGTTGCAGCATTACATCACACAAGTACGTCTATTTACTAGGTAGTTGGAAAGTTCCTACATATGTAAGAAAATTCATGTATAGCATGGTCTTGTCATCCCACTGTTGGATCGAGATGTAATGGAACACAGCATACAAGATATGATCACAGACTTAGGGGCAGCCAAAACAGTCTCGTCAGATGTCCCTGACATCGAGCCCATGTCTCATAGCCATGTTGTGCATGATGGTGGCCGGGGACGCCCAAGAGTACTCATAGATCCTGAAGTCCTTGTAATATCTTACCAGCTCCGAGGGCCTACAGAACTTGCGGAGATATTTGGTGTTTCTGCATGAACTATCCGACGTCGAGCCCTTGAACAAGAGCTAGTGCAACCAGGAGACCCTGTCTATGTCACTTATGTTGACGAAGATGGTCAAGCTCATCGAGTATACCGGTCATCAACCAGCTCTCAGTCCACACTCACGGACGAGGAGCTCGATGTGATTGTGTTGCAAATTCTCAATCTTTTTCCAACCTTTGGTTGGCGCATGATTGATGGTCACCTACTTCACCTTGGACAACATGTTCCTTGCAGCCGTGTGCAAGTATCTTATGCTCATGTCAATGGACCCCCTGTGGCAGCCTTTGGAGTGCGACAGATCTCACGAAGGGTGTATAAAGTTGCAGGATATAATTCCTTGGCACATCATGATGGTCAACATGGTGTGTATGCATACACATGCAGGGTACACGTACTAGGCTTATTCTAATCGATTTCCAGGCCTGATCCGCTACAAAATTGTCATCCATGCTTTTATAGATGGTTTTGCTAGGTTCATTACTGGGATTCGAGCCAGCAACAACAACCGTGCAGCAACCATATTTGACTTGTTTCTTTCATTGATTAAAAATCATGGTCTACCTTCTCGGGTATGTGGCGATCATGGAGGGGAGAATGTGCTTGTTGCCAGATATATGGAGGAACAGCGAGGTCAAGGCAGGGGGTCATATATTTGGGGGAGGTAAGATTCAAATCTATGTCACCCCAAATCAACTTAGTTCAGTGTCACTTACAGAAGCGTGCATAACATCCGTATCGAGAGACTATGGGTGGATTGGACCAATATGATTTGGTCCAAATGGAAGTCCTTCTTCCAAGATCTCGAAGTAACTGGCGGGCTCAACCCTGACAATACAGCTCATATCTGGTTGCTACATCACCTCTTCTTACATTTCATTAACCAGGAGGCGATACAATGGGCAAATGCATGGAACATGCATAAGATGTCCTTGCCCGATGGACAACGGAGCCATTCACCAGCCGATCTCCGCTGGTTTGGCATTCTACAAAGCAGAGCACATGGATTTGATGCTGAAAGCTTTCAGCCGCCTGAAGAAGATCTCAATGTCGATGAAATTAATGAGTATGGTATCGACTGGGAGGCATATGAAGACCAGCACATACAAGCCCATCATACAGAAGGTAACCCACCTGACCATCTTGGTCACAATCCGTTCATCGCACATAGACCTGATCATTACAATGTGATTGAGGTCGAGGAGCCAAATTGTCCCCTGTCCCCCCAGCATCTCACTATCTTACATCAGTGTACTGTAAATATCCCCGACTCTACCATGACAGAGAGGAAGATACTTTGGATGCAGGCAATGCAACTATGTTCTCAGTTGACTTAATTACAGCAATCGCACTGTGGGTAGTAGAACCAATTGATTTAATGGATCGACCAGTAGCATGAATGTCATGACTAGTCTTCATCGAAAGTGGCCAGCTGAGGTCGAAGTAGGCATGCGAGTCTCAGAGTGATTGGATTTGTATTGCACTGCTCAGTTAGCACACCAAGGCAAGATGTAGAATCAAGTGTATTTCATATTCTACTCGAAAAAAATACACGGCAGAGTATATGTATATGAATCGACAACGGGCAGCATTGCATGGTGGGGCGGCCAGGTTAATAAGTGTTGTAAATGAGTTTTGATGGTATGTTGACAGTGACTGGTGGTGAGGTGGTAGTAAGTGAGGCCTCCTCGTCATAGCGAGCCTTAGTCATTATTGTCTAGCGGAATATCTGTGAGCTGAGCTTCCACTCACCTCTGCCCATCTATAGAACCAAAAACGAAGTTACGGGTGATCATTCCAGCAGCAGCGACCCCGGCACAAATCGCGAGTAGCGATGTGGCTTGTTGGACGAGTATCTCTGTGTGAGCCAAGGTAGGCTCTGGTGCTCCAAGATCACCCAATGAGACTTCCTCAGAGTGCGATAAGTCTTGCCAGACCTCGAGCTGTGCGATCAGAGTGGTAAGCCACTGAATGGAATATGAGCGCTCGAATGTGTCAGATCAGATAGCTTGGAGTCCACTATGTACCTGTGGAATGGGATTAGTTCTGTTCCAACCAAGAGGAATAGGCCACCATGCGACCATCAGAAGTTGAGAGAGAAAGCAGAGAATGCGAGGGCGGGTGAGAATGTGAGGCGAAACACCGTGGGATGACATGTAAAGAGAATGCGACGAGGACGCTGACACTGGCTGTGAGAACGAGTGTGGGGCTAAGCTGCTTGACATCATATGCAATGAGGAGAGTGCAGCAGGAGAGCGTGCGGTTGATGACACAGGAGGCGACTGCGCGGCTGATTGGGTCAGTGACATGTGGGATGACTCCTCTGGCAAAGTGTCAGATAACTTTTGCAGATGGTGCACTGCGTCATGGATACAGTTTCGTAGTTCCTGTGCTTGCTGGTGTTTGTAGGTGTTGTAGCCCATGGGCCAGCATAGGGTCTTAATCCACGTCTCCATGATGTGAGGCGTCCACTGGACACCATTAAGTTTCGTGCCGTGGCGCAACGTGGCTAGAATAAATGAATAAATATGCGCCAGATCATAGGTGCTGGCGCGCCGACCTCCAGCACAGCCAGCACCTCCCAGGCGCATAAGTGAAAATTAACCTATAATAAAAGATAGAATTGTTAGTCGTATATGAACGGAACATGTACTTCATGAGCTTTGAGGGCGGGATACAGGAATGGCAGGAAGGCTTGAATGTATGGTGCGAATCCGGCCCAGAGGAGCAGAGGTAGGTGAGGGTGCGAGGGTGAGAATGCGAGGCTTGTGTGAGGGCAGGAGTGGGCTCCAGATCAACTAGCGGTCAGAGTGCAGCCGGTGACGTACGTGTCAAGCATATTGCTATAGGCGCTCTGCAGAAAAGACGGAAAGTTAGCGAATCATAGGATTTAACAGACCAAACACGTACTGGAAGTGATGCCAGCGGGCGTATGCGAGGAGGGGACATTCATATTTTTTGCGCTGATGATTGTATATCCGAGTTGAGCATAAGGATCACGATTAATGGGTACGGTGATCACTGATATGCAGTGACATCAGCGGAAGAATCTAGAGTATATGGTGGACGATAGGTTACGGTTCAATTTGCTGATTTGCCGCAACTTATTTTGAAGTCCGATCACTGTTTGTTCTAGTCTTTTGAACTATTTGTTAGTACACCTCAAATATTGCAGTCACAGGAGGTCACAAGCGGTTGTGTACTTACAATAGACATAGTTTGACCGCTCCAGAACTTTAGTACCGACCGATCGACCCCAGCCTGACTCAGACGGACTTAGAGACGATGGAACGAAGCCATGGTTCAAATATGCAGCATCGGTAAGCCAGTTAGAACTTGAAGAGTGCAACTTGATATGCTTCTTCAAGAACAGTGCACCACTGCTTCATTCGCGGTCCGCTGAGTCGGGCCTATGTATAAGCAGTTAGTATCCATTCAATAATACGAACTTTGTTCACATGGAACAAATTTCGGCAGAACCTGCGGGACCGTATTCGATTAACAATGACCATTGAATCATAACCTGCCTGCAGGCATCAACAATTCTCTTCTTTGTAACGACAGAACCCTCGCTCGAATCACTGGCCTCTCGTCCTAACCCCTCACTCTTTGCTTCAAAGCTTCATCATTTGAACCTGCACTGACCCTGCCAGTGCAACGACAAAGTCAAGAAGTTAGCATCATTCTCGCCGATACTTACAGATCAATATCAATTAATCTTTAGTGAAGCTGGTATTGCAAGTCATGTCACGTCTGCAGCAGGCACGACTGGCCAAAATGAATGAGGCAGTGGACACCAGGTCGCAGAATGAACTGGTTGTTCTTTCAAGACTAGCAGCACGCAAATAGATTGAGTGGAGAAATTTGTATTTCTGAATTGCACAGAGTGGAGTGCTGCCAGAGACAGTTCAAGTGAGTGGATCAACCGCATGACTCACCTGCGCGCCTTAGGATGGAGCTTGATTGTTAGTTAGGTTACAAAATTGAGCCAGCAGTATGAAGGGCACGTGCAGACAGTAAGTCATGCTTCTACTTTCGCTTTGGTACCATGGCAGACAGTGCAATGCCTAGTAGTTCGCAGTCAATCAGTACAGTCATTTTGGGACAAGCTTTTGTATTGTTCGAGCAATGTGGATGTTTGAACTTATCTGAAAAATGATCGATTGTGCCTAGTCTTACTCGTGGTTCACTGAGCTTCAAGTCAAGTTCAAGGGGCTGTCGAACGTTCAACAGAGCTCCAGCTAAAGCCATTTCTGACATTATGGTTTGACCGGTCAACGACGTTAATTGGCCGACTACGCTACTATCCCTTCCATGGACCACTGCAATCGACATCCCCGTTGCAATGACAAAGGGAAACTAGGAGATGAGCAATTCATAGTCAGCCAACTAAAATGACAATACTATCCATGGGACCCACAAAATTATTAGCACATCTGAGCTTGATCTGGTTGGCAAGCACCAGTAAATGTCTCCCTGCCTTCATGCCATGCTTGAAACCCATCTGGAATCGATTGCATTTCCAGCGCATTCATTGATAGGTATGTGGGGATGACTGATTGGTCCCAGGCTGTTCGCTTGAAGACTGAATAGTATTCGCGAAGCGAGAATGCTGTGCACAACAATATCTAAAATGTCGAGGGCCAATCCACAAATGCGGTGTTGGTCAATCAGCATAAACGGGAACAACAAATATTGGAATGAATTGGAGCGCTAGTACTAGTCAGTGTTTTCGTTCTTCCCCAAGGCAGCGGAACATGGACATACCTGAACCCACAAGCTCCAGCCTAGTGAAAACACTCCAATTCAGGAATACAATAACGAGAATGGCAGCTGTCCAGCCCTTTGTTTGTGTCCAAAGCAACAGACTCAGTGGTCTCCATGATGCCATCTGACAACGAAGGCTAGGGTCCCTAAACGACGACGCTGGTACTGAAGACTGAACCAAATGGAGGTGCGCACCCGTGGCTGTTTTCGTCGATTGGAGACTGCATTGCATCATTTGCATGTTGGTTAAAATAAATATAGATATAGATACGCGTTCTCTAATAAAATTTCTGGGTACACAGAACAAACATCGCGGATCGGACTTCGAAATTTATCGCAGCAAATCGGCAAATCGAACTGTAACCTATTGTCCACCATAAGAGTAGGCAATGTGGTGATCGATCGGACTTCCAAATAAGTGCGATTCATCCAACATACGATTCTGATCTGAGCCCCTTCAGTGACAAATTCCGTATTATACGGGCCACCCGACCTCCATAATATCCCATATGAGACGGGCCAGCTGATCATGGGCCCATGTTGTGTATATTCTCGATGATGACGGATGGGCCGGGACTCATATTATTTCCGATGGAGACGGGTGGGCCCATGTATGCCAATGATATATATATCCTTAATGTTGACGGATGGGCCGGGGGAATATGATCATTCATGGAGATGGGTGGGCCCATCTGGGTAATATGTAGAGTAGGATATTATAGACAGCTGGGCTGAAGAGAGATGTAAGGCAAATATTGTTATATAGACGGGCGGGCCGACGTGGGTGTATTACATATATGGGTGGGCCGAGGTAGGGGAATATTACATAGACGGGTGGGCTGACGTAGGGTGTATTACATATACAGGTGGGCCGACGTGGAATGTATTACATATACGGGTGGGCCGACGAAAGAGATATCAAATAGACCGGTGGGCCGAGGGTGCTATAAAATATTTATTACATAGACAGGTGGGCCGAGGTGGGGTATAATTATATAGACGGGTGGGCCGATGTAGGATGTATTATATAGACGGGTGGGCCAACATAGGATGTATCACATAGACGGGTCGGCCGACGTGGGGGATAATACATAGACGGGCGGGCCGACGGGGGTGTATTACATATATGGGTGAGCCTAGATATGTTCCATCAAGACATACAGCTGATGTAGCCACCAGCGAATCAAACACATAGGATACATGTACACTATCAGTGCATATACCTACCATCAACCACCAAATCTAAACCCCTAAGCACAAAAACATGAATCTATCATGTGTGGCATTGACCAATAATCCAGGACTGAAGTGGAAAAACCCCACACCTGAACCCTGGTGTGCAACAAATCCTATTTCTAAGCATGGACACCAGAAGCACAACACTCACAAAAATATATATGTCAAATTTTCAGTGCCAAACCCCAAACCGAGATGTACCAACCCCCGAACCCCGAAACCCGAGAGTGCCGGGTCTCGGGTCTCGGGTGTCCGGAACTCGGAACTTGGGAGAATTTGGGGAGATCAATACAATTTAATTTACAATCGAGTTGATTGACAACACATTGACTTACCCATGTTTTGCAATATATTTTTGTTTAGACATACCGAGTTCCGAGTTCCGGACACCGGAGACCCGAGACCCGAGACTGCCGGGTCTCGGGTGTCCGGAACTCGGAACTTGGGAGAAATTTGGGGAGATCAATACAATTTGATTCACAATCAAGTTGATTGACAACACATTGAATTAACTATGTTTGCAATATATTTTTGTTTAGACATACCGAGTTCCGAGTTCCGGACACCCGAGACCCGAGACCGGCTCGGGTCTCGGGTGTCCGGAACTCGGAACTCGGTATGTCTAAACAAAAATATATTGCAAACATAGTTAATTCAATGTGTTGTCAATCAACTTGATTGTGAATCAAATTGTATTGATCTCCCCAAATTTTCCCCAGTTCCGAGTTCCGGACACCCGAGACCCGGCAGTCTCGGGTCTCGGGTCTCCGGTGTCCGGAACTCGGAACTCGGTATGTCTAAACAAAAATATATTGCAAAACATGGGTAAGTCAATGTGTTGTCAATCAACTCGATTGTAAATTAAATTGTATTGATCTCCCCAAATTCTCCCAAGTTCCGAGTTCCGGACACCCGAGACCCGAGACCCGGCACTCTCGGGTTTCGGGGTTCGGGGGTTGGTACATCTCGGTTTGGGGTTTGGGGGTTAGTAAAATGTTTACAGATATACATAGGTTGATTTAAACATGTCTGGAAGATGTCGTTCGTCTAAAATGTCAAATCCTGAGTTCCGGGTGTCGGGACTCGGTACCCGGCACCCGGGACTCGGGGTTCGGCACTAATAATTTGACATTCGGGTGTTCGGGTTTTGGGTGATATCTACCTCAATCTGCAGTTTCGAGTTCTGGATATCGGGAGTGATCATTGAATGATTCAATTGTGGCATAGGTAACATGCATGGAAAAACATTTATGTACATCTATCACTGAGCAATTATGTAGCCATGTCAACCTCCTCACCAGGAAGATCAACCTTTCCCTCAACATCCATCTCCTCATCAGAAGAATCATATTCTGGCAGGAGGTTACCTGGTTCATTAGGGACCACAATATCGCCGGGGGATTCTGGCAGGAGGTTGCCTGGTTCATCAGGGAGATCAATTTCGCCAGAGGATTGTGGACCCTCAGGCTGAACTTGGGTGGGCTCAACCATGGGACCTACCACAGCAGATTCATGCTCAGGCGTCAAGGGTGTAGGTTGCATGACTGAAAAGTCCAAATCAATGAGGTTGGAAAGTGCGGAGGGGAGGGGTGACATGGACGGGGGGGGACCTCCTTGACCAAGCAACATTATTCCATCGGCCGGTGTGTCCGGAAGTGAAAATGAAGGGTGCCGGTCGACCACTGTGCGCCGGAGGCTCTCATGGAGGCGTTGCAGGGTATCAATCTTAGCGTCCTGCTCCTGCACCCGAGCCTCAAGAATAGCGATGCGAGCTGCACCATCCCGAATCGCGATTGCCATGGAATGGAGATCCGGCATGGGAACATCGAGTGCTGCACGAGGCACTGCGACGCTGGAAGACCTGACTGCTAAGTAAAAAATTAGGTCAGCCGGTCATCAAAAGTATGGGTGACTTACCAGCTGGCGCAGGTGCAGGGACAGGTGCAGGGACAGGTGCAGGAACAGGTGCAGGTGCAGGTGCAGGTGCAGGTGTCTTCTTGGTAGTGATGGTCTTGCTGCGACCACGTGACTGCACCTGGGGTGTGGTTGCAGCAGGGATGGCCGGAGTTCGGGAAGGGCCACGAGATTGACTACGAGTTCGGGCCCTTGACCGGGAGGGAGATGGAGCATTGGATGGAGCAGGGGCAGGTGTCTTGGAACGCGTCCGGCCGGTGGTAGACTTCCCTCGGGTCCGTTTGGGCGGGGATCCCAGAGATGCAGGGTTGCATTTGATCTTCTTGGTGGAGCAGCGGATGCAAGACAAGCAGGGGAGGCTGGACCTCTTGTCCAATCGAGTCGCACAGGGCCAATTTTCCTTGACACAATAATGGCAGGGGTTGTTCTGTAGTATCCGTTAGTAGATGGACTAGAGGGAATATATTTGAGTACTCACTGGGCCGGGAATGGTGATATCAAATGTGGTAGTGGCCGGCGGGTCACCATCCGAAGCACTGGAAGTATCATTGGACTCCTCCTCAACTTCCGGACGCCTGCCGGAGGTTGCCTGACAGATTGTTAATACACATGAGTTTCTGGAAAACTTCTAGGACTTACCCGAGCCTCCGGACGACTGATGGGAGATTTCTAATGTAATGGGAATGAGTGGGAATTATACATGGGAGGTCCGGACATGTCCTAACGACTCACCGTAACCTCCGGACGACTGCCGGCAGTCAGCTGTGGACACATGAGCATATAATTAAAGTCCAAACGAAAAATGCAAACTTACCGAAGCAGGCCCAAATGATTGCTTCTTGGGGGAACCGGGTGACCGAGGCGACTGGGGCTTCCTTACCACAATGGTGCGCTGGGGAAGGACGACCTCCGGCACTCCACGCGAAATCGGCTGCAACAAATTGAGAGCATGTCAGAAATCAGCCAGAACACATACCTGAACAATTGGGTCCTCATCATCTTCCGACTCCACAAACGGCTTCGACTTGGGGAGTTGAGTTGACTTGACACGCTTGCGAGCCTTCAGCGCCGACTTTGGAGGTTGGGAGGAGTGTCCCGAAATCATTGGAGACTTCCTCTTGTTGCTCCCCCCAACTTCCGGCGACAGGTCGACGGAGGTGGCCTTACCTTTTCCTTTGTCCCGGACCTCGGGGGTCGTCTTGCCGGAAGGTCCGGCGACGACCGGAGGTGAGGGAATGACGGGGGTGGGGGAAGGGACAAGTGCAGGTGAAGGGACAGGTGGAGACGGAAGGTTGAGAGTGAGTGGGCCAGTGGAAACGTTAGGGACAACAGGGAGATCACAGGAATTGTCACCCAACGCCTCCCAGGCACGGACTTGCTTGCGCCAGGCGTGTCTAGCCACCCGGGGGTCATCGTGGCCAATGCTGTGCCAGTTGGGCAAAGCCCGGGGAGTCATGGAACGCACCCTCATCAGCTCCTTAGAGCAGGACGCCACAATTCCAGGGATGTACTCCCCTTTCTCATGGGCCCGGATGATGTCAGCCTACCCGGACATTACAAACATTAATGTTACACTAATTTAATAAGTTCAACATACCAAAAGAGTGGTGACCTGCTTTGTTAGAACAAGGTGGACGTCCACAGAGCCGGCCGGGATGTGCCGGGCGCCGGCAATGATGCCCACAAGTTGAGCAGTGGATGCCTTGAGGTTGGCCAATGAAGATTGAACTTGAGTAGACATTTGGATGGAGTTGACAGATGTGAGAATGTTGAAAGCAGGGTGAAATCTGTTATCAATAGAATGAAGTTTCAAAGAAACAATACAATTGAAGGACGATGTTGAAAATTCGTTGATTGTTTGTGTTTGTTTGGTCATCGTTCAACTTTCGGCAATCGCCGGCCATCTGTTGAACTTCGACGTTATCAGTTATCAATCAGTTCATCAGTGCATCAGCTCATCAGATATCATGAGCTCTCAACCTGGGGTCAGATTTCATGACCCTCCGGTCACTGAATTCACTTCAATGGATGTGGATGAGTCCTCCCAGTCCCGGATGTCCCTTGGTATGTTTTGTTTTTTCTGATTTCAGTCAATTGATCTGACATGGTTCAGATCCATTAGATGATATATACCTTGGGCCGGATGATGAGTTAGACTCTGATTCTGGATCGTCCGGTGGTTTGGATGTGTTGAATGTAATTCCCGGTATGTTTTCCAATTCAAATTTACATATTTTACATGTGCAAATTCATCACATATCTCCAGATCCATCATCTCCGGCTCTGGCGGATGGACTGGCCCTGTATGATGACCCGGACTTGTATCTTGGTCCGGAGGATACCTTGATTTCGTCTGATGATGCTCCGGTTATACCCGATTTTCCTATGGCTGGTGAGATTACTCTTTCAATCCCATGGTCACCTTTCATGGCATTTCCCCAGTGAATGAATCAACTCCGGAGCCCGATCCGGCCACTCCGGGTGTACCAGGTGCACCCATACCTTGTAGGTATATTCATATCATTTCATGTGCTTTACTCATGCTATCTTCTAAGCTATGTCAGAAGCTCCCGAACGTCAATCGCCCGAGCCGGAACTCAACAATGAAGCCCTGCGTGCCATGGTTCGGGAGTTCATGCCAATCGGATCTTATGATCAAGCTGAAAGTAAGTATACAACATTTGATTATTTATCTCTGCTAATATCCTGCAAGTTCAATCAATTGTAGATCGCCTGGGAGATTACGAACAGCGTCATGGAAATCTTCCTGCCCCTACAGTAGCCCAAATTCTTGAGGCTGACAGACCATTCAGGATGGCATGGGCTGAAACATGCGACAAGCTGCGGAAAGCAGATGCTGACCTCCGGAGGATGCAAAGGGTAAGGGAGTCAACCTCCGAAATGCTGAAGGTATTGGATACCCTCATTGAGGCCTTTGAGGACTCAAGTAACATGTAAATATTGATCAATGTCTGATAGTAGACACATTGCAGTACTACTCAGTAGGTAGTCCTTGGTACTTGTATATTCTACCTACCCAGTACTCGCTGCCAGGTTTTCTGTGCTCGGTACTTGGGGCTCGGTACTTGGGGCTCGGTACTCGGGGCTCGGTAGTTGGGGCTCGGCAGTCGGGGCTCGGTAGTCGGTGCTTGGTACTCGGGGCTCGGAATTCGGGCCTCGGAACTCGGGCCTAGGAACTCGGGCCTCGGGGCTCGGTACTCGGTGTTCGGTACTCGGGCCTTGGTACTCGGTGACCGGCGTTCGGGCTTCGGTATTCAGGGTTCGGTACTCGGGCCTTGGTACTCGAGATTTGGCATTTGGCAATTATAATTTGTTTGTTAGTACTTTGACATATACATAATAGCACATATGACATTACACATGAGGGCAGGAACATATATGTACATTAAGTGCGTCCCCGTGCTCTGGTGACTCTAGGTGTACTGTCTACTGGCATTTGCAACTTACTCCGGGTCGTCCTCGTGGATGGTTCAACAGTGACTCGAGTGCCCCTCCTCCTTTTCTGTGCCGGCGGTGTGATACTCTCTTCCATTTCGACATCATCTCTAACCTCGCCCGTCGCGTTGTCAGTTAACCCAGCGAGGAGGTCTCCCAATCGTGATGTCAGTAATGCACCTTTTTTGGCCGGCTTGGCCGGGCGAGGCTTTGGAATTGGACGTGGGACTGCCGGCCCTCTGGGTGTAGGACCTCCCGTCCTGGGCTTCTTCAGCGGAGGTCTCCCGTCAGCCAGGTCATCATCCACATTATGCTCCGTATGATGAGTGGCACTCTCCTTATCACTCTCGGCTTCTGTCGATGACTCCCGAGGCCTTCGGATGGTAACCCTCTGTTGCCTTCTCACTATACGAGTCTGAGGAGAGGGCGAGTTGCCAGATATGACAGATGGTACCATGTCCCCATCTTTGTTCTTCCATGCTTTGAACAGAAATGTGGGCCCTTCGCCTGTTTCTTGCCGAGCGAGCCAAAACTGGAGCAAGGTAGTGGTGTCCCAAATTTGCAGCTTCGAAGGTTCCTTCAAGTCAACATCCGCCGGAAGATACGTCCGGGCCACGAAGTCATCCTGACTTTGTACAATGGCACTCCATGGCACAACCGCCTTGTCCTTCCCGGAGCATATCCCTTTGTCCATGCATTGAACAATTTGTCAGGTGATGCGACGACAAACTCACGATAGTGCGATGTAAGAAAGGCCCTTACTATGGCCTTCTTCTCCTCAAGTTTGGTGTCGGTGATGTCCGGAAGGAGTGGCATACCCTCCCCGTCCATTTCGAGTTCGAAGGCTGGTTTTCGAATTCGTTTTCGACCTCCCTTGACCTGACGTCCTCCATCCCGTGCCCCGGCGCCTATCATTGTGATGCTCAATATGTTCAATCTGGTATACATGGTTCACACACTCACCGAACTGTTCCTGCGCGTACTCCTGCCACACTGGCTCAATGTCCTCCCAGTCCTTCGTCTTCATGAAGCTGTCCCCATCTCCTAAGGCCTCATTATCATCATGCCTGCATGAATATTTTGAGACGAAAAATCTCCATCTATGGATAAATGTACTCACATCCCGAACAGCACCTCGCCCTTTCATTCTTCCAAGCTGACATCACAAACACTCTCATCCCACATTGCCTCCACATCTCGTTTGAAAAGTGCTCCATATATGCCGGACCCTTCTTACTGAGCCACTTGTGCTTGTATCTCCGGAGGCGGACAGTTGTTGGACCACTCTTCGGCTGTTTCTTTAGCCTTCTCCAACTCGTTGTCGTCCAATTCAGCCATGACTCTCTTCACCGCCGCCTGATAATGTTTGAACATACCAGGATCTCCTGGCTTTACCCCGGACTCGTCCTCAATCCTCTTCAGCACCTCTTCGCGTTTTTGCTGGTAGACCACCATCCTGGGAGTCCATTTCCTCCCATACTTGATCATGTCCTTCCTTTCCTTCTTTTTCTTGTTGTTGAACAACCAAGTCTTGTACACCTAAGAGTTGATGAAAGAATGTGACGTTAAAAATTTAGTTTTTCAACGCAACAAAGAAGCCTCACCTGCTTCCTCTTTTTCCATTGTTTTTGGTCCAACTTCGGAGCAAACAACCTGGCCGCCCTTGCTATGGCAGTGAAAATCGCTCGCTTCTCACTCCTTTTGGCAGCAGTCCACTCAGGAAGGTAGTTCTTCAACTCCAAAATCTCCTTGTCCGTGAGCTTCTGAGACTGTGGTTGACGCATCCTGTGTCTTCCGGAAGTCGTGTTGGTGGAATGACCTGTTCTTGCCATAGTGAATCAAAATGCAGAAATGGCTAAGGATTTTCAAGGTGAAAGTATTAATGAATTGTGCGAAGTGACTTGAGCAAGCTGACTTTGAGCAAAGCCTAATGATAGGTTAATCGGCCCATATTGGACCCTGAGCCATTAATGGAAATGAATTTGTAATAAGCCAACAGGACTGCACCGCATCATATTGCAATAACAATTCATTACACCTGAGCTGATGCCTTGCTTGCAACATTAATAAACAAGATGAAGATAGGTAGATGCACCCCAGTGCAAAAATCTCACAGGGTGGAAGCAAGGGGCAGCAAAGGTAGGGAGACTTGGGTCAAGGTCCCACTTGCAAGCACGAGGCGACATGCCTACAGGTCCATGCCTAACTCTCCCCCGGAATCACCAACAATTCAGCCTGTTGAGGCACCGCCTCCTTGGGAAGACTTTCCTGACAATACTTACGAGCAGGACCAAGGCTCATTTGAGCCATTGCAACTCCCAAAAACCATGGCAAGTTCATGTACAATGTTGGAGTGTCATTCAAACTATGGCTAAGCATTCAAAATACAGAGTCAAAATGACTACCTCAGGCAATGGCTGCCAAGGCAGGAATCATATCTACATCACCTCCTCGATCGAGAAGCTCCACCCGAAGACAGGAGATGCATCATCTGCCAACAGGATGGGGTGTACAAATGTCAAGATTGTCTTGGCGAGCCACTTTATTGCACGGGCTGTTGCAGGAGTCAACATCGTAGCAATCCTTTCCACTGGATCAGTCAATGGAATGGGCAATTCTTCGAGCGGAGTTGTCTAGCTCATGTGGGACTCATTATATACCTTGGCCATGATGGCAAACAATGTCCGGCGGTCACCGATCGGTGGGATTTGTTTGAAGAAGATGAACCCGAAGACCTGCTCGAGCCTGAAGATCTGCCATTTGTGTCCGGACCCGAGTTCCAGCCAAAGGAAAACACCATGGTCATAGTGGACAAGTCCGGAGTTCATCGCCTGGAGGTTCGATGCTGTGAATGTCCGAATGCCATGAGTCCGGACATTCAAATGTTTCGACACAGATTTTTCCCTGCATCTTTTAACAGGCCAAAGACTGTGTTCACCTTCAGAGTGCTCAATGATTTTCTACTGGACAGCCTTGAATGCGGCACCTCGGTGATGAACTATTACAGCAAGCTCCGGCGAATGACCTCCAGCATGTTTCCACACCTTGTTCCGGTAATGCCTTACCCTCATGATCTACTGGACATCATATTGACAAAGCACATTGCAAGGACCGATACAGAGAGCTCATGAGGGTCGCTCGACAGTGGAGGCAGTTGAAGACAATGAAATGGCATGGCTTCGGCCATCGTTCTGATAACCCGAGCACAGGAGAACTTGCATTATTTTGCCCGGCATGTCCTCAGCCTGGGATTAATGTGCTGTTGTCAGAGGATGAATCTCTTGATGAGTGAGTCCTATTCTCAACCTATGTGGCCTCCATAATAATACTAGGGATCCAAGCTGGAAATACACCCGGTCATTTGTGATGGACGGAAATTTCAAAGCCGAACATCTGCATCCCATTAAGCCATTCGATGAAGTTTGGCTGTCCAATGGGCTTGGATTCATGGTAGGAAAGGACAGGTATAAAATGCACCTGGCAGAGGCTGCTGACACAGTGGAAAAATCAAGCTGCAACAATCACCGGGCAGTAAATCAAGCTAATGCTGCTCGGCACAAGCTGGAGTCCACCGGTATCGGGGGAGTTGCCTGTGCCAGACACGGTTGCTTTGTCCCTCACTCCATGGTGGATTTTCAGAAAGGCGAAAGGCAAGCCACATCCACCATTCCCCATTCACGAGTTAACCATGGGTCACTTGCAGACAAATGAACATGGACTATGCCCTTTGCGAGGCTTCCCGGCACAACATGGAAGGCATCACTAGGGCTGTCACCTTCTATGATATTAATTGTCAATACAACAAACACTTTCGGGTTCGGGTGGATCGAAGTTGATTTCTAGAAATGGCACCACAACTAACCATCATTCCCGGAATTGGGTTGTGGCACGTTCATGGCCATCAGGACAGCTGCTATGTCCGATATGCTTCTAACTTTATTGAAGGCATTGGTCGGATCGATGGAGAGATCATGGAGACGCTATGGGCACGGCTCAATTTGATCTCCCCTGCTGCTCGGGGAATGTCATCTCCCCACCAAAAGGAATGCCTTGATTATCAGATGAATGACTCCAATTTCTGCAAGATGATTCGCATGAAAAGGACTCTATGCCGGAAATACAAACTGGCTAGGAATGGTATCTTAGAAAGTGGAAAGGCATTCGACAGACTCGATGAAGCAGCACCCTCACATTTGAAGACAGAATGGTTAGCCAGGGAGAGGATAGCTCAGTCAAGCAGATTGAATGATCCTTCAGCCATGGATGAATATGAGATCAATATCAAAAAGGGTATGTTGAGTTCCATTGTCTCCGTCGAGGACTGAATTAATATTGCACTCAGCACCTAGCAAAAAGGAGATCGAGCTTAGATTGTTAGAGGAGGGTAACACCCGCAATGCAGCACCCTCTTGCAGATCTGTGGCGACATGGATATCAACAGGGTTAGCAATTGAAGAGGCTCAGATTGCATTGCTCATCGAGGTCCGAAGGATCGGAAGAAGATCCACCGAGACACAGAGATTAGACATCGCCCGTCAAAGAGATCGGCTCCAAGGCCAGATAGATGGATTTGCTCGGTCTGCTCTAACACATCTCGGGGAGGGATTTGATGCAGATGATGAACCTGAAGACTTGGACGTAGACATTCTAGATGATCTCGATGATGACCCGGCGGATTTCACAGAGACATCTCACACATGGACAAACTCTCCCGAGCTAACTGTAATCCCATTGCCATCAAACCTGGGGGTTGATAGATGCAGACGATGCATGGCAGAGGATCTGATTCCCCTGGAGATGTCGCTTCGTGAAGGGCAGGCCAATGATGCCCTTCACAATCTCCGCATTTACCTTTGCAACAAGGCCATCCTGTTCCGAACAACCGTTAGGCAGGCCAATTCCCAGGCCCTGAAAACTTGAGCTTGGTCCCAGGTGACGTCGGTACAGCAGGCAGTCTCCCTCCATGCCAGCATATATACAAAGACAAGGAAGCAAATGATGAAACTTGAGCCGGGGCAAGACCAGCTTCAGAAATACAAACCCCTGCTTCGCGAGCAACTCAAAATCAGCACTGCAGTGGGCGACCCAAATGCCCGAGGTCAACGAAATGAATCTTTGGCTTGGTTTTGGTCTGTTGAAGTCGACCTCGGGGGTCCTGATCAATCGTGGAATGAAGAATGTGAGTTCCCGCTTGCATGTCATATCCCGCGGTTACCTGACTGGACCCATGCCAAGTTTACCGAGTCCATTGGCTGAGGGCAAAGGCACTACGGGATCGATGGAGGGAAGAAATGCTATTGGTCACATTCGAGATGGATTGGACATGTAAGTTCTTTTTGTGGAAAACAACCATATGGGGCGAGCACATGCAGGAATCATTGGAGAAACGACTTCCGGGTCACGGATGCTACGCCGGAAGGCAATCCCACATGTATTCATTGCTGGCACAGGATGCGCAGGCAGCTTTTCAAGACCTACAAAATGTGTTGATAGAGGCTGGAGATGAATGAACATTGTTTTCTCATGAAGTCCCTTTTTCCACATACATAATTGACGCCCGGGAATTGTCCGGGTCAGCCCATGTCGGAGTTTGAATTTCATATCCATCCATCAGTGATTCTTATCTTCACATCTTGACCATCTTTCACTTGTATTGCCAGCGCCATAGTCCTGTATTAGCCATGTCTGCATCTCATGCATCCACTTCTGGCACTCTGAATCCCGGAAGCCATTACCGACCTCTGAAGCTGAGCCTTGCAACTATTTCCTGCACATTGGCAATGGCTGGATCGCGTGTCCGTGCAATCATCTCTCAATATCGGACGGAAGCTGCCAACAATGGTCTATCTGCTGACTGGATCAAGTATTTTAAAGCCGGGCTGCAATGGGAGATGAATGTGTGTCACCACTGCCCTGATGACTTTGTTGGTCAATGCTAAGAATTTGAGCAGACATTTGTCACACCACTCCTGCAGTACTCCGCTTCACAGAATATTGTGTCGGTTCTTCCTGTCCCTGTCGCTTATATCCTTAAGTTGTATCCCATGCTGACCTGGAACACTGTTCCGGACGACGTCTTTTCATTCCACCTCCTTTCATTTCATGATGAGCCAATTGCAGGACATCCGTCCCGGATTGTGTTTGCATATACATGTCCATGGTGGATGGGAAACACCACAATCCCTGATCAACCATGGCAGTGGGATGAAATAATGGCTTCCTGCGCAGACCATTGGAGATAGCATGTGTCAGTATTTTGCGTTTCATGGTTTATGTTAGGTGAATATGGAATCGGGGATCAGGGACTCAGTATTCAGAACAGTGTCAAGTCCCAGGTCACGAGCTCTGAGTCCCGAGTACCGAACCCCGAGTCCCGAGTCCCGAATTTCGGAAGTCGGGGTTCGGCGACCCGGAGCTCGGCAACTGTGTTGGGTGTCAGGGTACTCGGAGCATTGGAGATAGCATTTGTCAGTATTTTAAGTTTCATGGTTTATGTTTCGTGATTATGGAATCAGGTGTCAGGGACTCGGTATTCAGAACAGTGTTGAGTCCCAGGTCATGAGCTCTGAGTCCCGAGTCCCGAAACCCACACCCAGCAGTTGCCGAGCTCCGGGTCGCCGAACCCCGACTTCCGAAATTCGGGACTCGGGACTCGGGGTTCGGCACTCGGGACTCGGAGCTCGTGACCTGGGACTTGACACTGTTCTGAATACCGAGTCCCTGATCCCCCAATTCCATATTCACCCAACATAAACCATGAAACGCAAAATACTGACACATGCTATCTCCAATGGTCTGGATACCCTGACACCCAACACAGTTGCCGAGCTCCGGGTCTCCGAGCCCCGACCTCCGAAATTCGGGACTCGGGACCTGGGCGTCCGGAACTCGGTATTCAGAACAGTGTCGAGTCCGGAGTCCACAATGTCGGGGTTCAGGGTTTTGTTAAATGTGTATGGCAATAACAAATGTTAATTCGAGCGTATTTATACATCTTCCCCCAGTCTCAAATATCACTTGCTGAGGTCCAGGTGTCGGGACTAAGTACCCCGGCACTCAGGACTCCCATATGTCAAGTCCCGAGTTCCAATTATCGAATACCGAGGCTTGCATCCAAATTATTTAGTCCCACATATCACTTGGGAAATGCTCAAAATTGAGTATTGAGGTCCGGATCACAATTGGTACATGGTATTCATTTGTTGGAATGTATATAGGTCACAATGCTTGCTCTTTGTTTGATCTTTCACACACTGTATGGACCATCCACACTAGCCCATCCACATGATGGAACACCAGCATAAATATGAACAGCATCCCTCATATACCATGCCCAAGCAATCCGATCCCCTTCCACATCATACACTCCATGTCTCACAATCTTTCCGGAAAATGCAATCATACAGCCGGAATTGTACTTGAACTCCAGCTGAAGGTTTGGCATTGTCATCCGAGCATTAGAATAGTCCCCCACGGTGGTGAGAATGTCGAAGCATTCAGCAATGGACATGTGGTCTCGATGATGGGGGGTTTCCTGATTGGAAATAATGGAGAGGGTGTTAAACACGGATGCCCAGTACTGCAGGGCCTCCGGCATCTGTGGCAGATCCTTGCTTACTGCTATATTTCCAAGGTTTGACAAGGTTCTCAACCCTGCCCAGTACTGCTCAGGATGCATGACTCTGAGTGCCGCGGACGCGATGGCTGCTGGCCTTGCAATGGCTTTGAGGATATTCTCGCAGGAAGGTCCCTTCAATGATGCAGATACCTCCGGATCGGACACATTCTTTGGGATTGGTAAGTATGACTGCCAGAATCACCATCTCATCAGATCCTACCTCGTGTCCCTGTTGAAACCATGCCGGAGATAGATTGATGCATCCAGGAGTTGGTCCAACATCTTCCAAGCCCCAGTTGAACAACCTTTGATTAGTTCGCCAATTGCCATCAGCCCTTACACTTTTTTCGAGGCTTGGAGAGAGCAAATAGGTGGCCTCCCTGATTTCCTTCTGTAGGTTCCATTAATATTCGATATCCATCGAGTAACAATGTATATTACACACCTGGGTGGTGTCTGTCAGGGCGTCTGGGAGATACCATGCAATGATGGCACCGGATGCATCAAGAATTATTGCAGGTTCATCGACCAACCTTTTGCCTTCATGGCCAGGAGGACACCTCTCAAGCAACCTCGCCTCTTTATGTTCATTATGCCCAGTGTCCTTCGGGGAGATCAATTTGCTATATCTTGCAATATCCATCTGCATCTGAACTGTCATGCAGGAATTTGAATGATAAATAGAATTTTCCGCATCTGCAGGAAGACCCACTGGGATTTTTAGATGCCTTTATGAGTACATCAGCCAAGTGATCGCACGCCATCACCAGATCAGTGTCTAGGTTGGGGGAAGGTATGACTGGGCCTCCTCCAGTCTTCTCTGCCTTGAATTTCTGTTCAGTATATTCCCCTGCTTCATAAGTCACAGTCAGGGCCCAAGTGCGCCAGATGTTTATGCTATCAGGAGGGGAAGGGGAAGAACCGTTCATGCTGGATGTCCGGACTTTGGTGTTATAGGGGGTGGAGATAGAGAGGATCAGATAAGGGAGCCATGGATAATTTTGGCCGCTGTCAAAGATGTATTATTATCCATTGCTCAATGAAATACTACCTGATTGGAAGTGTGCTGGTCATCAGATATTCATTTGTCGACTCCCGGGTCCCGGTACTCGGAAGTCGGTACAGTTGACCCATATTTGAGTGGTCGGAATTTGGCGTCTCATAGGGCAACACAAGCTTCGTACTGCCATATCAGGAGATCACCTGCTGCTCCGGGAACTCGGTAACTGTGATTTATTACCTCCTCTGAGTAAGGTTGACTCGCTGGTCATCAGATATTCATTTGTCGACTCCCGGGTCCCAGAACTCGGAGGTCGGTACGGTTGACCCATATTTGGGTGGTCGGAATTTGGAGTCTCGTAGGGCAACACAAGCTTCGCACAGCCATGTCAGGAGATCACCTGCTGCTCCGGGAACTCGGTAATTTTGATTTATTACCTCCTCTGAGTACGGTTGACTCACATTTTGGCGGTCGGAACTTGGCTTCTCGTAGGGCAACACAAGCTTCGCACCGCGGATTCCATATTCTGCAAGACAACCTAAGCACCATCAGAGGCCATGTCAAGAGAGCACCTGCTGCTCTCTTCAGAAACATCTGAACTTCGGTTGGCCATTTAACACGGAAAGTATTAACTAAATTATGTGTTGAGTTCCGGGTCCCGGAACTCGGAACTCGGTACAGTTGACTCCAATTCTGGTGGTCGGAACTTGGCTTCTCGTAGGGCAACACAAGCTTCGCACCCCAGATTCCACATTCTGCAAGACAACCTGTGCACCATCAAAAAGTATTAACCAACTTATGTGGTGAGTTCCGGGTCCCGGAACTCGGAACTCGGTACAGTTGACTCAAATTCTGGTGGCCGGAACTTGGCGTCTCGTTGGGCAACACAAGCTTCGCACTGCCATGTCAGGAGATCACCTGATGCTCCGGGAACTTGGTAACTTTGATTTATTACCTCCTCTGATTTGGTTGATGTACAACTACCTCAGCTCCATCATGTCTACAATTATGATACACATGGGCCCACCCATCTATATTGTATACCACCCTCGGCCCACCGGTCTAATACAACATCCCATACAACACCCTCGGCCCACCGGTCTAATTAATATGCATCTGGGCCCACCCGTATAATACAATATTTTATAATACCCTCGGCCCACCCATCTAATTTAATATGTGTCTGGGCCCACCCGTGAATGTGATAACAAGTACCTACCCATCTATCTCATACACATCTACCTTAATACACCCATCTGCATAATATCCAGCTACCTCGGCCCACCCGTCTACCTAATATTCATTTACATCGGCCCACTCATCTACTCTATATATTCCCTGCATGGGCCCACCCGCCTCCATCGAGAATAATTTGCCTCCCGGCCCATCCGTCATAGTCGAGAATATTTTTATCATGGGCCCATGGTCCGCTGGCCCGTATCATACGGGATATTATGCACGTCCGTTCCCTCGTATTATACGGAGATAGGTCACTGTAGTATGTGCTGATCTCTCACCTTCTGTAATTAGCTTCTTTTCTTGGTTCCAGACTTCGAGTATGTCAGATGGTGCTTGTAGCTCTACCCTCCTCACTTAGTAACTGCCTTTGGTGTAGCCGGGTGGCAAACAGTGTAAATAGGTGGAGCTCACACGCCTCCATCACCGAATGATGTCTTCTTGCTTGTGAATTTGTCATTCTGAACATCTGCACACATGTCATTTTCTACCTATCTGCTTTCATTCAATCTGGTATGTGTTTTTCACTTTGGCTGTCCTTTCCGCTTTGACCATTCTTCAGAGCTTTGCTCCTTTGATTCTGCCCTGGGATACAAGGGCATCGCATATGCTTCGGTAAGTGTCCTCCAGTCCTTGTATTCTTTGTATTCTGACCTTTTTTGGAGTCTTAAGTGCACAAATACCACGGACTTTCACCATCTACGGTCCCAAGGCTCACGTTCTCTTCACTCGTCCTATTCTTCGTTCTTGAAGTTCTATCCAGTATTGTAGAAGTGAGTGCTCGCAAAATTTATTCTTTCAACTTCGCCCGCACCTTCTCTTTTTACCTGGGCTAGTCAGGGTGTCCGAAGATGCTTCGAACCCTGAGCCAACCCCAGTGTAAACGCAGACCTGGCCAGGGTGTCTGAAGATGCTTCAAACCCTGAACCGGCGAAGCAATTTGACTGTATTGTTGTTTTGTGAGATGAGTGACTCGATTTCTGGATGCTGATATCTTCAATGGGACAACTGATAGTGTTGATTCACAGTCTTTCCCATCAGCTCTGTTCTCATCCTGTAATGGCACCACCTCCCTGTGCTCTGCACAAACCCATCTTCGGAATTGGTAGTCCCAAGCTATCGCCATGCGGAAATTTTACAGCACAACGGAAATGGACAAGACGTACGTACTCCTTTTTATTTTATTTTTAATTGCTGTGGGTGAGGGCCTTACTGCGGCTGGAGGTCTCCGCGCGGGCTCAATGACTCCATAGCAGTCAATATATTAATTTCATGTTTTATTCTAGCCTCATTTTTGCCTTGGGCAACCTCATGAGGGAGTAGCGACTCGCTGGTGCATATTTCTAACCCTAACCCTAGAATGGTATGTTTTGTTCATTGACTCGTTTTCTCCTTCACCTCACTTCCTCACCATGAAGTTTGGTATGGCCCATCTTGCCCCAAACTGAATGGCTGAGCTGATTTTATGCTTATCTTGTGCTTTCTCTCTAGATTTTGCCATATCTTGCCCTCACATGGTCAACCACGTCACCTGCACCGATTGCTGGAAATGGCTTCTGATGCCAGTCTTGACTCCTCTCCCAATACCTCTGATCATCATATTTCACCATCCCATTTTTGCGTGCGACTCACTGATGCACTGGAACCCCATGAATTCGCACCTAAGTGAGTATCTTTTGTTCATTTTCTTATATACATATGCTATGCTAATGAGTCTTCTAGAAGCACACATCATCGGACATTCCTTTGGGACACACCTGCTCGCTGGACGTCTCAGTGAGTTCTCTGCTCCATCGAGCGGACATTTGCTGACTTACTCTCGTCGTCCAGATGTTATGCTTGTGTTTCTAACCAAGCAACCATATGTTGTTGCACAAGTCTTGGAACCCAGGACGGAGCAACTTTTCGCTGTACAAGTAGTGACCGTGTACAATAAATAGCATGTGTAGGACAATGTACAATACAAGTAGCGACTGTGTATGATCAAATAGCATGAAAGGAAGGTGGATGGTTCTAGGTAAAATTGTCGATACCTGCCTCGAACATTGTACAGTGAAGCATGAATTTGAGGTCAGCAACATGCGGTTCGTGGAGAGGAGAGTTTTGTAAGATAGAAATTAACTTGGTATTGAACCACATGTCCATAGTATACGTACAAGCGTGCATGGAAGGTGGTAACAAATCATTATCGTGCTGCAAGAATATTGATTTAGTGAGTTGAAGATGATAGCTACATGCGTACATGGTATTGGTTATTGAAATGCGCAGAGGCGAGGATATTCTGCTGAATGTTTATCTAATAAAATACATCAGCAAACCATTATGTTTAAGAAAGAGGTTGACCTACAGTGAACATATGACCCGATGAAGGGAGCAGGCTAATTCCACTGAGCAGTTTTACAAAACGACATGCTCAATAAGCAGGATCAGCATCATCTACAGCACGTTGATCTGCATCGATGAGATCTTCTATCAGAGGATGAGCTGGATGTCCAGTTCCACACAGATACCCTTCAAGGACATTTCGAAACTGCAAAACAAGCGGAGCGACCAAGGTGCGAAAGGCTGCGTCACCGCAAACTACAAAATCAAGGTATCGAATGACTTGTTCACCATTAGTGATACGGCGATTATAACATTCAGTTGCGAGAAACTTTGCAGAAGACTTTAGTACCTGATAAAACGTCAACATGAATAATGACACTTTCAATCAGGACAATATAAGTTACCTGAATCATGGATTGATCAGTTGCACTGAGTGGAACATCAAACCCAGCCCGAAAGGCCCGAAAGAGTGGAGAAGATGACAGGATGTCAGGCCCAACACCCAACAGAGTGCCAGTATACAATGACCGTACGACAGCAGGCCATTGGTTATTGGAGATGAGAGCCAAGTGCGACAACTGCAATGATGGTGAGATTATATTATTGATCCAAGGAGAAAGATCTTACCGATGAATCTATGGCGGATTGAACCAAAGTATTTAACTGTGTATGCTGGGTAGGAGACAGTGTGGCTAGAGACTGAGGGGAGGAAGGCAGCAGTGCGAGTTTGCTGTAGCTATCTGGAAACATGATCTGAATCCAAGGCATATCGACGAGTGCTTGGACACCACAAATCACTGCTATAAGCAAGGCGGGTGAGACAGGATCAGGGCTGATATGACCACGTATCAGGATCATGGCACATAATGCTCCCAAGGTGAAAGCATGGTCAAGGTCTCTCAGGGAAGGAAAGTCATGTATACGTAGGACATGAAAGCCATCATGGTCCATGGGCTGTGCTATGGCGAGCTCCGGCTTTAGGCAGGTTGTGATGGCCTGTGTCAAGACCTGCCACATGACACCTTCACCTGAAGCATCAAGTGCACCTTCATATCCCCTGGAAGACAAGTTAAAATATGTTGAGATCTGAAAGACTAAGGCAGTGAACTTATGCGCGGAAAATCTAGTGTTGACCAAATATGTTGGCAAGCTTTTGATTTGCAGGAAGGATTGAGAAACAATTATTGATGTGAGTCGAACGATTATATGGAGCATCAGGGTGATGTTGACAATGGATCAAAAAATCAATAAGACCATTCGAGCAAGCCTCTATGGTCGGACCTCGAACATGAAACATTGTGCGTTGAACATCAACTGGGAATGTGGTCTTGATAGACTCGTGAACATCCAACAAGGATCGGTATCAGGGAGGTTCTGAAGGTACATATGCACTGGGGCATGAAAGAGAATCATCAACTGTCAGATCATCAGGAGATCCAAGAGTGAGATCGATTATCTCATGGGAGGAGCTAGTGACGACAGCAGGTGCCAGTAATAGGGAGGTATTGATTGGAGAAAGAGATGGAGTAGGGATTCATACAGGAGAGTAGGGGAAAACTGGAGCTGAGTCTTCAGGTGGAGTTGAAGCTTGATGAGAAGGAGTAGACATGTCATAAGGCCTGGGAGTTGATTCTCTACCAGATGGACTTGATTCACAATCAGATAGAGTCGATGCTTGGTCAGGTGAAGTTGAGGAGGAGGGGTTAACTGAGTCTTCATTGCCAACATTACAGTCCTCGTCATCAATAACCTGGCGGATACGCTGGGTATGTCGACGAGAAGAAAGAGGGCAGAAAGTTTTACATTCTACGATGAAATCCTTATCATTTTCTAGGCCTTGGTAAGCCAATTCCTCATCGTCTCCATCAATGAGAATCTTGAAAGCATGATTGGAGAAACAGGAATGCTGTTCCAAAGATGGGGGGCAAATTGGTCCAATAAGAGGACTATGCTTTGGACCTGAAGACGAGAATAAGTAGAGAAGTAGTATGATGGTTGATAGAACTTACAAAGAACAAGAAGACTGACATTAGGGTCTGAGGGATGCTGGACTCGAGAAGCTCTCTTGCATAGGGCAGAATAGGAATAATCACGCCAGGACTCCAAAGCATCATAAGATAAATAATGGCCTCGCTGCATCTGGTAGCCGATTTTGAGCAAGCGGAAAGGAAGCTGTTGGTACAATATTCGAAGCTCCCGGTTGGGAGCTGAAACTTCAAGTTCAAAGGAACTTTCAGGAGAAGGAGGAAATTGGAGATGATGTGAAGTAGCCATGAGAAGAATTGTGTCATACAGTTGGTGCATAACATTGTCTTGGCGAGAAGAGGCAGAGAGAGTCATGTGATGTACAAGGCCGAGGGCTTGAAGGCCAGTTAAATCACTGGCAAGCCTTTCACCACTGTGGATTCGTCGGGGAAAACATAAATAAGTCTCTTCAAAAATATCTCCGATGCTGTCAGGATTTTCTAGTGCAAAGTTGATCTGGTGATAACATCAGGAGGCTAGATATGCAGCGAAGTGACAAGACACTTACATCATTAGGAAAAAGGACAACATCAATAAGTTTTTCGTTCAATGGTTTATTAGGTTTTGTGGCAGAGTATGGAAGAACTTTGCGATTAGAGCGCACGTGACTCTGTCCAGTGGTTGTTGACATTGGGATTCCTGCATGCAGAACTCCAAAAGCAGAGGATCCTGGGGGAGTAGTGAACCGTGGATTGCGCGAGTATGGTGTGACTACTGCAGATGGAGCATATTGAGGAAGTGACGGCCATGAATTCGGGGGAGAGGATGAAGATGACATGATAGCCTGTGGCAAGCGAGAAGTAAGTAGTGGAGCAGGGCGTGAAAATGATGCGAGAGGGGATTGTTGAACTGGAGGCAGTTGAGGTAGATAGCCTGAGGGAGTGGAAAAGGATGCCGCAGATGATGGTGTCGAGGCCAGTGAATTATGGGAGCTATACCCAAGGTTGCATCCAGCGCATGGCTGGCGAAAATATGTTATCTATATTTCACATCCAAAGCATTAAATTATGTACAGAAACGCAAAGATCAAACAAGGACACTTATGGGGGCATTGTGTATGGTCCGGTAACCGAGACAGGATATACCATTAATTTGGAGACCTCCACGAGGAGGAAATGGCGTTGCTGCAATGGCTGGCTGGAGATGTTGGGTGGGACCGTGCCCGCAGTAGCACAAAGACTGGAAAAATCAGCGTACACCAGTTTTATGGTAAAGAAAAACTCACCTCAGGATCTGAAGAGGCTCTCAGAGTGTAGGAAGCACAATTGTGGTCACATACACTACATTTACCTGCAATTGGAGAATTAGTCATTATGAAAAACGATATAAAGAATTAAAGGAAGGAAGGAAAGACAGAGGAGAGGGAGATGGGTGGCAACAAAAACAAGTTAAAGAGAAGCACATACTCACTTACATAATTAGGTGTCAAGAGCGGGTGGGTTTAAACATTAGTACTTAGTACAGGCATGCAGGTCAGTATGGCCTGGCAGCTCGAAACTTATCTGATCCCAGGCCACTTCAGAGGGGAGTAAGGAAGGAAACAATAGCTTGGATGGTGAGTAATTATATGCATTAGCTCCGAGTCACAGTTGCGACATGCTAAACAATGCATGGACGCAACATGATACAATCATGTGACATGTCGCATTCGTGCATTGAGTAGTTGAATTCAAGATTCGGGTTGTGACGATGGCCCAGAAACTTCTTGAGTATCTGTGAATGTCAGTGTACATGCTTACCGAACCTTGTGCACATATCCAACGATGTTAGGGTTCCACACAGGTAGCGCTGCAGGTCGGAAAGGTGACTTAGCTTCTTGGAGATGGACGACAAGATGGACTGAGGTGGGTGGACTTATTACTGGTCTCGATTTTTTGCCTTGGCTTTATGGTAGTGACTTGAGCTTCTCTGAAGCAAAGTGTCAGCTCGATAAATTGTTAGAATGATTCAGCACAGGGCACAAAAGACATGCCAGAAATCAGTATAGCATTTACTTGTGATCCTCAAGCTCTCAGAGAAAGATGGTACAGAGAATCATAGCACAGTGTTCAGAGGCTGTCAAAGTTCCTGATTCGGTAGGTCGCATTGTCCAGTGTCTTCGACACGAAAGTTTTTAGCCACGCGACCAAAGTTTTTGTCACACAACAAATGTTTTTGCCACGTGATCAAAGTTTTTGTCACAAAACAAATGTTTTGACAGAAAATAAATTATAATATATTTGTCCAGTTGCTCCCGTCATACAAACAAAGCCTTCCTTTCAAATTCTCAATATTGTGGTCTATATATTCTTCATTTGGAGATAAATCTGGTAGGGAATCAATCTCAACCACAATTTTTACATTTGTGCTCTATTTGTTTAGGTTCAACATTGAACAATAGATGTAAAATATTTTACAAATATGCTCCGCATATTAGCCTCCAGCCAATCCGGCAATGTCTCTGGTGTATATTGCTTTATATCACTTTATATTACAATGTGACGAAAACCTTTCCTATATATTACGATATATGACGATATCTTCTTCTCACAGGTTCTCTGATGGCCCGCCCGCCTGCCTCCATAAGGCGAACCATTTCCAGGAAGCCCATGAGTCTCTAAATCTTTCCCATCTAGCGCTTCCTGGATCATCGAAATTGTGCTCTCCAAACTCCGGCGCCTCGTCGAGGGATTCGTCATCGTCGTCCCAAGTGAAGCCTGCCGGCCATGTCTGCCCTTGAACGGGGTGCGCGGAGACCCCATCTGTCTGCCGCTCGGGAGACTAGGTAAGGACGTCAGTGATCCCGACAATGTGGAAGACTCCACTCGGAGACACAGGGGACTCGTCACGACCTACCTTTCTGAATAACGATACTTTCCATCCTCGAGGCGGCGACAGTCTCCGATGAACCATCACTCGTAACATGCATCACCAACTGATTCTCATCTTCATTTTCCGTGTTCATCTGCATCAGTTACTTACTTTTCCTTTCCTTTTTTCACAGATTGTCCTGTGATGGTTGTATAATAATGTAGCACCGGTGAGCATTCTACCATAAACCCCTTCTTTCTCCCTGAGATGCTTTACAACATGCAAGCATATGTCCGATTTTTATGATGGACAAATCGTTCTTCCTGAGGGAATGCATCTGATCGATATTGACTCTTATCTGACGTTTCATTTTCTAGGTACAGCCTTCGTTGTGCCATTGAAGTAGTGCCTCCTGTATTATCGCTTCTTAAAAATAGTATGAACAATGGCTTGTCTTGCTTTCTGACTGCCGGATGCTTTTGCACAAAGCGTGTGTACCGAGGTTTTCTATAAGCTTTCACATCTGTACGATTCGATGTGTCATGAAACGCTCTTCAATGAAAAATTGATTTGCATAATTGAGAGCAACAGACTACACACATATACACGTCTACATTCTGATCACCTTTGTGCGCAACATCAGGTTATATACAACATATACAAACCGCGGATAAAACAAGGAGCAAACTGGAAACTATTGACGTTAACCAGCGTGATTGAGGCTTGTCGCATATTTCCACATAGCTTCCATCAAAATCATCCCAACATTGACAACGTATATGACCAGCCAGAGCGCAGTGACGGCGCGGCAGATCATGCTTGGAGAAGAAAAGCCTGCTATCATCATCGCTGGGTAGAATGCATGAGGGACCAGAGAAAGCCTCAATTGATGGAACAACTCACCAAATATAAAACAATTGAGGGAGCAGACAATGAAGAATATAGGCGTGACTATCAACAACAGGTAGGATAAGACGAAGTAGTCGCCTTGCTTGAGTTGCTGATTATGAATAGGTCAGCCGGTGTCCGAATCAGCATGACGAGAATAAGACTCACTTCTTGAGTCCAGTGTTGATCGGCGTGCAGCCAATGTATCATGCTCGAGCCAGACGTCAACATCACAATCATGGCGAATATGAGCGATATAAAGAGCAGACAATAGGGAACGGGTGACGTGTAGTCGAAGTATGACACAGGAGAGCCCGTGCTGACGAAAACACCGCTTATAGCGAGGAGGACACTCGCCTTTATGAGAGGATGTCAGCATCGGCTTCAGTTCGTGACGGGTGCGGAGTTGGATAGCTTACTGTGGTGATAGTGCTGGTCAAGATGGAGCACAACCTGCTCCTAACGGTTTCGAAGGCTTGATCTGATTGCAGCGACTTCCAATGATCACCAAGATCTGGGCGCCCAAGTCCCAAAAAACAAAGTACCCTCTTTACGAAGGACGTGCGACGAAGGGCATCGGGGAGGGGTTGTTCTTCGGCAGATGCTCTGTCGTCATAGAACTGGAAAGGTCGGCGCGATTGAGTCATATGGCAAGGATTCCTAAGTTTTGGAAGCGTACCTGAGTAGAATGGAATGAGGCCATAGGCGCGAAATAGGAGAGTGAAGAGACACTAGTAATGCTCATACTGAGATGCAACCTATTATATAGGTAAAAGGAGGTTCCAACAGTTCTGTATGTGCGACGACACACCTGAACCGAAATTTCGGTACATTGTATCCATTGTCAGTTGTGCGGAGCTCGAGGCCATGGACACCTATCTCTTCCCGATGTAGTGTATGAGTTTTCACCCTAGAGTAAGATTTAAAATAACAGCGCCGAAGCGGATTCTGGCTGTACGGGCTGTACAGATGTAAAACATGCTTATACAAATCTGCATGTGCGACGACACACACCCAAAGGTACATGTCATCCATTTGTGGTTGTTTAAAATAGCAGCAGAAGGCGAGTAGGGAATGTCCTGGGATTTGACATGTTTGTTGATGGCTAGGAATTGGAGTTCGAATTTTATCTAGCTATCGTCAAATCCTACACCACATTCCCTACTCGCCTTCTCAGAATATTTCGATCCTGGAATATCTGGCCCATCCGAACATCCGACCTATGGCTGACTTAGCATCACGTGTAGTTCCCACGTACCTGATACGACAGCGACATGTAAATGATAACCAAAATAGGTAAGCACGCTCGTGCGCTCACTGTGTGCATTGCCGGAACCTTCGTGCTCGCTGTTGCACACAGCGAGCTCAATTATTTTACCATTTTCACACTTTTTTTTCCGTAATTCTTTCACTGTACCATTTAATGTCATGAAACATTATGTATTTCGCATTTTTAGACCTCTTAAGTTTACATAATTGAATGAATACTACAATGGGTCCTCAACCTCATCCCTTGGGCCTCAACCCATTCTAAAAAGGCTCCAGAGATTCAACAGTGTACCAGGAGAGTGTTTTACCTGCAAGTGATAGCTGGGTACTAGTAGCAGCCATGGTCACGGTGTCAGCCGCGACACGCGCGGCGGCGCTGTGAGTCACGTGGTATGTTGTGACCGTGAGATTTGCATTATACCTGCAAGTGGGTCGGATGTTCGGATGTTCAGATGGGCCAGATATTCCAGGATCGAGATGTCCTCCGCCTTCTGCTGCCAACCTATATCACAAATGGATGACATGTACCGAAATCTCGGCTTTGGTGTTTGTCGTCGCACATGCAGATTTGCATAAGTATGTTTTATATGGCCTCGAGCTCCGCACAAAGGTGGTCAGAATGTAGACGAGTATATGTATGTACGTAGTCTGTGGCTTTCAATTATGCAAATCGATTTTTCAAGACCAGTTCACAACACGTCGAATCGTGTCAATGTGAAAGCTTGTAGAGAACTTCAAGTGCAGGATGTGCACACACTTTTCACAAAAGCGCCCGGCATCAGAAAGCACCCACTGCGTGTTGTCCAAAAATTCCAACAGCTGAGAGTTGGCAGAGATTCTGGGGGTCCCCAAGGTTTCAGCCATGTCACCGCCACCAAATATCAGCCAGCCGATACTAAGTCGTAAACTTGATACTCTAAGTCGACGCTCCGCGCAACGATGGCAGATACTATAGCTATCGGCCGGGCCTCCTTGCCTTGATTTCCTCTTCGTATATACGGCGTCGACTTAACCCTTCAACACGCCTCAACGCATACCCAGCTGCAGACCTACCACATTAGTACATATAACGTTAACCCATAGCTAGGGTTTATTCGACGACAAAGGCAACTCTAGCATTGTTGGTTCTGCTAGCGCTGCTTGTCTCCAACCAACACAACCGACACCACATCACTCAAATTGTACGAGCCTTGCCTGCCTGCCATTTGAACATCTATCATGGCCGTCGACTCGAGGATAATTACAAGTATGAAGACTCATGTATGGCTTGTAATATACATTGTCTTCCAAAGACTGTCCTTTGATCACCTGTTGGATCTGATTCATAGCGCCGCTTGTGTCCTTGCACTGTGTGTACACCAGCAGGTCTCTACCAGACCAGTTGAATAATCAGACTCCATGTCACGAGAAACGGATATGCTCGTCGTCAGCCAGGTCCAATCGCAAACAAGCTCATGTTCGAAGATGACTTAGATATCGATCAGGAATTCGAAACCTCACAACCTGCTGCCAAGTATGATTGTCCACCCTCACGGGCCTCACCTACTCTGGGCGACAATGAGTATTTTGATCGCAAGGCAGACGCTGATATCATCATGGGCATGGATGAGGATCCTGTTGACAGAGACTTTTATGTTGACGAGGATGTTCGTGTTGACGGAGACCCCATCCTTCGACAGAATTTTGGCATGCATCAAAGCAACAGAGAATACCCTTCCTGACCTGATTCCCCTCCTCTACACTTTCCAGCATCTGATGATGAGTCTCTCGACAATCAAAGTATACTTTCTCTCGATCTCAGCACTTCTGCTATCACACATGATGAGCATCACGAATGGGTTAGTACAGGTGAAGATATCGAGGGAGGTGACGAGCACGTTTGGGACCCAGAGGTGGATCCTGAATACTTATCAAATGATGCTGTCCTCGAGGATGGCCTTGCACAAGAAGACCAGAGCGAGCTGGAGGATATCCTCCCACATGCATTATCAGAACATCTGTCTCTTCTCAATGGTTACTTGACTGTGTTTGTCAATGCTGCATACCGACATGCAACACATGCAGACTCAGAGGCAACACTTACCCTTACTCATACAATAATGAACTCAACAAGGACATTTGCACTTTGATCCGCTCTGTGAGTCGAATGTATGCGCTTGCAGACTGCAGTGCGCCAGTATAAGTATAGTCAGACTTAGTAGTATTACTTGCTTAATTGAGACTCCACATACGCGGAGTTTGAAACTACCTTTGCTCTTGATGTCATCCAAGTCGTTACCCATCATTCACAGTTGGTGAGTGTGTCGATCCTCAACAGCCATGCTGATCAAGTCGTTGCCCATTGTTTGCAGGATGATGTGAGTGTATCGACCCTCATTCGAGCAACAGCCACATTGCCCACTGATCTTCAACAGCCATGCTGACCCAAGTCGCCCACTGTTCGCAGAGAGTGAGTGTATTGATCCTCCTTCGAACAACAGCCATGCTGATACAAGTCATTGCTCACCGTTCGCAGTTTGTTTGTGAGTGTGTCGATCCTCAACACCCACGCTGATCAAGTCGTTGCCCACTCTTCGCAGAGAGTGAGTGTATTGACCCTCATTCGAGCAACAGCCATGCTGACTCTCCAAGTCGTTGCCCACCGTTCTCAGGATGATGTGAGTGTATCTGTCCTCCTTCGAGCTCGAACCATGCTGAGTCAAGTCGTTGCCCACTGTTCACAGGAAGTCAGTGTGTCGACCCTCATTCGAGCAACAGCCATGCTGACTCTCCAAGTCGTTGCCCACCGTTCTCAGGAAGTGAGTGTATGTCCTCCTACGAGCTCGAACCATGCTGAGTCAAGTCATTGCCCACTGTTTGCAGGAAGTGAGTGTGTCATTACCCACAGGTCACAGGCTCACATGGGTGCGGGTAAGGGTGCGGGTGCGAGTGAGGTCTCCGACACCTTAGGGTTTACCCGTATAGATCCTTAATTATACTTGTATCTAGCACGGAGGAGCAGTCTGCTACCGCAATTGTATGATATATTGGGTGGCCACCAGCTGAATTTGACCGCGGCCGTACGCGTGCAGCAGGAGTGCTATATATATATAATTACAGCACTCCTATATATTAATATTATATATATGTGTATATATAATATATAAAGCTCGCGAGGTCGCCCTATCGAGGATAGGCCATGGTTTCAGCCGGTGTCGACGAGAGCGCGAAACCTTGACTGCTACGTAGAGGAAATGCGACAAAACCGCCATGTTGACGCCGGTGTCCAACGAAGGCGCTGACGTGGCTGAAACCTAACCTAGGGTCAGGTTCTACCCTCGTTTCATACAGCCGAAATTTTTGATAACACGCAGTGACCGGTACCATTCATACATTTGCACTCATTCTTACCTTCCAATTGCAAGTCATGATATATCTTCCAGGTCAGGAATCTTGAGAATATGATGTCACCGATGCCCTCCGTCATGAGCTCATTACACGACTACTAGCTATTTGCTGGTCCGGAATGAAGATCGCCGCATATAACCAGGTAGCCTAGTAGGCCTGACCGTTAATGACTTCGAGCCTTTTACGATTGCCTGAGCCTAATCAGTCGAAGAGCCTAGCTCTGCAGCCGCAGGTCGGTGGACGAGAGAGGCATTCAGTCTGCTAACCCATCAATAAAGTTGTCCATTAATAATCATACTTATACTCGTTCTTTTCATCACAAGGTTGCGATCCATCAAAGCGACTAGAAAAAAATGACTATGGATATACAGTATCACTTCGATCCCAATCAACTATGGGAAGAACTACCGCCCCCGCCTCCATAAGGCGAACCGTTTCCAGGAAGCCCATGAGTCTCTAAATCTTTCCCGTCTAGCGCTTCCTGGATCATCGAAATCGTGCTCTCCAAACTTCGGCGCCTCGTAGAGGGACTCGTCATCGTCGTCCCAAGCGAAGCCTGCCGGCCATGTCTGCCCTTGAATGGGGTACGCGGAGACCCCATCTGTCCGCCACTCGGGAGACTGGGTAAGGATGTCAGCGATCCCGACGACATGGAAGGCTCCACTCCAACGTTGACTCCACTCGGAGACACAGGGGACTCGATAGTATCTGCTGGGGTCGTCGGTAACGACCCAGATTGTGCTTGAGCCAGGTAGGCCTTTGCCTCTTCGGCGTCGAAAAGTTCTGGAGGCAGGCGCTCGTTTTCGATATCTGACTTCCGACTGCATGAAGATGTAATGAACACCGAGAGTGTATGCAGAGGGGGAAAGTTGAACGTACGCGTCCTCGAAGCCAGAAATGGCATCTTTGATGCCTTCTGTACCTAAGGCTAGCGTGCCGTACGGCAACTTGCTAGAACCAGATATGCTCTTGAGCTCTGAAACCTTCTCCGACTCCTCTCTGCGACAGATCCGTCAAACTAGTACAACGTGTAGACAAGGATCCCGTACCGGAGCAAAGCAAACACACGCGCCATCCGTCCAACTGCAAGGATCTTGTTTTTGATGATCTTTCGCCTCTCCACCACCTCTTCGGGGTGGGCTACTCGTGAAACAACCTGTTCCTCGTCGGACTCCTCGAGCTCTTCTTTGCTGCAAGTGTTTAGTACAGCAACAAGCATATCCGTGACTAGATTCGCCGCTCAGTTCTGAATAGACGCTCTGAATAAGCTCCGTGAACGTACTTTTCTCGCCCACAAAGGGTAAACTCCAAGTAAACACGTCCATGAAGTTAGGTAGCCAGTACGGATGAGGTGTGCAGTTGAACTGCCGAATGTTCATCACGTTGCTCTCGTACTTCAAGACGGCGGCTTTGTTGTTGTAGACGTCGAGATAGTTGGGAGCCGAAAAGATCGTCATGACAGAAGGAAAGCCTGTGCTTTTTGTCTTCCGGTACATACGATAGCTTTTGAGCGACCGCATGAGTAAAATAAACGGCTGTACAATCGAAACATACCCTGCATCTTGCGCTTCGTGTGCGCGAATGATTGAAAGAAGATTATTTCGCTCTAAGAACTGACAGGCAGCTTGGTAACTATATGCCGGCAATCAATCAAAATACATCGGACACCTGGAACCACTCACGTGAAGAAGTAAGAACAGCCTCGGACGTGATTATGAACGAAGCTTTCATTCATCTTCTCTTGCCCAAAATCTTCAACAGGATCCGACCATAGAATATCGCACATCAGGCCGTGTGTCGGAGGCTCGCGGAACCGATCGATCTAAAGGGAATATAAATGAATGTTGCGTCATGGAAGATGAGCGAATGGACGTACCGCTCTAATATCATCCAAAGTGTTCAGCTCTGGTGAAAGACCGCCGTGGATGCATAGGAATTGCTTGTTCATGACGGCAGCAAGGGGAAGTGCACAGAAGGATTCCATGCAAGCGTCGTAGATGCGCTCCGAGTATTTGTGCTTGCCTGAGTGACGTTAGTGGAGTATTCATTCAGAGATGATGAAGTGATTGATACATACATTCGAGCTTGAAAGTGAAATAGTCTGTGAGATGCCGGCATTCATGATTGCCACGGAGAAGGAAGAGGGTGTCGGGATACCAGATCTTGAGGGACCACAGATACAAAACGCACTATGGGATGGGATGAGTTGGAGAAGGTCGAGTATTGATGCAGGACACACCTCTATACTGAAGTAACCCCGATCAACGTAATCTCCGAGGAAAAGATACCGTGTGTCCGCTGGGCTGCCGCCAACTTCGAACAGTTTCATGAGGTCGTACTGGAGAGATGATCAGTAATTTATCATCCTGACGAACAATCGAGGGTGCATACATATTGACCATGGATATCGCCACACACTAAGTGAGATGGTCTGTTGGCATGGGGTGACTACGGCAGACGACAAGCACACTCACCTGTGATTGGCGCGTCGACCTGCAAGACGTTAGACTCCGCACGAAGGAGCGCAGTTGCCTTTTCCAAAATCCATATCGCCTGATCCTCGGTGACCCGGCCTTCGCGGTAAAAGTGGTTCTTGAGGAACGCTACGTCAGGTTTGGTGGGATCTTGTCTGGAGAAAAACTGGGCATCTGTGGGAACGTTCATAGCTGGCGCTTGCACCTGCAATGAGAGCTCAGCAGGCAGATTAAGATGAGTAGCCGATGACGCGGGCGTACATCTTTGACAACCCGCTCTTGTGTGCTGATTGTATTGCCATCTTCAAGTACATGCTGAGTGAAGTCGATATCGGGAAGCGGCTTCTTGTGTTGGATCTGTTCAATTGCACGTTCGACATGAGCTTGAGCGATGTGCATGATGACGGAGATTGAAGAAGATATCAGTCGCACAGAAGAGAGTGCGAGAGACGCTCAGTGGCGGTGACTGGAGAACTTGGAAATACCCCTGGGCCCACAGCTTCAAAGTTGTAACACACAAAGTGTCTATTATTATTGTGATCAAGTTACAGCACACTACTGCGGAAATAGCTAGAGTAATCAATGGCAGTTCACGCTTATCGTCCAGCTCCTGTATAATGCAGTGTATTATGAACCAAAGTACACGCTCAGAACATGTTTTGCAACGTGGAAACCCAATAACGAGACAACATAGCTCGCGAATAGCGGTAATAGTGGGGCCAGCAATATTTCGGAACGGATCAAGAATGGCAGAGCTGAATGTGAAGAAATAAATTAGCGGCGAGATGGAAGAGAAGGTTTGCATACCGCTTAGTCCGAGGTACACTCCGTAGACATACTGGGCAAACCTGTTGGCGAAATCAATGATGAAAGGACAATTTAGGTGGCATGACCTCCAAGACTTGCCCTGCAAGATATAAGGTATTGCCAATAAGGAGGCAAACCCAGTTATCCCTTAACACTACGGGAAGGAGGAACAGTTGCGCTAAATAAAGTGTCAGATACAAGGGGAAAAATGCGTTCGTATGGACGTCGAAAGCATATGCCCATTCGACTGAAGAGTTTGTAGGTGATGAATGAGAGGAAGGTGATACCAACACCCGGTTGGCGAAGAACCTATGAAGGAAAATAATCAGTTGGCATCACGCCCTAGAAAAGGAGAATGACGAACCAAAGAAGAGTCGCACTGAGTGCACCGACGAGGAGGTAATCTCGCAGTATCATCACAAAGGCTAATCGTACAGCCTGAAGTGGGGAATACGAATACACAATAGACCATGCTACTGCAGCAACTGAATGACATCATACGTTGTGAATAACTTCTGAATATAAGTTGCATAAATGGATCTCACCAAAGAGGCTCGCAAATAGCAAAATTAAGATTGCCGGGTCATCTCTTGCCCAGGTGTTCTTGGTCTCTACAGTAAACACATAAATGTTTGATTCAGACCAAGATCCATTGACGTACGCTTGTGGTAGTACACGTTTCGATAACTATTAGTTAGGCGTCAATGGATCATAACTGTGTGATATTTTGGGAGTTGGCTCACACTCTCTTGGGTGCCAGGCAGAGATAAGACAGCTGCCAGAAGGCCAGTTCAAAATCCTGCAGAGCCAATCTATCTCAGAACCTCTACTCAGAGCCTAGTAGCATGCACTTCACACCATTTGCTGGAACCTATGCAACCGTCGAAATATTAATGGCACGCGATTGGAGACAGACATGGGAGTGCCAGATAAATTGTGATTAGGATATGATGGAGATGTTAAGGGAAGTATAGGCATGGACATGTCTGTGCCAACTCGAGGGCGTCGAAAAAGAGTGCGAGATGAAGACACTTTGAACAGAATTTGATGAATGGCGGCGACTGAGAGGTGATGATGACCAACAAGGGCTGATCGGAATCGGGTTCGGAACGACTACTCGTTGATGATTTGTAAGCGCGAATGCCAACTGCAGTGTTAATATTCGTGCCGATCCAAGAGTTATGCGTATGTTTACAATGTTTTTCGGCACACCGACGTATCTAGCAAAAAATAAAACTGCTGTCTTGCATCTATGCCGAAACAGTGAATTGAATTGTGCTGCTACCGTCTAAGCAGCTTCCACATAGATCATCGAGTCCAATAACTAAGTAGTTGGAATTGGCATTACAGAATGCGAGGGTGTTGCAGGAACAAATATTGCGCATGGGAAGGGGTCCCTTTGAGAGGACGTTATGCCGAGCGATTTTAGTTGCTTGTAATCTGATAAAATCAACGCGTCCAGATGCTGATCCGACGGCAGAACGCCCAATGGAAGGGTCAGAGCACCTTCATCAGCGGGTTAGATCGTGCTACAGAGTGCTACGGAGCGCTTCGTAGCACTCTGTAATCATGTGTAATGAGTTACGTTTCCCTGATGTTGAGTTGGATCAAGCGCAGTCGAACAAAACGTAGACTCGTGGAACAGAACCATACCTTTCAGGAATGGCTTCAAATTAAGTCGCCGGTCCTCAGCACTCGGCTGTGCCCGGCGCCAAGCACGGATTCCAAGATCACGACGAAGTTTTTTGATGGTAACGAGCATCCAAAAGTGATTCAACATGGACAAGGCTGAGACTCGTATCCGGTGCCTTTACCCCTTGAGCTTGCGTTATGAGCAAGCGAGTGGTAGCGGAGAGCATTATCAATATCGCGCTCTGTGATGCCATAAACAGGCTGTTGTAGGACATTGCGGTCCATATATTTATCGAGGAGCGTCACAACTCTTATGAGTTGCATTGCACTAGTGATTGCTGCAGAAGCACAGTCGTAGTTGTCCAGCTTCCAATGCACGAAATGACCGCCATGTTGTGGGACGTTGGAGCTTTTCAATTTCCTAAATAGAGTGGCTAATGACGTGTTAAATTGTGCACGCCCCAGACTTGGACAAGGCGGTGAAGTGACTCTGTGCATAAGAGCTTTCAGATCTCTACGCTTCAAATGAAATCATACCCGTTATAATAATAACTCATGTCAGCCAATTGTGATCGTCGAGTCTTGACATCAACTTTGATGGCAAGTCTCTGCAAACTCTCCAGGTGGTCGGATCACAATGTTAACGTTCATGTGCCACGACACCTGAGAGCATGATGGAATGATTGATTTTGCCACTGAAATCCTTGATCAATGTACATGCACGGGGTCTCAGACTTCGGCAGGGAGCGGGCGGGAATTGAAAATTTGGATCGGAGTTAAGAGGTTCTCCTCGGCCAACTTGGGAACGCATTTCTGTCGTTAGTTTATCACTCCTCTCGTCCGCACCATGGTGGAAGATGAAACAGAAGTTCTAGACTGGGGAAATGAGGAGGAAGACCGGGGAACTTCGGAGCAAGATCCAAGTCTCGCTGCTGAGGATGCAGAAGATGCTGTGTCGCTTGGAGGTGACGAGGACGACGAATTCCTGACCTACCAGCCTTGCGTTTCACAGGGCGGTGCTCAGCGCACACAGTCTCCTTCAAAGGCAGTCAATCACTCCGAAAAAAATCAGGAGATACCAGTTTCTGGCGCCAACGCTCGGGGCAAGGCTCCTGAGCATGATAGGCCTAAAACGCCAGTAAGGACTCCCCAGGAACCACATACGGTTCCCGAATCATCTCCAGTTCTCAATCGCCAGTTGTCGTTTGGGAAACTTACTCATGCTCTTCCTCCCAAACCAATAGTGTCTTCAGTTCCATTTATGCATCCTTCTCATCCGTCCATCATTGAAGCTACAGCCATGGCAGCTCGCGTCGACCGGGACAAGAAAAATGGCATTGCCGTTGTCTCCAAGCCCACGACATTTGAATCAGGGGATATACTTCCCCCAGATTGGGAGGTTAGACACCCGAGAAATGGCCGCGGTGTCTATTATTATAATTCTCGCACCAAAGAATCGACTTGGACGCGTCCTGGCAGCTCCCCGCCTGCTCGTGATCGGCGCGTTGCTGACGAAACCCGGGATATCGTTGTTATCAGCAAAACTGATGATCCCCTGACCTCTCGTATAGGCCGGTCAGATACTGGTACCATTTTGTCTTATGATGATCGCCATTACCGCCCTGGAGAAAGTGCTCGACGGGATGAGCGACCGTCAATACAATCCTATGGTAGTCAAAATGATTCTTTTTTGGCATCCAACAGAGCCAATGGAGAACGGTCTCTTTCACCGCCACTACGCCACCGCGCAGATGACCGCGTTCTGTCTTCTCGTCGCCAGTGGTCGCCTTCAGCCAATGGGGACCAGAATAGGGGCAGAGCATCCACAAAGGACTCTGTGCGTCCCGGCTCACCTATAGCAGATGTAGACCGCGTTTGGGTAGCACCTCGAGTTCCGTCGCCTGTTGATCGGTCAGTATCACACGAAGGGAAACACTGTGAAGTCGAGCAACCTCCTCACAAAGAACGCGAGCGTCGCGAGAGTTCTCGCGATGCCGACAGAATGTCGACAACAAGTACGTTATCTACATCATCCCCTATCCTCATCCCTCGTCGGCGTATCTGCTCCTCCTGGGGTACAGGACGCAAGGCCTTTGCTGCGTCCCGCACAACCTCGAGAGTTGAGCTGCGTAGTACCATATTTCGTTCTTTTGTATTCGACTTCTTCCTCGCATGGACACACGGACGCTCATCATGGATCCCTATCTTCTTCCTCCTTTTACCCCTATCCTTATATCTATCCTCTTCTTTTTCTTTTTTTTCTCCTTTGTTATTCTCTAGGACCCAGATCGCCTGTCAGTCACGGTCATGACGTTCAGTATCCGCCCACATTGCCGTCCCCGAACGATCCCGACACCTTGCGTGATGAGTTGTCGTCCGCAGCGAGGCAGAACAGTCGCTTCATTCAAGCGCCTTCTGCTCAAATGGACCAACGAATTCCAGATCTACCTGACAAGCCCCCGCGAGAAACGCGCGGCCGAGCCAGGTCACTTAGTGCAGATGGCACTCGGTCTCGTCATCGAACAAGTGATCGCCATAAAGCTGATGCAAGAGCTCACGAACACCCAGTCATGGCGCACCAGACGTCGCCCCAAGCTCCGCAGGAGCAGTTGGTACCCCCCACCCCATCCCCCCCAATCGAACGTACGTATTCTTCACCCATCCACTCTTCCTCATGCCAACGTCGTCTGCCATTCGCGTGCATCTCTCGCTTGTTCAGGCTCTCGAAAACGGGTGCCTTTGCCACCGCAACGTGACAGTTTTCAGGAAGGCTCACGTGGAAGAGCGGATGTCGGGTACCGCTCGCCACCGTCTACCACTCGTGATAGCGTCCCGGCTTCTCGGTTGATCACCAACGATGCACGCATTCCGTCGGGCCCACGCTTGTCTCCTTTGGAGATCTCAAGAGACACCAGATCCTCTGACGCCAGAGGATCTCGACAAGCGCATTCCAGTTCTGCGCTTCATTCAAACTCTCAGACAGATACCTATGCTCATAATGAGTCTAGGGACAAACGAGGCCAAGATCAAATGGATGTTGAGGACCCTCCAGCCATTATCGCCAAGTCCACTGAACCTTCTCGACAGCTTGTGAATAGTCAGCGCTATCGCGAGGATCGTGACGGCGCCGCTCCCAAACGCCCTCGGGCAATGATGGACGATGTCGAGGTACCTGCACGACGGAGATCTCCAGGTAGGCTCTCACACCGCTTCATTCATTTACGTGAGGTAAACCGGACACAGATCGCTCTCCCAAACTATCGCGTTCTGAATGGAAAGAGCCTCATCGCACAGCACACGAAGATGTCTCCCGAGCTGCGCCCTCGCGGGATGAAAGGCGTGCGCCTGTTGAATCATCGACTCGGGTTTCGGTTAGTACCTTTTCGATGTCCTTTGTGGAGTTTTTAAATTTGGATTCACAGCGTGATACTTCTCGTCGTCATGTTGATATGTCAAGACCGCCTCCTAGTGCTCCAACGCCAAAGCTTTCTGGAACAAACAGCATGCCAATTGGTGGCAGAGGCAACCGCTTTGGTGATTCTGCTTCAATTTCACCGCATCCACCACTACCGTCTGCGTCTTTCCTACCTCTGGCGAGTTCCGCTTCACGCCGAGGCGTTCATGTGTCTGGAAGCAATGCGCAGCCTGTGGTTTCTCGTCCTGTTCGTCAACCTACTGGTGCGATGGACAATCACGATCGATTAGTATGTTTTACATCCATATCATTGCGACCCATGTTCCTTACTTATATCCATAGCCTCGTCTGGATGATTTCCATGACAGAGAGCGTTCAACGAAGATTCTTGTCGATCAACGTCGGCAAACAGAGCGCATAGTTTCACCTGTACGCTCTCTTTTGTGTGGAAATAGATTGAGTTCTCACAAGTTTATATTACAGCTCCTTCCGCGTAAGCCTCTCTCGGTGCCAGACCCACCTGCGAATGCGCCTATCAATACAGATTCACCATTACGATTAGGCGCACGTGCAGCAAGAGTGGGTCTTCTGAGCATAGCCGTTAGAGTTTGACTGACACTAGCACTGTAGACTCGTTTTGGACCTCCAGTCCCGGAACCTGAGGGGAAACCGCACCCCAACAGCAGACGTGACCAGACGCCCGAGAGTCCTCATTCTCATCATGATCATGATCATGCAACCTCTCCTCCGCTTTCCAGGAACTCTTCCACGGCGTCGGCACGCGATGCTGTTCATCCGTCACAACAATCCAAGCACGACGGGGACGTCTCTCTTCGCAGTCACCGGCCGCCTGAATCGCGGCCTCACGGCCCTGAAAGAAAGGAGACAAACGATCTTCCTGAATACCCACGTAGCAGCAGTCACAATGATCGTCGTGACCATGGCCCGCCTTCACTGGATCATAATCAGGAATGGCATGTAGATGACTCAAAAAGTTCGAAGTGGTCTAGAACACGGGATTTACCTCCGCACGAGTCCTTGCGCCACGCCGACGCAGAGTCGTCACCCTCTGGTCAGCATGCTGCGAACGGTGAAGGGTCGCATCAATCTCTTCCGCTGGCTATGCATCCAGAGCGTGCACGACTTCTGCAGAGTCACCTTCCCCACTCTCTACCTCCTCGCCCCGATACAGAACCAAGACGTCCCCGTTCAACTCGTCCTCGTCATGGTTCAGCGCCTTGGGCCCCCTCTGGTTCACGTTTCAATCAGCACTTCGAGGAGATTTCCTTCCATGGAGATCGCTTCGATCGGTCGTCTAACAATCACGGAAGCTCTCTAATCGATCGGTTGGCTGTTGACGGCGGACAATCGTCCTTTTCATTGAGAGATCGCGTGAAGGTCCCTATGAAGCGGCCTTCAGATGACCCTACTGTGAACGACGCGTTGATGGATGTAGACGATGGGCACGAAGGCTCCAAGCGGAGCAGGAGGCGAGGGGGAAAGCCCAAGAGGCCGAGGCGTGTGGTATGATATCCTAGTATCCAATTTTGTTCTTTTGTTCAGCCTTTTGGTCTGCTTTCGATGATGCATCTCCATTGGACAGAGTATTGGCATTACAATCTCATCTTGTCGTGTCTAGTGATTATGGTTAATTGTCTCTTGATTCGGCATTTTCTTGCAACTTATTCTCGAGATTAGATATGTATTAGTCGGTTGATATGAAGCTACTGCACCACATGTCTAAAATTGTGGTGTTCCCAATGCATTTGAACAAAGTCCAGATCATGTCGCGGCATCAACCATTCCAGAAATAGGAAGAATAGGCAATCCACTACAAGGATGATTGTGTAGATCGGTCCTGCAAATGGCCCCAGTTCCATAGTTCTATGACATTTGAGCCAGGGTCTATCAGCACAAATGTGCAAAGTTACCTTTGCATCCGAGTCCAGAGATCCTTCTGTTCAGACTTGACAACAGCATCGTACACAATCTCGGTCCGTTCTGCGACTTCTCCCCAGTTGTAAAAGTTTTTCACCTTCTGATGAGCTTCTAAGGGGTCATGCTGGCCTTTCGAAACAATTGCGACCGCCTCTGACAGGGCACGGATCAAATCTGAAAAAAATGATAGTGAAAAACGGTCCAGAATGATATATACAACTTGCGCAGGGTTCCACACATACCATCCTCCTCTGGTTTCGCAAACGAGATCATGTCATGAGGGAGAATCTCCGGGACTCCGCCTACTCGTGTCGAGACCACATAAAGACCTGCGCACGCAGCTTCCAAAATAGCGATCCCGAACGATTCCGTCAGTGAGGTGTTCAGAAATATAGATCCTCGCACGAGAACCTGCAGAGACGTGTATGAATCATGATTATGAGAGTCGAATTTGATCATGCCTACTTACGTCTCGCACGTCGCGATGTCGAACTGGACCGAGGAGCTCTATGCGGTCTTGGAGGAGATGTCGTTCTCTTACTTGTAACAGGTCATTCAGTTTGGGTCCATCTCCCCCTAGGCCAGTGAATTAGAGCTAGATGATACTGGAGATGGAGCGACTTGCCTACGATGAAATTGACGTTAGGAAAGGCGGAACATATTCGGGGGGCAGTGGCGACCAGTAAGTCGATGCCTTTACGATACGCCAGACGAGATAAAACCACGATATAGACTGGAGAAAATTCAGTTGTCCCCTTCCACTACAACGACATGGAAGCACTTACTAGTTTCTGACGACACCGGCTTGGTAGCTGGAGTAAACTGCTCCGCAACCAGAGCGTTTGGAATCACATAAACATTTGGTCGGACGACGAGTGCAGAGGAATCTTCAGACATCTCAAACAACTGTCCACGCAGGACTGTATTTTCCCTCCTGATTCACAGTCGCGAGAAAATAAGGACGACATCGATCGTAAGAGTCGACCACCTACCCAGTATGCGAGACACAAATCACAGCGTCGACGTTTTTAAGAGCCGCCGCAAGGAGTTTGTTTGTTAATATGCTCGCTGCATCTTCAAACCCAAACAGACTGTGATCGGTGAACACCGTGCGGACGCCAAGATGGTGCGCATGTAGAATAGCCTCCTGGCCCAGAGACGATAGACTCGCGTGCGCATGAATAAGGTGAATATGCTCGCGTGCAATGATGACGCGGAAATATGGCAAAAACGTAAAATAATTCGGAAGAGTGGCGGAGGAGGCGATGGCAGGAAATGGTATGTAGTATACCTTCAAGCCTGGCAGAAGCCAGCGAACGCCCACTCGGTCTGGAGGATGACTGTGTGTGATTACGATCACCTGCGAATGTTGGATGCAAGATAAACGACATTGTAGAGAATGTCAAAGGAAGTTTGAAAAATCATGCCTTGTGACCACGACGGATAAGATTTGCACTGAGCATGAATATGTGGTTTTCCACTCCTCCCACGTTCGGGTGGAAGAAATCAGATATCATCCTGAATGGTGTAGCATTTAGAACTTGTTTCCCTCAATGCAGAATACATACGCAATGGCGAGAGGCTCATGCTTCATTTCGTGGCGACGATCAAGCGAACAGTTCGCGCGACGGGTAATACACCCGAGCCTCGAAAAGAGCTTCGCTGTGGAAAAGTGGAAAAAGTGGCTCGACCCAGGATCGAACTGGGAACCTTCTGTGGACAACGTGATGTGAGACAGAAATCATAACCATTAGACCATCGAACCATAGAAGGCCGGTGGTCACTGTGTATTAATAAGCGTGGCGTGATATACTTCTGGTCATAAACACCTTTTCCTCAAGCTTTGCTCTGAGTCGTGACAGTGATGGGTATAATAACGTCTCCTTCCAAGTCAGTAATATGGAACGTGTATCAATCCATCTGTACTTAATTTCAATCCAATGACCTGGTTCCTATCCAGACTTTTCATCACCTATTCTGCTCTTCGTATCGTTCATGCTCGCCATGATTGCGATGTTGACATTCTGGCTCGAGCATGTTATGCTGGATCCATACCGACATTGTTTCATAAGTATTTGGTGAGTTGTTCAGTTATTTTGTACCCTCTGGCCTCTCATGCATTTCACCCCCCAGCCATGTGAATAGCGGGCTTTTACTCCCACTTGAAGCAGCCTGACAGTCGCGCCCTCACGGTGCTCTAATTGGTCACATACGTCGCTAACATTGGGACGAATTTGAGCGGAAGTATGTGACAAGCCTCAAATCACGCTAGATATCGCCAGTGAGTAGTTTCCGACTTTGTTTTCTTCTTGTTTTGACGACCCTGTGTACTTTGTCAGAAGAAAGTTTCTGGGCTTATACCGCAGACTATAACGGTTGAGTATATGTTTAAAGAGGCGATCCATCCTTGTTTTGACTGTGATTAGCGTCTGTGCATGCTCTAAGATATGGAAGGATGAGATATCTGATTCCGCGGAAGCAATTCGTCTGAGTCCCATATGCGCGCTCTGCTAGAGCTCCACCTGCGCTTCACCACTCCCTGTCAGTGCGCGCTTGGCAATCTTGTATCTGTACTACGCTTATCTCTGTGTCTGAGTCCACTCTTTGCGATGCGAAAATGCTTACTGAGACGGATCAGTGGCAAGCGCTAGCGACGAGACGGCATTGGTAGTAGTAGATGAATCTGTGTATCTTTCTCTGTTCAAATAACATTTACCCTCCAGGATATCTGCGCGCTCCTGCGTCAGATGTTGTTCTTATCTTCGTCTCTAGATCTTTGGAGGGACGTACTTTGCAAAAGTCCTTCTCAACCTCCGCATCGCCCACGTACCACTGTCAAAAGTACAACGTCGGCGCCCTAATCATGGTAGATGTCCGAAGGTGATCAGTTTGCTTGTTAACATAACCTCCCTCGTGTGAAGCACGCAGCGTGTACGACACGATACGATTTGCTATTTCACTGAAACCTTCCTGCGCGACGATCTCACTGCCTTGTGTGTGGCTAGGCTCGGGTGGACTGGTTACGAAGGTTACCAGTCTATTGTGTGGCGCTACCGCAGTACGTGCACAGGACAGGCCGATAAAAATGCAAACTCCGGAGTGTTCGGATCATCCTCGATCGAGATCGTTAACGTGACAGGCCCATCAAGATTTCGTTCGTTTATCTCGATTCATACCATAGCAGGCCAGATGAAGCCGGTGACCACCGATCACGACTCAATACATCGAATACTCCCTCAAAGGGAGTGCCGCCCGGTGGGCTTAATGGTTTCATCAAGGTCAGACAGAACACCCGCTACCTGAATCTGTCACAAAGGCTGGTAGTAGTAAGGTTGTGAGTAGACGAGGATGACCGGGGAATGAAGCTCCAGTGTAACTTTGTTAAGCTCGATGGATCTCGGAGTTGCGGGCTTTCACTGGGTTTCGGATCTGGCTAGCAGGGCCAACTTGCTGATGTCTTGATTCTCTCACGCTTGACAGCTGCAGGCAAAGGGGTGAGTTCTGCCTGATTGTGCAACGAAGGTTTCAGTGTGCCAGCGCCAACAAAGGCTCCAACTTGTTAGCCGTGCTTGTCATAGTGTCCCTGTGTCGCCGTATGCATCCACCGAAACAAGAAAGATTGGACAGCCATCTGGCGCTACAACCCACTTCCTCATGTCATGTTTGGTTCTATGACACGATGGTCCTCACGGAGGGCTGGACTTGGTGTTTTTTATTTTGTTTTATTTGCTGCATAATCGTAGCACCGCGACGCACCAGTTCCTCAGTTGCCCCGGCCTACCTGATCGGTCGGACAGTGAGTATAATTGGAGGCCTGAAGAGACCAGCAAGGAAGGTTAGGAGGTCTAAACACTGTCGAGAAATTGCATTACTGCATCCTGATAGGAAGAATCAAAGAAGCGCCAGTACTTACCACAGCTGAGCGCTGTCTTGGGGCTGATAGACTTTCCCACGGCTCATGTTTCAGGGCGGGAATTCCAGTGGAGTCTTTTAAATTTCAACTCCGACGACGTGTTCATGTAGAAGCTTAACTGCTGTACTTACGGTGCCTATGAGTTGCCTATGCCTCTTGCTGACGTAGTAAGTATTAATCTTTCATTCGAGAATAACTGACCATGTCCAGTTCGGAATAAAGGAGACTGATATAAGTGATTCATTCGGGTTGTAGATGTTCGAGGAGCTCAGGAGCACGGTCGAACCGCACCAGCCTGCTGGCCTGTAAAATTTGAACAAAGTTCAAAGTTCGCGGTCTCAGGCTTCTAAGGGAGCGATGAGAAAAGCATAACCTTTATATTTATCCTTACAGTGGCTATGGTACATTCTTAAAGACTCGGGAACACAGCCACGGTTAATGAGATGCCCATCAGGCACGGGTATCACAGCATCATGCATCCGCCATTCCTTTATAACAGGACTATTCTCAGTATGAGCACTACTCTCATTGAACTCCATGGCCTCATTCTATACCACTGAGGTGCGCTCTATAAATTATGAATTCTTGCCATATGACTTCACTAAGCTGGTTTTTTCAGTTATATATGACTGCTCACCACAGAGCACTTGCTGAAGAACAACCCCTCCCCGAAACCATTTGTCGCATGTCTCTCTTAACAAGGGTACTCTGTTTTTTGGCACTTGGACGCCCAGATCTTGATGATCATTGGAAGTCTCTGCAATCAGATAGAGCCTTCGAAACTGTTAGGAGCAGGTCATGCTCTATCCTGACCAACACCATCACCACCGTAAGTTGTCCAACTCCGCCCGAGCTCAAGCCGACGCTGATATACTCCAAAAAAGGCAACTATCCTCGCTACAAGTGGTGTTTTCGTCAGTACGGGCTCTCCTGTGCCATACTTTGACTATTCATCACCTGCTCCCTATTGTCTACTCTTTATGTCTCTCATGCTCGCCATGATTGCGATGTTGATATCTGGCTCAAGTATGATACGCTGGCTACACACCGATCGGCAGTGGACTCAAGAAGTAAGCTTTATTCTCACCATCGGATTACACCGAGCCTAATTATAATAATCAGCAACTCACGCAAGGCGATTACTTTGTCTGGTCCTACCTGTTGTCAATAGTCACGCCTATCTTCTTCGTTGTCTTGTCCCTGAATTGTTTCATGTTTGGTTAGTTGCTTCGTCATTTGGTGCTTTCCCTGGTTCCTCATGCATTTCACCCTCAGCGATATTGATAGCAGGGTTTCCTCTCAAAGCATGGTCTTCCGCACCGTCACTGCGCTCTGGTTGGTCACATACGTTGTCAACATTGGCGCAATATTCATGGAATTCATGTGGAAATATGCGAAGGGCCTCAAATCACGCTAGATGTCGACAGTAGTTTCCGCTTTGTTCATTCTTAGTCCCGAATCGTGATGTTGTACACTGTAATTGACGCTTCATGTTTGTGTTTTCGTTGTTAAATAATAGATCGGTGGTTATGCAGTCTTTCATGAAAACCTGACAAAAATCCTACATAATGAGTGCAATGGGAAAAGCTTGCCTTTTGCTAATGCGTGCACATCTGATGTTACAGGAACCAACACGGGTCTGTCACCTCTATCACAATACATTTTCCGGGTCTAGAGTAGAGACCGATGGAATGGGTCACGAGTGGAGCCTGGGGGAGGCGAGAACCGCAGCTAGTAGACACATGTGACGAAGGTGGAAGCTTCGGCGCCCAAAAGTGTTCGAGCGTCAGACACATCTTACTTTCTTCCACCGAGTCAAAACACGATGGGTCAGTGTTTCAGCGATACAGCGAGCCTCACCGACTTCGTCAACAGGCCAGGTCAGAAATATATTGATGCGTCTCACGAGTGATTAAACAGTACTCTCCAGGTGTCGAAGACAAGCAGCTCACCGCTGAAGATATCAAGCGTGGCTTAGGCCTAACGGCCAAACACCTGAAAAGCAAGAAAAAACAGATCACTGTCGTGGCTGTTGGAGGTGCTATAAACACGATTCTCCTTCGTGCGTATTCGTTCAACGATCTCCTAATGATGATGCAACTGACGATCTCGTACAGGCTCCCGTGCCTCTACGGCGGATGTAGATTTCTTCAGCGTTGATGCTGCAAACAATCCCGTCTTGCGAGATGGTATTAAAAGCGCAGCCAAGAGCATGCAGCTTGGTGAAGGGTGGATGAACAACCACACTGCACTTTTCATCGCTCCCAACACCAAAACCAACCTCTACAACGAAGCAATTAGCGATGGTGTAGTCATCTTTGATGAGCCTGGGCTTAAGGTGCTCGCTGCGCCCTGGATGTACTGTCTAGTAGCCAAATTGGAGAAGGCCGGAAAGAGAGGGAACGCGAAGTCCTATGATATGTCCGATGCATCGCAATACCTCATCCAAGAATCCAAGAGGAGGGGGACGAAAATCAAGGTCGCAGACATTGAGGCGAAAGCGATCGCGTACGGAGCCAAAATCCAGGAAGCGCAGATCAAGGAGTTAAAGGCATTGTGTGGAGGGTATATAGAGGGATGAGTCAGTTTAGCGACGAGTACACACTTTCCTGTAGTACAAGTGTATGACAGTACAAAGATATGAGCATGACGTGTTGACCTAGACTTGTGAGTGGGTAGAGAGCTAGCGGTATGAATTCATTACTAGTCAGTGAATGAATGCGATAGTGGGTTTGCCCGAGATTTCTTATATATCAATGACTACAGGAGGCCGGATATCACGATCTCGCGGACCTCCTACCACAGATGCGTTGACAGCAACCGTCCTTATACTATTATCACGGCGACCCCAAAGCATCGCCCATAGCAAATGCATAGTGCGAAACCAACCGCCTTTCTTGAGCACAATGTCCTCCCAGATTGACTGAGCAGAGTTCCATGGCATATTCTCGATTCCACGACCGCCATGGATGTGTCCGAACACATGAAGCACTGGCGGGTGTGTCTTACAGAGCTCCCATATACGTGCAAGCAGGGCTCTGCAACCAAGTCCGGCGAGATCGAGATGACCGTGAGGAGGACCATGAGTGATGAGAATATCTGTGTCGTTTGGAATGATAGACCAACGGCTGGGAGTGCCAGTGACGCCCGTACGTGGGTATTGGAAGGCGCCATTGCCGTGCCGCGGAGTGAATGGGCTGCCAAAAATTTTGAGTGCGCGACCGCGCACTTGAATAGTGTGAGCCTCGTCCTCCAGATAGATGATTCCACGCTCTCGCCATGTATGGACCCATGAACGACGCTCGACTGTCTGAAGGTACGTATCGTGATTACCGGCTATAACGATTTTGTGTTTATGTGGAAGGGAGGCTAGCCAGTCAAAGGTGACCTGGAGCTCACGGGGAGTGCCAGAATGAGTGAGATCACCTGCGTGAATGAGGACATCACCGGGTGGTATCAGGGCAGATATGTCGGCGTTGTGAGTGTCTGATATGCATATGGTGCGAACGGGAGAAGACAAAGGACGTGGCAGTTGTTGGCTGAGAGTATTATATAGCTTTGAGGCTATGTAAAGGCTAGGATTCGTCTTTAACAGCTCCCATGGACTAGGAGCTTTGCGATTAATGATTGCATCGAAGCCAGACATGCTCGTTCGAAGGATCAATCCATACGCCAGTGAGGAAAAACGCCGCTGAAGATCAAATGCTGGCTTAGTAAGCGGGATATAATGAATCTAGCTTGGTCGTTCCAAAATTATGATACAGAGTCCTCAGGCAAATGCTCGCGCTGCGTTCCTTGACCTGGAGCTCATATGTATCACTGCTCGAGTTGCAATATGCCGAATTCAATTTGTCGGAGATGACTCTAGCTCGATTAATTCATGAACGACTTGGGCTTAAGTTTGCTGTCTTCGACACTGAGCGGCAGTGAGGAGACGTGCTCAAGCATATAAATGATTTGCGTAGGACCGACTACTAGTACGTATCTCGATGGAAGTCATCCACCAGCATTCAGAAATTTGCATTGGACTAGCTGCTCTGGTATCTCACAATTTTAGGATCAGCTATTGGAATATCTACAGATTTCTGCCATCACGGTTTTCTGCTAATACCATGCAGATACTCGTCAAACGCGCTTACCAGCCGCTCAATCGGTTGCCGTATAGGCGTAGCACCATCTATAACACTCGGACTCCCAAGCATCCCAGCTCTTGCCCACCCATCCACTATCGTGTTCCCCCACAACAACATCCAGCACATTGTCCACGTCCATCCCATCCAGCCACCTGTCTTATTCCCCGCAACAGCACGCTCAATGACCATCCCAGCGCCCATCATTCCAAATGGCAACATCATGCGCCACATCTCCGAGGATGGGTCCATAGGAAGTAGTTGAAGGTGATGAATAAACCCAGAGGCGAGAAATGCGCCTATGACGCCCCCGATACGCCCAAAGAGTAGAGAAAGTGGGTTTCCCCCAAGGAAAATGAATATCCGACGGAACAACTGATGCCAGCGTCGGCTCCAGAATTCTCTGAGAGAGGTGGCGCGCCAGGGAGAGTCAATTAATGGGGGACATTGGTCTGGATGTTGCCTGAATATCAGTATGCAAATAACTACGATGATCTCGTAATATGCTTTGATTATTGAGTAGACGGCGAATGCGCATAGTGTGGCGATGATGCTCGATCGTAAATAACGGAGGTGTGGGGGAAGTGAGTCGTCGAAGATGGTACCACCATCAACAGATCCGAATGTATCTAGGGAGAACGACTTCACGGCAGTGTGAATCGTGCCAGAAAGAAATAAGTGCTTTAGACCGGAGACTAAGGCGGATGTAGCAAAGGCCAATCGTGAGGATGTAGGATGTGTCTCAGGCGGGATGTACAGTCCCTGCGACCAGTCCCAGCCACAGCCCCGAAAGTTGCATACCAAATCAATTGCGTCGAGCACAAGATTTTGCTTTGGCACGTCGGTTGACGATGGGCGAGCCATACGAACAAAAGGTTTCGTCTGCACGGTCCATTCAAGGGTGCGTGCTGCAATACAAATCATGGATGCCTGAGAGATAAGTTGAACGGTGCGGCAATTGATGCGAATACAGGAACTCACTTGCAGGTGCATATTCAAAAAGGCAAGTTTCGGTTGCCCCATGGACATGTCTAGCGATATCGCGGCGCGAAGTGCAAGGATCGCGGTGATAGGCCACAATGCAATGCGGACTGACTGGGTTCGGGGCAGCAGGACAAGAAAAGCTGTGGCGAAGCAACATGCGACTGGTGGAAGGACTCGAGAAGCGAAGGTCTCAGTCGTGAGTAGCACCTTAGTTGTGGGGAGACGCAGGACGTCCAGCAAGGGCAGCATTGTGGCCGTTGTGCGGGTATCTGGTGTCAAGCCTGAGGTTCATACGTTTATAAGTAGGTTCAATATAAAGCCTCCGTGAATCAAATTGTCATATAGTGCCATGGAGTACATGTATATGTATGTGATTGGTCGATTGGGGATATTTCTCAGCGTTGCCGCAACAATGGACGTGGCAGAGACTGATGGTGCAGATGTCAACGCAGCAACATAGGAAGGGCTAGAACATTTCGTTGAAGAGTCACATGGTACAGCAGGGATCAGTCAGCAGCACGTCGCGCCAGCCCAGACTTACCTTTACCTTTCTATCCGCGCTCCATTCACTCCCCTCGTGCAACGATCGCTTCGGCGGACCAGTGAAGGTCAGATCTTCACTGGGGCATTTGCAGAGTCAAAGACACGGTGGGGGACACAGGTGTCCCCCTTTCCTAGTAAGAATTGTCCTACATAGGGCATTACACCCCAACCGGACAAAAAATTGAAATCAAGAAAGAAAGAAAAATGCAGCAACGTGAGTTACGTGACAGCGAGGATAATTGCAAAGAAAAAACAGATTGTGTGATATGGGTTTGTAAGAAGATACTCACATGTTCTTGCGTACGTGGTCGTACCTGCCAGTTTAGCGACAAGCACACACTTTCCTGTAGTACAAGTGCATGATAGTACAAGGATATGGGCACGACGTGTTGACCTAAACTTGTAAGTGGGTCGAGAGCTAGCGGTGTGAATACGTTACTAGTCGGTGAGTTTGCGCGAGATTTCTTATATATCAATGACGACAGGAGGCCGGATATCGCGGTCTCGCGGACCTCCCACAACAGATGCATTGACAGCAACTGTCCTTGTACTATTATCCCGGCCACCCCAAAGCATCGCCCATAGCAAATACATAGTGCGAAACCAATCCCTTTTTTTGAGCATGATGTCCTCCCATATTGACTGAGCAGAGTTCCAGGGCATATTCTCGATTCCACGACCGCCATGAATGTGTCCGAACACATGAAGCACCGGCGGGTGTGTCCTACAGAGCTCCCGTATACGTGCAAGCAGGGCTCTGCAACCAAGTCCAGAGAGATCGAGATAACTGTGAGGAGGGCCATGAGTGATGAGAATATCTGTGTCGTTTGGAATGACAGATCAACGGCTGGGAGTGCCAGTAACACCCGTACATGGGTATTGGAAGGCGCCATTGCCGTGCTGTGGAGTGAACGGGCTGCCAAAGATTTTGAATGCGCGACCGCGCACTTGAATAGTGTGAGCCTCGTCCTCCAGATAGATTATGCCACGATCTCGTCATGTGTGGACCCATGAACGACCCTCGATTGTCTGAAGGTACGTATCGTGATTACCGGCTATGACGATTTTGTGTTCGTGTGGAAGGGAGACTAGCCAGTCAAAGGTGACCTGGAGCTCATGGGGAGTGCCAGAATGAGTAAGATCACCTGCGTGAATAAGGATATCACCGGGTGGTATCAGGGCAGATATGTCGGCGTTGTGAGTGTCTGACATGCATATGGTGCGGACGGGAGAAGACAAAGGACGTGGCAGTTGTTGGCTGAGAGTATTATATAGCCTTGAGGCCTGATAAAGGCTAGGGTTGGTCTTGAACAGCTCCCATGGACTAGGAGCTTTGCGATTAATGATTGCATCCAAGCCAGACATGCTCGTTCGAAAAGGAACAATCCGTACGCCCGTGAGGAAAAGCGCCGCTGAAGGTCAAATGCTGGCTTAGTAAGCGGGATATATACAAACTTTGAAACTAGCTTTGATACAGAGTCCTCAGGCAGATGCTCGCGCTGCGTTCCTTGACCTGGGGCCCATCTCAATGCTCGGGTTGCAATATGCCGAATTAAATTTGACGAAGATGACTCTAGCTTGATAAGACTTGGGCTTAAGTCTACTGTCTTCGACACTGATCAGCCGGACCCCCACCGGCCTTACCGACGGCATGGAGAGGTGTGCTGAGGCGTGCTGGAGCATACAAACAATTTTCAGACAATTTGCGTGGGACCGACTACTAGTACGTATTTCGATAAATGTCATCCACTGACATTCAGAAATTTGCATTGAACTAATTACTCTCATATCCCACAATTTTGGTATCAGCTGCTGGAACATCTACAACTTCCTGTCAGTATTGTTTTCTGCTAACATGTATGCAGATACTCGTCAAACGTCCTCACCAGCCGCTCAATCGGTTGTCTTACAGGCGTCGCACTATCCAGTTCTTGCCCACTCATCCACCATCACGTTCCCCCACAACACCAGCCAGCACATTCTCCACACCCATCCCATCCAGCCACCTGTCCAATAACACGCACGATCACCACCCCGTGCCCATCATTCCAAATGGCAGCACCATGCGCCACATCTCCGAGGACGAGTCGATGGGGAGTAGTGCGATGTGGTGAAAAAATGCAAAGGCGAGGAACGTGCCTATGACGCCCCCGATACGCCCAAAGAGCAGAGAAAATGCGTCCATTCAAAGGTGCGTGCTGCAATACAAACCATGGATAGCTGAGAGATAAGTTCAATGGTGTGGCAGTTAATGCGAATAGGACAGGAACTCACCTGCAGGTCGATATTCAAAAAGGCAAGTTTCGGTTGCTCCATGCACATGTCTAGCGATGTCGCCGCGCGAAATGCAAGGGTCGTGGTGATGGGCCATAACGCAATGCGGACTGGTTGCGTTCGGGGCAGCAGGACAAGAAAATCTGTGACGAAGCAACACGCGGCTGGTGGAAGGACACGAAAAGTGAAGGTCTCGGTTGTGAGTAGTCGAAAGAAGTCCAGTCGCTATTCATTCACTCAACAGAAATCAAACAGACATGCTATATAACATCTTTCGTACAGACAACGTGATGAGTTGGTTCCGCTTATGACATCTATGACCCCTGATCTTTCTGGGCTTGAGTGAGTGATAATTTAAGATTGGGTGCTGGTGTACGGTCCAATTTGTCTGGCGCGAGAGTTCAATAGGCATCTACTTATTCAAGGGCAGACATGGCCGGCAGGCTTCGCTTAGGACGACGATGACAAGTCCCTCGACGACGCGCCGGAGTTTGGAGAGCACAATTTCGATGATCCAGGAAGCGCCGGATGGGAAAGATTTGGAGACTCGTGGGCTTTCCGGAAATGGTTCGCCTTACGGAGGTAGGGGCGGTAGTTCTTCCCATACTTGATAGGGATCGAGGCGATACTGTATATAACCATAGGCATTTTTTTCTAGTCGCTTTGATGGATCGCAACCTTGTGATGAAAAGAACGAGTATGAGTATGGTTATTAATGGACGATTTTATTGGTCAGCAGACTGAATACCATCTCTCGTCCATCGAGTGCGGAGCTAGGCTCTTTGCGAGTCTATATCCTCCTTCGGCCCGAAGAAAAGTATTTGCCGCGCTTGAAGTCATAGGAGGATGGATATCGGTACCAGCCGCTCAATGCTACGACTCGGAGGAAAAGAGGCGATTTGATCTGGCAAGCAAAATAATATTTGCAGCATAGCATGCATCCTGGTCAGTTTTCCCAATAGCGACACCCTTTGCGCCTCCGATGTGGTTATGTTTAGAATAGAGATGAGACTTAGAGTAGAAACGGTTATATCTATGTGTCCGATCCGAGTCTTTCCTCCGCGCTGCGATTACGAATCCACACCGCTCCGGCTATTCCCGTGTAAGTTGGTGTTCCCTACACTACTCATTCATATTATTACTAATTCTTTTCTCCTGTGCTCGTACTGTCATCATGTATGGCTAAGTCCAACATCCGACTCGTCCATACCGTCTCGCCCTCTCCCATATTACTAGCAATCACCTTGGTTTCTATTCCCACCACGTTCGAAGTGCTATTGTCCAGTGAGGTGTATTCTCACCACCGTTGGAGTATGGCACATCAGGAAAAAATTGAAGTGCTACATAGTGCTACATAGGCTACATACTACTTGTAGGCTCATTGCAGGTCCCCCCCCCCTACATAGCGCTATATACCTCAGGCTATATCATTATTTGTGCTACATTGTATCCAGTATCTCATACATCAGCTATGTAGCCCTGCTATGTAATGCCACATACCCTCCAATAGTAAGCCAACTTAGTTCATATCACTCAATCCAATGAGAACAATGATATAGCATCCATGAATTCATTATTATTCTACTTGTCTTCGCATCCGTTGTGCTCAGATTGACTACCATAATCCTCATCCTCATCATCAGTCTCATTCACGCCACTCCCCTGCTCGTATTCGCGAATGGCATTGTGAATCTCGTCATCCGAGAGACAGTCTTGATCTCCGACATCAGCCGGATCTACTTTTGCATGAATTCTGTACCGTCATCAGCGAATCTGCGAGATTTCAATAAAAGAAAGACACTTACCTCCCATTATCATTAATCTCCTTCAGGATACCATCGAGTATGCCGTGGACCTTAGTTCGCACATGGAATTTCTTGAGGTTAACAAGGTGCTTGTCATAAGCCTCCTTGTACTCGCCACACGAAAAACTAATATCTATCTGCTCGCTGTCAACCCATTTGTCGACACAACATTCTGCCTGACATGGTTGTTAATATTGGAACGAAACAACTAAACATGTGACTCACCGCTGTGTACACTAATGCCAAGGCAGGAATGGGAAACAGAGTAAAAAGCTTCTCGAACATTACCCCTTTGTCCTTTTTGTTACTGTACCACAGCAAATTGGCCGCTTTTTGATTCAACTTCGTCCGAAAAAGCCCACTGTGAGGGACCTTTTGTTTCTCATCTCCGGGGTTCTTCAAACAAAGTATAAGTAGACTATATGATTCAGCATACTAACCACTCACCCAATAACATAAACCGAACTTGTTCTTGAGCTGACGGGCCAGTCTTCGATTCCTGGACTTGACAGAGTCCCGACTGCCATGCTCGAAGCCGTAAATATTCTCGATAAGTGAACGGACCTTCCCTTTCACCTGACTGGTGAGATGTGATGTGCGACGAGTAATCTAGAGCAAGAGATCAGCAGGTGAAATAATATAAATAAATCACGTACAATTTGAATGATCTCACTATTGAAGGCCATCTCAATCTCATAAGCGGTACATCCCTCCTTCCATGCCTCCTTCGCCCACAAGACTTGGGTCATGCGGTCTGGATATGCATACTCAGAAGCAAGCCACACGCAAAAAGAGCTAATTGAAAATTTAATTAGCTGCTGCACAGCTACCTCGTAATCGCGGTACTTAGTCCTATAGCCAGCATTCTCAATATAAAACATAGCATAGATAATAAAACTTACCTGCGATATTGGCATTGTACCATTCTTGCCTGTGTCGTCGATCCTCAACCTGCTGTGTCTGTGACAGGACCCTGGACTTGAGCTTTGCAGTAGATCTTGTTGAACCAACGACAAGCCGCACAGAACGAGAGTTTTTGGAGGCAGGCATCATATGTGGTAGGGAGAAGGAGAAAGGCACGCTCGCTGCTGCCAATGATGGCAGCAACAGTGAGGGGCGTGGAGTTAATGGGTGTCTGCCGAGAAGTGTGAGTCATATCAACAAAGTCACGTGTGAGTTGGACTTACCATGCAAGACAACGACAAGGACATGTCAGCACCAACTATTGTTCGTAGTGTGTGCGCATTGATAAATAGACCTAGAATAAAAAAAGAAGTAAGAAAAACAGTGAAAATTTGAAGGACTTAGCTTTGCTCATCGTTGACAACAGCGAGCAACAATGATTAAGCAGCGAGCGGCAAATATAGCATAACACGGACCTTCCCGAAGGAGGGTGCGATAGTCGGGATGGTCTACTCACATAAGCTTCCGTTCTGGGAAAGTCTACAAAGGGAATTAAGGCTTTATTCGTGGTGGTACTGCTGGGGTGTGAGAATTAGGAGAACAGGTGCTAGTTAGCATGTCGTAGCCCCCCCCCCCCCCCCCTACGACATCCTTATTAGGTTACATACTAGTGTGGTTGAGGTGATAAGTGACGTTTAAGTAGAGGGATCTACTTAAAAAAGTAACTTTTACTTTTTTCTGCTTCCCTACTATTTGATGTGAAAAGTTGGATATAAGTGATTAAAAGTTAAACCTGAGATTTCCTGATGTAGCCACCATGATGTATGGGGACGGTATACAAAGTTAGTAGGGTAACGTAAGATCACTGCAGCCCAGGGCACGACGATTCATGAACCACGAGTTATATGTTGGTGAGATCATCTGATTTGCTGATGAAGTTCTTCGAAAGGTCAGACAGCCGCCCATTTGTAAAAGGCGGCCAATCAAGCATGATTTTTAATCCAAAATAAAAAAAACCCATGCACATGTGGAGCGACGATTTTAGATTCAGAGTGTGAACCTAACAGTCGACGAGACTAGCAGCTGAATGGAAATCGAGCGCGCACAATGTGAAAAAGTTAAAATCATGTGGTGTTGCCGTTCTGGCAAATCTCCTTGGCAAACTTCGCACAACTAGTACCAGAGGGGTACTAGAGAATAAATCAGTTACAATGCATGTGGTACAACAAGGTTTACTCAGCCCAATGCCGAAAATAGATGTATGATCGCAGTCTAAACCTCTGTCATCAGTGGCAGAATAACTCCACTTCAAATCTTCAGAATGACTTAACTTTAGAAACAGACCCGGAGTTCGTTGCACAGGCGAGTCACTGCCAATTCAATAGGAAATGGAATTCACCGTACATATGGGGGATAGTGAATCAAAAGCTTATCTGCCAGTGCAATTTAATAGGATAAGTCACGGTAGCAACATCGACTAATTATTTCTTGCCTCGGCACCACAACTTGAACGTTGTTCGATTTACAGCTTGCAAGTCGCAATCAAAGTAAATGCACCTTATAGGACAATATTGTCGCTCGCGAGTGTGAAACGAATCTATTGAAAATATTAATGTTCAGTCTGATCTCAAGATTTCAGAGTTATTTACTCAAAATCATGGAGGAACATTATGTGGCACTAGAAAAGGAAGAACTGAGTCGGACATCATGGTGTTCCAGATCCCAGTACTTGGCTCGTGGAAAGATCCAGTTGGACCTGCATCCTGATATGAATATCTTTCTGGCATCAATAGGCATCGCTTGGACATCCTCGGAGGCCCGACATCATCGTCGTTTGGAGATATCATACACTAGTTACAAACCTTAGTAGTTTTATGAAGTCGAGACACAGTAGGATCGGAGAACGCTCCAGTAGCCAAAGAGGGTACTGTACAAACTTGCGTACAATATTGTTAGCACTAGTTTTGACAAAATGTCAACTTCAAGTCACCTTTATATTTGTTTGGACAGAACGTGCCCAGTACTGCGCATACGCAATCATTGGACTGCGTAGAAGGCACCATCATCGTGCTCATGTTTCCTGGAACCTGAGAATGTGGTTATCATCCCTGATCAAGGCCTGAAGCTTGAAGATCAGAAAGTATGGGCGCCAGGAATGCCCGGGAACTTGTGGTAAATTCATGTGGAGCGCATGCAATTGAACGTGTCGTCTTGATGCCATCATGTTCCTTTGGTAAAACACCACTACAGCCACTATAACCCACTCGATAGCAGCACTGTGGATCAAGCATTCTTGTCAAGAACACTATCCAGGCTGTCCGCGGACAGTACCTTGTATTGAGTGTATGCATCTCGTGCTTCTCGGACTATCTAATTACTTTCGTGTTTTGTTTGGACTCTTTTTAACATTTTTGTGCTATGGCATCTGTATAGTAAGTTACTAGTCTCGATACCAGCCGCCTTGTCACCATGGGAAAGGGGCTACCCACACACACCTTGTTACCATTGTGTAAGGCGACTGGTTATGAGTCTATCATCTGTATTGCAGGGAGTGTATCTTATTTTGCAGTAGCCACGAGCAATATGGTGTACACTAGGCTCGCATGATAGCGACAAATACATGCAACTACAACAGCTCGTTCAACTTCAATTGAGGAGCCCGAAACGGACAACTTGTCTAAGTCATTGTTGACGTTCACGAGTATGAGTGCAAGTGCGAGAATGTCGATGCTTGATGGTGTGGTATCAGCGCAGGCTCCCTGGGTGAGATGTGGGTAAGGCCGGAGACATCGATGTTAGTGACGGCGTGTCCAGCATTGGTGGCGATAAAATTCAGAATGAGTTTGGCAGAGGACGATAGTGGTCACACAATGGCGTGTGCGCTAAAACCACGCCTTCAGTTATCAGAGAAGGATGAGGGCAGCGAAAGAGGCGGCCAAGGTTTTCATTCTTATGTTGGTGTGTAGCTATTTTGATGTGGTCCTGCCACGGTCGTGACTGCACTTTTCATCGCTTCCAACACTAAAACCAATCTCTACAACGAAGCAATTAGCAATGGTGTAGTCATCTTTAATGAACCTGGACTTAAAATGCTCGCTGCGCCATAGATGTACTGTCTGGTAGCCAAATTGGAGAAGGCCGGAAAGAGAGGGAATGCAAAGTCCTATGATATGCCTGATGTGTCGCAATACCTCATCCAAGAATTCAAGAGAAGGGGGGAGAAAATCAAGGTCGCAGACATTGAGGCGAAAGCGATCGCGTACGGGGCCAAAATCCAGGAAGCGCGGATCAAAGAGTTAATGCAACTGCGCACTTGGATAGTGTGAGCCTCGTCCTCTGGATAGATGATGCACACTCTCGTCATGTGTGGACCCATGAATGACCCTTGGCTGTCTGAAGGTACGTATCGTGATTACTGGCTATGATGATTTTGTGTTCATGTGGAAGGGAGACTAGCCAGTCAAAGGTGATCTGGAGCTCATGTGGAGTGCCAGAATGAGTGAGATCACCTGCGTGAATGAGGATATCACCAGGTGGTATCAGGGCAGATATGTCGGCGTTGTGAGTGTCTGATATGGTGCAGATGGGAGAAGACAAAGGACGTGGCAGTTGTTGGCTGAGAGTATTATATAGCCTTGAGGCTATATAAAGGCTAGGGTTGGTCTTGAACAGTTCCTATGGACTAGGAGCTTTGCAATTAATGATTGCATCCAAGCCAGACATGCTCGTTCGAAAAGGATCAATCCATACGCCCGTGAGGAAAAGCGCCGCTAAAAATCAAATGCTGGCTTAGTAAGCGTCTATGCTTATTGTTCAGAAGTTGAATATGATCAAGGGAAAGAACACGCGAATCATATTATTAGGTGCTGACTAACAATGGTAAACTGAAGTAAGAACTATGCAAAAGGCAGACAACATATTCAACGAGAGTTTGGGCAAAACCCCGAAGGGGTTTTCGACCGAAACATGAGACAGGTCTCTTCTTAGGAGGGGCAAGAGCGAGCTGAGATTCCCTATAATTAGGAGCGTGACAACGCATCTAGCGTCAGCTTGACCCCAAGCTTTAGGAGACAACATGGAACTTACGAAAATTAAGGTAGCGCATAGCGCATAAACGGTTCTAAGACTGGGCGGTCCTGTAAGTAGGGCGCTAGTATCACTGCATGTCGACGGAGATATAAAAGGAAGGCGTCGCTTGACCAGCGTCTGATTGTTTTCACTGATTCGAAGGGTACCCCCCTCAATAGGTATTCTAAGGTCCCTCCGATGCGGATGCCATGTCCTTTGAGAGCTCCTCCACCCAGACTATCGCTGGCCGTCTGCAAGCATTGCAGGAATTGTGACCTCGTCAAAGGACGTAGTCCTGACCAATGTCTCCAGCTAAATAAGACATCTCCGGCGGACAGTTTGTTAATGTCGAGGTGATTTTTCATGGCAGCGAGGGGATCAATCATGCCTGTTTGAGCGGCCCAATAGACATCTTCGCCAGCAAGTGCAACCTTGGTACAAGGTAAGTGGAACATGGTCACACGGAAACCATTGCGATCTGTTTCGTCTCTCATGTCACTTACTCGTACGTGTACCAGCGGATCGAAGCTTCGCAGAGAGGGTACTGTAAACTTGCCAGTGTGTGCGAGCGTGAAGAAAGATGTGGTGAGACATGCGTATACTGCAGCGTGTAGAGATGTGGATAGATCTAGCGCTGAATGGAGGTGAATGATGAGTGACGTGGTGAAGGGTTCCCGTTTTGGACATGTGGAAGCTGCAGGAGCGAGACGTTTACCTCCTTCTAGTGCTAAGGATATCTGATCTTGTTCGACTCGCCAAGCTTGGCCATGTAACAGGTGCCAAGCTCTCATGGAATATAAGTAGTTCTCGAGTGTTTTTCCTGAATATAGCCTGGCACAGGAAGCGATGAACGCGAGAATCAAGATTGAAGACGCTGGGCAGCGTTGGGACTCTGGGACATTCCTGGAGTCACAAAAGACGTGAAACACCAGAAGACCCGAGCCGTAGGATTCTCTGGTGCTGGGAGCGTGGGAGTGCGTGATCACAGTCAGTATGCGGTCGAGGTCATTCTCGGATATTGTTACTGGTGAACCTGCATGATCTAACAGAGACCGTGATATTCCTGGTACCCATAGCCTTAGCCTATCCCATGCTAAACAATGCGGTCTAAGAGGCGACATGACGGGTGTTAAGTCTGGTTTGTAGGGACGAACTGATGCACTGGCAGAGGAGACAATGAAGGGGGGTGGTTTCACAAACTTGGTGGGTCTATTCCTGCCAGAAATCTTGTAGTTGGAGGAGTTGTTCTCCCCAGTAGCCGTCGTTCTCTGTGTCAACCACTTCATCAACACTTTGCTGCGAATCGAAGACGCGGGGACAATCAGATTCGGTGGAGGGTTCGATGTCAATGAGAAATTGGCAGAGATCTCCTGGGAGGGCGATTGGGGGTAGGAGGAACCAACATGGAGGGAAGACTCCTCGTGATGGATCGTCTGCTGGGTTGTCTGCGCTAGGAACGTACTGTAAGTGGAAGGAGGTTTCACCGCCGATTGACTCCAGCAAGCTGTGGATGCGACGAAACACAAGGTTGGTGGCTCAGTTGTGGCTGCGGTGGTTCTTCCATCCATCAACCACTCCCTGGTTGTCGCAGAACAACCAGAAGTGTTTGTGGATGCTGGGTTGATGACCGTTGAGGATGGCATGTACGAGGAGCTCGAACCCCATGCACTCAGCCCACCCAATGTCACGCTGACCTCTGCATGTTTGCCATCCAGGCAGCAGACGCCAGGCTCGCCAATGCCCATTGAGAGTAATTGCAATGCCGAAGGATGTACTTGCATCTGAGAAGGCCTGTAAGTCGATGAGGGAGGAGGGCTGTGTGATGAGGCATCCCACGAAGGGGTGATTGAGACATTCTTCCCACCACTCGAGCTCTTTGTTGAGATGATGATTGGAGTGACGTGGCACGAAAGGGCTATCGTGACTGACTCCGAGCATGGTCTCCAATCCACTGAGGTACGCACGTCCCGCTGGGACCACCAGGCATGAGTGCAACAATTTCCCGTAGAGCCGTTGGATGTCGAGTAGCGTGTGTGTCGCGTGTGAGCGCCAGTCTGTGATGGCAAGTAGATACTTCGCTTGTTTCTCGGGAGATAACCGGACTGATAAGCGCGAGATGTCCCAGAGAAAGCCCAGATAGAGCGCCACGAAGCTGAATAGCGTGTCTTTCGTGAGCTCCCACAGTATTCCCAAGAGACGAGACAATCTGGTGATGTCTTCGAACGCAAACGTGAAGTCTGCATCGATGTCAGACCTCGGCAAGGAATCAGAAAGATCACGCAGGGGAAACTTGCAATTTTCTGCATGGATGTCAAAGCTACCATCATCCAAAGGCCCACTTTCATACCACAGACGCCCTCCTGACCGTGACTTCCCGTTGGCCTCCAGGAGATCGTGCAGGTTCTTCCGATGTTCATTGTAAGTAAGAAGATGCTCGCGTCATATGCGAAAGAATAAATGATCACCCACCCATTTAGCCAGGGGTCCGATTCCACCTGTGCGAAGTAAGTCTGCTCCGGCATCAGCAACGTGTCCATAGACACCAGCTGATGGACCCATACCGAAGGATACGCAAGTGTCAACACACAAATCATCGTCAGGAAGGCGAACCATGGCTGCTGCCCATTGTGAGTGATGTAGAGGAATGGTACGATAAGCTTCAGCGACGTCGCGCGTGGCTGCTTGAGAGCCAGGTGGAAGAGAACGAATGATGGTACATATGGTGTCGAATGTTCCCCAAGTGCAAGGGAAGTCATCTGAATTGACACTGGAGTTGATGGAAGGGTTAGGATGAGCCAGAGATGTGTTGGCGGGGAATGAAAAATTCTGGATAACGCAGAACTTTCCAGGTTTTCCTGCTTTGGGGATGATGGAGATCGGAGATGATTGGAAAGGACCCAGAAGAGCATTGAGGCTGTCTTGTGATAACGGGCCGATGTACCGTCCAGTGGTAAGTTCATGTTCCAGAATTTTGTTGAAGGCGGTGCGAAAGATGGTGAGTGATGCACTATTTGGGGGAGATTGCATGTGAAGAACGATGGGTATGTGCAAGTTGAATCCAGACCGTAGACCTTCTGATAGATTGGGATACTCATTAAGAAGATCGTATTTACAAAGTTGAAGCTCCCATTCCCGATGATTGTATGGTGTGAGAGGGTGAAGTTTTCTGAGCCCGACCACATGACTGAGCTCCATGTGATGTGGCAAGACACCCGGAGCACACATGGTGTTCGTCGTGATGCCGACTGTTGCATCCGCGTGATCTTTGCCAATCGACACAAAGTGTTTTGTCTGAGTTCCGTACGAGCAAGGACTTTCCAGAGCGCATTGACGAGGCAGGAAATTTGTTGTTCCATAAGCGTTCGGCGACGCATTCGATGAATTTGTGGCCATGGGTCCCCAGACAGACGGCGCACACGGCTGGGGCACGATTGCCGTATGCGCTGTCTTGAAAACCTGATTGGTTGCCAGAGGTGTTGTGATTGTCCCTTGGTAAATGCGAGCGCCTCCTGGCGGATTGAGATGGTGACCTCTTCAAATGTCTCGAGCTGTGCTGTGAGGAGTGATCTCTGTGGTTGCTGCGCAACTCTTCCCTTGAGTGTCGTGGCTGGAGATGGTATACATGAAAGGCATAAATGCAAACGCAAATGCAATGTATCGCAAAGATGAGTAAACACATTGATGGGTTCAAAGGACCGATCAAGGTAAGGCATAACGCGAAAAACACCAGTTTGAATATTTTTAAACGTGGTTGGTTCGATGTGATTGTGAGGAGAAAGGGAATACAATTAGAAAGATTTCAAAGTAATTGAAAAAGGAGGTGCTAACCTGAGTATCTTGTCTGTGCACATCAGAACGAATGAGCGAGGCACGATAAACCCGCTCGAAGGTGCGCGCAAGGGTTGGCTCATCGATGACTGAAATATCCCAAGCACCTTTTGAGGATGGAATAGCATTGTGCCACGCTCTGCGTTGCTCTTCCTGGAATAGCATGATGGCTCGTTGAGCTAATGAGTCACGAGAGTTCCAGTAACAATGTAGCATGATGGCTCCCCAGAATTGGGCGAGCATCAGCACACGTTGTTGAGGCCAGTCGTGCTCTTCTAGAGCCGCGACTATGCGAGGAATAGCTTGTGCGAAATCTGCTGGGGATAAGTGTCTATCCGCTATGATGCCTGATGCCGGTTTAGAGGATGCAGAGCTTATCCAAACTGTGGAACCGTCTTCGCCGGTGGTAGGAACTAAGCTATCATCGTCACGAGTATGGTAGTTGACCATTGCATCGTCGAGTCCATGATTTGTCCAGTAGTACAATTCTATATACTGACCTTTGTCCAGTTTGGAGGGAACCTGAAAGTTTGAAAGTTCTGTCCCACCCGTCCAGCCCGTCCCGTCCAGCCTGTTCCATCTGTCCCATCTGTCCCATCCATCCGCATCGTCCGGCAAATGATGATCACATTGAAATGTGTCACTGATAGTCTTGCAGGTATCCCTGGCCTGTCGTTAGAGGTCACATTCATGTTTGCCTCATTGGCGACCGGCCTCAAGGACGATATCATTCTCATGCAGCCGGCTACACACAACATATGCAAGCCACCCTTATTTCTTCCTCCCAGTATTGTTTCTTTCCTCAGTGCCGCCTGCAAATTGCAAGTTGCATCTGTGAAGATGTGTTGGAGTGTCCTGAAGAGTAGTATTTGGGCTGGAAATTTTGCTGTTCATGAGAAGATGAAAGACTTATTCAAGATACACAGACACCCTCATGGCCTTAGTGAGTGTTTTTTCATCATGTGTCCACAAAGCTGAATGAATCAATTCAATAGCACGACACACGTTCTATCCACCATTCAAGATGTGTCCCAATTCCACCTGTGATTGCACACAAAAAGGCTTGATGCTCAGCAAGGCTGAACAGCACAAGGTGGTCTATTTTGGCCGCTCTGGTACGGTCCCTGCCTACAGTGTTCAACTGTATTGTGAATGTGAGTGCTACGTCTATTCGACAACCTGACTTAATGCAGCCGCTAAATTCCCCTCAGCCTGCAAGACGACTTATCACGCAAACTACAAGGTCACCGGTGACTGACGCATTTACTATAATTACACCACCGCACTGCCAGATGTTGTGCAGATTGCGGATCACTACTTTGTTGACTATGGAGTAGTGAGGTTATGGAAGGCCATGATGCATGCTTCCTGGTATGCATGCGCACGTTCTGAATCTGCCCTCACTGACCATACACTTAGTACATCAGCAACCAACTGCACACACATCTATAACATCGCACTTGCGAATGCAGAGTCCACACAGTTCCCAGGCACAAAATGGTTTAGCAAGGACATAACTATGGACCATGTCTGGAACACCTTTATCATTTGCACACTGCTTGAAGATTGCTGCGAACGCCATTGTCTCCTCGACGTCAGTCAGACTGTCAACCAGAACGAGCGCTTCATCAAGGCGATGTCAGACAGGAACCGACGCATGCGGACCTATAACCAACCACTTGCTCGTCGGCACTTTTGTGCTAAGTGTACCCGTATTTACAGTCATGGTGATATAAGTATGTATGCTTCTTGCAGTGCTGCTCTGCACTCACATTTTTACAGCCAACAAACTAGTCTCTGTCATTGTGGTGGATGGTGTCGTTGTGAGCCGTCCGTGCTGCTCTGTCCCCAACTGCTGGGTCCATCTCCGTACTCCTCAAGACCGCTTTTGTTACGTCCACTCTGCACGCCTTGAGCAATGTGCAATCAAAGGCTGTGCATGATCTGTGATATCAGGTAGCCTCACTTGCGACATCCCCGCACACCAGGAGTCTGAAGCACTGCACACTCTGTGGGGCAAGTCTCACTTCCGTCTGCATAAACACCTCGAGTGTTCAAGGGCTATCCACAGGCGTCTTGCAAATGTCCAAGTTGGAGACGACGATGACGGAGATGACGATGACGCAACGCAAGTAATTGGAGAGGAGGAGTATGATGTGAAATTGGGAAAGAAGAAGAGACTTCGTGCGCAGTTCACCCGCAACTATACTCATTGTGAGGAGCTGATTGTTGTGCCTTGCGGAATGATTCACGCTCGTGAGACTATGCACAATGCTGAGGGAGTGGGGAGTGTTGCTGAATTTATTCGCCATGTCTTCAGGGACCCAGAGATGTGCTCAACACATGTGTTCTTTGATAATAACTGCTGACTTGCGCTGCACGTCCAGAACGACCCATTCTTTCAAGACATCGGCCTTTCCATCGACGTCTTCCACTTTGAGTGCAAACATTCAAAGCAAGACACGTTCTTCCAAGAGAACTGCAACCCTGCCGCATTTCCGGAGCTCAAGATGGATGACGGGGAGTGGTACTTTAACTCTTCCGCTTGCGAACAGACTAACTCCTGGTTCGGTAAATTCAATCCTATCACGCGAGGCATGAAGCCAGTGAAGTTTGACTTCTTTCTCGACGAAATGATCTTATGCAGGAACCAGGAGATGTTGAAAAAATTGGAGAGGACTGGCAAGAAACCCTCAGTTTGGGCAAGGATGAGTTCGCCTGGTGTCTGACAGGCTTTGGACATATAGCTACCTGCTGTAATGTAGTTTTTTTGACTTAATTGATACGAGATCATCCGTGACGGCCTTGACATTATCCTGTGCAGGCGCGCCCTCAAAACCTCAAAATGAGTTAGCTACACCTAAGATTCCTATTGTAGATATTTTCTTTGTTGATGCTGATTGCTTTCCTTGGGCCACTTAGAAAAGGAAAGCAATCACGTCAACAAAGAAAATGTAGTTAGCTATACCCTACATCTATAGTACTGTAACCCGCCCTCAAAACTGTTCGTGTTAACCGAAGAAAATATCTTTAATACCCTACAGTATAGGTATAGCTGACTTACCTCTGAGGCAGAGCTCTTAACATGAATGGTTTTGGGGGTGGGCTGGCCCCTCTAAGCGGCCCATGTAGTTAGCTATACCTAGTATACTGTAGGAAAGCAATCGCATCAACAAAGAAAATGTAGTTAGCTATACCTATACTGTAGGGTATAGCTAACTACATTTTCTTTGTTGACGCGATTGCTTTCCTTGGGCTGCTTAGAAAAGGAAAGCAATTGCGTCAACAAAGAAAATATCTACAATACCTTACAGTACTATAGATGTAGGGTATAGCTAACTACATTTTCTTTGTTGATGCAATTGCTTTCCTTTTCTAAGCTGCCCAAGGAAAGCAATCGCGTCAACAAAGAAAATATCTACAATAGGAATCTTAGGTGTAGCTAACTCATTTTGAGGTTTTGAGGGCGCGCCGCACAGGATAATGTTAAAACCGTCACAGACGATCTCGTATCAATTAAGTCAAAAAAACTACATTACAGCAGGTAGCTATATGTCCAAAGCCTGTCAGACACCAGGCAAGCTCATCCTCGCCTAAACTGAGGGTTTCTTGCCAGGCCGTCCGACTGATTTTCACTGGGCCACTGCTAGCAGTGGTCACTCTCAGATGAACTAAAAGATGGAGGAGACACATGATTTAATTGACGCGGGATGAGCTAAAACAAAGAGGCGCGAGACAGCCTAAGAGATAGACATGAGATGGACAGCGACATGAGACTAAGACAAAGAGACATGAGATAACTAAGACAAATGCTGCTAATACCAGACAATGAGATGAATGAAAATACCTTCGAGGAACTCAGGACCGGGTCTCTGTCATGAACTTTGACCATAAACCATCTTCTGTTCGCCCAGCCTTGACAAACCTATCTGTAACATTGGCAGGCGCATCCGCCCAACGCCTCTTGTGAGCATGAAATGTTGTGCTAGTGTAAGGGACCCCAAACATCTTCTGGAACACCTTGGCGACACCTTGGCGACGCTTACTGATTGTCTCGCAAAGTCTGAAGCCCTTGGCAATATCACAGGCATAGAAATCTCCTGGCCAGACCTTGACATTGTTGTCCACATCAATCGTATCGGAGAGTGTGCCTCCAGATATGGCTGCATGAGCCCTCGAAGAACCTACTGAAGGGCGTGCAGTGGCCCGTTCGAGTGGTTTACGACGAGTATGAGGTGGGCTGGAGTCACTGGTTGTGGGACTATGTGGACTGCGATGGCGAATGTTCCATTTGGAAGGTTTGGCAGGCAGAGACAGTGTCCCAAAAGATGGAACAGAATATGCTGAATATGATAAGGAGGGTTGTCTGGAATGTGTTACAAGTAACATCGGCTACATGGCCCCCCTATCATTTTTCCCCTTCGTCCTCGCCCTCGTATGCCTCCGGCTCATACTTCTCTACCGACTATCCGTTGACCGGATCCTCGGGACCGTTCCCGTCCCTCATCCCCCTCCTATCGCACCAACGTGCGCACATGCCTTCGGGCTATGACTCGTTCTGACTCGTACCACCAATGTGGCTTTCCTTATCTTGTCTTATCTTTCCTCTGGCTCATGCGTGCTGCGCATTGTATCATTTACCATTGGCTCATTCCAACATTTCTCAGTCTCATTCCGCATTCAACCTCACATCACTAATCAGGCTCTGCTACCAGCGTACCTATACCCTTTCTGTTTCCCCTTTGCCCTTACCTACAGTATGGTAGCCTTGCCCTTAACCCTTTCCACTTAGTATAAGTAGTCGGTCACCCTGTACTAGATTCCCTAACTTGAATCTACTCAATCTTCCCTCGAACATACTTCCCTCTGAAGCCCCCTCAGCTTCAGTCTCTAGTATCTTTTCTTAGGTGCTCATCGTGCCTAAGTCTACCTCGATCGACTACTCATCGTTCGGACAAGACTGTCCTTACTTTGAGAACGTCAGTAACTTCAAAGACAGCCATCTTAGAAGTCACGTGACATGCGCGTCTCTGATATCTGCCGACTCGTCGTCACCAGTCTCAGTCGCTACACCGGACCCTTCCAGTTACGTCACGAACATTAGCGGACGACGCCCCTCTTAGGGCTCCGCATAACAGATCTATTTGAGTGCATAACAGAATGAGGCTTGGCAGGAGGAGGACTAGGCGAAGCTTCCGACAGAGGTTTGGCTTTACCCTTGCCCTTTGACAGCAACAAGGCCTCGACCTCCAACTCAGATGGCGAGGCGCTCATCTTGGCATCGTCCTGAGTGTGATGCAGCTGAGAACGAGAATGAGCATGGAAGACAACTTCATTAGGTGCAGGTAAGACGTTATGGTGCTGACACAGCTCCTCACGGACTGCAGCACGATCGGCAGCCAAGTGAGAGCGGAGGTTAGGTGGAGAGTCGTTGATACTTCGGATACAGCTATCAAGATCCACACATTGAGTTACGTTTGGGTTCTTCAGGAGGACCAGTTGGCCTTCGACGACAGTGATAAGGTAGTCTGGCTGTACACCTCGCCATTCTCGTCGTTGATGATTCCATACATGAATGATGGAAGGCGGCACCCACCCCTTCATCGACCCTTGCAGCGGCTAGTCCCATCAGGGATATAACTTGATGGTTTAGTGATAAGTGAGGCCAAGTAAATGACGGTGTGCCTGACTGGAACTCAAACATGTTGGGCTGACCACTGTCCTGTGAGTGTGATGATCAGTGTCTACTGCATAGCAGAGAAGGAGCAACTAACCTTTACCCAGGAATACACAACTGTATGGTACCGTGCACGATTCTGCACCTCGATCTCGTCAGCACGGCGCTGACGCTGTTCTTCCTCGTGTTTGGATGTTTCTGCTAGCTGCGCTGTGAAGACTTCAGGCATTTGCATATGATAGCAGGGGCCATTCTCTGGGGAGGTGCAATTGCGTGCAGGTACAGTTCGAGCCTTTGTCAGCTTCTGTGCTTGCAGGTCATCAGGCAGATGCTCAATGTGAGCCTCGACAACGGGCACAACACTTGATACATCATGCAGCTGAGGAGATGGTGAACGCGACAGATGCTCGGTGGATGCAGGAATATGGGACTCATCGGCACCAAAGTTGCATAATGGCTGCCCAGGATCATCTTCGAGCTCCAACCCTTCAGCACCATTTGGATCGCCAATGTGGTCGATAAGGTGGTAGCCGCCTAGGCGCCTGCAGTGTTTGCGGCAAGTTGACCGAGCACAGTTCTTATTGACACGGGTGTTGGTACAGCCCACAACCATGCACACACGCTTTGGCACCGGCAGGTGGGCGCTTCTGGTTCGCTGATGGGTATGAGCGTGGGCAACAAGTGCCAGAGAGGATCATGGCGATCCGAAGTGCACAAAGTTGCACTTTGTACCATCCTGACCGACATCAAAACACTGTGTATCCCATCAACACATACTGCAGTCAAAGAAGATGGAGGAAAGAACTTACAATCGCTTGCCAATGGCCATGGTTTCCATGTTCATTGGATTTGCACACCATCCATGGACATGGTTTATCGCATGTTGTGCATGACACTTCATACGTGGGACGTGGGCCTGTGGGGGGCTGAGCTGCGGGGCGTGGCATCACAAGCGTCTGGACAGAGTAACAGTGTGACAAGATAGAGAGAAAGATGCAGAACGATGAGAGAGAAATGAAACGCGGCGGGTTGATATCGATGAACAGGGCTCTTTTATATTCCTGAGGGCGGGGGAATACTGTGGGCGGGGGCATACTGCCAGAATGCCTGAGGACAGCATGAAAGACAGCTCCAGGCTGCCTGTAAGTTGAGCGGCACCCAAAGGAATTCATAGACTAGCAGTGAGCAAGGGAGTGCTGGCCTGGAGAAGGCAAAGATTGGACTAACCTTGCCTCAGGGCCTGTTTCCAGCATAGAGTGGAGCAGAAAGTCCGTTAGCATAAACAACGCCAAGTGACGACGAGCAACGAGCAACGAGCAGGGCGTGATGCGCAACTGGCATCTGACGCTCAAATTTCCAAGCCCAAAAGTATATTCCGAAATTTCGGAGGAATTCCGGATCCAAATTTGGGGTGGGACGGGACGGACGGTCCATTCCAAAATTCTGGTATATACCCAGTTTGCGTGTTGCGAACTCTGAAATTAAGGCTTCTTCGTCATTGGCGAAGGGACGAGGGCGCATGGGCATTGGAATGTGTTTTAGACGGTTTTTCTTCTTTTCATCTGCGCGCGCTGTAGCTTCTTCAAGTTGCAAAGCTGCTCGTTGATGTTCCTGATCTTCTTCGTCTAAACGCTGCTTCTCTGCTTTCAGTCTGTCGTCTTCTGCAAGTTGTTGTTGCCATTGTAAACACAAGTCTTCATTGGTGGTCACCCATATGTTGCGAAGGGTGTCGGCGGCCTGGGCTTCGGTGATGTTGGCTGTCACCATGCTGATCCGACTGACTCGATACCTTTCGGACATGAAGTCTGGGCAAACTGAAAACCTAGGATCCGAGTGGAGTCTATCCATTGTAAAACTTTCCGGTAAAACTGCTGTAGCTGTTTTGTCGATTTTTTTTAAAAGTGGCTAGAGCAGAGTATGGCTAATGATGATAGCACAAGGCGAAATGCTCAGTGTATGAGCAATAGTGGTTCTCAAAGTTAACTTCGTAGAATTTTGAAAGGTCAAAGATTTGCGAGTTGCCGGTATTATTGACGCTCCGATGCTGACAAATAAACCCTAAACGTTGTACTGTGACCATCATCTCCTGGCACCTGCTATAGTGTTCTGCAACTCCATCTAGTATGCCCCAAGAATCTGATCGAAAGAAGCTGCTTCGTAGTCTCAAAAAAACGAGCAATGATCTCACCATCGCACGTTATATGGAACTAATTGAGTTTATGGTAGATCAACTATTAGATGAAGACGATGATGAAGACTCTGATAAGGAATCTGATGGCGCTGCCAATGGCCGTAGTGGCTCAGATGTTAGTATACGGACCGCATCACCAACATGGCCAGTATCCCCAGTGTCCCCTATGTCGTCGATTACCTCTGCCTTGTCAGACAACTCTCTGACGTCACTCTCAACTGCATACTCCGAGTTCCTATCGCGTGACATCCCAGATATGTGGGAATGAGTCTTTACTCAGTTTGCCGATGCAATCACTGCACTCCACGACGAGGTGGAGAAATGTCGGGTCCTTGATTTCTGTCCATCTCTGAGTCGCGCGCCTCAGCTACACCTGCTGAAGGAGTGGGCTCTATTCTCACCTGAAAAATTCCGTCGCAAGCTCCGTGTTGATGCGGATGTGTTTGAAGAACTTACAAAGTTGATTCAAGGACACGCCATCTTCTACAATAATTCGAATAACCCCCAACTCCCCGTCCCAATACAGTTCGCCATGTTTCTCAATGGCGCTGGCCATTATGGCAATGCCGCAACCACCGAAGACATATCCGACTGGGCTGGCGTGTCTGTGGGGACCGTCTACAATTGCTATAAATGTGTGATGATTGTGATCCTGCAACTTCACGACCGGGCCATTCATTTTGATTCACTTGATCACGAGGATCAAATTGAGCGAGAGTGGGCGAAAACTTACGTGGAAAGTAGGACATGTCATGAATGGCGTGGAGGCTTCCTTTGTGTCGATGGGACTCCGTCTCCCTTACACGAGAAGCCAGGTTGGCACGGGGAGGGTTTCTTCAACAAAAATTCAGACTATTCTCTAACAGCGCAGGTAAGTGTCAGTTCGATGTGCAGCGCAGCGACTTACAATCAAAAAAGGTCATTATATTCCCTCACAACCTTCGTATCGTGGACTATGTCATCGGCGTACCTGGAAGTCTCCATGACTCAAATGTATTTGCGCGGACAAGAGTTTCCCAGGATCCCGAGTCGTTTTTCGGTGCAGGAGAGTGGTTGTGGGCGGACTCAGCATATGCTGCACAAACCTGGTGTGTGCCACCGTATAAACGGCCACCGGGAGGGTGTTTGACCCCGGACCAAAAGACGTTCAACTATAACCTATCGACAGTGAGTAGGAATGGCAATATACATTCATAGTCCTTACCCAATATCTAGGTCCGTGTTCGTTCAGAACATTTTTTTGGCTCTATCAAGGGCCGGTTCCAATCACTGCGGGAGCTTCGCATCCCAATCCAAAGTCAGAAGGACCTCGACTACGCAAACATGTGGATCCATTTGTGCTTCATTCTGCACAATCTAATCATCAAAATCGAGGAAAAATCCAACCATGAGGACACGAATGTCTGTTTCTATCAGCAAACTCGGAGGTTGAGGCGAGCTGATGGTGATGCAGGAGAGGATGATCAGCAAGAGGGTGGTGCGGTAGGTGATCAGACCTACATTGGAACTGCAGGGCAGGATTTTCGCAACACGTTAAAGATGTGGTTGCTTTCCTCGTTGGAGCAACGCTAAAGACGCGGTTGCTCTGTCAAGTAGAAGCTCTTTGTCCTCTTTAGTACATACATAACCTTTGTCAAGTAGAAGCTCCTCGTCCTCCTTAGTACCCAACGAGGGAAATTTGCACTTGAGCTCGGCGAACTCAAAGCGCTTATCCCAAACCTGTAGCGTTTGCTGTGTGTAGTCACGCTTGAGATCGAGTACAAGATGGTATGCATTTCCAAGTCCTAAAAACGAGTGGTAATATAGACCTACTTCAGTTTGATTCAAAACCACGCTCCATGGCAATACGACGAATCCGAGCCTCCTCCTCTTCTCGACGTGCACGAGATAGCTCAAGCTCGAGTCTTGCAAACTCAATTTGTTGAGTCATCCTCTCCTGCTGGTGGAGACGGTCTTGTTCCGCAAGACGCATTGCATGCTCCCGCTCATCACGAGCACTGCGGGCCTTGAGATCACGAGCCCAAATGTCGCCCTGAAGTTTCATACGTTTATAGCTTTCGTGCTCGGCATGACCCTCACGTTTGCTGTCGAGGTGCTTCATTAGAGAGTCTGCCGTTTGGGACATTTTTTCTGCAGCGGCAGAGGTCTGGTCAAGGGCACTGCTGCCAGGGCGTTTGCGTGATGAAGAGGGGGGACGACTAAACTGAGGTGATGCACTTCAAGTAGGTGGATGAGACTGTTTTGCGGCAAGAGAAGGTGAACTTTCACGACTTCCTTTAAGTGAGCTGACACGGAGAGACCGCAGTGCTCGGCTGGCACCAATATCCGAGTCTTCTGAGTCGATAGGTGTAGACTGACAGCTAGGTGAAGAATCTTTGAAATCGGAAAAAACAGACAGTGGATTATCGGGGGCACTTCGATTGCGTACTGGTGAGCGCTCAGGAGAATTCAATGATACCACTCCAGGTGCATCAGAAGTTGAGATGGGAGGGAGCTGAGGTCGTTGGTACCAGGGTGGCAATGGATGCAGCGAGAACGAGTCAGGTGTATTGCTAGGACCACAGTCCAAAGGTATCAGCGGTGACGAGGAGGATTGTGATTCTATGCGGGGGGGCTGGTCGACCAGCATATCATCTGTCACATCTACAACGGCACCATCATCCACACTGCGAGTACCGACCTCAACTATTTCTCCATCTTCAGGATCATCATCTGTGCGAGCATCATTGTCGACTGTAGCCAATGGTTTTGGGTGCTTGGAAAGATTGAAATGTTCCAGCACAGCAGATGCAAAATCTTGCCCTGCGTCCGCAGTAGAGAAGGCGTGATTGAAGGCTGGATTTGTCCGCCACCAGCCATGAAGCTCAGGCCACCAGGGAAATTTTTCGAGCTTTGTATCTGATGGAGACATGGTTAGGACAGGTGCAGATCAACAGCGGCTGAAACTTACCGATCAAAGACTTCATCTTTGGATCTTCTTGTAGCTCTGCATATGTCTTTCCTGCTCCCGACTGCTTGAGTTCCTTGTTGAATTTGTTGTATTTTTTTCTCAGTCTGAAACAGCTTATCAGTGATTCCAGTGGGAAGACGGATGACGCAGGAACTAGATACTTACGTGCCGAAACGGGTTGAAACTGGTTTTATGAATGCCTTGGGATCCTCCTTGAAGAGTCGTTGAACCTCCAGATCCTCGTCGTTCGAAAATACAGCTTGTGCGACCTGTGAATAGACAACATCTCTCGAAGTACCACTCTGCTTCTTCTTCCGACCTTGCTCCTTGGCATCCTTTGCAGAATCGGAGAAGAGCTTGATGTGTGCGTCTTCATTTTCCTTGCACCAGGTAAGTAGGCGTTCAGTACGAGCGCTACGGACCCCCTCCCAATGGATAGTACACTTCTTTGAGGTGTCTGTACCAGTGGATGTATTGGTCCGACCTCTTTGATTGGATCTTGACATGATCCAGGGTGTTCCTACTGACAGCGATTAAGAATCAGATTAGAGCTTTGGCAGCGTTGACACCAGCAGCAACGACGTCGAGCACGCCGGCAGGGCAGGTCGGAGTTCAAAACCTGCCGTATCGGCAGCATCCGAATTCGCTATGAATTCTTTTCAAGGTTCGACTTTGAGAACCATTAATGATAGGGAGAGGAAGAGAAAGCGTGAGTTATTCTTCCCGAAATGGCATAGACTTCATTCTAATCACGTGTTCGTTCCTCACACTTTGAGAGAACACGAGGATAGCTTGGTCGTTCCAAAATCATGATAGAGATTCCTCAGTCAAATGCTCGCGCCGCGTTCCTTGACCTGGAGCTTATATGTATCACTGTTCGAGTTGCAATATGCCGAACTCAATTTGTCGGAGATGACTCTAGCTTGTTTAATTCATGAACGACTTGGGCTTAAGTTTGCTGTCTTCGACACTGAGGAGGCGTGCTGGAGCATACAAATGATTTGCGTAGGACCGACTACTAGTAGTACGTATCTCGATGGAAGTCATCCACCAGCATTCAGAAATTTTCATTCGACTGGCTGCTCTCATATCTCACAATTTTAGTATCAACTACTGGAATATCTACAGATTTCTGCCATCACCGTTTTCTGCCAATAGCATGCAGATACTCGTCAAATGTCCTCACCAGCCGCTCAATCGGTTGCCTTATAGGCGTAGCACCATCCACAATGCTCGGACTCCCAAGCATCCCAGCTCTCGCCCACCCATCCACCATCACGTTCCCCCACAACACCATCCAGCACATCGTCCACATCCATCCCATCCAGCCACCTGTCTTATTCCCCGCAACAGCACGCTCAATGACCATCCCAACGCCCATCATTCCAAATGGCAGCACCATGCGCCACATCTCCGAGGACGGGTCGATGGGGAGTAGTGCGAGGTGATGAATGAACCCAGAGGCGAGGAACGTGCCTATGACGCCCCCGATACGCCCGAAGAGCAGAGAAAATGGCTTTCCCCCGAGGAAGATGAATATCCGACGCAACCACTGGTGCCAGCGACGGCTCCAGAATTCTCTAAGAGAGGTGGCGCGCCAGGGAGAGTCAATTAAGGGGGGGCATTGGTCTGGATGTTGCCTGAATATCAGTACGCAAATAACTACGATGATCTCGTAATTTGCTTTGATTAATGAGTAGACGGCGAATGCGCATAGCGTGGCGATGATACTCGATCGTAAATAACGGAGGTGTGGGGGAAGTGAGTCGTCGAAGATGGTACCACCATCAACAGATCCCAATGTATCTGGAGAGAACGACTTCACGGCGAAGTGAATCGTGCCAAAAAGAAATATGTGCTTTAGACCAGAGGCTAAGGCGGATGTAGCAAAGGCCAATCGTGAGGATGTAGGATGTGTCTCAGGCAGGATGTACATTCCCTGCGACCAGTCCCAGCCACAACCCCGAAAGTTGCATACCAAATCAATTGCGTCGAGCACAAGATTTTGCTTTGGCACGTCGGTTGACGATGGGCGAGCCATACGAACAAAAGGTTTCGTCTGCACGGTCCATTCAAGGGTGCGTGCTGCAATACAAACCATGGATAGCTAAGAGATCAATTCAATGATGTGGCAGTCAATGCGAATATAATAGGAATTCACCCGCAGATCGATATCGAGAAAGGCAAGTTTCGGTTGCCCCATGGACATGTCTAGCGATGTCGCCGCGCGAAATGCAAGGATCGCGGTGATGGGCCATAATGCAATGCGGACTGACTGCGTTCGGGGCAGCAGGACAAGAAAAGCTGTGACGAAGTAACATGCGACTGGTGGAAGGACCCGAGAAGCGAAGGTTTCAGTTGTGAGTAGTACCCTAGTTGTGGGGAGACGCAGGACGTCCAGCAAGGGTAGCATTGTGGCCGTTATGCGGGCATCTGGTGTCAAGCCTGAGGTTCATACGTTTATAAGTAGGTTCAATATAAAGCCCCCGTGAATCAAATTATCATATACAGTGCCATGGAGTACATGTATATGTATGTGATTGGTCGATTGGGGATATTTCTCAGCGTTGCCGCAACAATGGACGTGGCAGAGACTGATGGTGCAGATATCAACGCAGCAACGTGAGTTACGTGACAGCGAGGATAATTGCAAAGGAAAAACAAATTGTGTGATATGGGTTGGTAAGAAGATACTTATATGTTCTTGCGTGCGTGGTCGTACCTGCCAGTTCAGCTCACTTTCCTGTGGTACAAGTGCATGATAGTACAAGGATAAGGGCACGACGTGTGGACCTAAACTTGTAAGTGGGTAGAGAGCTAGCGGTATGGATATGTTACCAGTCAGTGAGTTTGCGCGAGATTTCTTATATATCAATAACTATAGCAGGCCGGATATCACGGTCTCGCGGACCTCCTACCACAGATGCATTGACAGCAACCGTCCTTGTACTATTATCCCGGCCACCCCAAAGCATCGCCCATAGCAAATGCATAGTGCGAAACCGATCCCCTCTCTTGAGCACGATGTCTTCCCATATTGACTGAGCAGAATTCCAGGGCATATTCTCGGTTCAACGACCGCCACGAATGTGTCCGGACACATGAAGCACTGGCGGGTGCGTCCTACAGAGCTCCCGTATACGTGCAAGCAGGGCTCTGCAACCAAGTCCAGAGAGATCGAGATGACCGTGAGGAGGGCCATGAGTGATAAGAATATCTGTGTCGTTTTGAATGATAGACCAATGGCTGGGAGTGCCAGTGACACCCGTACGTGAGTATTGGAAGGCGCCATTGCCGTGCTGCGAAGTAAACGGGCTGCCAAAGATTTTGAATGCGCGACCGCGCACATGGATAGTGTGAGCCTCGTCCTCCAGATATATGATGCAACGCTCTTGCCATGCGTGGACCCATGAACGGCCCTCGACTGTCTGAAGGTACGTATCGTGGTTACCGGCGATAACGATTTTGTGTTCGTGCGGAAGAAAGACTAGCCAGTCAAAGGCGACCTGGAGCTCACGGGGAGTGCCGAAATGAGTGAGATCGCCCGCGTGAATGAGGACATTACCGGGGATATGTTGGCGTTGTGCGTGTCTGATATGCATATGGTGCGGACGGGAGAAGACAAAGGACGTGGCAGTTGTTGGCCAAGATATATACCTTTGAGGTTATGTAAAGGCCAGGTTGGTCTTTAACAGCTCCCATATTGGACTAGGAGCTTTGCGATTGATGATTGCATCGAAGCCAGACATGCTCGTTCGCAAAGGATCACATACGCCCGCCGTGAGGAAAAGCGCCGCTGAGGATCAAATGCTGGCTTAGTAAGCGAGATATAAATCTTGAAACTAGTAGCTCGGTCGTTTCAAAACCATGATACAGAGTCCTCAGGCCGATACACTCGCGCTGCGTTCCTTGACCTGGAGCCCATCTCAATGCTCGCGTTGCGATATGCCGAACTAAATTTTACGGAGATGACTCTAGCTTGACAAGACTTGGGCTTAAGTCTGCTGTCTTCGACACTGAGTACTGAGTACTGAGGAGGCGTGCTGGGGCTATAATACAAATGATCTGCGAACCGACGACTAGTAAGTATCTCGATTTCGGAAGTCATCCACTAGCGTTCAGAAGTTCGCATTGGACTACTAGCTGCTCTCGTATCTCACAATTTTAGCATCAGCTGCTGGAATATCTACAGATTTCTGCCATCACCGTTTTCTGCCAATAGCATGCAGATACTCGTCAAACGTCCTCACCAGCCGCTCAATCGGTTGCCTTATAGGCGTCGCACTGTCCAAAACGTTCGGACTCCCAAGCAACCCGGCTCTTGCCCACCCATCCACCATCACGTTCCCCCACAACACCATCCAGCACATCGTCCACATCCATCCCATCCAGCCACCTGTCTTATTCCCAGAAACAGCACGCTCAATGACCATCCCAACGCCCATCATTCCAAATGGCAGCATCATGCGCCACATCTCCGAGGACGGGTTGATGGGAAGTAGTTGGAGGTGATGAATAAAGCCAGATACGAGAAATGTGCCTATGACGCCCCAGTTACGCCCAAAGAGTAGATAAAGCGGGTTTCCCCCAAGGAAAATGAATATCCGACGGAACCACTGATGCCAGCGTCGGCTCCAGAATTCTCTGAGAGAAGTAGCGCGCCAGGGAGAGTCGATTAAGGGGGGGCATTGGTCTGGATGTTGCCTGAATATCAGTACGCAAATAATTACGATGATCTCGTAATTTGCTTTGATTAACGAGTAGATGGCGAATGCGCATAGCGTGGCGATGATACTCGATCGTAAATAACGGAGGTGTGGGGGAAGTGAGTCGTCGAAGATGGTACCACCGTCAACAGATCCAAATGTATCTGGAGAGAACGACTTCACGGCAGAGTGAATCGTGCCAGAAAGAAATAAGTGCTTCAGACCAGAGACTGAGGCGGATGTAGCAAAGGCCAATCGTGAGGATGTAGGATGTGTCTCGGGCGGGATGTACATTCCCTGCGACCAGTCCCAGCCACAGCCCCGAGAGTTGCATACCAAATCAATTGCGTCGAGCACAAGATTTTGCTTTGGCACATCGGTTGACGATGGGCGAGCCATACGAACAAAAGGTTTCGTCTGCACGGTCCATTCAAGGGTGCGTGCTGCAATATAAATCATGGATAGCTGAGAGATAGGTTGAACGGTGTGGCAATTGATGCGAATACAGGAACTCACTTGCAGCTGCATATTCAAAACTGCAAGTTTCGGTTGCCCCATGGACATGTCTAGCGATGTCGCCGCGCGAAATGCAAGGATCGCGGTGATGGGCCACAACGCAATGCGAACTGACTGCGTTCGGGGCAGCAAGACAAGAAAAGCTGTTGTGAAGCAACATGCGACTGGTGGAAGGACTCGATAAGCGAAGGTTTCAGTTGTGAGTAGTACCCTAGTTGTGGGGAGACGCAGGACGTCCAGCAAGGGCAGCATTGTGGCCGTTATGCGGGATTCTGGAGTCAAGGTTCAAACGTCTATAAGTAGGTTCAATGTAAAGCCCCCGTTAATCAAATCATCGTATACAGTGCCATGGAGTACATGTATATGTATGTGATTGGTCGATTGGGGACATTTCTCAGTGCCGCCGCAACAACGGGCGTAGCAGAGACTGATGATGCAGATGGGTCAACGCAGCAACGCGACAGCGAGGATAATTGCAAAGGCTAAACAAATTGTGCGATATGGGTTAGTAAGAATATACTTATATGTTCTTGCCGCTTGGTCGTACCTTCAAACAAATGCATACTATCTGCAACACGACTGAAACATAATTTTTACGATTAAGCTCAGTCTTATACTCGCCTTATCTAAAGTATAGTCTAAATATAAGCACGCATAGCCGCCGGCATGTTGTCCACTCGCAGCTCTATCCATTTTCTGCATCATGCTGTGTTGTTGCTCACTACTATGGCAACCTCTGCTTCACTTCACGGTGTTGTTGCCAACTTGTTGAACGGAAGCAGATATCAGATTGACAAAAAGAATTACTGGCGTCATGACGCTTTCATCGCGACTCCAGAATTGGGAGATGTTTGAATCAACGTGTTCACGTTTGGTGCGAATAAGAACTAGCTGCTCTCGTATCTCACAATTTCAGCATCAGTTACTAGAACATCTACAACTTCCTACCATGAAGGTTTTCTGCTAACGTGTATGCAGATACTCGTCAAACATCCTCACCAGCCACGTCAATCGGTTGTCTTACAGGCGTCGCACTATCCAAAACGCTCGAACCCCCAAGCATCCCAGCTCTCGCCCACCCATCCACCATCACGTTCCCCCACAACAGCAGCCAGCACATTGTCCACACCCATCCCATCCAGCCACCTGTCTTATTCCCCGCAACAGCACGCTCGATCACCACACCAGTGCCCATCATTCCAAATGGCAGAAGCATACGCCACATCTCCGAGGATGGGTCGATGGCGAGTAGTGCGAGGTGATGAAAAAATCCAGAGGCGAGGAACGTGCCTATGACACCCCCGATACGCCCAAAGAGCAGAGAAAATGAGCTTTCCCCCGAGAAGGATGAATATCCGGCGGAACCACTGATGCCAGCGTCGGCTCCAGAATTCTCTGAGAGAAGTGGCGCGCCAGGGAGAGTCGAATGAGGGGGGGCATTGGTCTGGATGCTGTCTGAACAACAGTACGCACATCACTACGGTGAGCTCGTAACCGGCTTGGAGCACTGAGTAGATGCCGAATGCGCACGTCGTCGCTATGATGCTCGATCGTAGATAACGGAGGTGCGGGGGAAGTGAGTCGTCGAAAATGGTGCCACCATCAACAGATCCGAATGTATCTGGAGAGAAAGATTGCACCGCAGAGTGAATCGCGCCGCAAAGAAATAAGTGCTTGAGACCAGAGATTAAAGCGGATGTAGCAAAGGCCAATCGTGAGGATGTAGGATGTGTCTCAGGCGGGACGTACAGCCCCTTCGACCAGTCCCAGCCACAGCCTCGAAGGTTGCATGCTAGATCGATTGTGTCGAACACAATATTTCGCTTTGGTGCGTCAGTTGACGATCGGCAAGCCACACGAATAAAGGGTTTCGTCTGCACCATCCATTCAAAGGTGCGTGCTGCAATACAGACCATGGATAGCTGAGAGATAAGTTTAATGATGTGGCAGTCAATGCGAATATAATAGGAATTCACCTGCAGATCGATATTGAAAAAGGCAAGTTTCGGTTGCCCCATGGACATGTCTAGCGATGTCGCCGCGCGAAGTGCAAGGATCGCGGTGATGGGCCATAACGCAATGCGGACTGGCTGTGTTCGAGGCAGCAGGACAAGAAAAGCTGTGACGAAGTAACATGCGACTGGTGGAAGGACACGAGAAGCGAAGGACTCGGTTGTGAGTAGTACCCTAGTTGTGGGGAGACGCAGGACGTCCAGCAAGGGCAGCATTGTGACCGTTGGTCGATGGAGTATGCGGGCGTCTGGACTCTGAAGTCGAGGTTCAAACGTTGATAAGGTTCAATATATCAGTGATGCGAACCGAAAAGCCCCCGCCTCAATTTGTGAATCAAATTATCATATGAGGTGCCATGCAGTCCATGTACATGTGTATGCGATTGGTCGGTTAGCAAAGACTGGATATTAATGATGTCAGTTGGACAGCGTAGGGGTTGTTGTCACTAGCTTTCTTGCAAAAAGATAGGACTCATCGGATGTCAATGAGCGTGGCAGAAATTGATGATGGGTTAATTACGGCAACGAAAAACAATTGCAAAGGAAAAACAGATTGGTCATCTTCTCATCGGACATCTTGCTAGATTCTTTGCACTCTTGTTGAAATCTTCAATTCGTCGAGCATGCTATACGCTACGAATTTTCTATGTCCTACTCCGTAGGCTAGGACGCATGTGTATTTGCCTCGACCATGATACCTCCTCTACTAGAATCTGACTTCAAGAAGAGTTGCGCCCTGCAATATGTTCGAGCGGCCTGCCTACGATCCATACACTCCAGACAGATATCCACCGGCCTGGTGACCGACCACATATTACGCTTGCAGTACCAGTGGACATTGCATCTCCGCAGCATCCATTGCACCTGACGCCACCTTCACACCCCAATTCCAGAAACGACTTTAGCATAGGGACTGTAGATGATATTCCAGTTTCAAATGCCAGCTTTGACAGTGGACCACCTCAAATCGTCCTAGAAATGAACACAACAGGCGAGCCGCAATTTGTATTCTCGGGACACGCCGCTGCGCTATCCGAGCGCATCATCAAACTAGTACCAATCATACCGACCGACGTCAAACGCTATCATAGAAACATGAAAATGTAAGACGGTCACTCATTCTTAGAGGGATATTGACGTAGCGACACTGCCACGGAAGGCAATGGGCTGAACCGAATCGCTTCGTCCTCACTCCTAAAGACAACAAGTATGTGGAGTATGTACACGTTCACCAACAGTTTCTGTATCCCATAATACATGTATCTAGGGAGGTGCAACGTGGGTGGCGCGACTTTGTGCACCCGGAAGGTCCCAGAGTTTATTATCACCACGAGACAGTTAGCACGTGTCCCTAGATTGACTTTCCAAAATGCTCATACACTTTATAGAGAGTTTTTACGGATGCAGACATGCGCCTAGGCAAGATGGAATCGAAGCGTCTCCTGGGGATGGCTAAAGCCCTCAAGGATTATGCAAAGAGTCAATCAGACGTACAGGCCAGGATCGGTGATGGAACGGAATTGGTGCTCGAGCTTTACAACGAAAAAGGTCGTACTAGCATCATCGAGTCTTGTGGCTACTATTTTGTCGATCACGTGAAGAGGGTGATATTTTGGGCCCATTCATATACTTGCGAACCACATGGTGAGATCCTGTTCAACGTCAAGACTCAAGGTAGCCAATAGACTCAGTCATATAAGTGGGTGGTTCACTACTATTTGGATGGCCCTTAAACACCTGCTTTTAGTGTATTCATTGGAATCGCAATACTGGCCAGTACTCTCCAAGGGATCGGTACGCTCTGTGAGCAAATATTTTCGATCAAATTTACTGACTCGCACGTAATAGCGTGTTGGCGACGCTGACAGTCTTCTAGGTATCACTGCGAGCTTTATCCTCACAACCGATACCTTCCGAGACAAGTCTTTGAAGAGCTGAGGGAAATCATTGTTCATGCAAACGCAGGCAGGCTATGTGATTGCAACTTAATGAAGAACGGAATCTTACGATTATCATAGCAACCACCACCTCGGATACATCACTGGCCCCTTTTGATGGCAATGAACTAGCGAAGATTCTGGATCTAATAGACCGTATTGAGGGTTAGACTTGCTCCGTGTGTTTTAGACCCAACCTAAATGCTGAACCAGGCAGCATCGATAAAATGCATGCTTATTCTGTATTTGTTGTAGGCGAGTTTTTTTTCCATGAATGACAACGGTATATTGATCTACTCTTTACAGCTCGGTTCATGAGATTGTTCAGTACGGATTTATCTTTCGATTCACGAAAAATACTGACAACGCCTAGCCAAAGTCAAATACACAAACTTCTGCGGACAACCTGCCTGGGGCGTTGACGCCGAAAGATCCATCTATTACAAAGAGGGCCACGAGCGCGAAACACTCATCTTCAGGCTCTTAAACCTAATCCTTTGGTGTGGGCCACGTAAACACTATAAGCGTATAAGGAGAGTATGGGTGGACGAGATCATCAATGCCCCGCGCTGGAAAGACTTTATCATCCAACTAGATAACGAGTGGCTGGGATTCACGCTCTATGTAAGTGCTTGATACATATTGAGTGCAATTGAAGACTTAGCGTCGCTGGAGTCCACTGTTATGCTGGCTGTTGATGTTAGTTTCCTTGCGGTGCCTGGCATCATCGATCCCTCCTTACAGACATCGCTCGTTATCGCGGTATACATGTCAGCTCTTTGCTCTGCAAGTTCGCTTTTGGTTGCTGTGCTACTTGTCGACCAAAGCAAAGACTATCGGACTGCCGAGGACGGGGTATGCGATCTTTTTTTAGTTCAACGAGCCTCCTTAATCACACATGCAGGCTTTATACATGTCCCTGATGGCCGCAATTCCTGGAATTGAAAACTTAGCATTGATGCATAGCTTGCCGTATGCACTCCTTGTATGGGCGTATGTCCTAATTACCCGGCGTATCAATCCCAGAGTTCTGACCTTAGTATCTCGTCAGGATGGTATTCTTCGGCCTCGCATCGTCTATCCTCATTTTCGATACCAATGACGTTGTAACGCTCGCGACGATGATCCCTGGATGGACAATAGTCTTGATACTCACGTTGTGGCCTACGATGTGGCCTACGATGAGCACTTTTGTCGGATGGCTACTGAAGTTTGCGAAATCCTTGCCCCATCAGCCAGGGCGCGTCGTCAAATACCTGCGTAGCTTAAGATACCCAGAATTGGACCAGGTAGTATTCATTGGCTGAACCGGCGATCGAGTTGCGTAACGATATACACATCCGGAGTGTGTACTATGCTTCCTTACTCTTGCACCGCCGATGTATTATATATTTGCACAATGGTTTGTTTGGTAGGCTTACAGGATAAGTCGAGAGTAAATACTAGTACAAGCGTCCCGATCACCTTCGGACGTTTCCTATCGTCAATTACAGTAATAGATGCTTGTATACTACGTTCGCCGTCGTGTTTTCCTCATTCTCTGTTGGAAACAGCGCCCGAGTGTCTCAGCGACATCGCACTCTCGAAAGTGCGGTGTGTAGTTTCTGAGAGGAAACTGTTTGCGATTGTTGAACGTTGACTGTCCAGCTGCACTGTTAGATATAACATGATGTCATGTGATAAGGCGCGTGCCTTGATCAAGCTCGCGGTCATCGATGGGCGTGATGTGGCAAGCGATGTCGACGTCGTGTTAGAGTCATAGGGGTATGGTCATAGCACGAGACGTTGCATCATTTTAAAATCCCGCCATGCCGCAACGGATTTTCACGGCACCAAGGATAACACTTGACGCGCCTTGAACTTGTGTGTGCAGCGGACTTCCAATCCGTAATGTCGGCAACCTGTGACGCACTGTGACGAATGCACGAACACTAGGTGACTAGAGGTGAGGTGCTCAGTCATGCTGTAGTAACACAACTGATCAACTTTTTTCTATATAAAAATTTGGACCATGTTATTGAGATGGTAATCTATCTACCAATTACTATCTGATATTTGTTTTGTGTTGTGGATCGAGAGCAATACGTGAGACCGTCAAAAAGCACGAACACTCGGGTACATCTAGTAGCCGGAATGGACAATATTTGTAATCATAGCACGGAGTCCAAGGACCGGTAACATAGTATTAGCGAGTTGTAGTATATATAAACTGTACAATTATTTACATTCGATTCAGTCCGATTAATATTCTCAACATCTACATTCAAAATTTACTACCTACAAACTACACGTTGCAACAGGGATTGCCGGTGGTACGTGAGCAGAGGACAGGAGGTGCAGGCAGAGGGGTGCCAGGGGTCTTGGCGTACATAGACATGGTTGTACGGACATCATCCATTCATCCATAGCAGCTGTTGCAGTAGCAGCAGGCTCCCTCGTCTCCCGTCCTCTCCTGAGCACAAGGTAGAGCCAGGTCCAACGTCGATGCATCGATGAACAATGGATAAGACACTTTGATGATCAGCATGTTATTTTCACCCACCTAGTGTCATCCTCATTGGCCCATCGAAGTAAAGTGATTTTTTTTGTTTCCTCTCTTACTAAGTGGCCCTTGGGATCAATTACTGCACGTCATGACGCGTCGTGAGCATACGAAAATGTTTGAGCAATGTAGAATTCAAAACTGTTTTTATTGTTCTGACAATTTAAACGTTCACTGCTGAAATGAGGTATAATAGCACCACCGCACGATTCGCAAGTCGGAAAGACACTTCCATTATTCTCCGCAAGAAATCGAAGTCCGTACTACATATATATAACAGATTGGTCGACGTTATGAAGAATGACATGATGAATGAGAGCACCTGCGTAAATGAGGATATCGCCGGGTAGTATCAGGGCAGATGTGTCGGTGTTATGAGTGTCTGATATGCATATGGTGCGGATGGGACGTGGTAGTTGTTGGATATAGCTCCGCGAGAGGCTGGTATTCAACTTGAACAGCTGCCATGGGCTAGGAGCCTTGCGATTGAAATATTGATGATTGTATCTAGGTTGGCCAGACACACTCAACGGTTCGAAAAGGTTCAATTCATACAAGAGCGACGCTGAGCTGGCTTAGTAAGCGAGATGCGCTTTGAAATTTGAAACTCAGTGTTGATCAAATGCTTAATGTACCACACTCACAAACAGGCGACCCTCTGTTTTCAGGGCGTAGCTATACTCAGGAACACAAAATATTCGGCTTGTCGAAGGTGCAGGCCGATCTGTATAGGTTTAAAATAGCAGATGGAGTTTACCACAGCAAGATTTCAAACCTGACCGACACTGGTACAGTGGTATGTATGGTATACTCCTATCATAATCAAGCAATGTATCAAATAGCAAGTATAATTTTTCCTTCGAAGATAAGTACAGGTTCTCTCTAGCTAGGCTCACGGCCAGTATGACTTACATCTGGGCCACGACGACGTAGTAATATACAAAGGGGTGGTGATATACTCGATATATCGTTGGCTCGGTAGTCACTCATTAAAGGTACCGACGCCGAATCATGATCACACGGGGACAATTGGTAAGTGTGCTGCATATCAAACTGCAGTCTTTCAAATTTTTGGGCTTGCCACCTTTACCGGTATTTTTACATTCTAATCCTACCACCCACGTCCTATGACAGGACAACGAGGGCGCACTACACGGGATTGTCGCACAGCTTCCGTGGCCCGGGACATCCTTCCCGCCATACCCGTGTTCCATGACAGGAAAGCTACCATTCTTCTACAAAGAATGTTTTATATAGGTATCATGTGACTTATCAAACAGTGCCTCGCTCCGTTATTCTATTTTATAAAGGTTGCATCTCCCTGCTCTCACTATGAGCATCAGTCTCCCTTCACTCTTCTGTTTCACGCCATGGCTTCATTCTATTCTACTCAGGTACGCTTTCAAAACTTAGGAATCCTTGCCGTATGACTCAATTACGCCGCCCTTTCCAGCCATATGCGATTACTGACCTAAGAGCATTTGAACCCCTCCCCGAAGCCCTTCATTCCACGTCCCTTGTAATGAGGGTGCTCTGTTTTTTGGCACTCGGACGCCCAGATATTGATGATCATTGGAAGTCGCTGCAATCAGAACAAGCCTTCGAAACCATTAGGAGCAGGTTGTGCTCCATCTTGACCAGCACTTTCACCACAGTAAGTTATACAACTCCGCACCCGTCGCGAACTGAAGCCGACGCTGACATGCTCTCATGAAGGCAAATGTCCTCCTCGCTATAAGCGGTGTTTTTGTCAGCACGGGCTCTCCTGTGTCTTACTTCGACTATACATCGCCCGTTCCCTATTGTCTGCTCTTTATATCGCTTATGCTCGCCATGATCGCGATGTTGACGTCTGGCTCGAGCATGATACGTTGGCTGCACGCCGATCGGCACTGGACTCAAGAAGTAAGTCTGATTCTCGCCATACTCATTACCCCGGCTGACCTGTATAATTAGCAACTCAGGCAGGGCGGCTACTTCGCCTTGTCCTACCTGTTGTCGATAGTCACGCCTATATTCATCGTCGCTTTGTCCCTACATTGTTTCATATTTGGTGAGTTGTTCCGTCAATTGAGGCTTTCTCTGGTCCCTCATGCGTTCTACCCAGCGATGTTGATAGCAGGCTTTTCTTCTCAAAGCATGATCTGCCGCGCCGTCACTGCGCTCTGGATGATCACATACGCTGTTAACATTGGGACAATATTGATGGAGGCTATGTGGAAGTTTGCGACAAGCCTCAATCACGCTGCTTAGCTAGTCTCCAGTTCGCTCCTTGTTTCGCCCGCGGTTTGTATATGTTGTACATAACCTCCCTGATGTGTCGAAGTGATTAGGCTGTAAGACATTATGTTGTCTTCAGATAGAATAATAATAGCTCCACTTTCCGAATCTCTTGACCCAAGAATACCCCATGGCCAGTGGGGGACTGTCTTTGTTGTAGATCTTGATACGCACATGAAAAAAACTCGACAGAAAGCAATCACAAAACCAAAAGTCAAGAAGGTGAAGTCTACAATGGTCAAAGAACTTGAAATGTCTCTGACCCCAATAATTACCTTTATCGACTTCCTCTCAAAAATTCACTGAGAAAAAGTGGTACGCCTACGACTGGTACAATTGAAACTGTAAATGAAGTAAACCTTGTTCACTTCCGAATCGATGAATCAATGTCCTTTTCATCTTTTGCAGCTTCCCCATCGAACATCAACAATTCCGCCGGGTCCGAAGTTTATATTTCGGTAATATGATTCATGAAGAGGGCACGTCGTTCTTAATCTTGCTCGAGAGCACGGGGAGAGATATTCTTGTGGCTGTAATGTAGCCTGTGTATGGTGCGGAGAAACGTATGTACAGATATATATGCACCATGACTTTCCTGCTACTCACGCTATAGCTCGTCCAGACGCATGGTGGGATTTCGGTGAAGATAGCAATTGCAATATTGTTGGTCCATTGTTTGCCATATTTGCGAGAAGTCACGTGATCTCCATCGCACCATGATAAAAAAGGTCCCTGAAATTTCTCCAAAAAACAAAAATTAAAGAACAAAAAGCATCAGGTACTAAAACGAAAGCAAAAGTAAAAGCAACCAAAAATACCACTCCAAAAACATTAACGATCGTGACTGCATGATATCATGGCCCGGGCCTAAGTAATCCCAACCCTCTACGTCCAAAGCCCAGATCGGTCGCACCACTTCTATCCAACACTTACATGACATGACCCCTACGTGGGTAGGTCAAAGCGGCGTTGACTCGGTATTCTACGACGACGGCCAAGTCTCAGAGCACTCCTTGAGTTCTTCTTCTACAGCTTTCCGACCTGCAGAAGTAAGAACGGGTATTCCAGAACTGATATCTTTCTCGAAATACTGGGGTATAAATCTGCATTTTTTGAGTCCGTTTGATGAGTGGTCAATTCAGCAAGAGAAAAAGAAAGAAACTCACTGAACACCCTTCCTCTTCCTCTCACCTGCCTCATCCCTCTGCTTCTGCTCGATCGCAAGTTTTGCCTTCGTAGCCTCCCCATACTCCTTTGCAAGTAGCCTCGTCGTCACACCATCCCACAACTTCCTGCTCTCATTCGGAAGTTGCCTTTCTAGCGGGCGAACCTTCTTCGGGACCACGAAGAGCGTTGAGAGATCTACAAGCGTCGCGTATTCCGTCTCTGATAACGAAGGGGTCGAGAAACTTGACGTCGATGGGGATGATGCTGCTGAAGATGTGGATGGAGCAGGGGGAGATGCAGCAGTCCGCCGCCACCGTATATGATTCCGCCAGCATCCGTCAAAGACAGCTACGACCCGAGCTGTGGGGACGTGTTTCACTTTCGTCCATTCTACGTGTTCTGTAGATCCTTCGTTGTACGTATGAATCACCCCCTCGACTAGAAAGTGTGCGCGGCCTAGCCATGACTTGTCCCATCGTCAACACTTGTCCCATCATGATCCCCTATTACCGGGGGGGAAGAGAAACGCACCTCTTCTTTATACTCAATCACAGCCCGATATGCCACGCCCTTCGCGCCCACACAAGTAACGATGGTGCTGTCCCCCACAGTGATATAAAAGCTCCCCCTCAAGATCCCATTTACATTAGCCACCGGGTGCGTGATGTGGTACTTCTCCCCCGTGCCCGGTCCCGATGTAAGATTGATGTAGATGCCCTTGTTGAACGACCCTGGGGCGACGCGCACAGCTGTACCGCTCACTTTTGCGCTGATCTGGTCGATGCCTGCCATCTCCACCCCACGCGAGGGACATGAGGCATAGTATGCGCTTACGGGGGGGTGGTGCGATACTTGTTCTGTTACGTATATGACCCGGATATGGCCCTTGTCTTTGTCCTTGTCCTCGTTCCTTCCACTCCCGCTTCCATTAAGAGGAGACAACGAGAGTTTGGAAAGACCGGCATCGCCCAGAGATGTAGGAGCTGTACTTAGGGTCGGAGATGTCTTGCCTTTGGAGGCAGAAGTGAGGCTGAGGCCACTACGCGTGCTCTTTGAACTCTTGCCGCTGCGATTGCTCTTCACGCTCACTGTCTCGCTTCCTTGTGCTAGGGTTACCTGGGAAGGGGGGACACTTGTATGGACGCGGAGGATGGGGGGTTGAGTGGGATCAGAACTGTAGGAAACCGGGGGGACGTCCCAATGACCGCGGAAGTGCTCGCCTAGAACGCTGTTGTAGGGTTTGCAGACTTTGCCGTGCTGTGTGAAAAATCAGTGGGAAGGTGGTGTTAGGGGGTGAGCAGGTTAGACGTACGACAAATTTAAGGTCCTTTGTGAATATGAAACGCACGACTGCCAAGATGCGCTCGAAGGGATCATTGGAATCATTGATACTAAATTAGCACGCCCATCAGCATAAATAGCGAATACCCACAGGTGCCCACAAAGGGAAATAGCAGAGCAAGAAGAAGTACTAATACTCACGCAGCGAACAGGTCAGGTCTGTCGAGATAATGCCAATATTCAAGATTTGGAAGAGGCTCTAGAAGACTTGCAGGTAATGACAGTCGCCTGACAGGGACCAACGATTAAATCAGTGGCAGGTTTCATGCAGAGAGAAAGTAACGGACATAGCAGCGATATCCTTGACCCCCAGACACTTCTTGACGAGCTGAACGATCATGCTCAGTTTTCCGCCTTCGCCTACGTCGCCTGAGTCAGGGAGGGAGATGGTTGGGCCCGGGGCTTCTGAATCATCGTCTTCTAGGACTTCGCCGGAGGGTATCTTGACGATTGCTTCGTCAGCCATTGTTGACAATGATCTTCTTGATCTTGATTATTGTTCTTGAGTGTTGTAGATGGGAATGAGAGGAGAGAAAAAGATAGAAAAAGTAAAGGGATTATGTGAAATTGTCACGTTATGTAGTTGGACAAGTACTGGTGTTGGAGCTCGATGAGAGAAGGAAACACGTGCGTGCGTTGGATGATATTACTGTATGGGCGCTTATTTACAGGATAACCCTCAGATCCTCAAGTACTCAATTCGCAATTCGCAAATCCAGCATGCGCAAAAGGATAAAGGTAGTAACCATACAAGGAATGTAGCAACGCCTCCATGCAACCCTCATTCGGAACGTGATTCATTGCGAGCACGGAACGCCGCTTCTAGGGTAATGGGTATTGGCTAGAAGGTCTCTGGCTAGTGCCATCACTGGAAAGAAGCATCACCATAACCATGCCGATACTCGTCTCAGCTGATGCCTGTTTACATCGTGGGTAACAGAGGGCACCGGGTATCCTCGATCACATGTTCCGGGGAGTCCTACCTTATTCGACTCGCCAAGAAGCAGCTGATACCGGGTTGAGGAAGGTCGGATCTTACACTCTAGTGATGTATCTAATTTACCTGGAATCACCGTATCAGCTGAATAAAAATACCACAGGAACGAGACTCACCGACAGTACAAAGCACAGGGTAGACTGCGCATCAAATATGATCGTGACACTCAAGGACCCACAGGGGTAAAAAACAACCCCTTCAAAGACTCTATCGCCAACCTTGCGCTCATCCTCAACTTCCCCTCCTCACCACCCTCAGCATCAGCAAACCCAAGCCCCATCTTCAGCGCCGCCCTTTGTACCGCCTCATCTGCTCTCCCGGCATCTCCTTCCCTCTTCTTTCTTGCCCACCACCTTACCGCGCGTTCGCGCAGCTCGGGGTTGCGCATGACAGCAGCACGTGTGTATTTCAAGAGATGTGCGCGGGGGATAGAACGCTCGAGGTGTGCGAGAGCTGGGGCGAGGGACATGCTGGGTGGTCCTGGGTGCTGTACCTCTGGGAGAAACTGAGTAAGGATTGGAAGGAGGAGGAATAGGACTTGGCGTGTGAATTGGATATTGTCGTGCCACTGTGCACACCGAGTTGGACTGTGAGTGATGCCTGGAAGTGAAAGACACATACCATAAAGACTCGGGTTCCGTCTTTGGGGAGTGGAGCTGCGCTGAGGGAAGCTAGGACGTAGCATTCTGCGAAGGCTGCGCATATTAACACGCCTAAAACATACCCCCTCCATCTATCTCTCCGATTTGGGCTGGAAGTAAGTAAGAGCAACACTGCAGCAGTTCGGACATAGGCGAGAAGGATGCCTGCGAATACAGAGAGGGCATAGTCAGCCGCAGAGGTGCATGGAGCGCATGTCTGCAGTGCCCTTTGACCAAACCTATAAGTGGTCATGAATGTGCAATCCATGAGAAATAAGGAAGGAGCGCACCGAACAAACCATCCCCTCGATTCATCTGTCTTGAGGCGACTTAGTAACAGTTCGAGATCGGGTGGCATTTGCGCGGGCACTGCAAGTCCATCATCTCCTGCTCCTGCTGCAAACCCAGCTTCTGATAATAACAGATTACGAATATGTTCAAGGGGGAGAGTGAGAGGGATATGTAGGCGGGAGAAGAGGTTTTGTGGAGGTTGGATTAGAGCGTATAGGGAGTATAATGAATGGAGAAGTACGATGCTGCTGCGTTTATGTATATAGAACCATCCCAAAAGTATGAGGAGGGACGTGAAGAAAAGTGTTTCAATGGGGCTCATTACAAGACAAGCTTGGAACACAGCATTCGTTGCAAACAAACAAAGTCTAGATCGTTTCGGCCTCACCCGTACCCTCAGGCCATTTTCGTACTGGATCGACATTTTGATTGACTTATCGAACGTGCTGGACAACTGCTACAGGAAAGCCGAGCGCTGAAGAATGCGCACAATGATTTAGGCAGACTCTCTGTTCGTCACTTCTACAGCAAAGCAACATTTACCATATCATAATGTGCCACAACCCAGCTGTACATCAAATAGCGCAAATGCTCACTATCTTGTGGCATTTGTCACATCGCCGGTTAGAATTCATAGTATTACAGGAATGAGAATATACAATGTGGTGAGTTATTATTAGTGTACGCCACTTTGATGGAATCATGCGCTATGCTGATTCCGAATATCGTGCAATTGATGGATCTTACTAGGATGCTGTTCAAGGATGGTACTCCTTCAAAGTGGCGCGCACAACTGCACACACGACGACTAATTCCTGGAGTGAATATTTGGGTGGAATGAGGAAAGTAGCGCATGGGATTAAACGGTGAACGTTGAGGGTTGTGCATTTGCAGCTCGGGGGTGAGTTGACTACGACTTTGTGGCAGTTACTTCATTTTCTCACATCTATGCTGGCTTGCCAACTTCCTATGGCATAAGCCTGGATCTCTTTTCTCCCTGTGCTTTCTCATTCCTGTTCGTAACCTAGGGATGGTGTTATATTCTCCGCGCAAAACTACGGATCTTGAATCAGGTCGTGACAATTGATGAAAATCAAGTATGGTGCGCCTTGTATCATTTCCGTACTTATGATTTGATGTAATATGAATAGCCAATGACTGAGTGGAGGGCTAGAGGATGAGGAGGTTGTCCATGCTTAGGAAACGCAGGAGCAGGGCATTGAAAGGTGTGCTTGGATGGGTTGTTCAGGTGAGTTATCTGTCTACTTCGTCTGGACCTTTTTTACATTCTGACAAAAGCCCACCTCATTGAACGGCCTCGGAGGTGCTATTACATTCAGGCCTGCGAAGTAGAGATCGTTGATGCCCATCGAACACCATTGGGATAGTAAGCTTTTTCCAAGATCACATCACACCAAGGCCATTGTTAGACGAAGTTGTGGATCCAGCGTAGAGGGGTGTGCCTTGGCAGCTGTGTGGCCGAGGTGAGTAATTGTACAATCTAGTACCCTGAGATTGAGGCTCGTTGAACAGGCTTTACGACATCAGCCAGTGCAGTTTGAAGAACAACAAGGCAGGTTTCATGCGGTCACAACAGCACACCTGAGTTGTCTTTTTCCATGTCCTCTCAACGCTATCTTAATCTAGAGATGGTATGGTATCCGAATTCACCAGATATCAATCTTATATTCTCAATTACGGTGTATCCGGCTGTGCAAACTGACACCTGTCATCACAGCAGGCCGAATGGTGTGTCTCTGGCTGTGAAAACCGATGCTTGTCATCACTGCGCCAACACCACGTTGCAAATTGAAGATTATGCACTTACCATTTTTGGCAGCCCTGAGACATAAGTCCGATCATCAAGGCAGAGAAGCAAGAAGGTGCGTATGTATGTTGTAGTTCTTCAATCTCTTGCGGTGTTCAAGTATTCCACCCTCACGACTGCTTCACGACCAACAATTATGTTGAGAGCGATCCAGCACTGGATGATAGTATAACTAGCAGGAATACCATCGTCACAGGTCCACCAGGTCCACCTCTCACCCACACCCATTTTCTACCAATATGGCCATAGTCTCAGATGATCCCATTTGGTGGCCGATCGTCAATTCATATCGTTTGGGTAGCTATTTTGTAGGTTCGTGGAGAGCAGTCGGATGTTGAAGCCGACTCAATCTAACCTGGGCTGTGGTTTTGCAGTTGCCGCTTTTGTTGCAGTGATATATGATTGGGGTGAGCATGATAACATCAAAGGACTGCTGATATCTTACATGTATTTTTAGCACTTACATTTGGACAAGAGGTATGTCGATGGTATGACTGGAGCAGCCATCTCGCTGAGAATGGCTTCATAGGTGGAACTGATCTGGGTAAGTAGAGTCTGGTGTCAGGGAAGCACACGTGAAAATACACTTGATTTCAGAGACAACGCTGGTCGGTAATGACAGTTCTGTATCTCGGTGTATGTAGCTTGTTGCGGTTGCCATGCTGTGCTGACTTGAAAGTATGCTAGGTGCGCTACCTTGGTATCTTATCTGCTACGTATGTTCGGAAGGCTACACAATCGGTGTTGTACTAATCGACTATTTCTCATTATCAGCCTGTACATGCTGAGTATGTCTCCTTAGTGTATTCACCATCTTCACATCTTCTGACCAACGGCATTCAGGCAATGTTCCGACCATCTTGTTGACAGATACAGTGAGTCTTCTGTACAGATGCCTGGTACTATTCCCCTACAATTAACCGTGTTGCCCTGTAGCAGTGGGTGTGGTTCTTTACTAACTCGTTGGTTCACTAATGACTGCCATGCTATACTGCCACAGATGTGAGTCTGTTTGGAGTGTGTGCTACCCGAGGCTGGTCACTCACTGGATTCGTCAGGCTTTACTGTATACATCGTACAGAGTTGGACGGTCATCGTGGTATTTGCGATGCTGTGGGGTGAGCTTTGCAGTTGCGAGTCCTTAGTGATATTCACTTCACTGAAAAAATGCTTCAAGTCATCATCATCGCTCGGTTGTATGCCATGTATCAAGGATCCAGAAAGATCCTGATATTTCTCATTTTCACCTTCCTCGCCGACAACATTTTCGACGCAGTAGTCGCCATAATGTCAACAATGTATACTTCAGGGGGTACGTTCCATTGTGGTTGAAAACGAACGTGCATGGGCCTTATCGACGGATACCAGAGGAACTAATTCTCTTGGGCACTTATCAGTGCCAGATTAACTATGTGGAAGATACCATATTGCTAAATTCCATTACTTGGATACTCGCCACTGTGTGGGAGGTCCTCGCGCTATGCCTCGCAGTCTGGATTGCGGTAGAACACTTCCGTGAACTGCGACAACATTCAGCAGGGGGGATTATCGAGGACTGTTTCACGGTGTTAATGAAAACTCATCTGGTTTACTTTGCGAGGTAAACTCATATTGTGGTTGTTCCTTTTTTTCATTGATGAGTCGGACGTGTTAGCTTTGTTGCTGTTGCTTGCTTCCATCTCATTATTGAGTTCTCTCCAACATTCTTAACGGTATGTCGATCTTTCACTTGCCTATGTACGCTACCACAATCTATCGTTTCTATAGGACATTGCCCTGGACACTCAGATTATTTTTGGTTTTGTTCAGATTTTGACAAATGTGCAAATGTTTGTACCAGGACCGCGCCTGATCATTGGCGTTCGGGAATACCACGCTAAGCTCGTTGCCGATGCCGACGCTGCGACTGGCATGGCCTCAATCGCTTTCCAGGAGCGTGTGCATATATCGACTGGCAGTGGTGTGTAATGCTCGGTGAAGTTAATGGCTACCTCGTACTTGAAAAGAGCAGGGGATTTTGTTTCTATTTATTACCACTTTCTTGCAGTATTGATCTAAGTTATTTGGTGTTCCGAAGTAGATTTCAAGGAGACATACAAAGTTTTTGTCGTAGTGTTTCAAGTTAGTTAGGTAATTTGCTATATGTGCTGAGTCTGATGACAATGTTTAAACCAATATACTGGATAGTTCTACTTGCACTGGCTGTCTACGTGCACTTGCACCAACCACTGGTCCCTTTTTTCTTCATGTGATGGCAAACGAGCGCGGCGGCGCGAGTGCTTCGTGTGGCTGTGATTTTAAGGTTTTTGGCTTACGCAACTGGAGCGAGTCTTCGGCATTCTGCGAACGCACTTCCAACATTTAAACGTTGACCCCGTTCTGTGACTTACCGTTGCCCAGACGTATCAGGTTGTTTTTGGAATTTTCAATTTTAGTGTGAGATACTTTTACGCCGTTTGACCGTCACGTGACGTCCGGATTCGGCCGGATTTCTGGAACCCTTCTGCTTTTGGGCAGGCAAGTCTTTGCGTGCTGCTTTGCATTCTTTCTAACCAAACATTAGTTTATTATTCTAGATCTACTATTAAGTCATCTGTCGTTCCAAGGATGCAGGTCAATAATAGTGAAGACAAGAACTTCAAGGACAGATATTATACACGCCATAAAGGCATTTATAACGAGCAAGAGGGTCACAAGGAGTCTGATAGGTAAGAATCTCAGTCTCTGGAAACAGAACTCTTTATTAACAAAACATGTACCTGATAGGTAAGACTACGTTGTGTCAGCATATGTTTACGATAAGGTATGGTATAGGTACTCACATCTCAGTCTCTGGAAACAGAACTAAGATGCTCATCTGCATGGGCGCTAGACTTTATACTGTGAGTGTTTTTCTCGCTATATTAGAATGAAACTTGATACATGTGCAGCTTCGGGCCCGATGTCAGCTCTCCCTCGTGCCTGCCCCTTCTTCCCTTGTGCTTGCACTCTCTATTTGACATCTCATGCCTTGCCATCGGCTCTCTTGGTCTTCTTCAACTCGAACGATTCAGACAACAACAAGCCATTCAACAAATCCTAGTGGGTGAAACCAAGATAAAGACTGTTGTAAGTCTTTCCTGCTGTACTGCACTGCAAACAGGCCTTCGACAGCATGTTTTTCAGCTCCCAAGGATGATCATAAAGTGAGACAGACAGCACGAGAGTAGTGTTGAGAGGCGCATCGGACACGTTGGATTAGGTGCAAGCACATCGTTTCTTGGACATTTGCTCATCATCAGCTGAATGTCATATCAAAAGGTCTCAGATTAATTTTCATTCATTCCTGCTCTACCTGCACATAAAAACAGTCTCTCGTAGAATTAGGCATCTCAGTCTTCCTCCCAGATACTGAGATGTAAGTGCTATTACCTTCGTATAATGTACCAGCTACTAACAAAGACTTAGTACATATTTGTTCTAGGTACTTATAGCACCTGGAGTCTTCCTCCCAGATACTGAGATTACATATTTGTTCTAGCTCTCATCTCAGCCACGTGACCCTGTCTAAGAAACCTACAAGTAGAGATAGATGTTTAAGTGTGTCAGCTCTTGGGCCAGGTGAAATTGATGCATGCATGGTTGTGACAGGCCTGTGACACTGTAACAAATTCTAAACAACTTTGGATTTTAGTTAATGATCAACATATGAGTGTCTGTCTACGTGCGTACAGGCTCTATAGTGCTGTATTCACTTCTCACCAAATTTGCAGTGCTTGTCAAGTTGTCCTCTGTCCATACTACTAGTATGCATCTTTCCTGTAGCATCTGCCTCATGCTGACAATCACTAGTGCTGCTGTGGTCCAGTCCTGAACCATGGTTCAAACTGGACTTTTGGTCCAGTTCTCCTGTGATTTGGTCCATGGTCCAGGTGTCAGCCAGAACTGGACCATAATACAGTTCTCAGTTCTGGCATTGGGCGAACAGTTTGACTTTGGTTCGGACCGGTCCCAAACTGTTCTGAACCACAAACCGAAAGAAGCTTGCCACATTGTTGAAGCATGCTTTGATACTTCCTTTGATGATCCACTTCGGCCTCAGGGATTCTCAAGCTTCAAGATTTACTTATTTCCATCAAATGCAGAGGCCCATTGACAAGGTAAGTCATGATATGCACTGTTCAAACTGACGAATCAGACCACACATCTTATTGTGCAACTCCTCCTGCAAGCCCATCATCCCACTCTCACGAAACCACCACCTCCACCCCTAAAATCAATGCACCAACAAAGACAAAGGCAACCAAAACCACTGAGTTTGAGGTGTTAGGTGAGTGACTTCTTCATCTTCAATTATCTTGCACCCATTTTCTCATGCTTGCTCTCTCGTACCTGTCCTCTTGTGCCCGTTCTCTCATGCTAACTCTCTCCCACCTGTTCTCTCATGCCACGCCCCATCTTTCATGCCCTCCTACTTCTTGATATTGAGACCATCGACTGCGGCACCACAACAAGTCCTACCTATGTTTTTTTTTTGCTCATTGTAAATAAATTTGGTTCGGTTCACATTCAAACCTGAAAATGACCAGACCTGACCATTCTGAACCATTTGCCAAGGTCCAGTTTGAGGTTCGTCAAGTCTGGTAGAACCGGACCTAGGTCCAGTTCTTGGTTCTCGCTCGACCCTCTGTGAACCAGACCGAACCGGACCACAGCAGCACTAACAATCACAACCTGCATTCAGTCTTCCCAAGTTGATAGAGGAAGCCTCGTCCATCCATGCACACACACACTGATCCATGGCACAACCATTCAAGACTCACAGACATTTCACCACCCCCACACACACATGCACACAAACTAGCTTCAAAGTTCTGTCTCTTAGGACTAGCACTGTCCTCCTCATAGATTTGTTTGTTTGTCATGGATTCACACGCAGCTGGTGGGACTCGACAAGATAATTTGATTTGTTTGGCAAATCATTCGTCGAAAGGAACTCGAAACATAGATTGCATTGGCCAGCAATGAGAAAGAATGCAAAAGCAGCACACAAAGACTTGCCCACCCCCAAAAGCAGAAGGGTTCCAGAAATCCGGCCGAATCCGGACGTCACGTGACGGTCAAACGGCATAAAAGTATCTCACACTAAAATTGAAAATTCCAAAAACAACCTGATACGTCTGGGCAACGGTAGTGACTACCACAATCCTTTAACTTTTATTTTATGTTGTATCGATATCTCGAAAGAAGCCAGTCACTATTCATTCATTCAACATAAATTGACATGTTGACATGCTGAGTCGGTTCTGCTGATTACTTCTATGACTCCTGATCTTTCTGAGCTGGGGTGGGTGAATTTTGAGGTGCTGGTGTGCGGTCCCATTGATCTGGTCATAGTGCGAGAATTTAATGGGCATCTACTTCATTAGTTGTGAGCAATGTACTTGTACTTCTGTATCCTTCTAACCTTGTGCGCACTCACTGCGTAGGATCGACTCGGAATAGGCGCTCGGACTCGGAGCAACTTTAGATCTAGGGAATCCCTCATGCGGCGCTCTGCTTACATCCAACTGTATGGAGACTCGCTGTCAAGTCCATTGTGATTCATTACAGTCATACATGTGCGTATATACACGTATCTATCGTGGGCCAAGAGAAAAGTGTTTCAATGGGGCTCATTACAAGACAAGCTTGGAGCACGACATTCGTCGCAAACAACAAAAGTCTAGACCGTTTCGGCTTCACCCGTGTCATACCCGATGTGTTCATCCAGAGCGACACTATTTTCGTACTGGAACGGCATTTTGATTGACTTGCTGAACAACTGGTACAGCAAAGCTGAGCGCTTCAACGCCGAAGGATGTGCCCAATGATTTTGATTTATTTTAGGAAGGCTCTCTCTCGCTGTGCGCCACTTCTACAGCAAAGCAACATTTACTATATGTATAGTTCTTTTTTTGAACAATGCGCTGCTGTGACTCGAGAAAAGCTCTGCTGATGACTCGACCTTACATAAAAAAACGTAACATCTTTGAGCGGCAGCTGCGCTGATGGTAATATGATATGAATATTACAATTGCTCGGACTGGGAGGATTAGTATTTAGTAGTTTAGTGATTAAGGAGGCCGTGGCGGTGAATGTGCCACAAGGGTGATCATGATGCATCGATGAAACTTTGAACAAAGTTTCCCTGTTATCCCCACTCCAATGCTTGACGCCCATTTCACAGGAGAAAGTCTTGACTAGCTATATAATATCAACCATAAATGAGAATACTCATATATGACGATGGGGACACGATTTTACTACAAGCTCATGCTGCGACATCGTTATTGATTGCCTCAAATTTATACTGCTATGAATGCGATTATGGTAGGAGTAATTTATATACTTCCAAAGTTCTCACGCGCTACAACTTTATCAAGGGGGCGATGCAAACTTGATGCAAACCCACCTAAACACATTAATCATGCCCGCGCGTCTCATAGACAGGAGTCTAGTAATCACTTCAAGCTCAACTGCCCTTACTAGCGGCTTAGCTGCTTACCGGTGCTGTGTTCCCCCTTCCATTATATATAATATGTGTTAGCATCTCCTTGTCAGTATGGGAAGCCTATCTACATCTACACTGTCCTCAACGCCATGGTTCCGTCCTATTCCGCTAAGGTATCCTCCAAAAACATGGGAATGCTTTCGTGCTATGACTGAACCTGGCCTTTACAGCTTTATGTGACTACTGACAAAACAGCACTCGCCGAAGAACAACCCCTCCCCGAAGCCCTCCGTCGCACGTCCCTTTCAACGAGGGTACTCTGTTTTTTGGCACTTGGACGCCCAGACTTTGATGATCATTGGAAGTCGCTGCAATCAGACCAAGCGTTCGAAACCATTAGGAGCAGGTCATGCTCTATTCTGGCCAGCACTATCACCACAGTAAGCTGTCTAACTCCATGCGAGCTCAAGCCCATATTGACATACTCCAAAAAGGCAACTGTCCTCCTCGCTACAAGTGTTGTTTTCGTCAGTACGGCCTCTCCTGTGTCATACTTTGACTACACGTCACCCGCTCCCTATTGTCTGCTATTTATATCGCTCATGCTCGCCATGATGGCGATATTGACATCCGGTTCAAGCATGATACGCTGGCTACACACTGATAGGCAGTGGACTCAAGAAGTAAGTTCATTCTTGTCATACTGGCTACACAACCTGACCTATATATGGTTAGCAACTCAAGCTGGGCGGCTACTTCGTCTTTTCCTACCTGTTATCAATAGTCACGCCCATATTCTTCGTCGCCTGGTCCCTACATTGTTTTATCTTTGGTGAGCTGTTCCATCAATCGAGGCTCCCTCTGGTTCCTCATGTATTTCACCCCAAGCGATGTTGATAGCGGGCTTTTGCTCCCACAGCACGATCTACCTCATAGTAACTGCACTCTGGCTTGTTATGTACGTCGTTAATATTGGAACGATATTGATGCAATCTATGTGGAAGTATACGGCATTGTGATTTCAATGGGCCATGCTCGATATCGTTTATATCTTCCATTTTCTACTTTGCTCCTTCTCTTTGTCTTATTCGTGCTTTGTCTATGTTATATATAATCTTTCTGATGTGGCGCGCACCTGCAAGGCGTGCTCAAAATGTAGTTGAGTAAATATGTGCAGTCTATGGCTTTCAGTTGTACCAATATTTTAAGAGCGCCTTAAGCCTTATCGAATCATATAAGTCTACGAGTCACTACATCCAACATTTTACGTTGTCGATGCCACCCTAGCCAAATCCCAGCTGAACCAGCAGCACCAAATCTTTACGAAGTCTATCAGATTTTTGATGACTGAGCTTTGCAAGATATATACTGCAACGCAACGGAATGCAAGTCCTGCTGTATCGTAAAGGAAAGACATCAGGACGTGTTGATAAGGACGTGAACGTATCCAAAGCAGTGATCACCGTTCAAACAAAAACCCAATGAGGCGTTGCAACCCGGACTCCAAAGCGCAAAAAATCTTCATCAGCATCCTCATCCGTAGGCACATTTCCCTCCGAGTCAGGGATATCCATCACCTCGCCAAGCGGAACGACCGCTTCTGCCCACGCCGGGACACTCTCGGGTGTTTGGGGCGTGCCTGTAGCTCTTCAAAGTCATCCACGATGGGAGGTGCGTCACGAGGTAGTCCTCTCATAATGAGGCGGTTGTATGCTTTCTCCATGATGTAACATAGTCCAGCCATAATGGCGTATTGAAGTGCCTCGTCTATGTTGGTGGCAGAGCCTGTGTTGGGTTTATCAGTAGGGTATGGGTCGGGGAGGGCCGAGAGTGCCCATGCGGGCTCAGATCGTGTCCAAAAGTATTCGAGCTCGTTGCGGAACTGGACTGTCCAGTCTATGACAAAAAATTGATAGAGGCGATAGAAAGATGCGGAAGGTGTATCACTAGGTGAAGGAGAAAGGAGTGGGAACATTCGATGGAGCCGCGGCAGAGGTCGAGAAACGAGAGAATGCCGCCATGACATGGGTCTTCGAAGTGGATACTTCTGAAGGATCACAGTGCGGTCTGCAAGGAGCCTTGAAGGTGTTGGAGGAATGGGTTCGCGCAGACTAAACAGACATTTAATAATAGAAGTGCAAAATCGAATTTTTTGAGGGCTAGAGTTAACTCACCTCTGCGCCTGACTGTCTGACATGGCTAGTAAAGCTGGCACTGGCTAACTTATCGTTTCGAGCGGACTTTGCTGGCGTAGAAACCTCTCAATTCAGAAAGGGGTAGACCTGAGGCCTAAAAACCATAAACTAGACTTGCCAGGGGAGCACCACAGGGTTATATACCTGATCAACCGTTGAAAGGAACTGACTCTGACTCAATGACAAATTTCCCTGGTCTCATAAAAGTATAATGAGAGGACAGATTGTTTTCTGGGGATGATACAGCTTTCCGCTCGCAATATGCGATCTCGCTAATGGCAGAGGAGTCGGCTATAAGAGACAAATAGACTCGAACATTAGTCACTTAGTAAGCCAGCGCCGCCTAGCTAATTTGCGCTCGATTCAAAACGGGTGTATTGAAGCTGAACCTTTTCAAACGAGCATGTCTGGCTCTTAGCTAGTCATGGCAGCTGTTCAAGTTGAATCCTAGCCTCTATCTAGCCTTGAAGCTGTAGTCGTCTCAGCCGATAACTGCCACGTCATTCGTCTTCTCCCGATCGCACCATATGCATGTCACTGCCAGACACTCACAACTTAAACACCGACATATGTGCTCTGATACCACCCAGTGATATTTTCATTCACGCCTGTGATGACGAGGCTTACACTATTGAAGTGCACGGTCGTACGTTTAAAATATTTGCCAGCTCATTCACTCCACAGCACGGTAATGACGCCTTTCATACCCACGGTTGGATGCCACTGACTGTCTGACAGTCCTATCCGTTAGTCTGTCACACCAGATGATACAATATATATTCTCATTACTCGTGGTCCTTCATACAGTCATCTTGACCTCACTGAACTTGATTGCCGGGCTCTACTTGCACGTATGTGGGAAAGACAGCCCCAAGTGCTTCATGTGTTCGGACACATCTACGGTCGTCATGGAATCGAGAATATGCTCTGGAACCCTGCTCAGTCAATTTGAGAGGACATTTGTGCACGTGAAAGGGGGTTGGATTTATACGATGTGCTTGCTGTGGGCGATGGTTTAGGGTATACGAGATGACAGTATAAGGACTGCTGCTGTCGATGCCTCTATTATGCGAGGTCTACGAGACCGTGATGTATGGTTTCCCGTTGTCGTTGATATATAAGAACTTGACGTTTTGTAGCAACTGATCCACTCTCCAGAACTGACACAACATCATCCACTTCTACCTGCGATGTCAGCCTCCCGAACAGTCAACCATATATTCTCGCTCGGCTATATCCTGTACACGTCGGTCGCGTATCCTAGATATCGGTGAAGCTCTTTCTGAATTTGCAGGTCTTCTCTGGTTAACTTGCGTTCTGGTGACATCGTGATATATACTCTGACTAGTAAGCACCTACTAGTTGTCATCTCTATACATTTTCGTGACACATTTCTAGTATGTGCTCCATCACCAGCCATCGCGTCGCATATGATTGGGCTTTTGCAGTTCCCATGGCAGATATACAACCTACTTATAAACATCTAAGCCATGGATGCAGCCTGATTATCGGCATCGTACCAGTTCCCTCCATCGATAGAGAACCACGATGAGACCGCCTACCTCTCCTTACGGCTAGGGTAGTACTCACAACGGAAAAATTTGTTTCAGGTGGACTTCCACCATTTATATACCACTTCGACACAGATTTTCTTATCCTGCTTTCCCAAACGCAGGCAGTCCGCATTGTGTTATAAACTATCACAGCGATCCTTACATTTCGCGCGGCGACATGTGCACGGAACAACCGAAACTTGATTTTTTGGATATCGACCTGCGGGTGGGTTCCCGTCGTATTCGCATCAACTGCTACCGCGTTGAACTTGTCATTCAGCTATCCATGTTTTGCATTGCAGCACGCACCTTTGTGGACTGTGCCGACAGAACCCTCAATTCGTGTCGCTCGGCAATCGTCAACCGACATACCAAAGCAAAATTTTGTTCTCGACATAATTGATTACGACCGCGCATGTCCTTGGCCGATGAGCCGAGCTCGAAAACATCGCCCGATGGTGTGCTTGGAGGGGTATCACAGTCCGCCATGGGGAAATCGATGCCAGTGCGTTGCAAACTCGCGATGTTTGCAAGTCTCGCAACTTACGAGTTTTGCCATCCATGCTACGTGGACACTGGAGACAGTAAGCAATATGCAATAAATCTGAGACACAGCGGTTGACATCACGTATAATTTAGAAAGATAATCCATCGATAACCTATTGATGATGGTCAACGCAGCACTGTCACACTTTTGTGTACCCACGTTTTGCAGGTCCTTGTACCCGTAATCGTGCGGCGGGCCAAGCACAGGTACGCCCGACCGCGGGTAATGCCCTGGTGGGTGCCCGGGTAAGTCTTACCCATGTCATATAGTTACAACATAGCAAACTCATGAGTTCACTGATCTCATGTTAAGCTTCGACTGTTTCGTGACCTGTCATTTGCAGTGGATCATATACTTTTAATACTCGCAACCGCATTGATATTGCAAGGAGTTTCCCCTAAAATCACCCGCAATTTGAGATGGCTACGACAAAATCATTTTTGTGGTTGGAAAGGTCATTCCTTTCACAAGCATCTCTGGAAACCGCAACTCCTCCGACGTCTGCTCAGTACCAGCTTTACTCGCTTCCAACAGTTGGTACCGAAGCTGATCGCGTACTCGGGAAAAATAGGAAAACGTTCGAACGCGCTAGACGAAGTCATAAAGATGATTGAACAAAGGAATGGTAATATTCCCAAAAGTTTACTTTTCGTTGCAGTGACTTTGGCTAATTCACTTATGTGTGGCTACCATCAGCTGCAATCGGTGATGGCTGCGATAGCATGATAAGCTGCTGAAGAACCAAGATCTACACATGCACACACAAATATGCCGCGCCCAACACGTGTTCTTATTTGCACCCTTGTTCTCGACCCAATGTGGGTCCCCATCATGATTTTCTCATTTGGGTTCACATCTATCGTAATCGAGGCTGTTGTTTGAAGTATGAAGAACGGTCCATTCGGTTGGTGCTCGGATGAAATGACGCTGCTATCTGACTTATTGGAAATCAAATTTGCTAGGAAATGGCACTCACCTTTGGTCAGACCATTATGCATCATCGCACGTACACAACATTGTTTTGCAAATTCGGCTCTACTTATTCCATCCCATTCGGCACTATTTGAGCCTGCAGATAGTCACCCATTCACCTTATAAGGAAGATTCATGTTCCAAGCGCGTTCAGGGACGCGTTGGAAAAACGTGTTACACTGTACAGGAAGGCCTGTCTATTTCACATACCGTGCTCTCCGGAAGCGCGATAGCAAAGGTTATCACTTCATCTGTCGCGTGACATGAAATTGTGGTAAGCGCAACACAACTTAAGGACCAGAAGACATGCACTCATGCTTTCCTGTTGGCAGAAAAACCTAAAGGGATACAGTCTTTGCATCTGCGAGGTTGCGAGCTGACATTAGATCCAGACTACACAGTTCATGCCGGCAGTGCTCATACTAAACCGTCGCAGCTTTCCATAGATGCGTACATCGCCCTACAGCCGATTCCAACCTGTCACGAGATGCGCTTCCTCGGAGATGTACAAATTTTTGTCTCGTGCTGTCTAGCATGTGGAAGGAAAGTAATCTATCTTCCATGCCCAGGCTTTTCAGTAACCAAGCCAATCAGCAGGTTCAAATACCGCGAATCACGAGACACATTTTGACTTTCTCCTTCATGTGGCGATGTGTCTTCTCTCCATCTCTAGCGGCGATGTCATAGCATATGACTACGCACGACCGAAATGCGAACGGGGATCTCATACTTTACGGTATCAATTGTGACAGGGTGACTCATTGAGGCCGCTGGAGCCAAGAGATGTGCGATCGAAAGTTCATGGCATCAACCTGATTCCAAACCACCGTGTTCTTAATCACTCACCAATCCAATCCAACCGCTACTCTTAGCCTCGTTTGACCTATGATAATTCTGGTATGTTTTACCTTCTGGATATTCCTGTAATAATCTTCTACGTCATTCGCTGCAATTGCAAATACACTCTAACCTTGCATTGGGCGCAAAGGTCCCAGGAAACGTGGCTACATTCGTTTGCGGGGTGTATGATCTAAGCAATGCATGATCTATAACTGGAACAACGCTTTTGTAAGTGGTATTTTTATGTAGCCGTGCTTTGGAGACTCTAAACCATTTTGAGGATATGATAACGGCCTTGTTGGTTCTCAAGCAATGATCCCAGTGATATATACTGCGGAAGCACTAAAGACCTGATACCCGTTCCATCTCCGGAAACTCTCGGTTGGGCAGTGTGTTAGCAAGGATTGATGGTTAATCCTTTGAAGACCGACCTTACTTGGCTTTCTAACTCAAATAAATGTATATGCAGTTCATTGATTTGCAATTTGGGGTCCTCGATTTTACACTTTTGCCCCAGTCCCAGGCACGTGCTACGCCAGATGATCCGTTGGCCCCGTTAATCCCCACTGATTTGCCTGTTTCTAGTGTTCTCGTATTGGCATCAAGTTTAAATCCCCAAGACGCCGTCACTCTTCGTCTGGGTCAAAATTTGGCAATGGCTAGGCCTTGTTTAGTTCCGTCCCATTGTAACTCGGCCCGTATCCATGATCGCATTTCTGCTGAGAGGGATGTAGGCATTAGAAGATTCACGTGTTTCACAATGCTTCTTCAGCGGTCCCATGAACAACAGGTCTGCCAGCTGATGCTGACAACCATGTCCATCTCATCGACGAATACGTTAAGTTTCCTTATACCATTTCATTACGGATCCCCCATTGCGCCATTGCTTGACGTTTAACTCCGTGTCCATGTGAATGGTGAACTTTCTTCTTTCCCTTACCTTGTTTTGATTATCCCCGTCGAGATTACACTTAACTAACTGCTCTCGTTCAGGGAAACATATACCAAACTCTCAGTCCGGCGTAACAGTGTGAGAATGCCGATCTGAATATGGAACTCAGCAAAGTGTCTCTGTTTCGCGGGAGGAATCGGAAGGCGAAATGTATTGGTGTGACATTTCCGCCGCCCTTAGCCCCTGGGTCTGCTGACCACCGCAACGATATAACATACTTCTATATATGCTGTTATGTATGTAATGGCGCTCGGCCGCGTCAGTCCCCGACGCATTTGTATAAATTTTGAATCTGGCATGCGAATTTTGGCTGTGAAATATGTACTTGATCGCCATAGAATTCTTCGTGAATGGGACCAGCATGCCCAGTAGGGCAATTTTTATGGGAAACCCGACCTTTGAGAATTGTTCCTCCTGTCCAACACTCACACTGGCGGCCTAGCTCTTAGACTGGCAGCTCCTACATAGGTTTGATAACCTCAATTTCCTTCTCCACATCGGTCCAACACTTGTGAAGGACGGTGGCCGTGCGCATTCTATTGCAAGCCAAGTATACAGTGACTTCACATTGGGTAATGTACTTAATAGAAACATTCCCTATCCTCTCTGCACTGGCACACGATTGCCAACGACACAATAGTCGCAGGAGCATTTGCGCATATGCACCGTCAAAATGGCAGAGCAGAGGTGAGGAAGGTGCCATATACACCTCTCAGGAGTTTGTGCGTAACGGCAATACATCCAATGCAATATGATATATAGATGATAACCTTAATCTGGACTCGAGCCTAAGTGTGATGAGCATAGAGTCAAGACAATCTGATCTATATATCATCGGCAACGGTAATCAATACTAATGACAGTCGGGATAATCTTGGAGACAGAGATTTACCCGAAATGATTACAGAAGTTCTGCACTTTATGTGCAAAAAATGATGGTTCAACTGAGGGTCGAACTCAGGACCTTCTGTGTGTAAGACAGAAATCATAACCACTAGACCATTGAACCGACGAACGCTTTGTAAAACTCTGCTCCATGTCCTTCAAACTCCATAGCTTGAATCTACATCGATTACTTACTTCGTTTTCTTTAGTCTTGACAGTAACGTATGCGGCAGGTCCAGGGGCATCGTCATCCGTTAGACGCATTGCAACGGAGGTACAGACCCGCTTGAGAAAACTGGGTTCTAATACACAGGATCCACTGTACTGGAATCCCGGTGACGGGTCCCCATTTTCCCCAGGTAATTGTTGTTGGGGGAATCGGCAACAATTTTTCCAACTCTCAGCTTGGCACTCATTCGACCACTCTCTTTATCAAGAACCCTAGACGAGAGCTTTGCTGTTAAGAGTTTGTTCTGTCCTGGCGATTATCTTGTGCCAGCGTCACTGGTGCATGAAAGCCTGTGGACTTATCGTCACCTCGTGAGTACTTCGGTCCGACTATCTCATATTCGGATGTTCTTACAAGAGTAAGAATGCTGCCACCTTTGGTGGTGTTCTGCTGGCTCTACTCTGGTGGAGGTCAGCGGGCAGGTGTTATAGCTCAACCTGTTCAGCATGCCGAACGGCAGGTGGGCAATACTTCGCCATCCATAGTACCTGCGGATCCTGGTCTTATAGGAGTTATTTTAACTTCCTCACCTGCTTCATCACCTTCAACCTCATCTACCATCTCCTCATCTGCTTCGTATGCCATGACATCAACGGCCAGCGCACCAATTCCTTCGTCGACATATAACCAGTTCTCGATTCATGCTGTCAAGAATATGACGACATGCGCTCCGGGCATCATCACCTGGACCTATAACGGTTCATCACCCAACATTTTGGTCTCTATCACGAATGTCAATGTTCTTGATCCCGATCCACAGCGTGATCTCACTCGCCGCCAAAATACTGCTAAACAGATCTCCGTGACTTTAACAAACACTAGCGCCATCTTAGACTACTGGATATGGCCTCAAGTGGACCAGCCACAGGGCTGGTATGCCATACAAGCCTCTATAGCTTCGCTCAACGCCTCTTCTGCTGCTTTTTTCATTAGTAATGGATCCGACACGGCTTGTTTGCTCTCGTCCTCATCTTTATCGCCAGGACCCACTAGCCCTGTAACCGTAGCAGAAACCTCATCAGTGACACTCAGTGTTGGCAAGATCATGGGGATCGTGGTTGGTAGTCTAGCAGGGCTGATTGTTCTTGTTTTGGCTATCGCATATTACCTTTGCCGCCAATGTTGCTCTCCAACTCGTGGCAGCAAGCCAAAGCAAAGCGTGGGAAAAAGGTGGAGCTCGCTGAAATCTAATGACTCAGCTGCCAGGTCACCAGCGGGGGGCAATGGTGACTCTGCTTGCTCCCGCGGTCATTCGGAGTCGATGGGTGAAATATTGATTGTCGCAGATAGTGGCAAGGAGGTCTCAGAGACCATAACACCACAGGGTTCAGACGAATATCACGAAAGTCGCGGAGAGGAGAAAGAAACATACCCTCACTCGCCCAGGGGGATGATCCCTGTGGACACTATCCATAATCCCTTGTCGCATTATAATCGCCGCATATCTGTTCACTCCCTTCAAGATTCATATTCCTTTCCAGATCCATATGTCTGTGGTGACGCTGGTCGCACCCATACTATCACCTCTGCGCACTATTCGAAACAAAGCTTCGAGCTGCAAGCAGCTAGAATACGATCGTCCATGGAAAGCTCCGCATACATGCGTACCGAGCGCTTCTCACTGCCAGCTCCAGCTGCCTCCACTCCGCACTCACCCACATCTCCTAGCCGAGGGCGGGACGCGTACCCACCTTCTCCTGAAGCTGCAATTTCGAGCAGGCGCCCGCCTTCGATAGGCGTTGTGTCCGTTCGCCGCAATTCTCGCAAACCTGTACCGCACTATGATCCATCAGAGTTTCGTGACAACTTACATAGCGCGGTAGACAATCAGTCAATGATTACCGCTTGTGAATCATCATATTCGCACGGCACAGAGTCACTATCCCCACTGCATGCCATGTCAGGGCTGTCCCACAACCACATCCATTATCTGATCCCTGACATGCCACCGAGGAACGAATAGGCTGTGCATCCCCCAATGACACCCACTGGCATGCGTTAGTCCTTCATGTTCCGTGTATGTAGAATTTGCATATGCACTACGGATGCATCCGCATCGCCAATCTATCGCATGCTGCGCATGATACTTCGTGGACACATACAACTGGAGGATGTTGTAGCTTTGTTTTGCTCCTTCGAGAACTAGGACGTTGCGTCGTTATCTTCAATTTCAATTACCCGATCCACAGGTTGTAATGATGGATGTATCGTGCTAATATTATGAACGTTTGCTTCGACATCACTGTATCCGCAAGGAAGGGGTGAGGGCATTTTGCTATCCTCGACGCGTGCAGAGCAGGTTGTCGCTATCAGCAGGGTTTCATATAGACCTCGCTGGAAATTACCGATAAGATTTGCGGAATCAGGCAACAGAACTTGTGGGATCACCGGAATGGCTTGCATCGAGGCATCGGACCCACTTAGCGAGAGGATTGGTACCCTGAAATTTCCTTTGGTTCTATAATCTAATCACAAGACATAGACATATGACGTCGTCCAAGGTATGTGGCGCAAACATGCAGGTGCGGAGATGGGCGACGTGATGTAGATCGATTAATATCCAGCCTGATCCTTTAGATGCGGGCATCACAAACGACTAAGACTGATGCGTCTATAGTAAAGTTGGGCGTAAGGCAGCGATAACATTCCATGTGTTTCGTTGATCATCATGACCATCCGTTTGAATTTCGCCGGCGCAAGGGTAGTGGTATTCGTGGACGCGCTTCCAAATCTTGTACTCGTTTGGGATTAGAGAGCCCGACTTTTCGTATCTGAGCGAGTCTATGATGTGAACGAAGGTCAAACAAACATTACGGTCCGCAACAATGATCGGATATGATACCTTCTTAGGCCGGCCCATGCTACGAAAAGTGCAACAGCCGACGAGAGGGTGGACATCGCCATGAAGGCATAGGGCATCTCCTCCATGTGACTTTTCAACTGGATCGGGGAAAAGCATCAATACGGGCATCAGAGATCTTGTGACGAGTGACTGACGTTCATGCCGAATAAACCTGCGATCAGGGCCCCCGTGCCAATTCCCATCGTTCCGATAGATACCTGACATATCTTAGCTTTACCTCACTCGCGTGGGACGAAGATGCTCACTTTAAGGTCCAATGCAAGTAGTGCGTTCCGGTTAGAGTCTAAGATGAGCTCTACAATCTCCTGAGTAGATTGGACGTTGGCCTGTTGAGGACGGTGAGGTTATCGGCAAAACAATGTGCCAAAAAATCCACCTCGATGTTTTCAGCTTCATTGGCAATTTCTTCTACTTGTTTGGAGAAAAACTCGAGAAGTACCTCAAGTTCTTCGTGTTCATGCATGTTGCGCAGAACGCCATTTTTCTTGTCAGTGAGATACATAGCATCCAAATCATCATCTTGAACATAATAGGTTCGAATTTTCACACTATTACAATAGTTGCAATGCTAACCTTGTTCGAGTACTTCTTCCAGAGCCTCTTGGACCTGGAATGGGAATGAAAAAAATCTCATGCAGAAGACAATAAAAAAAGTCGTACGAGCTTAGCGCGATTTTTGAACGCTACCAGACGTCTTGAGTAGTGCAGCAGGCGTTTGAATTTGTCATGATTGATATCGTCCTCGAGCTCCGCCAAGAGACCACCTACGAGGTTACGGATGAACACCATCTCGGCTTCTAGCGCGCTGAGAACCGAGAGAAGGATTGACTCGATTGCTCTAAACAACCTCAATGCAGCTCGGAAATGATCAAATTGCGGGAAAACCTACCTGAATTCGTAAGGTGCGCCGCTACCCCGGGCCTTAAGGTTATGCTGAATGGGGTCAGTCGATACACGTAAAATGTTTGATGGAAAAAAAGACCTCGAGATGGTACAGGAACACAGAGTGAAGACGGGAATCGTTGGACCCATAAGAGTCAAACAAAACCACGGTATCGGCCTTGACTAACGCCCGTATGTGAAGTATGTTAATCTGGACATCGATGTTATAACTAGGCCACAAACATTTACACACGGAAACGCACTAGAACAGCTCCTTTGCGAATAAGAATTGTAGGAACAAGGTTGGGTATTCGTGAATCAATCTTCCGTAAATCACGAGGCTTCATTAAAGTTTTAGTAAGGGTCCAGCCCAGAACCTGGACTGCAAACATAATCTTTCTTACGTTTAAGCGATGCTCGTTGCACAAGTCAGACCGTTTAAATTGACCTGATATGCTCTTGATATTGCCTAAAGCGACAGGTGTGGTCATGCAACGAGAGGATTAGCTGAGAAAATGACAAGGTACCCGCATGATCCAAAATAGTGCCTGTGCCTCCGTAAGCTGCAAGAAAGAGAAACGAAAAAGAGATGGTCGAATGGGAGAAAACGTACAGCGTAACATGAGATCTGTAAGCTGCCTGCCTTTCATGACTTTCTCAAGGATAGCAGCTTTGGCTATTTCCTCTTGAGTGTCAGACATTCCGGACGACTCCTGAACTTTCGGCCGAAAGAAATTCTTCCATGAGGCTAGACGAAAATGTCTGACGGATACGAGTAATGTATTGTGAGGAATTGACCGCTGCTGAGTTGGAGAAGGAGAAGTCCAGAGCGCGTGACTTTGATATCGTCTACATTGAGGAATGAGCTGTGGAGCAGAAGATGTTCGGCTCAATCGCATCACATTGCTGGTACGCACGCGCCTGAGAGTTGTATACATTCACAGACGCAAATGGAGGAGTCAAGTGCAGATTTGTGTCAAAGTCTCCAAATGGATTCGGACAAAACCGTTATAATTAATTCGCACAATAACCAAAATTACCAAATAGATATTTACTTTTAATAATAATTTGAAATTCTCCAACCTTATTTGTCACACCAAGTGTGACAATAAGCTGTGCTCAGTCGTCAGGTCCGGGGCCCCTGGTCCTCCCCTCATCTGACCCCAATATTTGACCCCGCATTCTTCCCCCAGGTCGGTACACGTTCCGCGGATATTTCACCATGAGGCTAGCGCCAGCAGCGTCGCATTAATCTGGCATGTGTAAACATTTTCGTTCCGAAATTTAACTAGTTTATCAGCTCTTTTTAAAAAATTAGCCGATCTATCACGTCCACTGGACGTCTCCAGGCTTTTACGTTTTCAGTTCTACTTCAGGTGATTTCAGACCTAACCAGTGGGCCCCAAGTATGCATCCAAACTCATTCTCGGCATGTGCTCTCGCCATTTTGAGCAGATAGGACAGACCCACAATCAGTAATACTTACCTTGAGATGAGGCAGAACATATCAGATGAAGATCAGGCCGCCATCTGTTGAAGTTCTTTTTCAGGATCTCTCTTCGGTCACGGATCTATTACATACCCATTCGGTTTGCTTTGCCTCACCTCTGTTTTCCTCTCTTTATTTTATACCATGTTCTCCCTTTGATACTACATTCCACCCCCACCCCTCCACACCCCATACCATTATGTCCGATTCCCGCAGACTTTTGGAAGCTGCAACTGCGCTTTCTCAACTTCTGCGTCAACACTCGATTGCCCACGCCTTCTATGGAAGCATTCTCACTGCCGTGCTCTCTGATAACCCACGTTGCGATGTGCGTGGACTATGTCTTTACTGCCCGCACACCCTCGTACTGACATGCTTTCCAGGAAATATTCTGTATTGTTGAAGGCGGCTCCACGCACCCCTTCCGTCGAGTCAGACAGGCCATTGTGGGGAGTGAGCATTTCACAACCACGCACTCTCCGTGGAGCAACCGGTAGAGGAGTCTCCTACTAGTATGGTCTTTCTTGTAACCGAGTCTGCCTAGCTTGCATGCTACATATCGTCAGGTCATCCCAGCCATTGAGGTGAGCATATCCTTCAATACGTTTTAACGATGTCGTTGATAACAGCGGCTTTGAAGATTGAGATCCTGCCCGCTGGCGAGCATGGACCCCGACGATTGGATGGTTCTACTATCATGCAATTACAAGGCATCCCTTTCTTGACCCTGTCCGAGTTTGTTCGGGCAAAGCTAAAGGCTTGGACAATGTAGGTAACAACTATCCCACAGTCTGGTAGATCAACTCATTCTCCGCAGACGCGGCTCAGACCGTGATGCTCAAGACATCATTTACGCATTATGCCGCTACTGGAATCGATTGGATATCAATCGCGTTCCTGAGCAAGATATGAACCACTTCGTAACTGCCCATCGCACTGCGGCCCTATCCTGGGCAGCGCTGAAAAGAAAATATGGTTTATGAAAGCGCTGAAAGCCATGAGGCAGGGTGGGGTGCCTATCGGATTGATACTGATTGCGAAGTTGGTCCAAAGGGGTAGGGACTTTCCACTCAGAAGCGTAGCGTCTTGTAATATATCTTTGGAATTGCAGATGCGCAATTCCACGCGGCTATGCCGCTGAGTCCATTCTGTTCTTGGGAACTATATCACGGCTGCACAATTTTCAGGGCCTCTGGCTCTCGTAAGTCTGGTTCGTACATGATATGAATCATACACACGACATATGTCATGATTGGGGTACGGTGGCTTTCGGCAAGTAAGAGGAGTTTCGCTGGTGACAGCAGCGTGTCTTGACCAATCTAGTCATGAAATGGCGTCAATTCAGGGTAGGGAACGCCTATGAAATCCTCGGGGAGCGGAGTAGATATTCAGGAGATACAATTGTATAGGCTCGCATTTCCACGGTTCGTCCAGCGGTCCTGCGCACCCCGACATTTGAATTTCTACTCGTCGGTGGTTGCTGAAGTCGGGGATCACAGCGAAGCAGTGGATCACTCCGCCGGCCAATGCTGTTAGCTTCTCAAGTTACCATATAGAAGATCTCCGGAAAAGTGCACATTGACCTGGGCCAATAGCCCAACACACCGTCTGCCACGAAGTCAATAGTGATGTAGCAAAATCGCGGAGATTTGGGACCTTCGACAGTATGGATCACCAGGGAGCAGGTAATCGGGCTTCACCGTTCAGGTCTGTCCAAGCCGAAGAACGTTCAGTCTGAAACTTTGTGAGTATCGTCCGTCTCTCACGCAATCGGCTGATTTGTGTTGTGGAATGAATGTATTAATGCCTGTTTTTGTGGGCCTGGAACGGAGAAGGGATGAACCCGACCAAATCCGATCTTCGTGTTCGATCATTCTATCAGAAAAGTGAAGACATTATCAAAGGGGATAAAGACTGAAAGCTAGAGTACTGTTGACGTCTGACCGTAACAAGAAGGGGTGCGAAGCAAGAATAATCCAAACCATTCATGGCTTTGGAGCGGTAATGATCATATAGAAAACACAGGGTTTGCTTCCCTCCCATCACTATTAATGCTGATTAATATTGCCGGGACAAATATCCATGGAATATAGATTTCTTACCATTAATGAGTGTATTGAAAGGACGGCGTGAACAGAAGAAAACTCAGAGCGTGAGAAACATGATGTGACTGCATCATCGTGACGTGACTGTATCGCGCAAGACGCGTAATACGTTCGCTAGAGATCTTTGTCGTTCTCCTTCACAATGCCTACCGCCGTTCAGAAACCTAAGACCCCTGGAGGCATCCAATCTTACTACCAGGCCAAGATTGAGGCTGCTGAACTTTTGATTAATCAGAAAACACAGAACCTGCGTCGGTTGGAGGCTCAACGGAATGCGCTGAATGCACGAGGTGCGTTTGGATTGTACTGATTCCAACGAATGCGTTCATAGGACAAAATTATAGTGCGTCTGCTACGAGAGGAACTTCAGCTTTTACACGAACCTGGAAGTTATGTTGGAGAAATTGTGAAGGTTATGGGGAAGAAGAAAGTCCTCGTCAAGGTGCAACCTGAAGGCAAATACAGTACGTGCTGGGTCTTGAATGGTGCTTTATCCCGTTCCGCTCACACACTGTGCAGTAGTCGACTTCGACCCGTCGATCGAGCTGTCCCAACTTTCCGCTTCATTGCGCGTGGCTCTCCGTTCTGACTCTTATACTATTCACAAGATATTGCCGAACAAAGTCGACCCACTTGTCTCCCTCATGATGGTGGAAAAAGTCCCAGATAGTACGTACGAAATGGTGGGAGGTCTGGATAAGCAAATCAAGGAAATCAAGGAAGTTATCGAGTTGCCCGTCAAACACCCAGAGCTCTTCGAATCTCTGGGTATTGCACAGCCCAAGGGTGTTCTTCTTTATGGACCTCCTGGGACGGGAAAGACTCTCCTCGCTCGCGCCGTCGCACACCACACCGACTGCAAATTCATTCGTGTTTCAGGCTCCGAGCTCGTTCAGAAGTACATCGGTGAAGGAAGCAGAATGGTTCGGGAGCTATTCGTCATGGCCAGGGAGCATGCACCTAGTATCATATTTATGGACGAGATTGATTCTATCGGCAGTTCGCGAGGAGACAGTGGTTCAGGAGGTGGCGATTCGGAAGTACAGCGCACGATGCTGGAGCTTCTCAATCAGTTAGATGGTTTCGAGGCTACAAAGAACATCAAGGTTATCATGGCTACTAACCGTATAGGTCTGTGGGTTCTCATAAGGCATCAGGACTTTCTGAAGGCACCACTATAGATATATTGGATTCTGCACTTCTTCGTCCGGGACGTATTGACCGAAAGATCGAATTCCCTCCCCCTGGCCCAGAAGCTCGTGTCAGCATTCTTAAAATCCACTCTCGCAAGGTAAGATGACTGCATTCTGTATCTTGCGGACATCCTTAGAACATGGTTGTTCTTAGATGTCACTACAACGCGGTATCGACCTCAAAGCACTCGCCGAGAAAATGGGCCAGTGCTCAGGCGCCGAAGTGCGCGGTATATGTACAGAAGCAGGTGCGTACATTGACGATCTTTATCTTCGCGTTTGTTGATCAAGGACGCAGGTATGTACGCATTGCGAGAGCGGCGGCAGCATGTTACGCAGGAAGATTTTGAGTTCGCTATTGCAAAGGTGCTCAAAAAGAACCAGGAGGGTAATACGTCGGTCAATAAGTTGTTCTCATGAATGTATTGGGCTTGGTATTTGCATGATCCTTTTTTCCATCCGTGCTACTTGACGGACTTTTGAGACGCGGAAGCGGCACGCGGTTGGAGTCAATTGGTGATCGCGATTGCGTGCCATCAGCCGGCCATCCAACCACCGTGTCGTCTCGGTACAACTATATTTGCTGACGGATCGTTGGTTCTTGCCAAGACATAGATCAATTCATGGTCTCATTGATCAACGATACGATCATGGATTGTCTGGTCTGAAGATGACATTTTGGAGCCTTATCAGACGAAATGCCGAGTTCAGCAGATCCACGTGCATGTGACTGGTTTTGAAAAGGGGTGATACGTACCCGCCGTACCTTGCACCCAAACTTGGAGGATACCCCGATCCCAGGATGTCCGCACAGCATAGTCATCGTTCTGTGCCGGTCTACCCAGATTTGTTAATGATGTTTCTGGCTAGTATACGTGTAAGTCTGCTCTCTTTCGCATGTATGATCAGATGCTTAGCAGCGAAAATAAGACCACATTTTAACAAGCACTGCAACAATGCTGGGATGTCTGTCGAGGCTCTATAAACTGTTCTCCCATCAATCGTTCGAGGATGCTAACTCTAGCGCTTGTGCTCCCCACTGTTAGATAGAGCTTGCTGTGGACCATTCCAAGCTGAACGAGCTCAATCCTACCTCATTGCTGGTAGAAGTTATGGCGCACATCTGGGATACCCGGAGATTCACCATTCGGCCCGGCTCTACCAACAGCTCCTCAGGCAGATGCCCACAGCGTTCCTTGACCTTGAGTCCATGTTGATGTTCCAGTGGCAATATGTAGAGTTAAATTTGACGGAGATGACTCTATAGTTTGATAAAGCTTGAATGACTTGGGCTTAAATCTACTGTCTTCGACACTGAGGAAGCGTGCTGGAGCATACAGACGATTTTCAGACGATTTGCATGGGATTGGCTACGTATTTCGATGGAAGTCATCTACTATATAGCATTCAGAAATTTGCATTGGACTAACTGCTCTCGTATCTCACAAATTTAGTATCAGCTACTGGAATATCTACAGATTTCTGCCATCACCGTTTTCTGCTAATAGCATGCAGATACTCGTCAAACGTCCTCACCAGCCGCTCAATCGGTTGCCTTACAGGCGTCGCACTATCAAACGCGCTCGAACCCCCAAGCAATCCAGTTCTTGCCCACCCATCTACCAGCACGTTCCCCCACAACACCATCCAGCACATTGTCCACATCCATCCTATCCAGCCACCTGTCTTATTCCCCGAAACAGCACGCTCAATGACCATCCCAACTCCCATCATTCCAAATGGCAGCATCATGCGCCACATCTCCGAGGACGGGTCGTAGGGGAGTACATGGAGGTGGTGAAGAAACCCAGAAACGAGAAACGGGCCCATGACGCCCCCGACACGCCCAAAGAGTAGATAAAGTGGGTTTCCCCCGAAGAAAATGAACGTCCGACGCAACCACTGATGCCAGCGACGGCTCCAGAATTCTCTGAGAGAGGTGGCGCGCCAGGGAGAGTCGAATGAGGGGGGCCACTGGTCTGGATGTTGCCTGAATATCAGTACGCAGATGACTATGGTGATCTCGTAACCAGCTTGGAGTAATGAGTAGAAGGTGAATGCACATAGTGTCGCGATGATGCTCGATCGTAAATAACGGAGGTGTGGGGGAAGTGAGTCGTCGAAGATGGTACCACCATCAACAGATCCAAATGTATTTGGAGAGAACGACTTCACGGCAGAGTGAAGCGCGCCACAAAGAAATGAATGCTTCAGACCAGAGACTAGGACGGATGTAGCAAAGGCCAGTCGCGAGGATGTAGGATGTGTCTCAGGCGGGATGTACAGTCCCTGCGACCAGTCCCAGCCACAGCCTCGAGGGTTGCATATCAAATCAATTGTGTCGAGCATTAAATTTTGCTTTGCCACGTCGGTTGACGATCGGCGAGCCATACGAATAAAAGGTTTCGCCTGCACCGTCCAATCGAGGGCACGTGCTGCAATACAAAACATGGATATCTGAGAGATAAGTTGAACGGTGTGGCAATTAATGCGAATACATGAACTCACTTGCAGCTGCATATTCAGAAAGGTAAGATCCGGTTGCCCCATGGACATGTCTAGCGATGTCGCCGCGCGAAATGCAAGGATCGCGGTAATGGGCCACAACGCAATGCGGACTGGCTGCGTTCGGGGCAGCAGGACAAGATAAGCTATGGCGAAGCTACATGCGAGTGGTGGAAGGACTCGAGAAGAGAAGGTCTCAGTCGTGAGTAGTACCTTAGTTGTGGGGAGACGCAGGCCGTCCAGCAAGGGTAACATTGTGGCCGTTGATCTGTAGAGTATGCGGGCATCCGGAGTCAAGGTTCAAACGTTTATAAGGTCCAATGTAAAGCCCCCGTGAATCAAATCATCATCATGTATATACCATGGAGTACACGCACATGCATATGCCAATTGGTCGGTTGGGGACATTTCTCCGAGTCAGCGCCGTCGCATCGATGGGCGTGGCAGAGACTGATGGGTCAACGCAGGAACCGTGACAGCGAGGATAGTCGCAAAGGAAAAACAAATCGTGTGATCTCTGGGTTAGTAAGAAGATCATTACTTATATGTTCTTCCGTACGTGGTTGTACCTGCAATACTATCTGCAAAGCCAGCTGGCAAGGTCAGGCTATCAATTGGCAATTCAGTGTGGGACTACTGAACATTCCGAGTCACGTTTTCAAATTCCAATCACTAGCAGCCGTACGGACTCCATATAGTCCAGATGTCAGGGATTTTGGCTATGTAGTCTGGGACAAAGTATGGGATATCGACACCTCCGAGCGGAGTTTAAATTCTGTTCAATGTTTCGAACGGTCATGTCAATCAATTCCCGCCAACGCGCCCCCCACCGTCGCCTAACATCGTTGCATGTTCATGCTCCGCCTCAACTCTGCCCGCCACAACTATCTCCTTGCCCCGCCCCTCTCCTTACCCGCTCCATTTGAAACATTCATACTCCGCTTGAAGGTTAGTACATCCTAAGAACTGAATCAAGTTCGAATTGGCTTCTTCGGAACCGTGATACTCCTTTGATCATTCACAATCAGCTTTTACATATCACATCGTTGCTGTCTCCACGATTTCAAAGGTCAGTATTCTTCGTCTTTGTCTTGGTTGTGACGCCTTCGTCCGCTTGGTTCCTCATCTTTCCTTGAAGTATTTAAGAAAGTAGTTTTAACACGTTCTTTACCTGGTTCCGAACTATCCCATTCTTATCAATCTAGGCTCAATCACATCATTCCGACTCCTGAAATTCTGCTACACTCTGTTCTAATCGCTTGCTCACACAACCCTTAGGCTTGTGTCTCTCTTGTTGACTAAAGCTCCGAGTTGCTTGGAGTCAGTCGTAATCTGGAGGTTCGAAGAATCGAAGAATCCTAAATTGGCACTACTTGGCCTCGTGTTAGACACGTTGCTCCGATACGAGAGGATATACAAGGAACCTACCTAACGGACGAGGAATAAGTACTTTTGGAGTGCCCTCTCTCATTATCCTGGGACCTGTCGCTCATTTCCTATGGTCATAATTTGCCCACAGTTGGAAGCCCATGGAGCTTGCACCGATCCTCAGTGCACAGGATACCATGACGTCCACCTCTGCGAGTTATGTGGTATTTTATGCACGTCCACTAAGTGCTACGAAGAGCATTTAGCCAGTAAAAAACATCGCCGTAAATTGGCTGGCCATGATGGAAGCCAATACCAATGCACTATTTGTGACACTCTTGTTGTCGGTCGCAAGTCTTGGGATCAACACCTCCAAGGAAAACGACACCGCAGAAAAGCAGAGAAGAAAGGTGTACTCCCTGAGGTAGCTCCTGTTATTCCTGAGGCGTTCCCTGGCAAGGTATTCTGTGGTATCTGTGACAAACAGATCCCAGAAGGCTTGTGGCCTTCTCATCCTCGATCCCCCGGACATCGCAGGAAGGAGGGTTACACTGCGTTCAAAACTGCCCTCGAGGAAGCTGAAAAGGACAAACGTGGCATCGTTCTCTCGGAAGGATTAGATTTTGGGATTATGGAAAATGCTGATGCTGCGCGAGGGGCATTACGAACTTTGACAATAGAATCCACGGTGCCCTCATCGCGAGTTACCATTAAGACAGTATCTTTGTCCTCCTCGTTCGTGGGCAGGCAATCTCCGTGAGCTTTCTTCCTCATGTGTTGATTGATCGCCGAAGCTAATGATTTCGTCGGTAGGTTTGCTATTACAACCACTGCGGAAGGGGCAGTATTAGCATATCGTCGTCCGACTGCAATTGGTGTACGGTTTTCAACACCTCACTCTGGGCGCATGGATGATCGTCTCGAAATCATCTTCGAAGACGCAGCACTGCGTGTAACCTTCGTCATCGCTAGGCCACTGAAGGCCATTGTGGGCAGCCAAGCTGATTATGAGTTATTGAAACCAATTGCTCCCTTCCAACCTCGTCGGCAAACTCGTACGCAACCCGAGACGCAGGTGGTGTCGGGTGTCCCTCCAACTTCCAATAACATCATCCCGTATACTATCAAATTGCCTAAGGCGCAGATATCGGCGTCACTCTTAGCTGCATTATCGGAAATGTCATCTGGAAAGGCGCTGGACCACATTAGGAGAGTCTTCCTCCCGAAGGTCATCAATTCTTCAACGTATTCGCGCTACTTTAAGACACTGCTTTGGATAGAGGAGCACCGCATGGAGTGACTAGTTTTATATATTGGTTTATCTCTTCTCACGAGTTTTCAAGGCATGATTTGGAACGCTACGATATTCCTGATGCTCAGCTAGAACGTCACGGAGTGTATTATCAGTGAGCACACTGATATTTAGTAAGGGTTTGAGCTCATCGTGTTGTAGTTTGCCCGTTCCCGGGTTGGCGGAAAAACGCCCAAGTGTTTTGATTGGTCTGGATGTCCACTCATTTTTCTCTTGCTGTCATTCATCGTGCTCTCAGGGGATCGTTTTCTTGTCCAAAAACATGGGGCTGTCGAAGGCCATTGGTATGAAGGCCATGTCCATTTTGTTCGACAGGCGTCCGTCGGGTTACGATTCGACAAGTCATTTCGTGGCTGGTCTCAGCAACAGCGGTATACCGTACGATTCAAGCTCAACCGCATTCCTATGCGCCGTCAACACCAGGCGCTGGACACCGCATTCGCATCCGATAAGTTTTTGTTCCCTCGAAAGGCCCACATTTTACCGCTTGCCCCTCGTCCTGGCGTAGGCCCTATTAAGCCATTTAATGCATTGATTGCTACGAACCCGCCTCAGCTTCAAGCTGTCACATCTATCCTTCTGCAGCAACGGGGTTCAGCGCCGTTTGCCATTTTTGGTCCCCCGGGTACTGGCAAGACTATAACAATGGTGGAAGCCATGAAACAGCTGCTCAAGCATAAACCAAATACACGTATTCTTGCCACCGCACCCAGCAACTCTGCTGCTGACATCATTGCATCCCGCCTCGCGTCCACCCTCGGAGCTGACGAACTTTTCAGACTTTATGCACCTTCAAGGCCCTTCGACCTAGTCCCAGATGAGTTGCAGCCCTACACATACAAAAAGAGACTGGAAGGCGAAGACAAGAGCTGCTTCTCTGTCCCACCCATCCCAACTCTTAAGGATTTCAAAGTTATCGTGTGCACATGTGTCTCCGCATCTATCACGTACGGTATTGGCATCCCCCGCGGACATTTCACGCATATTTTCGTTGATGAAGCTGGTCAAGCGACTGAACCTGAAGTGATGATCGGGATCAAAACGATGTCCGACAATACGACGAACATTGTCTTGGCAGGAGATCCGAAGCAGTTAGGACCTATCGTTCGATCTAACACTGCAAGGCAGCTTGGGCTGGAGAAAAGCTACCTCGAACGTCTAATGTCGATGGATGCATACGAAGCTCAAAGTGGTCATGGCCTGAGGTGATGGCTCTTGAATTTCTTCCGAATTCCTCCAGGTTACTAATCTACGAGCAGCGTCGTCAAGCTCGTGAAAAACTTCCGGTCACATCCCGCGATCTTGAAGTTTCCCAATGAGCGATTCTACATGAATGATCTCGAGTCCTGTGGCAATAAGAACATCATACGCGCTTTCGAAGGCTGGACAAAGCTGCCTTCAAAGAAATTTCCGATTATCTTCCACTCAATATCCGGAAAGGATGATCGCGAGGCTTTGTCACCCTCGTTTTTCAACATTGATGAAGTTACTCAAGTTCGCAAATATATTCAACTCCTCCGAGATGATCGACAGGTCAGAGTGGGTAAGTGAATAGACGCACTCGGTGTCGTTCACAATTTACAACGATGTTATAGCTCACAATGAGATTGGCGTGATCGCTCCCTACCACGCTCAATGTGTTAAAATTCGCAAGATGCTCAGTGGCGTGGCTGACGAGGTCAAAGTCGGCAGTGTAGAAGAGTTCCAGGGTCAGGTAAGCAAATCCAAAGTGTGCGTCGTTCTGTGGCCCATCAGTTACTAGGAGCGACGAGTCATTATCATATCGACGGTCAGGAGTAGCCGAGATTTCGTTGAGTTTGATCTCAAGCACACCCTGGGCTTCGTTGCGAACCCGAGGCGCTTCAATGGTTAGTGGACCGTCGTTTTGGGGTAAAAATGATACTCATATCACTACCAGTTGCTGTGACTCGAGCACAGGCTCTGCTGATTGTGGTCGGAGACCCAAACGTCTTGTCCTTAGATCCCCTTTGGCGGTCGTTCCTGAACTATGTCCACTTGAACGGCGGGTGGGCTGGTCCTGGTCCGACATGGGACACGACAGAGACAGTAGATGAGAGTGGCGAATATGATCAACATATTCGAGCGGCTGCAATGACGGATATGAATCTGCTTGCTCGGAGGATTGAGGGGGTGGTGTCGGAGAGTGTGCAGACTGGCACGACCAATGAAGATGATGACGACCACGATGCAAACTTTGACAAGCCGTGGAGGGAACTGGAGTAGGCTTACTTACTGTAGTTATTATGTACAATGTTCCTTGTATTTGCCTTGTAAGGCTGTATTGCTCGCTGTGCTTAGTACTTACTGCATAGATTTTGCTATGAACTGTCTCACGCTGACGGCGGGCGGTGTTAGCACTGCAGCATTTGTCCAAATTGGGTATATACTACGAGCTCGTCGTAAGACTTGACTTCAAATTCCTCAACTCTTTTTTTGTGCAGCTAGTTAGGACCGCGTCTCCTCTCTTTCGCTTGCACGGTTCACGTTCTTCTGTCACATTATGGTCGAGGACAAGTACATCGGATTGGCTCTGGCAGTCTCCAGCTCGTTAGCCATCGGAACAAGCTTCATCATTACAAAGAAGGTTCCACATGTTGAGCTTTGTTGAATTCTCCGGAAACTGAGTTGTCTTGGATGCAGGGACTTACTGATGCAGGAGCACGAAATACATCAGCCTCCGAAGACTATGCTTACCTCCGGAATCCAATATGGTGGGCTGGGATTTCAACTTGTGAGTCTCACCAATCGAACCGTCGAAATGTCACTTCATCTGAACGATTGTATAGTGGTGCTTGGAGAAAGTGATACTCATTTCTTACCCCTTTGTACATCTGATAATGAAGTCCGTAGTCGCAAATTTCGCTGCCTACACTTTTGCTCCCCCAATATTGGTGACGCCATTAGGTGCACTTAGTGTGTTAATCGGGTAAGCATGCTATCGGCGTTAGAACCTCATCAACTGATGCTTATCAAGTGCTATACTGGCATCCTTCCTACTCAACGAGGAGCTCGGGCATCTAGGGCGGACGGGATGTGCCCTGTGCCTTATCGGTTCTTTGATCATTGTTCTCCATGCACCACCAGACAAGGAAGTTCAGACCGTGGACGAGATTTTACAATATGCTATACAGCCTGGTGGGTCATAATCTTCTCAAACCGTTGTAACACTGACTGGTTTGCAGGATTCATGCTGTATTGTTTCACGGTTTTCGTATTCTCGCTTGTCATGATATATGGTGTTGCCCCACGCTACGGGCGTTCCAATCCTCTTGTTTACATATCTATATGCTCCTTAGTTGGTTCCGTGTCTGTCATGGCCATCAAGGGCTTTGGTGTAGCCGTCAAGCTCACATTTGGTGGGAACAACCAGTTCACCCATCCAAGTACATATGCGTTCGGCATAGTAGTCGTTGGGTGCATTGTTGTGCAGATGAACTTCTTCAATAAAGCATTGGACACATTCTCTACCAATGTGTACGTCCGTTCGCACATCTCTTCAATGGAATGTTCACCACTCTACAGTGTAAATCCCATGTATTACGTCGGATTTTCTACGGCAACGATAGTGTCGTCCCTTATCCTGTTTCAAGGATTTAACACGACGGACGGCACAAATACCGTTACGCTCATCGCTGGGTTCATTGTCACTTTCCTCGGCGTTCACCTCTTGAATCTTTCACGAAAATCTGATCCTCCAAGCATGCCCAACGGTCACACCGCCCTGGAAAGCGGTCTCATGAATCCCCGCATCAGCCTCCAGGGTCGCATGTCTCTTGATGGGTGGGGTGGATTATCTGAAGTACAACCAGACGGCGCCCTGCAGTCCTCTGGCCACGGCCGTCGTTCGTCACTCTATCGCGCACAAAGCACCGCATTGTTCAACGCCTTCGAGGAGGAGGAGACAGCTGATAACATGCCGCTATCTCAGTTGCGGGAGAGTCAAGAAGAGTACGAGTATGATAGTGATGTAGATGAACGGACTCGATTGCATTCAGAGCATCGGATACAATCCAGTGTCTCTCGAAGTCATAGCAATTCTCCTGCACTGCAGGGCAGTGCACGGAACTCTCCTCGACCCTCATGAAACTAACATAGTTATACCCTCTTAACGGACTACTATAATAGATCTCATTTTCTTGTCTGACTGAGTGTTTGAGTGAACCAAACAGGCGGCGGTCCGTATCCGCCGTCGGTCCACTGAGATGTGAGAACAAGTTCCTGGTTCAGGTGCTCCAAGATCTTGTAGAATACATGTGGTCCCGATGTAGTCTCTGGGCCTTGCGTGCGCATAGCCATCGATATCTCTTGACCCCCGTATTTGCTTATACTGTCCGATTCTCCTCTGGTACAACAGCGACCATGGGCGCAATCAAGACTCGCACTGTCAACACTACCGAGCGGCTAGCGAAGCTTCGAGAGTTGTTGAAGAAGCCAAAGAACAACGTCAAGGCTTTCATTGTTCCTAGCGAGGACCAGCGTAGGCACACACAACATTTCCAGCAGAAGTATTGCTGAATCACCCTTGCTCCGAAGATTTTAGCGAGTATCCTGCACACTCGGATGAGCGTAGGGCATTTATTTCAGGTTTCAACGGTTCAGCCGGTGAGAAGATGCCATCATTTCGGATTGGTGATATCTGATATGAGAGTCATTTAGGGTGCGCTGTCATCACCCTCAGGGATGCTTTCCTCTTCACGGATGGGAGATACTTTCTGCAAGCTTCCCAGCAGCTTGACAGGTACTGTCTTGATCATTTGATTCTATTCCTTCCTCACAAGAAACGTTCTTAGCAACTGGAAGCTTATGAAACAGGGCTTGCCAGGTATGGTACTTCGTCCATCATGTTCATGTCTTTTGACTTACTTGAGGAAGATGTACCCACATGGCAGGAATTTCTCTCCAAAGTCAATCCTTTCTGTCTTTCTGGGACCCTACGCTGATCGAATACCATGGCAGCACCTCGAGCAAGGGACCCGGATTGGCATCGATCCTACGTTGATTTCAGCTGGTACGGGTGTTACCACTTCTCCTCGTTATTGAGCTAACCGATAGCAGCGGATGCTGAAAGTCTCAAGAAATCTCTTGAACCTAGGGGATCTGTGCTTGTATCCCTTCAGCAAAACCCTGTCGATGTCGTATGGGGTAAGGATCGACCCCCGTGTCCTCACAATAGTGTTTTCCCTTTGGACGTCAAATACGCCGGTCAGCATGACAATGACGGTGCATATGTTGAGACTGACGTTTTGAGCAGGAGAGACGTCTCAGAGCAAACTCCAGCGTTTACGGGAGGAGATAACGAAGAAAAAAGCTGTTGCCGCAGTCGTTACGCTTCTCGACGAGGTCGCGTGGCTTTTTAACCTTCGTGGCACAGATATTGATTTCAATCCTGGTAATTGCAGACCACTCTCATACTCATTTAGTATCTCAAGAAACGTTCTCTAGTCTTCTTCGCGTATGCTGTCGTGACCCCAACGGAGGCCATACTTTTTATGAACGACGCTCAGGACCAGCACAGTATCAAGGAGTTTTTGGGTTCTGATGTTGAGATCCGTCCATATGAGTCTTTCATCCCTTCTTTGAGGCAGCTCACTGCGACCCTTGGAGCTAACAAAGACAAAGTGAGTCATCGAATGCATGCGTACAATCACTTTTGATTTTTGTTCCCTTTAGCCCATGTTATTGGGTGATAAGACTAGTCTAGCTGTGGTTGAAGCAATCGGACAAGTACGCACTTCGTAATAGTCCGTGATGATCGCTAACTGCGTTCCCGACTGAATACAGGAGAATGCCGTTCTCATTCCGTCACCAGTGGCTACTATGAAGGCAATAAAGAATGAGACGGAGATCGAGGGCTTCCGAAATTGTCACATCCGCGATGGCGCTGCCCTAATCCGTTACTTCGCTTGGTTGGAGGAACAACTCAATAGCGGCGTTGAGCTGAACGAAAGCCAAGCCGCAGCTAAGCTCGAAGAATTCAGATCGTCAGTATGGACAGAATTTTATATTGCTGTAGCTCACCTCCTAGTAGTGAGCTGGACTTGTTCCGTGGACTGTCATTCACGACAATCTCGTCTACTGGACCTAATGCTGGTGCGCAAACTCAAGTGAGACAAAACACACACTCATCATTGCACAGCTGTGATACATTATTCACCGGACCCGGATGACTGCGCGATCGTCAAGAAGGATCAGGTATGTTGTCCAGATCGACGTGAACCATGCTCATACAGAGAATATTAGATATATTTATGTGATTCTGGAGGTGGGTCTTTCTGTTCACAATGATTCATCTTTTACGAGACCATCATCAGGACAATATCTTGACGGAACGACTGACGTGACTCGGACCTTGGTGAGCAAATTTGCCGGTGGTGATGAGAAGGGTTTTATCTCAAGCCTTCCTCACAGCATTTTGGCACCCCTACTAATGAGGAGAAACGAGCTTTCACACGTGTTTTGCAAGGTCATATTTCAATCGACACTGCTGTTTTCCCAAACGGCACGTCAGGTGCGTTTGGTCCATTTCCCTTCGGCTTAGCCTGACGATATATCGTTTAGGTTACATTATGTGAATAATTTGCTTCTGGCACCATCAGACCAAATTGTTCATGTTGATTTCACCTCAGTGATTCATTTGCAAGACGAGCTCTATGGCAAGAGGGATGGGGTAAGAGATTCGTTGTTGGGCCTTATTTCAATGTCCTAATCGAATTTACAGATTACAGGTGATTCCTCATCGCTCAGAGTCATTATACTTTCATGAAGCCTGAATATAGACATGGGACTGGCCATGGTGTTGGTCACTTCCTGAACGTTCACGAAGGTAAGTCAGACTCCTTTTAGATAGCAGGGGATGTTGACATGCTGTAAAGGCCCGCACGGCATTGGCACCCGCATAGGTTTGCTTCTTACTGCACTTCTTAGTCTTCCTGCTAACCCACACCTCCAGCGTACAACAGCACCTCCTTGAAAGTGGGCATGACTGTTTCGAATGGTGAGTGGACTGAGTAATGCAAGGAACAAGCCAACATTCGCGTTAGAACCGGGCTATTACGCCGACGGACGCTACGGGATCCGCATTGAAAATGTTGTTATCGTCCGGGAGGCTGAGACTCCAAATAATTTTGGGAATGGGTATCTTTGTTTCGAACATGTAACGATGGTGAGCGTCTTCGCATGAAAGGGGTCGCGTCTCGATAAGCTGACGCTGAAGCAGTGTCCTATCCAAACGAAGCTGATTGATTTCTCAATTCTGACCGCGCAGGAAAAGGAGTGGCTAAACTCGTATCATGCGGAGACGCTGGAGAAGGTAGGACCTTTGCTCCGTAACGACCCGCGCGCTCTTGAGTGGCTAGAAAGAGAGTGCTCTCCTGTATAGAAGATGATCCTTTTAGATGCGGTCGTTTAATGTGAAAGCACCTCGAAGAAAAAATTTGTACATTAGCGCTTCCAGGAACTTGAAGGCCAAACCCAGTCGGGACTTATCAATCTTTACACTTATTGGAACACCATGAGATGGACGAGCAGGAACCATTTTTTCATATCCACTCATTATGGGACTACCGATGTCCCGTTCGGGTCTCTGGAGTCAGGCAGGAATCTGTGATTATATAAGCCAGGCTGGTCCCGATGCTTCAACGGAAGTTCCCGGGCCGCCATCGGTATCATTGACTCAACTTTTTACCCATATGAAATGCCTCACAATTTTGTTGTCGCAGAATTTATGCCCCAACGTTCGGCTCGTTGGACCTCCGGCTATGGGATCTTAAAAGCCACTTCCCTGGCAACTCGTCCTTTCTAGCGCTGCGGATCTCGCGCACTGACATAGGTTTCATAATATTTCGTGGAATGATGGAGATTTTCTGTTTGTTATATCACCTCAGAAGCCAAGCGGGTGAATGAGGGGTGCTACTTCACTCTTGGATCGTCACTGGACGAAGGCAGGAAGATGTTGCATGTTGAGCCCCCCTTACATCCAGAAGGGGGCACTCTCTACGTCCATACATTTCCAAATCTTCTAGAGGACATTGAATACGAGCGGCCAGCCTCTGTGGCTCACCTCCCGCATCAACTTGAAGAATCTAGTTATCTCACCTTCTGTCGTGCGGTCTTGGATGACTATGACAGAATGCTGCAAGAAAAATACACAAATGAGGAACGGTCATCTGGTGGTAGCGAACCGGTGGGGGACGAATGGGATATGTGGAATACCCAGCAACAGACGGAAGGGGCGCCCCAAAAGAATGGTTATGTTTTCGAATATTTGGAATCACAGAGTTTCGACCTGTCTGCTGTCGAACCACCGTCCATTTATCAAGATTTACTTCTGTATAACCAGTACGTTGCCTCTGATTAGTGCATTTTGTTGCCCTTACTCGTTCCAGACTTACTGCAGACTACTCGTGGATGGGTGTAACTGTTGCTGTGAACTGGACTGTGAAGTTGAGAAACGTAGGTCGCTAATATATTGCCCGCAACTTCTAACGGAAAATTCACTTTCGTAGTTTGATCGTGCGCACGAGACTCGATGGAGCAGCCTCCTTTTCCCGGATTCTTCGTTTAGTGGGAATGTGCCAACCTTCGACGGAAATATCAAGGAACATGCTCTAATACTCTGGTTGATGAAGATCCCCTTTGACGGTGACCCCCCTATAAGCTCACCATCACCCGATGATTGGGACTCAGATGATGGGCCATATATCAAGCTCGACCTCGTCCCAAAGTCCATGTCTCCGGTGTCGGCTCCATCCACTAGAGTTATCGCCTTTGACCTCTTTGGTACTATCTTAGTGAGTTTTCATGTCAGTCTCACGCATGTGAATTGCTCACACACAATCAGGATCGTGATGGCGCCATAAATGATGCTATGCGGCTGCTGTCGCCAACGCATCCCGACAGACACCTACTGTCTGAATTGTATCTCGAGTGCGAACTTATGAGACACAGAGACAACTCTGATGCACCATATACCTCCATCGTGCGGCAAGCTCTGGAGGATGTCTGCGTGTTTCTGGAAGTGCCGCTAAACGAAGTCGTACTCTACAAAGCTGTCCAGGCTGTACTGCAACCTAGTTTATATGCCGATGCAGAAGCAGCTGTAGGGACGCCCCTGGATCAGGGTTATGCGCTGCTCGGTCTTCCGATCCCGGACGCAAGGTCTTTTTTACCTCTGCCACTTCCATTTGGCCTCAATGTCGATAACGAACCTGCTCCTCTTTCGAATTCATTCAGTCAAAACCATTCCATTTTGCAGGCCTCTTGGAGCGCTGTCGCTCAGCATGTAGTACTGCCGAAAAAAGCCAGGTTCTGGTAGTGACATCTAGTTGTTACCAAGTGATGGAACCGGCAAGCATGGCAGGTTTCCCAACTGTTCTTGTTAGACGTCCTGGAGACCTGGGATCAGGAGTCAACCTCAGGACAAGTCGCCCTACCCTGTTGATAGACAGATTGCAAGCTCTACCCGTAAAGCTGCAAAACACCTCACTTATCCATTGCCCTTCACCGCCTCAAATGCAACCTTATATTGGCTGTACAATGCCATTGCGTGTCCGTGGCATGTATCAGATGACAAAGTTGCTTGGAACGGGAAGCTCTGGTATGTTGGTATGCATACCGCTTTGTTTCACACTTACTGATGGGCTGTGACCTTGCAGGACACGTTACTAGTGCTTTCCACATCCTCACAGGCACAGAAGTTGCACTCAAATCTGGGACTGCATTGGAAGATGCACCAGACAAGCCTTGCGTAGTGCGTTATGAAGCTATGGTGTATAGCCTCCTGCGCGGTCACCCAGGCATACCATCATGCAAATGGAGTGGCCTGGATCGAGGATCATATTTCTAGACTCTGGAACATCTAGGTGCGAATCTCGAACAGCTCCGCAGACTGTCCAGGGGCAAACTTTCTTGGAAGACCGTAGTCATGCTTAGAGTCCAAATGGTAAGTGTGTCAAACACTTGCGCTGATTTGATATTGATTTCTGTCAGTTGAACAGAGTTGAATTTGCCCACTCGCGTGGAATCATACTACGGGACATCAAGCCTGAGAATTTCGTGATGGGTATTGGGGAAAAGTCTCACTTTGTCTATCTATTGGACTTTGGTTTGGCGAAGCTTTATGTCAACCCATCCACGGGAGCACATATACCATATCGTGAAGGTCGCGTTCCATTAGGGACCATGCCATATTCAAGCTACAATGTGCATTTCGGACGAGGTTCGGGAACATCATTTTTATTCTTATTCTTGCTTGTGGCTGATGAGCAAGGAGCAGAACAAGGACGGCGAGACGATCTTGAAGCATTGGGCAATGTCTTACTATATCTCTTGCACGGCCGTCTTCCATGGGAAGACATCTACGCACCCAACAAAGAGGCCAATTTGCGTCGAATGGCAGATATGAAAGCTGGGTCTGCAGCATTTCGTGACCTGCTCACACGTTCTCCTGCTGAGTTCACAACCTACTTTGATCACTGCCGCAGTTTGAAGTTCGAAGAGAAGCCAAACTATGGGTTGTTGAGACAATTGTTTAGCCAGATAATGGAGAGGGAAGGGTTGACAGGAAATACAAGGTTCGACCCACTGGATGAAAGTTCTGACAAAGGTACACTGGTACCCAAAGAGTATAAGTTAGATGTCCGGTTCACGGGGGGAGATTTGACCACACTACAGGTCATGATATCTCGCTTTATTTGGAAGAGGAAGATACTGTCAGGCGTAACGGAGAAAGGTGTTAGTCCTGCATCGATGGCTAAACTCTTGAATTCTGCTGTGGTTGACTGACTCAACTCGCTGGCTGGTAACATCATAGGTTTGCTTCATACTGCACTTCTTAGCCTTCCTGCTAACCCACACCTCCAGCGTACAACAGCACCTTGAAAGTGGGCATGACTGTTTTGAATGGTGAGTGGACTGAGTTACGAGTAATGCAAGGAACGAGCCAACATTTGCGTCAGAACCGGGCTACTACGCTGATGGATGCTACGGGATTCGTATTGAAAACGTTGTTATCGTCCGGGAGGCTGAGACTCCAAATAATTTTGGGAATGGGTATCTTTGTTTCGAACATGTAACGATGGTGAGCGTCTTCACATGAACGGGATCGCGTCTCGATAAGCTAACTCTAAAGTAGTGTCCTATCCAAACGAAGCTGATCGATTTCTCAATTCTGACCGCGCAGGAAAAGGAGTGGCTCGACTCGTATCATGCGGAGACGCTGGAGAAGGTAGGACTTTCGCTCCGTAACGACCCGCGCGCTCTTGAGTGGCTAGAAAGAGAGTGCTCTCCTGTGTAGAAGATGATCCTTTTAGATGCAGTCGTTTAATCTGACAGCACCTCCAAGAAAATTTTTGTACATTAGCGCTTTCACGGACTTGAGAAGGCCAAACCCAGTCAGGACTTATCAATCAATACACTTGTTGGAACACCATGAGATGGACGAGCAGGAACCATTGTTTCATATTTACTTTTTTCCGTTGAGAGATAAAATCCATGCATAGAACATTACTAGCTAGTCTAATGGGACTCGTGGCATCTCTGGAGCCACGAATGCCCTGGTGCTCCGAGTTGGCCGAACCATTTATGTCGTTATGTAATACATATGTGAACTACATCTCTCTCACAAACTCAGTACTCTTTCCAGCAATCAATTGAGGTCTAAGGGCTGATTTCGAGTCTATGGCTGTAGACAGGAGCTCCGGACCTAAAAAATTCGTCAGCTGCCAATCCACCAAGTCCTGCTCGAAGCTAAGCAGCGCGCGAGGTGCAGAAAAAAGTTGGCGAGATGATCCTGAATCATCGAGCAGCATCCTATTATAAGTATCTCCTGCATGGCTGTCTGCCACTGTGGCAAGCATCTACGCATCAAGCAAAGAAGCCGAACTGCTCCGATGGGAAAGCTGAAAGCTGGTCCAGCACTCCGTGACCCGCTCGTGCGCTCTCTTGTGAATCCACGACGTACTTCGATCATCGCTGTGGTTTGAACTTTGAAGAAGAGCCGAACTGCATAGTGACATTATCCATCCGGATAATGGACAAAGAAGGGTTGATAATCTGGAGATTCCATGTTGATTGGGTAAATGGAAGTTCCGGCAAAGGTACACTGGTACCTGATCATGAGGAGTATAATTTAAATGAGTCGATTCACAACTTAAGATTTGACCATGTTACAGGGCATATGTACCTTGGCTGCGCACAACGTTCTCACTCGTAGTATATATAGACCACGTAGTACCTAACAACGTTAATGATCAAGTAGAAGTTAACCCGTTCCGAGTCTCGATGTCGCAAGTATGCGAGACCCAATATTAAGGGCACTTTGGGCGAAGACAGATCACATCTGGAATTAAGTACCTGAAACATGGCAAGCTCCTTGCGCATGCGGGAAGGTCCGAGACTCCTCGCATGTAATTGACAGGTTTAGTTGTCGTCTTAGGGGGGCTTCGAGTTGGTTGATCAGGCATTGCAGCCCATATTTTCCTCAGACAAAACAAATCCGGGGAAAGTCAGTTCATGAGAGGACGGACGAATATACAATATTGCAACACGCAACGGGGATCTATATGGTGGTTGCAACGTTGATCAGCAGGATCTGTTTGCGATCTACTTGAATTTTGCAGATCAACCATCGAAGTGTCTGAATGACATGGGTTTGGCCAGGTTTTACAGTTATGTATATGAGTGGTAACACATCAGTTGTACAGTCGTACAGTAGAGAATGAGCATGTACACGCTCGCCCCCACGGAGTAAACAGGTATGTCAAATGCGTGGTAAATATAAGGCAGCTCCAAAGGAGCTCTGAAAATCCAGAGAACATGAGTGTAGTAGTTAACAAGGACTAACCAATGGATAAACACATAAATCACGGGACAGATGTGGTGAGATGAGTAGATAGGACGAACTCCTGAACTATGTGCTACAGCTGCTGAGAAAAATAGATGCTGCTCCTTCCAGAGCAGGCAGAATGATAAGTGGGACGAAGAGATGATATGAAGTCATGAATCATCGATGGGCGTAGATGCTGGTACTATTTCGTTATCAAATGGGGATGACCCTGTTGCGGCGAATCTAGGTATTGGGATGGAACATGCGTGGTATCGTGTTGAGCGTAAACGCAGGTCGTAGATGGAGACGCGGCAACAATTCCCTAGGCCATTTTCTAGAGGCCCAGTCTTTAAACTCAAGTCAATGAGAGCTACTATAGCAGCCTAGATTGCTTGAGGTGTCTGCGTACAACCATATCTCGCACTATCATAATGTCAGTGTACATGATTGGAAGAACCACACTGGACTTACCACTGGCAAGAATACCAGCCGTCGTCGTCGTGTCCTGCATCATAGAGCTAAATTCAGGAGCCATAAATATAATTGAAACGAATGAGCGTACTGTAACAGTCGTGCAAAAACCATAAAATTTCCGTGGGAGCGGTGAATATTCTCGATGTATCGCGCTAAACTTGCTTCGGAAGTCTGCGAGAAAAATCAGTGGCTGAGCCAAGTAAAGATAGTCTGCTGACATTTCGAGGCCGTCTCCATATCGTTAGGACGGTCTCCGTAGCTGCGAACGTATTTCGACAACCTTATCCCTGACGTGAGTTTCGCGTCAAGTATGTCGCACTTGTTCAGGAAAAGAACAATATCAACGTTGGCGAGCAGTTTGTTTGAGCAGACAGCTTTCCATAATAGCACGCTGTCCTCCTGCACAGAAATAGTAAACCCAAAAAAGAACGATAACATGACAGGTGACTGACGAGGCGGTTCACGCTGCGATCCTCAGCGAGAACTTGATCAAAGCTGGATATTGGCGCAAGGAAGATAATTGCATCGACTAGGAGTAGTATAAGCAGACCGCACATCAAGCACATCAAGGACGAACCATCATCAAAGAAGGGTACCCATGTTGCTAAAATGTGGGATTCAGCGTTCGCTGACACTGAACACGAATGAGCTTCTCACCTCTCTGCAAAGATAACGGAAAGGGTTGAGCGTGGGATGAGAGAAGCAATTAATACGTACCTGCGACCGGGAACCACCAACGTCAACTATCCTCCATTCAGTACCACTTTCACGTCCAGCCACGGCCTCCATTTCACACCGATATTCCGAAACACCGACCGTCTTCAGGCGCGCTCGAAGTACATCGTCTATATGAATGGTCAACTCAGTTCCCTTTGTTGCCAGAACATGAGAGTATTTTCACCATCGTTTGGGGTGTAATTTAGGGCCGTGACTCGATCCAAGTCGTTGAGGAAGCTATAAAGCCATAATGTTTCAAGTAGAACTAGACGTGGAATGAGACAGAAGGCTTACAAGCCAGAGGATTCTTCGAGGCGAATTTTTCTCCGCCGCAAAACCTCCCGAACAAGCCTGTCATTCCAAAGAGCCATGATGTCATAACTGCACGAATGGATAACTTCTTGCGCTTCGTCCCGGGTTTGCATTCCCGTATTGCCTAATGAAACCGGTCGAGTACGAGTACTCTTCGCGAGCGCTCCCTTCCATGTGGCTCCCGGGCGTACGAAAACTTCTTGAGCTCTCCACGAACGCTCACTACTTCGGCTGCGGTGAGAGTGGTATGCACTAATAGCACTGCTTCCAATCACAGAAGCCATCTCATCTTCGCTCGGAGGTATTAGCTTTGCAATGAGTAGTGCCTCAATATGACGCAGTGGAGTGAGCCGCATCTGTAACATTTCGAGTTCCTGGGGTAAATTGGTTCCACTGTCATCGCTGTCTTCGCCTCCACTATCAAGAGTAGGAAGCCGAATGTCGGATAAGGCGTCGAGGATTGTACGGACAGACCGCACGATGTTGAGCTGTATGACGCTGCGCCAGAGTATCCGTTCTTCATGGAAGGCAGTGGGGGTATACAGTTTTTGGAAGTCTAATCAGAACGACTCAATTTCACCCAGCTCGGTGGAGTTATTCATACGCACGCCTTAGTGTCGTCGATTTACCTACCATCCAAGACATTGTTAAAGTGGACATAAATGATATTGACCACGTCGGACATACCTGATTCACTTTGGCCCAACAATAATAGTCTAACGATACCCTTCTTCTTCTGCGCCTGTTTCTCCGCTCGTATTGAGTCATCTATTGCTTGGCTTACTCTGCGTGCCTCGGCTTCCTGAGCTTGCCTGATAACACGATCCTCCTCAGTTTCGTTTATTGGTGGCCTGAGAGCCTCGTCTAGAGGGTCGAAGTCATGCGCAGATTTTGTAACTGCCCCAGACATAGCGAACTGCGGGATGCCAGGCTACAAAAAACCACAGAAAGCAAGTGATGGAAGATATTAACAGAGAGTTCTCTGGGCAAGCTGGGTCCGGTAGCAATGCAGTAATTTGCCAGGCACAAGACGTACTGCAAATTATAACCCTTGGCGAAGGTTGACGCCGGACATGCTCTTTTTGCCAGCAATAGGTACCTTCTGTGGGTTCTTGGTTTGTTATTATAGTCTACCAATCGAGAAATCACCGGACCAGGCAAGCACCAACTTGGTAGAACCTGGTGCCTGTTTCTCAGCTGGGCGTTACACGTGAACCACTCTTTCAGGTTAGTAACGAGTTCCCTCCTCTTCACTAATTGCGGCATCACCATCAACGCATCACGGCCATGCCTTTTCCTGCTCTTTCATATCCGAGTCTGACTGGTCACTTGCCACTAGCGTTATCACTGCTGCTCTCTCAGGCAGGCACCTTTTAAAGATATGCCATTTGACTGTGTGGCACACCATGATCTCCCAACTTGCAAATCCTTGTAATACGGCTCAACTGAATACGCAATGTCGTTCGCATTCGTGAGTACTTTCTGACCGACGCGCGGCTTTGCAGGCGTTTTCAAACATTTCCTTTAGTTTTGCTGTACCTGATTATCCTCCAAGAATAGGTCTGTCTCTCAACGCAAGACAAATACTTCAGGCACATATGCTGCACAAGGCAACCCGTGCTCTCTTGGGCCCCCGGGCCAAACTGGCACACCCTGGCATACTGCTATTACTATTTACTTCAAACACATCACACCAAGGGGGCCTTGTCGCATATGGCTGTCACAACGTCAAAGGGTGAAAGCTGAACGGCAATTTTACATTGTCCGCTCTGTAAGAACTCGACTCGATAAGCGAGGCTCCTCCATTCCTCCGGTCCCTGGACGTGGGTAAAGCCTGGTAAAGCTGACTAGATCCTTCTCACTCTTTCGACCCCTGAAAGCTACCGCACGTCGTAAGAGTGTTTCAGGACTCCCTTTTTGGTCGGATTACCGCCCAAGGGCAAGAACACGAGATACGGTTGGTAACGAATCATCCCGTGTCGCTTATAAGGCATATCCGATACTTGTTATCCCTGTGGGTCCCGCAGCTCTAAACCTCTTCATCTCCGCTAGCCCAGTCTGGCCAGCAGAACTGCAAAGCCATGATATGAAAATTCTCCACACGTTCTGGACCGATGATTCCAAATCGAGACAACCTTGGGTCCCGGGCCCCAAGGGGATCTCCACGTTCCCAGGCGCAAGTCCTGATTGTCATTGTTTTAGTTGGCGATCCATCGCTACATCATGGAGTGATCAATACGATTGGGCGCCCTGGCTTTCGAATCGTCGTCGCAACACGCTCGCACCTCTGGACGTTGTATGAATATGGCATTCAGGCCAACCAATCTATTTTTGTAAGTCCTACACTTCATCGCTGCAGCGCTACAGTCATAGATGTCTCGTTCGAGGACTCCGATGGCGACTTCAGTGATTCTACGACTCAACTTAGATTGAGCGCCTCTCCCGCGTTTGTACGTGTCGCTCCTGTACATGTTACTGGCGGTCCTCTAATATCTCTCCCATCTTGGCAAAAGTTCCGACGTTCCAGAAATGACTGATCAGAAATCGTCGTTTCGTGTGGGCAGACTACAGCACTTTGAGTAGCAAAACACTGAAGCAGTGTCGACCTATCTAGATCGGAAACATAGGTACCATAAAACACACATTGAGTCGTTCCCTCTAAGCTTATCGTTGACAATCGTGCTAAGGATAGCATTTCATTATCTACATACGTAAATGTATAGGTCCTGGCGTCTCGCATTATGTGACACGTGCTTGCTGCAGCGAAAAGCTGACGGTTGTCTCGGCTTACATGCTAGGCGTCACATTGGCCCACTGGGAAGATTGAACGACTGACGTCGAACTTCTCTGAAGTCTGACCTGATCAATTAATAAGCGCATGATGCATGTGTACTCACGGCCTGATAATGACATGGTGAAAGAGGATTGGCATAATTGAAGTAGTGATGTGAATATCAGCGACCTATTCAAACCTATTAGTTCAATACACATGTGGGTATGTATTGCAATTGTATTACAACGGAGATTATCTTCGCCATTTCAATACTCTAGTAGTGCCACTCAGTACACTTCATATATGGGTGCTTACGATATTACTTATAGCCTCGGGTGACAGGGGTCTCTCACAGCTTCAGCAAATTTGGTTTGTACACGAGTCGAGCAATCGTTCATACCAAGGTCTACCATTTCTTTTTTTGACATCTTGAGCTTGTTGTGTTCCCTCTCAGTCTCAGGCTCTTGCGCTAGCACCGTGTGGCCGTAAACTATTTCTGGAGAGTGTGATGTTGGGATCAAAATTAGATCCGATTACTCTGCCTTCCACCTCTCCATCTACGAATCCGTTGGTGTTGCGTCAGAATAACGCGGATCCAGAAGCAAAATGGATAGTCCAGAAGTATGGAGGTACTAGTGTGGGCAAATTTGCAGTTAATATCGCTCGTGACATCGTACCGTAAGTTCTCGTTTATGCTGCACTTTGAGCATCTTGACTTCGCCTTTAGGAGCTATATTGGCCAGCACAAAATTGCTGTCGTCTGCTCTGCACGATCTGGGTCTGCAAAAGCTCTGGGAACTACCAATCTCCTACTCAAAGCTGCCTCCGAGGCACAGCGACAACGACACAAGCTATTCAATGATTGTGGTACTACGACTCCCTCGCTAAATGGTATATTCAGGAGATCATCAGAAACTTCCCCCACCACTCCAATGCGCAGATCTTCACGATCGCCTTCCTCTCCGTCCACGGGTGCATTGACACCTCTGATGACACCCCAGACTGGCCAGTCTCAACCGGAATTTAACGTTACCGTCGACCTTATACGGTCAGAGCATATGGATGCTGCAAAAACATCTATTCAAAATCCGGAGATTCTCCAAGAACTCGAGGCTGAGATAGATCGAGACTGCGACTGGCTCCGTAGTTTCTTGTTTGCTGCTCAGGTGCATTCGATCCATTTGACTGCACTACCGCTCATCATCTAACCTAACATAAACGTGTCTGTGATTATTAGGTAATCAATGAAATATCACCACGTTCGCGGGATAGTATCATAGGTTTCGGCGAGCGATTAGGTTGTAAACTGATGACAGCCATTCTCCGCGACCAAGTAGGTTTTTCGTATCAAAAATTCCTCAATGAGACTGATCTGCCCTCTACAGGGCATTGACGCAGAGTACGTATCACTGGAAGATATCATTCCTGTATCCGAGGATAGCGACACCGTACGAGAAGGCATTCTTGATCAAGCTTTTTATGATAACGTGGCCACTGCTGTCGGAGAACGCATCAAAGGATGCACACCTCGCGTACCCGTTGTTACCGGCTTCTTTGGCCACGTACCGGGTTCGCTTCTCCGGCAGGTCGGCCGAGGATACACTGATTTGCTCTCTGCCCTTCTGGCCGTCGGCCTCGAAGCATCAGAACTACAGATATGGAAGGAAGTTGACGGGATATTTACAGCGGATCCTCGAAAAGTGCCCACCGCACGATTGATACCTATAATATCGCCCGACGAAGCTGCTGAACTGACTTATTATGGGAGTGAAGTCGTACATCCATTCACGATGGAGCAGGTCAGAAGGGCCATCATTGAATCTCAACTTTTTCTCATACCTTTAACTGCAGGTCATTCGCCGAAAAATCCCAATAAGAATCAAAAACGTGGAAAACCCCCTGGGCGGTGGCACAGTGATTCATCCCGACCCAGATATTGAGGCACAAGACGATGATCTTTATGAAGTGCCAGTTACAGTGCCACAAGGCCTCTCTCTGTCCAATGACGAATTGTATAGGAACAAGCGACTACCGACCGCCGTGACAATAAAAGAACGCATTGTCGTACTCAACGTCAATTCGAATCGAAAGAGTGTATCTCATGGCTTCCTGGCTAGGATATTTGGAACCCTTGATCGGTTTGGCGTGGTTGTAGACCTTATTAGCACTAGCGAAGTACATGTCAGCATGGCTATTGAGGACAATCTATCCAAGACCACTATAGAGCGGCTGGTAGGGGAACTGAAGAAGAGTGGAACTGTGAGTATCCTTGATGACACTGGCGCCTTAATTAACATGAGTCCCAGGTTTCCGTCCACCGTGAAATGACCATTCTCTCCCTTGTTGGTCAACATATGCGCAACCTGGTTGGTATATCGGGACGCATGTTTACCTCCCTTGGCCAGGGTAATGTGAATATCGAGATGATTAGCCAAGGCGCCAGCGAAATCAATATATCGTGTGTTATCGAGAGCCGTGACGCTGTTAAGGCGCTCAATCTCATACATCAAAGCTGTTTACAAATAAAGCCCGAAGGGCCCAAAGGGCGAGGTTGGCCTATCGATTCTTGATGTTTGTTCTAAGGCTGACGTGATGTACTAGTTGGCCCATGGTTTTTCTAGCATGGGACGTTCATAAATGTCCTGTGTGGTTCGGTTCAACACCGACCTGAACTTATTGGATCATATATTCATACCGAGCGATATAAGCACGAAATTTCAACAAGATTTCATTACCCTCAGCTTCGCACCTGAAAATTTATGCAAAGTTGGGATGGGCTAAACCAAAGAATTCGCTATCGGCTGACTGCAATGACCACTTACTCTGCTATTGATCCGCTTGCTCTGACAACTCTCCCTCAGCTAAAGCCGGCCTCAACACCGCCAAACCGTCCTGTACTCTCACCCTCTGCCTAAGGGTCCCTACTCCAACATGCTCACCTCACCAAGGCTTCTCGTACCTCGTCTTATAGTTCCTCTTGCTCGTTCTGACTATCTTCTTCCTGGAGTAGATCTCGGATTGCAAATCCCACCCAAAGGACCTTCAGTCCCACTTGTACAGAATTCATATAATTGGTACACTGTATAGCCGAGTCGAGTGTCTCTCCATAGACATATGGTCGAGAGTATACACCTCCGCCAAACACAGCGAGGGAGCATGACCTGTAGCGGGTCAAATCACCCCCTGTGAACCCGGACATCTAGCTGATACTTCGGGCACCAGCGTACCTTTACCTGAACTTCCATCATAGGTCAAACCTGTCTGAACAGCTGCCTCAACAATGTGTAGTTTGGCTTTTCCAACCACAGCAATGATCAAAGTACGTCGTAAATTCTACATGAGAAGACACGAGAAGGCACAAGATGCCGCTGAGCCAGTTTTCATCTCTCCCATTCGGAGAAGTGGTTTTGTTTAGATGTCTGGTGCGCATATGTCTTGCCAATGCAGACGGTCATACACGAGATATAGGAAAATGCTTCAAGGTCGTCTCGCCGTCTTTGTTTTACACCTTACTTGCTCCAGAGCAGGAATTGAGTTGGTCATAACTAACCTCGTCCAAAATATGCATTATAGCTCGAATATGGCGGGGTCTCCAGTCCGGCATCAGGGAAACGTAATTCATTACGCATGATTGCACCATGCTACAGAGCGCTCTGTAGCATTCTATAGCACGATCCAATCCGCTGATCGGCGGTGCGGCATTCGCGGAACGGTGCCTTCTTTCTTTGGCCTCGCCAAAGGTTCCTATCATCCGGGAGTAACTTGCCATAGCTAGCGCTGAGGCTCTCAAATGACGGTCCTTACTTAGGCATTGCCAAGCCCAGATCAACTTCATCATGATCCCCCCAAGCCCCTCAACAGATTACGCGGCCGTTGTTGTCAAATGCAATTCATAGAATCTAATCGAGGCGTCTAGGCTTAGCACCCCCTAGTACCACTATCACGGAGATCACCGTCAAGCATATATATAAATCAGCGCCCTCACACGATGGTAGCTGATAGCACTAGTCCAGCATGATCTCACTTTCATCGTACATAGTTTCTCCTCAATGGAAGTGTAAGTATTTATGTCGTTACGCACCCAAATCACGAACTTATTCATCTGCTTTGGAGTACATTGTCCGTGAGTAGATCCTCTATGAGCCAGTTATGAACCCATGATCTGCTAACGCAGTTGCTACGATGGCGGTCTTGGTGGGCGCAATATTGCACGATATCTCTCCGGTATTCTCTCACCAGACACAGGTTTATGAATTTCAATTCACCTTGACTACGAGGCGGGTCGTGTTAACCTGGAACAAGTGCGGGTTGCTAACATATCAATGGGGTCTAGATTGCCTATTGGGCAAGCCAAAAAGCATCGCTCGCAACAGCTTCATACCCCCAAGCACTCTCTCTTCCTGCGTGCGTTGTCCAAATCCCAGACAGGTCAAGTCATCTCTTTTGGCCGCAGTGTATTCGCAACGAATGCTACAGTTGTGTTCATATTTATCATGAAGAAGCTAAAACGGTGAGTCAGCCATGATGATAATCTGGTAAGGAATGCACAATTCTTGATCTTATTGATCTCTGTGTGTACTATCTCATAACCGGTGCTGTGGTATGTCCCCCTGAAGGCTTGTTATCTAGGGACTCTAAGCTTGTGTTAGTGCGAGTGTGTGTCGAGTGTGAGGATACATACACTACATTCTGTTGATGTCTTATGAATAGCGCTAGGTAACTTCATCACTCAAACATACGCATTGTGGGATCAAAAGACGCGGATCTCGTACATCTTGTCTGGCATTTACTTGGTATGTTTGCCAATGTCTGCATGCTCGTCCAGCTGATATATGCTGAGGAAACTCTTGCGGGGAAATTTAATCGTCTCGCACACTATCTTGTGTCGCTGTTAGGAGTTGTGAGTTGAGCACGAGCATACATTGCCTCGCCACTGAAAGCTCACAGGCGGAGCCCAGGTTGTGATTACCAACAGATTTACAACAGCCTCTGATAGCAGGCATCTCTTGGTACTTATATTTACTTTGCGCAATCTCCTTCGATAGTGCGGTGTTGTATACTAGTTTGGTGCCGTACTTGTAGTTTTTGATCCCCGTACCCAAGATACACTTCGTACACGACGCGATCACATGACCTGCATGTGACCCAAACCAAACGTAGCGGTATCCCCAATTGATCGAGACTCCGAAACAGTTCCAATGGAGCGCACATTCACCATTTTGCACGGGAATCAGCCAAATAACAAATCGATTATCGTAAAAAATTTGTTCATAAATTCCCATGTGTACAAACTTGCAACTATCAGTTCTGAAGTCCTAGTGAGAGGTAATACATATGTAACAGGACGTTACACGTAGTACTAACAGTACCTGATAGCGGACCGGCCGCTGTGCGAGGTTGCACAGCTTTTATAGTCTTTCAAGCTGTTCTTTGGATACCGGTTCATTTCCGTCCCCAGTCATCAATCAGGCCTTACACTAGTACTGATAGATCAAAAGTGATCCACACGCTCGGGCTCAGCGCCCATCTTCAAATCTCAATCAAGGCTGGACAGCATGCAATTGTACGCTGGCTTGGAAGCTTCTGATTTGGAATGGCGGTGAGTTCGAGTCGAGTCCTTACGAAGCTATCCATTTAGGGACTACTATCGGTTACCACAACTTCGGTCACCCTCTGGTTCGGACAGTCACACAATGTAACACGATAGTAACACAATGTCACATCCGCCGAAACAGATTCCGCTCGGCATCCAGTATCAGCGCCTTCAAGTGCACAGGCCTCGTAGCGTTCATTATTTTAACTAAAAGTTAAATAATTGAAAAGGTTTTATTGAATGTACATTATGAACTGGTACAAATTCATGAGGGGCTGTAGGAACTATTTAGATGACTGGGACAATGTGGTGCAAAAGAAGGTGCTGCAAAGGAGTTCCTTGAACTCCAGCAAGGCTCCTTGAATCCGCGACTCGCGCTGGATCGTTTTGCTTGGAGTTATGGTATGGGCACCCTTGCCCCGAGCGCGCCCCATGCACCGTCCAAGACCCTATGAGCACAAATCTACTAATAGTGAGTGGTTCGGCAAATCTAAAACTCCGCTACGGCAGACTCGGTTTGGTGACAAGCAGACGTGATATTTGGCTCTGTCACACCTGAACAAGGATCTCAATCATTTCTCGACCAATTTCAATTATTCAAGTTCGCAGTAGTGTATTATAAGTGTACAATGATATGTGGCTGGACAGAATATGATTTGAAACAGGGTTAAGTGAGATATTGCAAAGTGTCCGAACCAGAGGGTGACCGAAGTTGTGGTAACCGATAGTACTTCTAGTGCCATCTATCTATCAGATCTGCCGCCCAGTACACGCGGCCAGTCGCGCGTAATGAGGTTTCGTAGCTACTATAAAAGTCGTGCTTGGTCACTGCTTTGTACGTTTGCCACCTCGTTCGCCAATCCCATTATGACATACGTCTCACATGATCCTGATAACACCTATTTCAACGATCCCGCTTGGTGGCCGTTTCTCGTTTGGACTCGTGCTTACAGCAATGCTGCAGGTTCGTGGAGAGCAACTCGGACGGAGCATGTCAGTGACATTTCACTAACTTGAACTGACTGTGGTTTCGCAGTTGTAGCCTCTGTCGTGGTGGTATATGATTGGGGTGAGCGTAATAATACTTTCAGAGGGGATCGCCCATTTACACTGTATCAAAGCATTAACATTTGGACAAGAGGTGATTTGATCATGCCATGATCGGCCCAGCCATCTCACTAAGAATATTTCTACAGTTCGAGCTGGTCTGGGTCAGAACGTTTCATATCAGAGGCTCAAATCGGATAATTCATTCGATTCCGGACAGAAGCAACGCTTGTCTCTCATAAATCTGTTATTCATCAGTGTGAGTAGCTCGTGTTATATGCGCAGTTGTCAAGTTGTGCTGACTTGACACAACATAGGTGCGCTATGTTGGAATACTATATGCCATGTATGTTTGGGAGGCGGATCAAATGACTCGGCGCTGTACTAACAATATCATCTCGTACAATCAGCATCAGCTTCCTAGGTATGTATCTTCAATCACCCTCTTTCTATTTGACTGACGGCATGAAGGAAATGTTCCAATATTGAATACCGATCTAGTAGGCAATCTTCACCAATACCTGTCCAACTAAGTACTGACTACAGACCTCCATAGGGGTGAGTGACATTCTCAGTCGCCTAGTTTCTTCCACGTAATGACTGCAACAGCTGTGAGTTCGTTTGACGCATCTAGTACCCTAACGCGCATTTATAACTGAGATTTTCTAGGCAATTTTTTTTACTCCTTCCAAACATGGACGCCTGTCGTCGTCAATGCTATGTTGGCTGGTGAGCTTGTCGCGATATCTTACTGGTGCTGACTTGACTGAAATATTATGCAAGCTATCATGACGACTCGGATATATGCCATGTTTCAGCAATCGAAACCGATACTTATCTTTCTCGTTGTAGCCCTGCTGGCTTCCACAATCGCCTCCGGAGTTATGCTGGGCATAGGAAACATTGGTATTTCAGGGAGTAAGCATTGATTAATTCCTTAAGCACACGAGACTCACGGACGGATACCAGAGGAATTCGTCCTTTCTGGCTACCATATCTGTCTTGTCCAGATCGACACATACCAGATGAATCTAAATCACGAGATGGTGATACCCACCGCTATATGGGAGATCCTTGCCTTTCTTCTTGCAGTCTGGATTGTTATACTACGCTTCTACGAAATGCGACAATCACGGAGCGGATCCAGCATTGGGGACTGTTTCAAGATGTTAATAAAAAGTCACGCGTTGTACTTTCTAGCGTAAGTTCGGTTATTTGATGATCAGTATCTCACTGATGTTCTTCATATACTAGATTTGCTGCTGTAGCTTGCTTCAACATCGGCGACCTGGCTCCAGGTTTACGGGTGCGTTGTTCCATAACTGATACTTGCATCTGACCCTTCTTCATTTCTACAGCACTCAACAACCGTGGCAGATGATATTTATGCCGGCGCTCTCCGAATTGCACGAGTGTTGCAGATGTTTGTGCTGGGACCACGTCTGATCCTTAGCATTCGAGAATATCACTCTAAGCTCGTGACTAGGTCTGACGGGGGAATTAATATGACTGCGATTGCTTTCCAGGCTCTCAGACAGCGATCGACTAGCAGTGATATGGAACTGGACACGATTCAATCGTCCAACCCTGTGTAAATGTAGTTAATTGTAGTCATAAGGGGATGGATGTAGAGGTATCTACAGTTACAGACAATCAAACTCCATAATTTTTTCCTTTACCCTCATTATCTCACTGTCGTCGACAACCAGCATAGTCAGTCCCATCTTACACTATACCCTTCATTGATATCGACCCTTAATCTCTTTCTCTCGTTACTGTCATCCCGTTTTCAGTTCGTTGTTTCCGGATCTTCAACTACTACGCGACTCTCGTTATTCTGCAACACTCATACCGCCGCTCATTCAAATGTCTCGTATTCTTTCCCTCAGTCTTACTATTCTACCCTGCCAGACTTAACGTCACCCCTTCTGCCTCCGTTTTCTCATAATCGCACCCCTCGTCGGCTGCAATGCAGGATGTCATCATATTGTCGCAACATTGTGCACTAGGTTCATGTTACTCTGAATTTGCCGGCATTTGTGGCTATGTATCTACAACTCAAAATTTTAACGGTATAAATGATCAATCATATCTGTTGGTGCGCATGGCAACATACTCGCCTCCAATACTTTTTGGCGCGCTATCAGTCATCATATCGAAAGTTTCGAGGTCAAGTTCAAGTTGAACGGTCAACTCAAGGGGTTGCGGCACTCCACGATGCGCTCGAGTCACCCTGGGTTCTGGAAGGCCGGAATATTATCATAGAGGCCGCACGTGCCCGAACTTTCACACTGGGAGAAAATATCCTAGAATTTTTTTAGAGATTCCCAACCCACTAAATAGTCCCTTACAAAATTACAATGATGAACTTGTTGATAGCCTACATGCCGTTTTGCCAGTTTTGCAGGTTATAAAACCGACCTCAAGTAATTTTGTCCGGGCCACACTACAGTTTGACGCCCTTCATACGCCGGTTCCATTTCGAGACTCATCGTAGGGTTAGGTTTCCTCACTTTTTGGCTATTGGGTTGACTGCGTTCCTTGCTTCATGTGTCTAGTGGTTGGACGAATCGCCACGAGGCCAGTCCGCCCGCATTTCCCCAAGTCATCCTCAAGTCGACACATCTTTACTCGCCATGCTTCCCAGTCTTTACTGAACGCTAGCTATTCCAAAACACTCCTCTTGCCGAAGACTTCGTTTCCGCTCTGGGTGAACTCAGCACAGTCCGAGTCGTTATTCAAAAAGAAGACCTGCGAAGAGCTGTATCGATGGCAGGTACGTTATTCAAATACATCAATTCTTCTTGTTAGATTCAGCAGTATATAGGCTCAGAATGTGCATGGGCCACTCTTCGTTCTGCTTGACGGCCCTCCTTATGCGAACGGTCACCTTCACATAGGTATGTACAGAGAAACATACAAAAATTTGCAATATTGACATTTTATTATTTCTAGGACATGCTTTAAATAAGATTATGAAAGACATCATCAACAGGTACCAAGTCTCAACTGGTCATAAAATACAGTAAGTCCATCCGTCCTGTGCTTGAATAGTACCGCTCATCCGTCGAAGTTACCACCCTGGCTGGGACTGCCATGGGTTGCCTATCGAAAATAAGGCTCTGCAAGAGTTAAAGGTGCGTAGTTCTTTCCCTAGCGATATCGCGTCGAATGAATATGAAATTCAGAAGGATGCTCTTTCGTTAGCGCCCAATGTCATACGCGCAGCAGCCAAAGCAACAGCAGAGCGCGAAATGAAGACGCAGCAGGAGGAATTCGAGCAGTTTTGCATAATGGCCGATTGGAGCCCACAAACGACCTTCCGTACACTTGGTATGACTTGAGACTGATATATGGCTATATTTTGACTTACAGACTTTTATCGAAGACCATGACTACGAAATTCGTCAGCTTCAGGTCTTTCAACGAATGGTCGACCAAGGTACACGATTTCTTGTCTCCTGTCATCCAACTCTATCATTTATTTTCTATATCACGTAGGTCTTATTTACCGGCACTACCGACCAGTGCATTACTCTCCCTCATCGCATTCCGCTCTTGCCGAAGCGGAGCTCGTCTATAACGATGATCATGTCTCTCATTCAGTCTATGTGACCTTTTCGTTGGACTCGCAGACTACAATCGCGAGCACTGCTCTCCGGGAAGTCTTAGCCGAGGAGCCTTCGGCAAGTTTGCTAGTGTGGACCACTACACCTTGGACTCTAACAGCAAACATGGTATGGATGAGTTTCATCAAATTTAACACCCTTACAGATATTTTTCGTTAGGGCATTGCCATTCATCCCGAATTGATTTACAGTTTCGTGCGCTCATCTGTCAAGGAGGGTGCTCTCGTCGTTGCTAAAGATCGTCTTGTCGCGCTGGAGCCCATCATCGGACCTCACGAAGTTATTGCTGAAATCAAGGGCGCAGATCTGGTGGGCGCACAATTCCGCTCCGTCTTCTCTCCAATCCATCCGTCTGGCTCAATGAGCGCAAAGATCATTGCGGCATCTCATGTCACATCGGAGTCTGGATCTGGTCTGGTGCACTGCGCCCCTGCACATGGCGCAGAAGATTACCTGGCATTCCGAGCGCTAGGCCTTCTGCAAGGCCCCACGGATATCATCTGTCACGTTGATGATGCCGGCAAATTTTCACCTGGTGTTGCTCATGTCGTAGGCGAAGAAGCTGCACAAGCACTAGTAGGTCAAGAGGTACTCAAGGGTGGAAACAAGGCTATCATCAGACTACTGGAGTCCATCGGGTCCCTTGTGAGAGTGCAGAAGATCAAGCATCGCTATCCGTATGATTGGAAGACTGGTGAACCTATCATTGTAACGTAAGTTGCGCGTGGCGGGAGAGGCACGCCTCGGTGCTTACATAGTCTGACAGGGCCACCTCGCAATGGTTTGCCAACCTGGACGGCATCAAGGATGATGCACTCCATGCGCTGAAGGATGTACAGTTCTATCCACCGTCGTGTATGTCCCCATTCTGTCATTTGGGACTATACTCTGAGTGTGTTTGATCACAGCTCGCAATCGACTGGAGTCATTCGTTCGCTCGCGTTCCGAATGGTGCATTTCTCGCCAGCGAGTGTGGGGTGTCCCGATTCCGGCTCTATACCACACCCCGACGGATACCGCTGTCCTCTCATCCGAATCCCTCACTCACATATTACGTGTTCTGTCTGAGCGAGGCGTCGCTCATTGGTGGGAAGGTCCAGTCGAAGACTTCCTTACCCCAGAGCTGCCCGCCAATTTCGCAGGTGGGCCTGAAGCTTGGCGCAAAGGCACGGACACAATGGACGTCTGGTTTGATAGCGGGTCAAATTGGAGTACGCTGAGCGCCCCTACAGGCGGGCGAAGACATCGGGCGGACGTATGTCTTGAAGGCACAGACCAGCATCGCGGGTGGTTTCAGAGCCAGTTGTTAACCTCAGTGGGTGTTAGCTCCGGACAAAGTGCTGCAAGGCCAGTGAGCCCATACGGAACGCTGATCACGCATGGTATGGTACTTGATGAGGCAGGCAAGAAGATGAGCAAGTCCCTCGGAAACATTGTCAGCCCGATGACCATCATTCACGGTGGCAAGGTCGGTCATCGCTTATTTTGCGCAAACAGTCTGCTGAATTTTTGTGGTCGACAGGATAAGAAGAAAGAACCTGCGTACGGTGCCGATGTCCTCCGCTTGTGGGTAGCGACTGTCGAGTACTGGCGAGATATGTCTATTGGACCCACAGTCCTTGCACAGTGTGCGGAATCTATGAGGAAGATCCGTAATTCTGCTCGGTTTATTCTTGGAAATATTGGTACAACTATACAACGAAAGCACTTTGTCCCTGTTGAACGCAGCGAACTGGGCTTGGTCAGTCCACGCATTCGATTGATGTCTAATGCCAGATTTGATTGTTGTCACAGGCAGAGCGCTTCGTGATGAACGAGCTTTACAAACTTGATCAAACGGCTGCAGAGGGATATGCAAACTACAATTTCCCGAAAGGTGAGAGCTCATTGTGTTCATGGAGTTTACAAGCTTATACTCTGCGCGCTAGTCATGAATTCCTTGACCAACTTTGCAAACATTACGCTGTCATCGCTCTACTTTGATATTAGGAAGGACTGCCTCTATGCCAATGACATTCAGAGTGTCGAGAGACGGGCGGTTGTAACTACCCTCGCCAAAGTGAGCGCTATCCAGTGAGAATATGCCGGTAACTGATGTTCTACCAGGTCCTCGACTCTATGACCTCCGTAATGGCCCCAGTACTACCTTACCTAGCAGAAGAAATTCCACAGTACTCTCCACGAAGGTGATGAAGCTGTGTCCCAGCTATCCGTCTTTGCGAAGAAGTGGACTCCTGTCGTGAGCATTGATGTCGTAGCTGCATGTACTTTCGCTGATATTCTACTAGAGCGCTGAGTGGATGTGATCCACATGCCGAGCAAGATATGACGAGTTTGCTAAGGATGCGCAGCGTCGTGCTATCTCTTTTGGAAAAGGCTCGAGGGGACAAGTGAGTATTCAATTATTTTTGTGTCCGTAGTTTGAACGTGTTTCAATGTAGGCATCTGAAGAGCTCTCTCGAAGCTGACGTCGATGTTATCTTGCCCATCGATATATCCGTGCGACCGTATTTGCTACAGTTGATTGAACGCGAAGGTGAGCATTTGATCTTCCTGTTTTTCGTGACTGAACGATATTTGCGCGCAGAGACGTTCCTGAAGACGCTGTTCATCGTTTCTGATGCCAAGATCACGGACGAAGGCTCTCCCGGCGCTGGTTCATTCGCGTGGTCCTATGTTTCTTCAATGGATATACCCGGTATGTTCTATGTTTTTGAAAGCTGTTTCTGGTATTCATTTGCCTTATTCCTTCTGCGTAGATTCGGACTTAGAGCTAGCGATCCGCATTAGACCTGCATCTTCGAGCAAGTGTCCACGGTGCTGGACGTATACTCGTGAAGAGCAGCATGATTTATGTCCCCGCTGTGAGGATGTTGTTCGACGTTTAGATTAGATTGTTGGCCGATAAGTACACACATATACAGACTACGATACTAATACTACCTCTTGCACTTGTTTGAGCTTCACATTAATATTGGTACATTCATGATTCTGCACCACGTGCACGGCGTTAAGTCTTGTATGCCAAATCCAGCTTAAGGCTTCTACCTCTTTATTGTCGATTTTTATGTTATTGTTTACTTATCGATGATCCTGATCAAATAATCAACGATTCTTCTCCTTTTACTTACCAGTAGGGCTATGGCCAATTCCATCACCACAGACAAACCGCACTGGACTGCTCTAGCCGCAGAGAAGAAGCAAAGGCAGTTAGAATCCATTCCACACGAGTGGATTGTGACACCGCCTTCGGACTCTACTCTGGACGTATCTGCTTTTCCAGAGACATGCGGCCTTTTGAACGCGAGAGAGATTGAGATCACCAATACTTCAGTAGATGTTTTGTTGGAGAAACTTGCATGTGCTGCATGGACAGCCGTAGACGTGACCACCGCGTTCTACAAGAGGGCCATTATTGCCCATCAACTTGTAAGCCAAATTGCAAGGCGGCTTTGTTTGACGACATCATTGTATTAACTGGCCAACGAGGTCAATTGCTTGACGGAAATTTTTGTTGATCGTGCATTGGCCCGAGCAGCAGAACTCGATGATCACTTGAAGGCCACAGGACAGGTCGTTGGGCCTCTTCACGGGTTGCCAATCTCCTTCAAGGACCAGCTATGCATCAAGGGACTGGAAACCACTATAGGTAAATAACAATCCTGGCATAGGCTTAACGCACTGTTATTCACCATGTCCTAGGGTATGCTTCGTGGGTTGGGCAGTATGCGGACGAAAACGCAGTGTTGATCGACATTCTGATTGAATGCGGAGCTGTACCATTTGTCCGCACTAACGTTCCGCAAACACTTGCGGTGAGCGCACCCTCGATGTCGATGTTATGTGTAGGCTAGAAGTACTTTCAGTGGCCGGAAACCTTCAACCATGTCTTCGGCCGGACGACAAACCCATACAACCGCTCTCTGACCTCGGGTGGGTCATCAGGAGGAGAGGGTGCATTAGTTGCTCTCAAAGGAAGCCCTTTGGGAGTTGGTTGCGATCTCGGAGGGTATGAAAAGGATTTGGAGATATCAGTGGTAGCCTTCTGATGGCTTCATGATAGCTCTGTTCGTATTCCCTCTGCGTTCTGCGGCTTATACGGCCTTAGAGCTTCATACGGGCGTCTACCGTACTATGGTGTCCGCGGCACACTTGACGGCCAAGATTCGGTTCTCCCCGTGTTAGGTCCCATGGCAAATAGCGTCGTCGCTATCAAGGTTTTCATGAAAGCTGTGATTAACACTAAACCATGGCTCAATGACCCTCTTGCGGTTCGGAAGAAATGGGACGAAGACGAGTACAATCTTGTGGACCACGGGTCTGGCAAGAAGTTGTGCTTTGCAATCATGTGGGATGATGGCGTCGTTGTCCCCCACCCACCTATCAGGAGGTCTCTGGAAATCACCAAAGCGGCTCTTCAGAATGCAGGCCACAAAGGTTTTTCTCGTCCAAGTCATCTACTAAATCGATATTGTGCTTATTTGTGGTAGTTGTTGACTGGAAACCTATCAAGCACAAATTACTTGGAGATATCACGGTAAGCAGTCGTGCCTTCTGTTATGCTTGTCTATTGACCTAGTAGCACTGTGCAGCGTGACATCTGGAACGCTGGTTCCGCTGAGGAATACATGATCACGACCTCTGCTACAGGGGAGCCACTAATTACATCAATGGGATTAGACGCCACAAATGTCACAGTAGCATCCTTCCGTCCGCAGAACGACGGTATGACAGCATACCAACTCTGGCAATTGCAGAAGTTGCGTCAAACAATCCGGAAAGAATATCTAGACCACTGGAAAGCAACTGCATCAGAGACTGGGACAGGACGGCCTGTCGACGCTATTATCTGTCCAGCCGCCCCGTTTGTGGCAACTCCCCATGGGAAGAACAGGTTTGTGCTTGTAATTACGAAATGATGCACTCAGGTCAATAAGAGGCGATGGGCAGGTACGTTGACTACACGGCCGTTTGGAACGCGCTCGACTATGCTGCCGCCATTTTCCCTGTGACCACTGTCGACTCCACTTTCGATGGGAAGGCGCCTCCTCACGCTTTCTACAACGACTTCGATAAGGATGTTTACGAAATGTGTGAGTATGGTGCCAGCACTCAACAACCTCTCAATATGTAGTTTAATGCCTAATCATTGATCCAGACGATCCGGAGAAATTCAGGAACGCTCCTGTTTGTTTGCAACTTGTCGGTCGGACTCTGGAAGAAGAGGCGGTCATAAGGATGACAGAAATAGTTGGCGCGGCGCTATTAGCTGCCAAATAGGTGCAAGGTATATCTACCCAAACGCAGAGCACTGGTTATAAATTCTCATCGAATGAATCTACATCTTGGTCCAGCATATGCTTTGTATCTTGTGGGCTCACACGAAGTCCCTCACCTGATCCTTGAACCATGCTTCATCCTTCCCCATGATTCTATTGACGTCCGGAGAATGTAGGCGTCAGTGATAGAAACACATGTGCAAGCATCTTTAATTATCTTCGGTACTAGACGAGGATGGATTTGGTTATGCCGCTCAACAATTGCGAGCACGTAGACTAGTACGGAAGACACTGCCTCAACCATGTTCCTCCCGTGTCAAAATGCCGTACGGAAGAAAACCCGCGCTTCGCAACACGCAGCAGCGATAGAGACACTGCCTTTCATCTTCCGTTGCGTTCTGATGAGATAACGACCATATGGCATATCAATGATGCCATGACCCTTGTCCTTCATCTCCGCTTACGACGAATTCAGCAAACTTCCGCGGAAATCAAACCCTAACCACGCCAAGTCCGCTCTAAACCGTAGACAGCTTTATTTTCTCGTCCGCCTGCATTCGGTGTGCCTTCATGCACGTTGCACACTACCCAAACCATACTGCGACTCAGACATACCCCAAAACTTTCCATACGCTGTCCTTGACTCACTTGTTTTGCGGCCCGATGAGCAATTCTAATTATGAGCGCTCGTAAATAAACGACCGGATAGCGGAGGTAGAAGATCCGGACAGTGCGATATGCTGACCTGCAGATACGAGGGTCTCGCGACAGGAAGCAAGAAAAACGAGAAACTGTGCCACAATTGCAAATTTGAGACGTTACGGTGTGAAAGTTCACCTGCCTCAACGTGTATCGCGATGTCCTCCTACATAGATGATGAACTTTCAGCACATATTCACTTACCCCCAGGATCGAATGGTCGCCGTAGCGTGTGTCAAACTACCGTGACAGTCGGTGCTGCTTGTACAAATCCCGGTGGCAGGTCAACGTGGGTGGCGAAGGCGGTGTCCGAGTCCAGTCATCGATGCCCACTATAACGGATCCTCGTAATCGATCAAAGTACCCTTGACTCTGACTTCTGGCATGTTCTGCCATCGCAATACTGAATGTAGACCGCTGTTGTATTTTTAGGGCCCGTACATACTTGAGCCTATGTCAATAGCTTTGCATACCATATAGAATTGAACAGACTCACATTATTGCAGGTTTTAGTAGTGAATCACAAGCAGGTATGATTCAACCAACAACTTGTGACGAGGCCCAGGCACAATAAATACATGCTGTGAGTCGGAGTCAGCGCCGTTTATCCAGTTAGTAATTACCCTACGCCGACATTCGCCCTTCCAAGTGCCAGCACGACCATTACGGACATTCAGGTGATCATCGTAAGCGGTAAACAAGGTTATGTCACGAACCCTAGCATCCATCTCAGTTCATTCCCAAAACCATGATTCAGCAAACTCCCCGACATCAAATCCAATCAATCCAACCATCGCGGCTTGCACCAGATTGGGGCTCATATGATTTCCATCCACTCTGCTGGCAGACTTCCTTATCCCCCCACCTGCCCTGATCATATCCTCGGCAAATCCGGGCACACACCACCCAAACCATATCGCGACCCAAACAAACCCCAAGGCTCTCGTCCAAAAGCTGTCCTTAACTCCCAGTCGTCTTCCGGTCCGGATTAACACGTCTTCAAGGGTAATAACGACTGCTTGCATGAAAAAGAATGGCATCGAGAAAAACGGTCGCGAGACAGCGGAGGTAAAGGACCCAGAGAGCACGATATCCCCTCCTGTATGTACGAGGCCCGAGAATAAGAACGCAACGTAGATCTGTGCATATAGTGATCCTAGTGTACCTCGCTTGAACCCAAGGGCAGATGATGCCGCTTTACCAAGAGGGGCGAGTAACTGGCACAAATACACGTTCCCAGCTGATATATGCAGTTTTAATCAAAAGCGCTCACCCATTTCAAGATCTGATGCCATGTCCTCCTGCATGGAATAGTGTCGGAACAACAGAGCTACTTGGCACATATTCACTCACCCCCAAGCTCGTCGAACGGTATACCCATCTCGCCAAGACCCAAACAAATCAGGCCACATTCTTGGCTCGTGCAATCCGAGAGCAACACTCCCTGCTGCCATTGCGAAGTAGCAAGCGTTCAAGGCCCAGTATGTAAGCCCAATGAATGCAATTGTGTCAGCACACCGCGCCACATAGCTTCGTGTCTCAACCGTAACCGATGAACACGCAGGGTTGTACCAAACATACAGTCGCGCGACTTCAAATAGGACTACGTGGCAGGCAGCACGCAGGGAGGAGGTGAGGATGAACAAATATCTGGGTTGTTGTGGGGCAGCAGGAACGTGTTTCACCTGGAACGGGGTGAAGGCGGTCCGAATTGCAACCGCAAGGGATTGTAAAAACGCACCTGATGGTTCCATCCAACTCCCCGCGGTGATTGCATGAGACAAACAAGGTGGAGGATCCTTTTCCACCAATGTTCGTGCACTTTTTCGTTCTTGTTCTTGTCCTCTACAGACTTGAGATTTTTCAATGGTCTCCCCAGTAAGAGCAAATAAAAGCTTTGCACTGCATAGGCCATGACAATAGATCCTAGCAAGTAGTCCACGTAGCCGACGCCAGTATCAATATTCAAGCTCACAAACACGCTCGAGTTTATGATGAGCAAGCAGAACAAGGCGATGGCGAAGGCACCAAATAAGTTCCATGGAGGTGATGGGTCGAAAGAAAGCAAAATCTGTAAGGTAAGGAAGGGAAGTGGTATGTGATATGGCAGACGCATTGTCTGATGGGTTGGACGTCGAATGAAAGGCTGTAAGCGCTGTAATATATACATAAAGATCGGAAGAAGCTCACTTGGCGCTGTGACGAACCATCTACCGGCATCAACCCTATGGTGCCAGCGCAACAAACAATATTAATCGTATCCCTGACTCTTCGTTTTCTGCCAGCGGAATCGCATTTCCGCACATAACTCGCGCCCCTTTATTCACACTATCAGATCGCAAGTTCGACTGACCGCGACATGTCAGACTGAGGAAAGCAACCAGTAGCTGCGAGCTGGACGGACTAGATTCAGACGGTTCAGGTGTTCAAACGTTCAACGTTCAGATGTTGAAGTGTGAGAGCCTGCGCGAACGGTCCACATGGTATTGAGTGCACGTGACAATAATCGCTTTGAAATTACCAACATCCATGCATCGTGGCCCGTGGGGCTAGTACATGTGCCATATGCGACACAATCATGAAATAGAAACGAAACCTACATGCGCACATATGCTGTGCTGGTTGCCATGCGGGGCTATGTCTGGAAATAGGTGTTTGGGCGGTGAACCGATGGCGACCCAGGCTTTACATTGATGGAATAATCTAGGTAGGCCGGGTGTTGATGACCCAGTCAGATGGTCAGTAGTAGCTGGGCGTATCTGAAGCGCGGTCAACGCATGCCAAGACAAAGAGGGAGGGACTACATCTGTAATACACTTGGGCAGACCTAGTATGTTTGCGATAAGTTGTGAGCACAGATTGAAGTTCACAAAACGTGCTGTATCATCGTGGATTGGTCGTGACACTAAATGCTTATGCCAACAGCAGTGCTTAAACAAGTACAGTAAACTATTAGATCTTACCGAGAAGTCAGAAAATGAGCAAGCTTAAAACATGCCTTCAACCCCTTATGCACCCTCCGACTTCTCAAGCGATTCCTTGCCCACCTTGTGTGCAAGTACATCCGCCAAGTCCTTCTTGCCCACGGACCTAGATACAGCCCATGCGCTGAACTCGTGGCCCTGTGAGAACACATCTTCGATCTCCTCCAACGAGCGCTGTGCTGTCTCAGGGAAGCAGAAGATAAAGTGGATGCAGGCTGCAAAGTTGAACGTGCCGAACACCAAATACGTCTTCCATTGGATATTTTGCAACATCGGAGGTACAGCCCATGCCAAAGCGAAGTTGAACAACCAGTTTGTGGCTGTGGAGAGAGAGACGGCCTTGGCACGCACACGCATGGGGAAGATCTCGGCAGGATAGGCCCAAGAGGCAGGACCCATCGTAATAGCGAAGGAACACACGAAAAAGTAGGAACACACGATGATCGCTTTTGTGGCAGCGGGATTGTTGAGTACCACCCATGTAGCTGATGAAGAGAAAAGTAAGCATCAGAGAGTTGAGGAGTTTAAACGTTGAACTTACCAGTACCGTCAACAGTTCCCATTTCGCCGAAGCGGGCCTGGAGCCCACCAACGAGGTAGAGCCAGAAGCCCATGATAAGACAACCGTAAATAAACATCGGGCGACGTCCCCATTTGTCGATGTAAATGATTGCAGGGACTAAAATTCAAGCGCATCACAATCATCGTCATCGATCAAAGTGAATTAATCTTACCAGTGAAGGCGACATTAAGGACATATTGCACAGAGTCTGCAATCAGATTCGCGCGACGACCAGTAAGACCAGCACCCTCGAAGACGTAGACGACATAGTACCTGTTCGGGGTGTAAAAACGAATTGAGTGGCCAAAGGCTGAAAAAACTCACATCATAACGTTCACACCAGTAAGCTGAGACCACATCTGGAGAGACGTGCCAAGGAAGACACGGCGCGTTACACCACGCTTGAAGAGGTCTGACCAGGCCTTGGCACCTTCAGTTCGTTCGAAGTAAACCTGGGACTTGATTTCCTCGAACTCAAGGACGACAAGCTCATCCTGCTGATTGCCTCCACCGTGAAGGTCAGCAAGAATCTCCAAAGCCTCTGTCTCGCTGTTAAGAAGTATGAGATAAGAGTTTGATATATATAAAAGGGACGCGTACCGGTTATTATCGACGAGCCAACGGGGGGACTCGGGGAACGCTAGCATACCGAGAGAAAGGACGATAGCGGGGATCATCTGGAGACCCCATGGGATACGGAATGAGGCAGTACCGTTTATGTACGAACAACCGAACTGAACAAAGTACTGAAGCAAGATACCCCAGGTGATAGACCATTGTTGGAAGGAAACCAAGCGACCACGGATTGCAGGTGCAGCAATCTCGGATTGATAGACAGGGACAACGGTGGAAGAGATACCGACGGAGAGACCAGAAATAATACGGCCAACGACGAGCATGCCACGGTTCTGGAGCAGCATCTCAACAAAGAAACAATGACATGACAGGATAATACACTCACAATCGACGCGCACTGAATAATAGAACCAATGACCCAGAAAAGACCAGCAAGGATGATCGTCTTTTTGCGCCCAAGCTTATCACCAAGGTAGGTAACAGAAAGAGCGCCAATCAGGGACCCGGCGGGCATAGAAGCGACGATGGCACCCTGTGCATTGGAACTGGGCTGCACGAAAATCTTGTGAATTACACACAAAAGGCTATCGAGAAAGCAAACGCACGTTGTGGAAAGTGTTCGCGTATGCGGGGTTCTGTCCAGGGTATATACATCAGCATCGTCGAAATTACATTAGGCGTGGATGATCATGGGCTCACGTTCAACACTGCGGACATGGAAGATATGTCCAAACCGAAAAGGCCTCCACCGATACATGCGAATGTACCGACGATGTACTATCATACGAATATCAGAATCCCGCCCAAGTATGAACACTTATAGGAGCTTATGATCACTCACTGGATTCGAGGCGATCCTTGCGCTGTACTGTTGAACGCATTAAGCACGATAGCCCAAGGGATTAAAACAAAGTGCAACTTACACCTTTGCCCATTTTGACGGGAGGAAGTGAGGACAAATGAAGACGGGGAACAACATCATGATGTCGTCGGGACGCTGCATTTTATTCAGTGTCAGGCACCGACCGCATGGAACTTGTGGGGCTCAATTTGGACAACAAAATTGGAACGTGGGTCATGCGACCGTAATACTAATCGGTATATAATGCTGACAGCATCAGTGGGCAACTCGGCATCAAGCGCGAACCCAACAACTGACGCTCGATGGTACGTACCGATTTGGTTAAGTGAACAACGAAACACCATATGGCATGATGGAACGCCTTGATAAGTTTGAATCTGGACCGAATCGAGTCCGCATAGACAATATGCAATGAGATGCGGAGAATGCGGGGCAGCTGCCAGGTATTTGGAACAGCTAGCGAATTTTGATGGATTGATGAAATGAAATTAGGTGCCCTAGTGACTCCAGGCATATGGAATGTAAGCGAACGCAACAAATTTGGCCTCCATACGGTTGAGACAGGCGACGCGCTGGCCGCATCACGGTGTCACTTCGGAACTCAGGTTTTCAAGTTGTGGTTGAAAAATTATCCCAGTTGACCGGTGCAAAATTGCTGGTTTCCCATGTAAAATAAGAATTTCATATTCTAAAATTTGGGCATGGGATTGTACAGGATAAGGCCCTGAAGCCTGACTAGTCGACTGATGCAGATCGGCTGTCTTGAAGTTCTATGCGTAGATTGTAAGCACGAAAAGGCTTGCTTTTGGAACTGCCTGCCTGCAGAGAATCTGTTAGTGCGTGCCAGCTATCGCCGTAATTATTACTTCTTCACCGCACATGCTGGATCATTATGACTCACAGATACCGTCAAACGTTACGAGACCTTCATTTCTTCCTTGCCCCTGGAAGCTCTACCAAAGGCGGAGTGAGAGCGGAAAGAGATAACACAGCCTGAATCTCAGGTAATTATTGCCAGTGGTTCGTCGCCTTGGTTGTTGCAGTGGCCCTCCAGCGCCGCTCGAGGGCAAGGCGGCCAAGGTCACATTGTGTACTAAGCAAAGAGTTCGGAAATCGGTCATTTCATCCCGATTCCAGTTTCCATAGCATGGTATATCCTGGATCCAGTTAGTTGCATGATAGTCTGACAGCGCTAGTCAGCGCCGAATCAAATTTTGCCACGTCTAACCGCCGGCCCGCCATCCCGCCGTGTAACTCATGGTTCAGAGGCCGTGTATACAAAGTGTTTGTAAGAAATCAAAGAACAGCGCTAGCAAGGCTTTTTGTGCAATTCCATTCTCACACCCCCTATGTAAGGCTTTCTAATAGGATCTCCCAAACATGGTCCAACGCTTTGCATCCTGTCCACAGCCAACGCATTTCGTTTCTCCCAGTTTGATGGGAGACCAACGCTCCTGCTCGAACGGAATAGCAAGGGATTTGGCTCCTGCAGACGGGGCACGCTCGTCCTGCGGCTCCGCACTGTTCAAAATATAATGTTAGATGCCGTTTAAATCTCCGAGGTTCCCAAGAAGATCAAAAACATAGTGATTTGGATGAGAGACCGCATAAGACACTCACGCTCTACCGCTTCGCTCCTTGATGTCATCTTCACATGTTTCACGCTCGCACCACGGAATGACAGCTATGCACTTGCTGTCCAATGTGGGGACGAAGTCTTCCCATCGTGTAACTTCTTTTAAGTGCGCATTGTACTCAGCGAGAGCACGCTGGAACATCTCGTTCTGGATAGTCTCGAGCATCTTCGGGATTGTGGCGGCAAGGTCAGCGAGAGCAACAGGGATCTTTGCACCGGTATCGCGGCGTACGGACAGCGTCTGCTGCTTGACAAGATCGTTCGGCCCTATCTCCAGACGAAGGGGAACACCCTATTCATGGAACGGACCACATGTCAAAGGCGAGTGATCGAAGCCAATAGTAAAGAACGTGCCTTTTGTTCCCAGTCATTGAATTTATATCCAGGAGTATAACCCTCCCTAAGATCTGCCCTCGCCCGAATACCCCCATCTATCAGAGATTTCGCGAGGTCATCGCAAGCATTGTTGATTTTAGCTCTGTCTTCATCGCTCGTCTTTGCTGTGATACCACACGGAACTACGACAGCCTGGACAGATGCAACTCGCGGAGGAAGAACTAAACCTTGGTTGTCACCGTGCACCATAGTCATCACACCGATTGTCCGGGTCGACAATCCCCACGAGTTTTGCCATGCAAAGGTCTTGCCTTGGCCAGAGGGATCATTCGGGTCCTCGACTACGATGTTGAACATTTCCGGGCGCGAAAAGTTTTGGCCCAAGCAATGTGAGGTAGCAGCCTGAATACCACGGCCCGAGGAAGGAACAAAGCCTTCAATCGTGGTGGTATAGAGGGCGCCGGCGAACTTCTCCTTCTCGGACTTGATGCCAGGAATGACAGGGACAGCCAGGAGTTCCTCATACACGCGGCGGTACAAGTCAAGGATCTCCCGGACTTCCTTATCAGCCTCAGCTTTGGTAAGGTGAGCAGTATGGCCCTCTTGCCACAGGAACTCGCGAGTACGGAGGAACGGTTCTGAATAAGATAATAAATGATCGATCAACTGACAGTGTGTTCGAGTACAAGGACTAACGCGGATGTTTGAACTCCCATCGGACGACGTTGTTCCATTGGTTCAGTTTCAGTGGCAAATCTCGATGACTCTTGATCCACTTGGCATAGTCTGCGAGCAATGAGTAAGTGGACTTCTCTATGGCAATATAAATCGCCCTACAAGGATACATAACAGTCTCAGATGTCGGGCGAATGGCTACCGGCTCCTCAAGGTCAGAGCTCCCACTGTCACGTTATCAATATTGGAGTCCATTCGTTTCTTAATGCACTTACGCTCTCGTAACCCATGCGACTTCCGGAGAGAAACCCTCAATGTGATCCTTCTCGCGTTCGAGCACCTTTTGTGAGACAAGCATAGGGAAGTATACATTCTGAACGCCCATTGCCTTGATTTTCTTGTTGAACCACTCTATAACACGTCTTAGTATTTAGGACCAGTTGAGAACTAGATTTCATACCTTGGATCTCTTCCCAGATACTGTACGACCACGGCCTCAAGATATAGCACCCACTGACACTGTAGTACTCAAGCATTTCTGCTTTTATTAAGACCTAGATCACACAAGTAAGTCTTAGATCTGGGTAATCGAATAAGGGAACCTACACTCTGATACCACGCAGAGAAATCAACTTCCTTCTTGACACCAATAGCAATCTGAACGGCGCCATCGATTTTCGCGACCTCTTTCTCCTTTGCAACAGGTTTCGAAGGGGTCGCGGCAGTGTCAGACTTGAGAGAAGTGAAGTCAATTTCTTGGACTTTCAAGTCCTCAGTTTCGAGCTTTCGAAGGTAAGACAGAATATCCTGTCCAGAAAGGAAGACAGTTGCGCTCGAGGATAGTGCGTGTAATGCGAATGTTGACGAGGAGGACGTGATCGATGCATCGATCACAGTGACAACTTTTGGGAACGTCTCGCTAGTCAATGAAAGTAGCGACACTGATCGTCCATGTAAATCAGATTAGTTACACCGCGTCATAAGAAACAACGTACAAGAGTTCTTATCGAGCGCGAAAAATTCAGCAAGTAAATCCTCTGATGCCAACCTCAGCTCCTTCAGGTTAAGCTTCTTACCGAGCGCCGATGAGCTCGTCTCGGTCTCTTCACGGGCAATGACGACAACAGGGACTGGAATCGCGGTTTTTGCGGTCTTTGGCTTGTAGACGAGCGTTTTGATCAGCTCGAATGATTTGGGCGCAGATGAGGTCGCAAGTAGGGTTTCTCGCCAAGACGCCGGGGAATTTGTTTCAGCATGCGTGATGCTGGCGGATGGAGTGATTGACAGCCCAACAAGGGACTGAGTTACAGATTCTAGAGAGCTCATGGTTGTAGATGTGGTATATCGAGAAATGGTGGTTAAAGGCCTTTTGACCAAAGCCCGGTTTCGGTATGACTCGATAAGATTGAGCCCATACGTTATCCGAGTCAGACGCAAGTCACCCCGGACAACTTTTATTCTACAGGAAAGTCCATGAATTCGCTGCACAGCGTGCAAGAGAGCTCGCATGCGACAAGCCAAAAAAAATCACGGAGGATGGGAAGTAAGAAATACGCCTTAATCGCCTCTTCAACACTCTCAAGCGACTACGTAACTTGCCATGTTACTTGTTAGCCTACGCGTCGGTACTACAAACTTCAAAGTCTTCGACAACTCATAAACTGAACAAACGCTAATGGTAGTCGAATTAGGACCCAATCCTCAGTATATGTCAGCTCATAGGGTGACTTCATAAAGGTACTTGTTCAAAATAAAAAGTTACACTACTGCGTTTGACTCGTCAGATTCCTCACGGAGCCCACTTAGAACGGATACCCAGTTGTGCAGGAAGGGAAGATCATAGGTCCCACAACTTCGTCACGTTTATCCTTCCCGCACAAGAGCTCAATCAGCGTGAATACGAAAGGAAACGCAGTTCCTATTCAGCAACCGTAAAGAGATAGCGAACACAAATGGAGTGCAACTCACCTGGTCCGCGGCTAGAGATCCGAGTCCGAGTCGAGGTCAGTAGGGTCCCTGGCAAACAAATCACGATATTGACCCACCTTGTGACGAGTGTTGCCTTGCCTGGAACGGCAGACACGACCACATTTTGTTCCTTATATTCAAAATCTAGCGCAACAGAGAAGATATACCGATATTTATCGTCAATTTCGTTACGACTCACGTTCTGGAAACTCGCTCTGGACAGATGGGTGCGACGTGATCGGCTGACCAGGAAGTTTTGCTGTAATCGCGACCTTGGAACCTTGCAAAACGCACATACGCTTCACAAATTACGAATGTGATCAAATAAGATCATACCTGCGCATATCATGCCAATAGTCCGCTTCTCTGGGTGGTTGTAGTAAGAGCGAACAAGGTTTTGTACCTCTGTCGATTCTGCCATCGTGACGGCACCCCCCATGCCACCGGGAATGATGAGGGCATCATACTTCTCCTGAAGGAGTAAAGTATCATAAGCTTGAGCTTGGACACGCTTGAAAACAGATGAAAATGCCCACCGGACCGGCACTAAGGGGATCGAGGGTGATATCAGGAAGGATCTTCACTTGCCTCGAGCAAACTGCAAGCGGAGGACTTGTATCAGAAGATCCGTATGGTGAGAGACCCCTGGGGATAAATGCAGATGTGCATTCTATTCCTGCACGGATGAGTGTATCGTATACAATAGTACTACAGTGTGCACCCGAGTCACGGTGATCTTTAGCGCTGGTTTGATTTAGGGGATGCACATCATGTAACTTACAACTCCATTTCTTCTGTTCCATCTGCAATGAGGATCAAAGCCTTGACCATGGTCGGTTCAACTTCTCGGGAGTGGATAGTTATTAGTTACTGAGTCCCAATGAAAATCGATCGGACGCCCCGTGAGTCGCGCATTGACGGATTTGTAAGCTTATATGTACTTGTGCAAGCACTTAGCAAACATCGAACCACATGACACTGTATTATCATGACTCGTATTTGACTCCAGTACATGCTCAATTGCTGCCTCGTACTGCATGCAGTTCAGCATGTTCAACTCAAAGTGTAGCCTGCCACTCCTGCCGTCGTCGTCGTGCCTGCTATTCCTGCCGTTGTCGCCATATAGAGCATGAATCGAGCTCGCCGTCTTTTTCGTTGTGTTCTCTTCTTGCCTTATCCATCGTCGACGTGGAAAGTTTTTGCCTGTCCGGATTTCAGAAGACCTATACCACAAAACAGCCGAAGCATTAGCAACCAGGGGGGTATCATCCAGGTAATCTAGCTGACAGATTAAGAAGATGAATCTAACGTCGAGGACCTGCAGAATACTGAGGAAAACAATGTGGTGTGCTGTATGTCGCGCGCGCAGCGCACATAGTCACAGTGCCCTTTCGCGATGGCGGGTCTCAATTAAACCATCCCAGCAATCTTGAAGCTCTGCACTTGGTGGACCAGCTCTAGCTAGATTTGTTTACCTCATTGCCTGCACAGTTTCAGAATATGTATAAAGCGCTGCCCAAGAGTCCGCTTCCTATGCATGGCTATGGGTACACTTTTTGGAAAGAGCATTCGAAGGCCTACAGTCCGCCCAATGCCTTGATCCGTGGGCTCGCTGGTATTACAAGCAACCAACGACATGGACATGAGCGGAAACGTGCTGGTGATCAAACAAGCATGCAGTTATCGATTGCATAGAAAAAGACAGCCCATCCATCAATGATTTATCAAAAGGTGACTTGTCCTGCGATCCAAGCGAAACATAGCTGACCAAACATTAGAGGTGTTGGCCGCGCCGAGTTCTGGACCTAAGGATTTCTTCGATGTGCAGGACAGGTTGGGTGACCAGACTGACAATATATCACCCAACGTGTACCAATTTATAGTCTGACGAGCCTCAAATTTGTCGAGCAGTGGATGTGCTGATGAAATATGTAAGGCAATCAGCGTAAAACCGTTCCGTCTGGGTTACTATGACTGAAGAAGATAACGAAGACGATAAGAAGAACAGCCATTGGCCTCGAGTTGAGTTAAATAAGTACTAACTTGACTTACAACTAATACAAGAATATCATTGATAGTGCGTCCTTATGGCGACTGGGTCACAATCACCGCTAGATTGAGGTTGATGCATGGGTAATATAAGTACACGTGAGCGACGCGGCAGGACAATGTGTCGGAGTTGAAGACAGGAATACGAACCATATATATGATTGACTCGTAGTGTTCTTTCCTCGGTCCGTTACATGAGCTGAGGGTAAGCCGTTTTCTCTTATCATCTAGACACTAACATCTACATTTAGAGACATTGTCTGGATTGGGTTCGAAATAGACGGTCACGTCAGATATCACAATTCATACGTGATATCACTCAGCGTTAGGGGCCGTTGGCTACCCACAATGCATCAACTATGCCTATGAAGGCCTGACGTCCCAAAGTGGCTGCACACCGACAGGGATGTGACTAAAGATGTCATTATGCATATGATGCGGTTTACAAAATGGCAGAGGTGGGTAAAAACAAGTTAAACAAATATGTACTTGCTGGACATCACAGGTCGATCATTACAGCTTATCGAGTACAGTGGGATGAACATGCTATTTCTGCGAGTATTGATTTAGGTGAACGCTCCAGCATCCAGTGTGTCAAAGTCACGCTGCATTTCCGCCTGACCCTCATGACAGACGACAGATTTGCAGGTCAATCGCATAGTTCTGCCTATTGTTAGAACAGGATCTTGCACCATTGATCAGGAATGTGATATCACAAATATCGCTCGCGCAATTCGGCCTTGTGAGTGAGGATAGTTGGTGGCTCAGCCGTGCCTGTCCTGAGGACTTTTATAGGGGGATTCTTCTTCCTTTATACTCGTTCCTTTCTCTTTCACCGAGATGACGACCTCTGTGAGTGCTACCCCAGAGCAGCAAACCCCGACGACGGTCGGCTTTAGTCGGTCTGTCTCTTCACTGTCTTCTGTTGGCAAACGAAGTTCTTCGTTGCCCACTGGTGACCTGGTGGAGGAGGTGGAGGAACAGTTCTCATGGACAAACACCGTCTTTCGTCGAAAGCAGATTGCCCACCCTGATCCTGATGCAATCGCGACCAGACGCTCTGTTTATGATGATCCTGACCTTGCACCACACTATTGGCCCAAGAAGGACTACGAGAATATCCACAGATTCGATACAACCGCTCGTTGGACATACAGGGAGGAAAAGGTAAGTTTCTATACTTATCATGATTTGACTCATGTTAAACGTGAGGAAGGCCCTGGTCCGCAAGTTGGATTGGAAGATCATGGTTACGGCAGCTATGGGATTTTCCGCCTTAAACTTGGACAGGAGCAACATCAGCCAGGCAAACTCGGACTCTTTTCTGCAGGATCTTGGGTTAACTACAGATGGTAAGTGTGTTCGATTCCCATCTGAATAATATCCTGACTTTATCATCCAGACTTCAACCTCGGAAATACCGTGTTCAGGTTGGCATTTTTATGCGCAGAATTACCGTCACAGCTCGTCTCGAAGAGAGTGCGTGTATTACTGTAGATTGTTTTGTGACTTATGGTCGTATCGAAGATTGGCCCGGATCGCTGGATACCAATGCAAATCTGCCTCTGGAGTATGTAACATAATAACTGTATCAAAACCGTTCTCATCGATAGGTCACAGGTGTCGTGTCTCTGTCACAATTCTGGCTGACCGGTAGGATCTCGTTCCTGGTCTGCCGAGCGCTTCTTGGGTAATATCATGTAATTACTGTCCCAAAGCTTCTTTTCACTGACTAGTCAATTCAGCGCTTTGCAAGGCGGGTAAGTCCAGCTCCTGCGCGCGCTCGAGGACACTTTGTTTACATTCCACAGCTTTATCCCTGACCTGATATTATATCTATCTTGTATGTCAGTTACCTTGCACCTCATCTTACATTGCCAACTTTTTGGACAGATTTTTACACGAAGACGGAACTACCCATGCGCCTCGCGCTGTTCTGGATTTCTTCGAACTTCTGTGGCATCGTTGCTAGTTTTATAGCATATGGCACGCTTCACATGGATGGTGTGGCTGGCGCTGCTGGATGGCGGTCAGTAGAAGTTTGATGCTCATTTCGAAAAAAAAACTGACTTGATCCAAGATGGCTGTTCATGATTGAGTGTGTCCATTTCTTTCTAATGACTTAAGACGCGCGAACTCGATCCTCCCACAGGGGAATCCTTACTCTCCTCATAGGATTTTTATCTTTTTTCCGCATGCCTCCGTCACCAACGCAAACCAAAACATGGTTCCGGCCAAACGGTTGGTTCACGGAAAGGGAAGAAATCATTATGGTCAACCGAGTACTTCGGGATGATCCCACTAAGGTCAGTAATTATGTCCCAGTCTCGTTAGACGCTGTGACTAACTCACTACCTCAGGGTGACATGCACAACCGTGAGGGCCTTTCAATTCGTCGTCTGTGGACAGCAGTATGTGATTATGACCTTTGGCCGATTTATATCCTGTACGTCATTCCCCTAATCTTTGGAAGAGTTAGACACTCATGAAACGCAGCGGCCTTTTGTTTGGCATCCCGAACGGTCCCCCCTCAACATATCTCACTTTACTACTTAGGGACATCGGGTAGGTATCATGATTATCCCTTCGTTTTGACATACTCAAGGCCAGGAACCCAGATTCAATACATTTGATACCAACCTCCTTACGATACCCTCTCAAGTTCTCGGAATGGTCACCATGTTTGTGATCACGCTTGTCTCAGAGTCCGTCAATGAGCGTTCTATTGTGGCGATGATGGAGGACCTCTGGACGTTACCTTTCCTCATTGCACTCTATGCAATGTCTAGCAGCCCTAACCCTTGGATATTTTTTGTGAGTAACGCATTTTGATTGGCGCTACGCAGTTTACTCAACTGGTTCAGGTTGTGGTGACTGGTCTGTTGTCATATCCGTGAGTTCGAACTTGTCAGCATTAGTATTCTTGAAGACCGTTCTTGACGTCCTCGTGTTACCAGATATACCCATCCAATCCAGGTAACTGCTTAAAACGATCCTCGAGCGAAATACTCATCTCTTGTTTCAGGTGGGGTGGTGCTCTCGTAACGCAGGGGCAGTGGCGAGTCGAACAGTCAACGCATCGTTATACAACATGTGTGGATTCCCCCATTTTCAAACTGGAGATATACTCACTTTCTGCTAGGTTCGTGCAAGCAAGTGGAATCATATCTGCACAGATCTACGTAGCCAGCGATGCTCCCAGATGTATGTCACTCCTCGTTTCCTTTCCCAGGCAACATAATCGTTACACTCATCCCCTCGCGCAGATCGACGCGGCAACAGGACCCTCATCATCATCTGTTGCATCAACGTCTGTTTTCTGTACCCAGGTACAAAGGCATATTACATGTGGCGCAACCGACAACGAGCTAAGATTTGGGATGCGATGACGATGCAGGTGAGTTGATTGTGGACTTTATAAAGAGTTAGGGCGCTAAAGACTTTTTGAATGATAGGAACGTGCACACTATCTGGGCACGACCAAGGACGTTGGGAACAGAAGACTTGATTTCCGTTTTGCGCATTAATGTCAGGTTCAATTATGTAGCTTTAATCAATTCTGCATTCGACTTGCGAGTCTTGCATCGAGAATACGAGATAGGAGGAGCGCGACAGCACTTGAGCTCAAGAGTGTCCGTCAAAAAACAGTCGTATTCGACAAGCCCAGGGTCCTCAGCTGAAAAGTTCGGGTTCACGGTGCACCCGAGCTAAAAAAAAATAGATCGCTAAAGATCAGGAATGAGACAAGATGTGTCAAGATGAAGATGGGACAGATGGAAATTCATCCTGCATTGGCCATCGCTATCTCTAGGGACGGGCACAAGCGATTCGAGACGAGTGCGACTGTAAAAAACTCCAAGTACACGGTGTGCTAGGATGAGATGAGGTAGGTCGGTGAAGAGTTGAGCAAAAACTTGTGAGGGCCTGGAGCCGGAATGTTGTGCGCCCGAGCGGACCGCTCCGGAGCCGAGCAGCGGCAAGGTTCGTTTCAAATCGGCAAAGCTTCGAAGTTGTTACAACACTGAAGACATCAGACATGCACGATGGAACATGCTGAAACCATGTGCCCGACCAATCTGGCGCCTGGATGCCTTCAGACCTGACTCATAACAAATTGGTGACAAGTGCACGCCTTCGCTGCTTTTCTTTTCCCGAGTCGAATCATGGTCAAGTTTTCAGTGATGTGGTCAGGATCATCTATTGTGAGTCGCGTCTGAATCTAGTTGAGCATCAAGTCTTTACACCCAAAACAAGGGTGCCATTGACTCCAGCTATGTCGATGAAGCTTCAACAGACACATACAATATCGTCATTTTCGGAGAAACAGGAGCTGGCAAAAGCTCCTTGGTCAATTTAATCGTTGGGTCAGAAACAGCACCGGCATCCTGCGACGCTGAAGGATGTACAGCTGAAACTCAGGAGTACATATACGATCTTGTGATTCACGGCAAGACCTCGAAGGTAAAGTTTTTCGATACAGCTGGTGAGTGCAGGGCGCCGCTCTTCGTGGGCATTGCTGACCTAAATTGCAGGTCTTGGTGAGGGCTCTGAGGGCAAAGTCCCTGACAAGAAAGCTCGGAAAATTTTGAAGGACATCCTTCAAAGGCTCATGGAGCAGGACGGAATCCATCTCCTCATGTACTGTGTTGATGGCAAGAAACAAGGCAGGGAAGCGATCAAGGCACTCTGCCGCAACTACAAACTATGTACATTCGAAGTCAAGAAAAGGGTTCCAATTGTCCTCGTTGTCACACGTTTGGAAACCATAGAACCAGAAATGGAAGAATGGTGGAAGAACAACGAGCAGTTCATCTCAGAGCATGACATGACTTTTACTGGCCACGCATGTATCACCACGCTGACCGATGATGCGATGCTTCAGGGGCGCCACGACCAGTCATACTTCAACGTCTGCAAACTCATTGCGGAATGTTGTACGAGGTGTGGTGTTTCCATATGCTCATTTTGCTGTATATTTATTTGTTAAGTAGGAGCGGATCCAAGAGAAACGAGTGCAAAGGGAACGGGCCTAAGAGGAATGTGCCCGAAAGGAAGTTGCCCAAAAAAATCAAAAGCACCGCGCCCCAAAGAATCGATTCCGAAAGGAACAGACCCAAGAATATCGTACTATTTGGGGAGACGGGGGCAGATAAAAGTTCACTCGTCAAACTTATGGCGGGGAGGGAGGTGTCAGTCACATCTCCTGACCCGCAACGTTGTACGATGCACTGGAAAGACTACATCATCGACTTCGGAGACAAGACTTACAAGGTGTTCGATACCATTGGACTTGAGGAACCACAACTAGGGATCAGAGAGTACCTCGAGTCTGTAGACGGCGCCTATAGGCTCATCAAGGAATTGGACCGACAAGGTGGCATTGATCTGCTTCTGTTCTGCATTCGCCCCTGCCGAATAAATGCTACGCTTTACGGCAATTATAAGCTGTTTCATGATTACCTCTGCGAGGGGAACGTTCCCATCGTTCTTGTGATCGCGCACCTCGAAAGAGAGATGGAGGGCTGGTGGGAGGGAGTACAGAGTAAGTTCGAACGCTATGGAGTTCGGGTCGCTGATCATGCGTGTATCTTCGCCACTGATGGATCGGATGGCCCATACGAAACCTGTGATGATGAAGTCACGATCCGCCATCTTGTGGAGAAGTTTACTGCCAACGGGCAGAAACCAGCATGGATAGGAGGAGACAATCTGTTTGTGTCGTTGATGCGTAAACTGAAGGGGCTACCTGGTGGGAATCTGCGTGTGAAGGGGGTGAGCATCATGTCTCGCCTCATGAACCGTTGTGATACATCTCGACAAGTCGCAAGAAAGTTGGCTTATATGATCAAGCAAGACGCGTCTACTAGTTGAGCCTTTTTCAATAGTCATTGCAGTAGGCATTGTTCATGTCGATGCTTGACACTTACAGACTCGGGAACCGATATGTACTTATGCCAGTACATGATGTGAAACTTTGAAGGTCCGAGGCCGCCTGGTTGAATGCTCTGATATTCATATTATCAGAAGAGAATGCAGGCACATACATCTCAATTTATCTACTCCGACAACCTCGTCGGAGACACAGGAATGGAACATCTTATACATACACATGTGTGCAACATGCTGAATTCATGCCTCGGGTTCGATATTCAAAGCTTAAAATTAGATCCGGCAGTGGCTGACAACAGTTGTAGAAGGAATGAAGATACCAATACTACAGATATGCATGGAACGTGCTGACTCTATTTCTTTGGATCGTTAAATCTGGCGTCTGGGCAAGCCTGGACCCAACCACGTTGTTCTAACACGAAGAAAAGTAGGCTGGCGACCCTAATTAACACACAAGTCAAGAGGTGATTTCGCTGTTTTGTCTCTTGCATCGAGTTGTCTTCAAGTTGGCAATGATGTGGTCATCTACTGTAAGTTGTGTCTACCTCTTCCTCAGCATTAAGCTACTAACTTGAAGCCTCGACACGCCACATCAGGGTGCTGCCGACTCTAACTGTGCTGAAGAAGCTTCATATTGCACAGACACCTGCAGTGTTGTCATTTTTGGAGAAGCAGGAGCTGGAAAAAGTTCTTTGGTCAATTTGATAACTAAAAGCAACAGGGCGCCGACATCCTGCGACACTATGGGATGTACAGTTGAAACCACAGTGTACGAGCACGAGGTTCTGGTTAAGAACCAAACCTTGAAGGTAAAGCTTTTCGATACACCCGGTCAGTGCGGACCACGCTCTTTGTGAGCGTCATTTAATTAGATTTCAGGTCTGAATGAGGGCTCCGAAGGCAGAGTCCCCGATGACGAAGCTCGGAAAGTTTTGAAGCATCTCCTTCGAAAACTCAAGGAGCAAGAGGACATTCATCTCCTCATGTACTGTGTGCATTACACGAAAGCGGTCAAGACGCTCTGCCGCAACTACAAATTATGCTCTTCCGAAGTATCGACAAGATGCCCAATCGTCCTTGTCATTACAGGATTGGAGGACAAAAAACCGGAGATGGAAGAATGGTGGAGAAATAACGAGCAATCCATCTCACAGCTCAACATGACCTTTGCTGGCCACGCATGTGTTACTGCACTGAACATCGACGAATATGCAACAGAGAGGCTCAAGCTACGCCACGACCAATCACACTATGCCATATGTAAACTCATTGAAGAGTGTCGTGCAAGGTATGGTGTTTGATGCTCTGTGCTGGTTTTGCTAATCATGTTGCGTAGGAACAAGGCAAAAAATATCGTAATTTTCGGGGAGACGGGGGCAGGCAAAAGTTCGCTCGTCAACCTCATGGCGGGAAAGGAGGTGGCAGTCACATCTCCTGACACACAACGCTGTACGATGCACTGGAAAGAGTACACCATCGAATTTCATGGCGAGCCTTATAAGGTTTTCGATACCGTTGGACTCGAGGAAACGCAGCTGGGTATCAAAGAGTACCTCGAGGCGGTCGACAACGCCTATAAACTGATTAAGAAATTGGACGCAGAAGGCGGCGTTGATCTGCTTTTGTTCTGCATTCGTGCCGGCAGACTCAACGCTACAATACAGAGCAATTACCGGCTATTTCACGAATTCCTTTGCGAGAAGAAGGTTCCCATTGTCCTTGTGATCACACACCTTGAAAGAGAGGCGAGGATGGACGACTGGTGGGATAGACAGCAAAGTACCTTCGAAAAAACATATGGGATCCGGGTCGCTGATCACGCATGCATCACTGCCGCTAACAGATTGGATGGTCGACACAAAGACCGTTATGAAGAATCACGCGTCACGGTCCGCACCCTTGTGGAGAAGTTTACTGTTGATGACCATAAGTCATTATGGGCCGGAGGGAACAGCCGGTTCGTGTCATTCATGCGTAAGCTGAAGGGGTTTCTTCCAGAGCCTTTGGATGTGAAAAAGAAGGATATTGTCTCTCGCCTCATGCAGCGTTGCAATTTATCTCCAGATGTCGCAAAACAGTTGGCTCAAATGATTAAGCAAATCTAGTAGAAGTAGTTATTCTCTTTTCGATACCTATACTCAGATTTACTTGTAGATTTTGTGCTCGTTGATACGTTACACTAGGACTTCCTATTTACTGATGGGCCATTCGCGAATCTATTTGTATTTCAGAATACCGGTTTGAATTATGTACCATGTACACTTATACTGCATGTGGACTTCAATTCGCCGCAAGAACTTTCGAAAGGTCGGTTGGGGAAGGCCCTCCTCCCCACAATGATTGATTGAAATAGTAATTCGCGGTTGGGTGTGTCGAGGTTGAATTCAAGCACTCAAAACCACGTATTACGTTCATATTGAGGATGCGTGCAGTGAACAGTCCAACCAAACATAGAAGAAGGTTTAAGTGATCTACTCCACCTATAGCGTCTGACTCAGAAAATAAAGTGGGTTGTGTGCATGTAGGCTAGAGAACAAAGAAAGAACACGAAAGCGCAGATCGACAAAGCACAATAGATGCGTGCGAGAAAGATGAACAGGGGGTCATGAGTATGGCAAGCCTCCCCCACCAGTCCCATTCCCCCCTCCCGTCCGCCGTGGGGCACGACCACCAAATGGTGGTGGACCGGATCCCATAGGAGCCATAGGTCGTGGCGGTAGATGAGCAGGATGATCCATTGTGCGAGGAGCTTGACGTGACGGGTGCATCCCACGGGTAGGATACCCAGCGCCGTGAGCTGGTGGACGTCCAAAAGGGGGGTGCTGGCCTCCAGGATGTTGACTACCGGAATGCCCGGGATGTTGACCTCCAGGGTGCTGACCTCCAGGATGTTGCCCACCAGGAGGCTGACCACTGCCTTGATGCTGTAACAAAGCGGACATGATAACAGGCGGCGGCGGACCCGACCTGAACGCGTCGCGATGCGGCGGTCCACGAGGATAGAACCCGGGGGGCTGATTTGGCAAAGGGTGGGGCCTGAAGTAGCCATCAGGAGGCATAATACCTGGTGGCGGCTGGTTGCGTCGCCCGCGCTTATCAAATTCGTGGGAAGCTTCGTATGACGGAAGACTAGATGGATAAGAGATAAAACGGGACAAGCATGAACAAATCAGTGATACTCACGTTTTGGGGTCAGCGGGAAGTGGGTCAGTCCAGAAATAATCGTGGTCAAGGGCTTGTGAGGCAGTAATACGATCTCTTGGGTTGCACGTGAGGAGCTTATCCAAAAGGTCACAGGTCTCAGGGCCGATACTTGCAAAACAGTTAAGCATAAACTAAAAGCGTTGCGAAAATGAGAGCTGACCTTTCATACGCGGCTCTCAGCTTCTTGGAATAGGTCTGATTGAACCGCTTTACGCCCTCGCACCCTGGTAGTGCATCGTAATTTGGCCAGGTATGCTGATTGGGAGTACCGCATAACTGCCAAATCTTCTCCAGTTGGTCAATGTCCGATGATCCAGGAAGAATCGGCCTGCGCATGAACATCTCTCCCAGAACGCATCTGTATAGAAGAAATTTAAGAACTGCCCCAGAAATATCGACAAACACAAACCCTATGCCCCAGATGTCTACTTCTCCACCATACTGTCGGGCGCCGAGCAGTAGTTCTGGAGGACGATACCACCTTGTCACGACACAGTTTGTATATTTTTTCTCTCTTCCACGCTGATCCATGACTCCATGGATAACGCTCGGATCATACGCGCGTGCTAGACCGAAATCTGCTATCCGGAGCGAACCGTTGTTATCGATGAGAAGATTGGCAGCTTTCATGTCTCTGTGTAAGATGTGATTCTGTGAATGGACATAAGACAAATCGAGGGTGAAAAAGTGAGGACAAACACGATGCATATATTCCGTTCCTTCCAAAAGTTGTTTCATGTACAATTTAATATGGCTGGGTTGGAGCTTTACGCGCTCGTTCTCCAGCAAACCAGCAAGGTCATGGTCCATATATGGGAATACCATGTAAACAGAGAGGGGCGAGTTCTTGCCATTACCTGGTGCACAGTGTTGGTGATTGTCATACAACGAGCCGATATGAGCACTCACTACGGACGACGAACATATCCAAGATCTCGATGATGCATGAATGGTTCATTGCCTTGAGAATTTTGATCTCGCGCAAGGCAGTTACGGGCATTCCCTCTTTCTCATTATGCATAAGAATACGTTTGAGGGCCACCAGACGCCCGGTGAGGTGATGGACTGCTTTGTGCACCTCTCTGAGCAAGGTGAGCAGTCGCATTCAGTAGCAGTGCAAGAGGCCCGATACATACCCAAAAGTACCTTCACCAAGTTTCGCAGTGGCGTCGTAGTCGCTTTGTTGGCCACAACCTAAGAAGAGATGACCGTATGCCTCTTGTTCTTGCTTTCTCGTACGCTGCACAGGGGCACGTTTCCTCTTATGCTCTGCAGGTGGTAATTTTTGCGTCGCATCCACTGCGGTATCCTTCTTTTCCTTTACTGGCTCTTCATGAGCCGACGGAAGTGGAAGTGGCGATGGAGAATGGGAGTCTCTAGGTGCTGGAGGCCGTTTCAAAGGAATTGCAATCGAAATAGCTGCGTGAGGAGGTAGGGTATCATCTTTGGGTCGTTCAGGGGTGGGGACGGGAGGTGGAGGAGAAGGTGGCGGTGGCGGTGTGTGGCGAACATGTATGTGAGTCGAAGCCGAAGGTGATTGAGGGGAAGGGTGACGGGATACACCCGGGGAAACAGGACGATCCTGATGGTCACGATCATCATCGTGAGCACGAGGTGCCACAGAAAGACGACTCTCCGTATGATATGTATCGCGATCGGCATCACGTCCTGCTTCAATATGATTTGGGTGGTCCCTATCATAAGAATCCCATGAACGTTCGCGTTCGCGACGTGGCGAGTGGCGCATAGGACGACGATAGCGGTCGTCTATCCGTGAGTAGTTGTCATTGTCCGATGGTACCCCCCAGCGATTATGGTCATTGTGACGGGCGCGTTCCCAGCCCCCATCACGCATCCTTTGGTCATGTAGTCTGTCCACACCATAGTCACGACGAGGCGGACTATAATTCACCATGGGAGAGCGACGCGAGGGTAACCTGTGCTTTCCTCGGTGTGAAGAAGAAGAGGAGGACGGGGAACGGGAGCGGTCAGGTGAATGAGGTGACAATGAAGGAATATCGCGTTCCCTTCCGTAGACACGACTGTCATATCTATCCCGTGCTGGAATATAGGTGTCATGAGCAGGCCTGTAAGGTTCCCGTGGAAGATCCCAGGCAGGGGGGCGACGGTCGCCTTCTCTACTATAGGAAGGCTGCCAATGATTAGTTATTTGAGCGCCACCCCTTTTGCGAGATTGGTCATAGTAAGGTCTGGGTCTGCCGTTGCGCTGGTCATCCTCCCGAATGCGCCTCTCGTCGTCTTCGGATCTCTCATAAACCGAAGTATGCCTTCTGTCCATCATAGGACTAATTCTTTGACTAGAGGGACCAGGAGCATCTGGACCGTTTGTTTTCTTCTTGAAAGGAAACTTGACCTTAGTCTCGAACTTCGAAGGAGCTGGTTTGGGTGGTAGGGGAATTATTGTTGGGCGCGGAGAAGGTGGCAAAGAGTCATCGACTTCGCCTTCTTCTGGCGACGATGTGGTAAATCTCTTTGCTGGACGTTCATTATGGGTATTATCTGGAGCGGCCCGCTTGTTTGAAGTCTGAAGCATTAGACGACCGGTGACGAAGAATGAGTGCGACCACAGGAATTAAAAGCAACTCTCGGAGAAAAAGGTCGGCTGACGTAATCTCAATACATTTCCGAGTCAATGAGTCAAGTGACTCAAGTCCTTGACATGCATGTTGCACATGGCGCTATCTAACGATAACCAGATCAAAGAGATTATCGTTATTGGTGCAGGCGTCGTCGGCCTCACCACAGCGTTAAAAATCCAGGAGCAGGGCACCTATCGTGTCACCATCGTCGCTGAGACATTCCCCACAGATCCAAAATCAAGCAGGTACACTAGTCACTGGGCGGTGAGCAGTTCTCTCATCGGACATGTTCAAGATTGGGGCTGATGCAACGCTGATGATCTTTAGGGTGCGCACCATGTCAGCCATGCTTGTGATGATCAAAGACAGCGAAGTATGCTACTTTTTGACTGCATGAATAAACATGTCACACCCTAGTCGTACAGAGCTTGATCAAGATACCTTCCATGCATTATGGAAGCTATCAGAACCAGGTGGTGCAGCCGAGGGTTGTTTATTGCGGCACACCCAGACTGAATATCGCGGAGACGACCTCACCGATGCTGAATGGCTTCATTATATGCCAGATGTATGAACACAGACTCGCATGCATGGCTGTCGTTCTGACTCGCATCAGTTCAAATATTTAGATCCGAATGAACTTCGTGGTCCAGCAAAGATAGGCTTCTCATTCAGTACAGTCACTATGAATACTCCAGCCTACCTTAACTGGCTTCTGTCATCTTTCCTCGCGAAAAACGGGACTATTGTGCGCGTGTCCCTGCAGCACATCAGTCAACTTCTTGAGCGAGGAACCAGTCCATACACAGGTGCCCACTCGTACCATGACGTTGATGCTATTGTTGTCTGCGCCGGTATCGGCGCTCGCAGCCTAGGAGGCGTTGAAGATAAGGACGTATATCCAATTCGTGGGCAAACTGTGCTACTCAGAGCTCCCTGGATCAAGTTCGGGAGGACTATGACTGAGGCTGACGGGACGTACACTTATACCATGCCAAGAAGCAATGGCGATGTGCGCCTTTTGAAAGCCATACAAGATATGTTCTCTGACTGTTTTATATAGGTTCTGTGCGGCGGCACGAGAGTACCCAATGACTGGTAGTTCTCTCAAATTATCTTTTGGTCGAATTCTCAACTATTACAGGTATCCAGTTCCGCGTCCTGAAGTAACCGAGGACATTCTTGCGCGGGCCCTGCAGCTCACTCCAGAGCTTGCACCCCCACAGACACGTGTTGACCGCGACCCCACTGTCGAGGACCTTCGTTCCATCATTATTGAACCAGGTTGCGGTCTACGCCCTGGCAGAAAGGGTGGCATAAGACTCGAAGTCGAGTGGTTTGACGTGCCCGCGCGATGTAAAGTGCCTGTTGTGTATAACTACGGGTGAGTAACGCTACACTGGCACATACTGCCCTAATTACGTGCGCATATTCAGACACTCTGGTTATGGCTTCTTGTCATCGTGGGGCTCAGCAAACATGGCATTGGACTTGCTGGAGGGTGCTCTCACGAGCGGCGCTCCGACAAATGCAGACATATGCGCCGATCTACCATCTGGGAATCTAGGAAACTGAGGTGTTGTAAAAAGCAACATATTGTATTATCAACGCATGGGAAGGCGAAAGCAAATGTATAGATGTAGGTATAAGGGTACGACGACACAAGCAAGCAATGTCTAAAATGTGTATACTTGGTCAGGCGCGTTTCATACGTCCGGATCGAGAATTTCGTGGACGACTTCAAATTTTTTAGGCTCGATCAAAAATCTTCTATCGTGCGTGGGTCAGAAACTGGTGATGATCAATCACATGATATGTTTACCGTCATCGTCGCTCTCCGCCGTTGTGAAATCTTGGAAAAATCGGCGCCGCTTCGTGTTATAATACCTGGACTAGTCTTGAGCAAGGAGCACCAGATGGAATCGGCTGGACCAGCTTTAAACAAAACCCAATTTTCATCAGCTGATCACCCGTGACGGCAACCTCTGCGATCTTCCTCTTGATGTACTGAATTGGAATATTGCATGACACAATTGTCATTCAAATAGAAGGACCACAATATGGCCGAGCAGCTTGAATGTGACAAGACATGATCACAGGCCGAATTCGAAATACTAGTGGCATGAGAAATCGGAGGTGTTACAAGAATCGAGAAACGTTATGAAAATGACAGCGCTGAACGAGGTTCGTAACACGACATATACCTAGGACACTAAACGAGCTTTACGAAGGGCTTGAGGTATCTAGGAAGGGGCGGGGGGCAGCCAGAACGCGATTTGGAGTGAGGAAAGACACCCCTCGAGATACCGTCTGATAAGTTATCTGCCGATTTGACCCACTCGACAGAAAAACATATACCGTGGTTGAGAGTGAATACTGATAGCCTACGTAGGATATCATTCTGCACGGGGCTACGAGAACGACCGGCCCTGATGGCACCCACCACACCCTGATTATCGGAGAAGAAGCGGATAGGGACATCGCGAAGGCCGGAGTGAATGAGAGCGCGAAGACCGAGGTCAACGGCCACCATCTCTGCCCACCCGATGTCACGTCCATCTGACTTCCACCCTGGGAGCAAGCGCCAACAGAGCCAGTAGCCATCGGCTAAGAAGCCAATTCCAAAAGAAGTCGAGGCGTCCACAAAGAACCTAATCACATTCGACTGCGCTGAGCTGGGAACGCTGACGCCAGACGACATGCGATAAAACTTTGGATGCGATGCAGTATTTGAGTAGAGGGGATTTCTTGAATGAAGCTTGAAGGCATAGAAAGAGGGTAAGAAGGCGCGACTCACGGAGGACAAGGTAACAATGTTGGGGATAGCCGGATTCACAGTCGGCGCGGAGCCCATCCTCGGACCAAGTCTCCAGGTGTACAAGGTAATCTATACATTTTGACTCTTGAGGGAGGTGGTTGGACGCCCAGCTCTGATCAATTACGTAATATTTCTCAAAGGCTATCCTCAACGTCTTCATGCAATATATGTGGTTCCTACCGACGACATATTTTTTGCATAGGTGAGAAAAAATCACGCCCGTTCTCATCCTGCCACACCATAGTCAGGCCTCAGGGCCGATCGCGAGATCGTTTATTTGGCATACACTGTCTGCTTCTCCCGCTCAACACTGGCCTCTCTCCACTTCCTGCCTTTGTACAACACCAGCAGAAGCATGCACTCAACGACGACCATCACTCCTGCCCAAATAGTATACAGACCACCATCGCCAATAGTATCCTGAACTAACCTCAGATCCGGCCTTCTGCAAACTGTTATGACTTCGACTCACTTGTAAAGGAACCGCAATCTCGGCGGCGACAAAAGCAAATAGACCACGGACAGAACTATTCGCCGCTACTGCCATTGATGAGCGACCAGTGTTTGCATCGACAATGTATGCCAGTGTGATTGTGTAGATCCATCTATCGTGGATGAGAGCCAAATACAATATAAACACAGTGAACGCACGCGGATAAAAATCCAATGAGGAACAGCATAATACACACAGCAGCGATATTGACTTGTTCTTGACACACCCAGGCGTATCCAATCACAGACAGAGGTAACCACAACATGGCAATTTTCGTGCTCTCGAGGCGCATCTGCATAAATTTGTCAGTCATATGCTGAACTAGAGATAGTGGTTCAAAATCCACCTCTGGAAAGCTGATCCCTCCGTTTGCGGCCTTGAGCCGAGTAAGCGTCCGATCGGACCAACGACCACCCAATATGCTGCCCATTACGCTGCCTGGAATAAGTAGATGCGTCAGGCAGGTGTTCCCACTTCGCTTGGAATACACTCACCAACGCCAAATGTAAGCAAAACAAGGCCTGTCATCAATGCATCATAATCATAATACATCGACAGTGTTCTTGCGGATGTATACGCAATACTAAAGGTTAGCCCAAGTGTGAAGCCTGGCGCAAGAAGGCATAAAAATAGTTTTCAGCAAGAAATGAGGGCACGCACCAGATGCTATCAAGATAGGAACATTGTTCTTGCGGCCGACAATCGAGAGGTATGCAGGGAGAGGGTTGACATCAGCTATGGACAATTTTATGTCTTTAATGGCTGATGCTGGTATAACCGTCCGCTGTGCTTCAATATCTTTCGAAGTCGTTTGGTTCTCTCCACCCACTTCTGACTTCGAAATATTTTGCGACTCATCCTTTGCTTCCGACGACTGCTGCTCTCCGAGTCTCGAATTCAATACGTTCTGATAGGTCACGCTCCTCTCCTTCCTGAACGTGTCCTTGAACAAGAAAAGGAATGCCAAAAAGATTATGCCTCCCCAGATCACCAAGAACCAGAAAACCGCCCGCCAGCTGAAGCCCTGCGTGAGTGCGCCACCAAAGATTGGTCCTAACGAGGGACCGAGGAGAGGTGCAGAATAGTAGACCCCCATCATTGTACCTCGTTGATGTGGCTCGTATATATCGGCCAGAGTGGCAGCTCCCATAGCGAAAACTGCACTTGACCTACTCAAAGTGAGCATGGACACGAGAGATCGAGGAACCGTCCTACCCTGTGGCTTGCACAATTCGCATGCCAATCACTAAACCAATAGTTTTCGACACGGCCACGATTGCAGATCCAATTATAAAAAGTGCAGTGGATAAAAGGTACACGAGCTGGGCTCGGTCATATTAGCAAACGACGCTCTAAAGGCAGCTATAGATATAAACCTTACGGCCCTTTATCTCGCCAATCGCACTCCAAATGACAGGAAAATTGCCTTGAATGAGAATGAACAGAGATAAGCTCAGGCTGATATCTCCGCTGCTGGCGTGTAGTTGCTGCTCTATTTCAGCATTGGCGGCTGTTCCGTGGCCATTCAACCGATATTGGATACAATAAGATCACGGACGCGACCTACGGTTTTGTATATTCGCCGCCAAACCCGCAAACATTGAGGCTCCAGATATGATGAACAATATAGCTGTCTGTAGTTGTGTTCAATCAGTTCCTCATTGCATATAGGGATAGAAGGATCCACCTTCTTCGTGTTTGACCATAATCGAGGATCATCCTCAACCACGGCATGCTCTATATCGAGCTTAATGGGTTCATTTGACAATATTGAACTGGGGGAGTACGGTTGGGTATCAGTATGAAATTCCACATCCTGGACCTCTATAGGTGACAAGCTCGTACTTTGGCTTTCTGCCATGGGGGTAAAATGTTCGATGCACGAGTCGACGATTACATGATAGCGCATGATTTTATAGCTGGTTTATGGATAACGTGAGCGCTAGAAAGCGAATATTGTGTTGCCAGTGTCGATGATAAGAACACACTGGATGGGAGAGCTCCACCAACTATAGTGTGTCGGACAACGTGGCCGATGAGGGTGACATGGCCCATAGAAGCTCAACGTTATCTTCGTTTCAGATAGCCGCCAACCAAGAAGGCCTTGAAGCCAAACGACCTACTTAGGTTAGTGGGATGTACGGTTTAGATTGCATTCATCCAAAGCTAGATCTACCTTGCCACGGAATTTCGGATGCCCGGTCAGTGGGAGGTGAAGTCGAACTAATAATATAAAGAGCTGACTATCCATGTCAACAGTCATCCTCATATACATCGTATATCAAGTGACCGTGCTCCAATCTTCTGACCTTTGTAGTGTATTCCGAGGGAGAAACTTTCAGGTGTCTTCGGCTCAGAAAGTCCGAATTCGAAGTCACCACGACCTCAGGCTTTCTGAGTCAAAGTATAGTAAGTCCTGCAACCAAGAGGAAAATGAGAATGTTGATGATAGCCACAGCCAACTGCGCCGAAATGAAAACAATATATAGCCATACCTGCTGCATGCCCCAGGTCCCTCGGTACTGAAGTCGTCACTTTGTCATCCGTTGACGCGTTGGCTTGATGCATCGATGAGCGTCCCCAATGTTGAAGAGAAGGCTGTGGCTTACGTAAACTGGAAGCTGTACGGGACTTCCTAGCCGCCGGCATCTAAGGAACATCGGATGTGTCAGGTAACTTAGGTTGTCGCCAGGTAAGCTTAAAGACCCACAATTATTCACAATTATTCATACTGGCACTGCGGGAACACTCAAAGCTTCGGTTTGCCCCATAGACGGGCTGGTCACCAGTCTAACTCAAAGCCCCTCGACTTAGACCAGGTACACCGTCTAACGGGCCTGACAACGTGGGAGCCTCAGGTGACCGTAATGATAGACCAAGTACCCCATGATTGTCGCTGCGCACAACTGGGCGAAATTCAGGAAATAACATTGCGTCCATCTTCCCCACAGCTATCGTCGATCATCTGATAACTGGAAGACAACCATGAATTATAGAAGAATGAACAATATTGAAAATTGCTATCTCAACCGCTATCGAGTTCGCCCCCATCAGTACTGGCTGCGGAAAGGGTTCCATAAAGGGAATCAGACTATAACTTTATAGATACGCTCACTGAATATATAACCAAGCTTACAAAGGCCCTTGGCGCTTCGTCGGAATGCTGTTTACAAGGAAAGCCGCAGCCGTCTGGCTTTCTCTTGCCTTTAAACGGGTTCTCACTGCACAGACACCTCTGTCAAGTCATACGCCTTCATCCTTTTA